CTAACCTGTGACCTACCCCTAGCAAACATCACTTCATCACTAGCATGTTTATGACTTTTATGTGCATGCAAGTCAAGTTCTTTGCTTTTTAATCCATTCATGACAGTTTCAAGATTTATACTATCTCTACCATATTTGATAGCAGACTTAACATCTGAATAAGAGTCAGGAATTGCATTCAAAAGAACAATAGGGGTATATTCATCAATATTTTTATCGTCTGTTTGTTTTATATCTTGAACTAACTTTGTAAAAACATCTAAATTTTCATCAATGTTTCGATTCAAGTCAAGTTTAAAACGGAAAAACTTTTCAAGTAAGAACAGTTTGTTTGGCAAAGATTTTTCCATGTAAAGCTCTTCTAATCTTTCCCATAATTCTATCGTAGAATCAAGTTTTCCTACCTTTCTAATCACAGAATCAGACAAGTTCAAGATAATTAGAGAATAAGCACATTCATCTATTTCAGCCTTTCTCTCATTTGTCAATAACGCATTATAATCACCATCAATTGCTTTGGAAACTTTTTGAGTTACTAAAAGTCCTTTCATTTTTTGTTGCCAAATCGAAAAATCAATTTTTCCATCGAATGGTGCAATATTGAAAGATGACACAGACGACATGTTAACGAATAATTCACACGGTCACACAAGGGGCTATTAGAGGTCAACTACCTACTCCTTTAGGAGCAGCTTGGTACGTAATAGCCAACACACACAATCAAGTATGTCAGACAATAATTTACTAACTATCAATGGTCAGCTACTTACTCGCTCTTGGAGCAGCCAGTTACGTGATAGTTGTGTCACACAATTCATATATAAACAATCACGAATGCCCAATTATTATCTAACACATAGAGGTTCAAAGGTTAGCCATCCTTTCATTTTTACCAATTTCTCTTTGCAACTAGGATAGCAAATTCAGCCCGCGTTCAGCTTTTAACCTCGCTCTGATACCAATGTTGGGATTCTCGATCTTTCTGAACGTTGGGTGATCTGCACAGATTCTCAACGTTCAGAAAGATCGAGAATCCCAACAATGGTAATATCCAATTCTCGGAAAACCCTCGGACTACAGAATTTCCTCTAAAATCTTATTTGGATAGATTTATGTTATCATATGCTTAAAGTCAGTTCATCACAGGATTTGGGCTCCAGGACACTGGGGTTTGATATCAAACTTTGCACATGTCGTTTTGATTGGGAGATTTAGGTTTGGAGCTCTTCCATTGAGACCATTCAATCCCTCAGTTCATCTCATAGTGATTCAAATAACTTATCTGGAATGATGCTGAGATTCAGGTTTGGAATTCTTCCATTGAGAATATTCAATCCCCCACTCTATCTCATGGTGATTCAAATAGATGTATTTGGAAGCCTTTTTCTAATGGAGTCTTTTACTTCCATTCTTACCACTGGATTCTTGACTCAAGTTATCATCAAACTTAGTCTCCTTAACAAGCTATTTGGTCTTCTAATGTGCCTTACAAAGTTAACTCCCTATTAGAGATGTTCTTCTTAACAGAGGTTGCTTGATTTTGGATGTTTGCCCCTTTTGCCATCTTTGCCCACTGGTGTCCTGTATTTGGATTATATCTCGTGGAAGAGGTGTGTGCTAAGCTAGTTTTGGGGAGTTTTGGACAGCCCAAAATAGTATTGTTATAAAGAATGAAGCTTTTTCTGCTGAATGGTCATCTTGCGAACCTGTATGGTAGTTGGTGAATGATACAAAGCTCATGTTCCCGAGCACGAATATTCTCTTAGTGTCCTTGCCGAACTACCTTCAAGACATCTCTCATGTCCTTGCAAAATGACCAAGAACCAAGCAAAAGCTACCCACCCAACGGCATTGTCCGGATCATTCTTGGTGGAAAATTCATAAAGATGGCTTAGCTTTAGGACAACTTGGTGCAGCCGGTTTCGGAACAGTCATTAACCATCGAGATCATTTTATTTTTTCCAAGCTTGTTGGCATTGAGGATTCAAATGCACTAGATATCTTGGCCGTTATTCACACACTTGAAGTTATTATGAAACACCAATGAGCTCCTCTCCCAAGAATGGTAGTTGAACTTGAATGCGACTTAAGAAATGCTCTTCGATGGATTCATGCACTTCCCCACCTTGGAATTAAACTCAGAATTCAACAAGCTCCATCTTTTCATCCGTAACATACCTGTCAGATCAAACCGGAGTGTCACCGTCACGCTACATCGAAAGGCTCATTCATCAACCAACGAACCCTACGTTGTAGCGCTAAGGCTAAAATAACCATTACAAGCAACTAATTAGAGATTTAAAATTAAAGTGCACCGCTTATCATTTAGATAAATAAAATTCGAGTCATAAGCATAAGTCGAAAATTAGTTCAAAAGGCATTAATTCTTAAACATTAATAATGGATTTCAAAAACATTCTAGTAGATAAAGTAGTTCTAGTTCCCCGATGGATCATATATGACGTGGATGCATCATTTAGGTATAATAGAAGCACCATCACCTACAAAAGTTTGTATAAAGAGGGTCAGCAGGACGGTTGAGTAAGCGCAATTAACCAAATATATATTAATACGGTATAAGTCATGATTCACGTGTAAATGCCACAAAATCATTTGAAGAAGATAGTTTGAATAAAATGTCACATATCACATAAAGATAACTCACACACACAAGTCTTTTACCGCCTCTTTTATATCCCTTTTTTATTCTCAAATAATGGTGATGAATACATCACGAATAAAATTCCAGTAGGCCTTAATTAGGGCCGGCTCGACCCGGTTTTTCAATCTTATTATTTCGCATGACACGTCACATAATTACACATAACAAACATAGGGTCACAATCCTCAAGAAAAGCTCCACAATATGTACATAAGGGTTTGAAGTCCAAATGTACACGTAAGTCAATTTGTTTATTAGTTTGCGAGGGTGCCAAATGGGCCACAACCTTTTAATCTCCAATATAACATACCAAAAGAGGATTGTACGCAACTTATCACTCCATCACAGATGATGGTCTAAAGACTTTTTCATCGTGAATAACGGGAACTTTGGAAACATCCAAAAACGGAATCCGCCGTCTCGATCCCTCGGCCTAGCCCATTCGGGTTCTAGTTCGAGGTTAGCTAGTTATCTTAAAATACCGGTATACCCTTACGTGTTTGCAAGATACAAAGGTGGAAAGCTATGTCTTATCATCCAAACAATCGACGAGTTGATCGGGCTCAACGGGTAATTTCAATTACCAATTTGACTCAATACTCAACATGCTATTAAGTAAATCTAAAAGAGAGCTTTAAACTCAAACCGTTTCAATTGCCAACATTTAATCAAGCAAAAAATAGGATATTAAAATCCAAAAAGTTCATTATAATTTTACTTTATTTCTCCAAATAAATATTTGAATAATATGTCTATCCCAATAGGCATAATCTAACTTTAAAAATTATAATATTTAAACATAACTATAAATCTTTTCCAAAATAAAAAAACCATAACTAGGTTAAGGCAAAACTAGGGTTTCAAACTCATTCCACAAATTCTACGATTTTAAACTTAAAATACTATAATAATCTTCACATAAGACACAAGGTACATTATAATCAACCTTCTAGAAGGAATTAGCAAAACCTAATACTTTTAGGGCAAACTCATTCGAAACTAATTTGAAACTAATTTTGAAAAATATCAACAGAAGGTGCCTAGGGATTAGAACATATCATTTATCTAAGATTAATCCCACTTATTTTAAGAGAATCCAAATTAGTCCAAACTCAATTTTACTTCCACTTTTTCTTTTCGGAAGTCCTACTGAAAGAACTCTAGAGTTAAGCATGCTTGTTTTAGAGTAATATGAGGATGGGTGACCCCCTGAGAAGTCTTTCATGGTGCGCGTGAGTAAGGACAGAAGCGCGCTGAAAGGACTCGTGTTGACCTGTGGGGCCAGTCTACAATCCCAACACGCCCGGCTTTGTCGAGCTTGCGGGCTGGGGTGTCACATCATCGATAAGAACCCTGACATTTCATTCCAGCTTCTTTCTAGAATCATTAATGTGGTAGCAAACCAATGGCGTTAGGAGAAACAATGTTTTATTTGTTTCCTTTTAGCTTCTGCTTATCTTTTTGGTTCTTTCGTATTGTATCTAGCTTACTTCCTTATCAATAAAATTACATTACTCTTCTCATGCATACTAAGCACATCCTCAAAGATGCCTCAAAGAGAATGATGTATGAGGATTATAAATCTGCTTTCTTTAGTCCGAAAAATCCCCAAAACTTGAATGTATGAGATGAGCACATTACCTTCATACACTGCCTAAGCAAGGAAGGTGCTGGTGGAAAGAGTGAATAAACAATGATCGTTTGGAGGATTCCATAATCCATAAGCAATTAGTTTGGTTAGTATTGGTTGATTCCTATATGTAAATAAATTAATGATATGTATCCCGAACTATTTAAACTTTTAGGTGAGACGGTTATTCCAATTATTTAACATGGTATCAGAGCTATAGATTTCGGGTTCAAATCCCACCATTCCCATCCGGCATATATCCACATGCAAGTCTCGTATATATTTTCTTGCACATGAGAAGGCGTGTCAGTTGACTCTTATATATAGATGATACGTATTTGTAAAAGTATAGGTTTTTAAATAAACGATCATTCCGATCATCTAACAGTTAGAAGCTCTATATTACATCGTGGTAGAGCTATGATACACATTACACAGGAGAGTAAATAAAGTGACAGCCTGAATCACAAGATAAAAGACTCTTTATAATCTGTCCCTTCGATCCGAAGATATATCTTAGCTACTGGTTAGCGTTTGTGTCTGTGAATGTTTTCATCTACACAAGCTTATAAACTAATGGCTCAAATTCTTTAAACATACCAGTTGACGTAGTGTCCCAGTGAAATTTCCTTCATAATCTGACATTACCTGCCAATGACATCATGAAAGTTATAACTGATATTCTTTTTTTCTTGTTTCGCTTAACAGCTCTGCAGGATCTTATCTTTATGTGTCACACACAGGATTTGGGGGAGTTGCTTATGCTATGGCTATCATTTGTCTTAGACTTGAAGCAGATGCAACTCAGACACCACATATCTCACGATCAATTCATAATCAATGCTCGTCTAATTCAAGGGAAGAAATCTCTGTATCTTTTAATTCTGATGATGAGGCTCGCAGAAATGGTGATTACAGGGACATCCTGAGCCTAATTAGGGTGCTCGTCCATGGGCCTGAGAGCAAAGGAGATGTTGACTCTGTTATAGATAGGTATGGGCTTCTTCCTGGACAAGATGTGAGCTTCTATGCTACTCTTAGTAGTAGATATTCTAAATTTTAGTGACAAACATCTAAAATTTCAATGACAAGCAAAATCTTGCTGATTGGGTAAAGCTGATGTTTCCCAGGAACAAAGTAACAATGATACTGGCACACCATATGTCCATAACAGGATAAATCATACTACGTCATGTTTTTTAATTGATCCTTTTACATGTACGAGTAAATAGGCCTAATATGCATGTAGGTAGTTAAATTAGTCACAATTGTTAATATGCATATATCAGAATGTTCACATGATTATACTTGCTAAAGTACACTAAAGAACTCAACAGGAGTTATTAATTAGTAACTAAATAAAAATATCACTTGACAGAAAATATTACTATTGTGACATCTTAATTCTTCTGTAGTTATTTATTCTAGATCCAGTTGTCTTCAATAAATCTTTTCCTGAAGCTCAACTGTTCTGTAACTGTAGGTATGAATTTTTTGTTCTTGTGCAATGCACATGGACCTTACTAGTATCAAAGAGATTGGTTAATAGTTGTTTTGAAAGTTCTAAGTCAAATTTATTGAAAATAATAATATAACATATTAAAGTTCCCTGAAGATTGAAGATAGACAGCTTGGCTTTGCTCTAGAGCACATATATGGATGCTAATGCTATTGTAGCATCTAGAACATATTTTGTTTCTTTATTTTATTTAGATTTGATATATTTATCATGTTATCTACTTTCCTATTCCGATTATATCACAGTAATCTCCATAAATATTCGTCATAACACATGAAAATATATACTTTTTTCAGCCAATTTCTCACTTTGTATCAGAGCTAAGGAAAGATTTTCCACTGCTATATTCCTTTGGCTGAAAATGCTGGTTGCCGCTTTCTTCTACTTGAGCTCCTTTAGTCCTTGTTTTTTTATTATGCCTGAGAAAGTAGTGGTTGGTATTTCTGTGGCGAAAATGTATGCTGTTAGGGTTATATTATCCGTTGTAGTTATCAAAACTAGGCTCCGAGACAATTTGATGTGAATAATCCATTCTTGCATGGTAACCTTTTGGAAGTGGAGTATGTGAATCCTCCTCCTGGGTTACGCCAAAGGAGGTAAGATATGTAACCAAAGAAGGCTTTGTATGAACTAAAACTATCACTAAGACCCGTGTTTGGGAGATTTAGCTACTCTGTGAAAGATTACAGTTTCAAGCAAGTTATGGCAGACCACACCTTGGTTTATAAGTAGGTTGGTGAATATATTACTCTTCTTATTGTTTATGTTAATGATATGATTGTCCCTAGTAATTATAACAATGAGATGGAGAAGCTTCAAAGCTATTTACCTGAGGACTTTGAAATGAAGAACATAGGTGCTCTAAGATACTTCCTAGACATTGAAGTATCTTGATTGAAGTATTTACTCTTCTTCTCTTAATAAAAGTATGTATTAGATATCTTGTCTGGAAATGGGAATTTGGTAGATAGTATTAAGGTGAATCATGGCTTAAGTATCTACTGGGACTAAATTCCAACCAACAAAGAAAGATATCAATGGCTGGTGGGAAATTTTATCTTTCTAACTCACACTAGACCAGCCTATCATATTCAGTTAGTGTGGTAAGCAGTTCATGCACAATCCTAGTGACTGACACATGAGTGCAATGAATTAAATCTTGGCTTGTTTAATTCATCTCCGGACAAAGGAGTAATGGACGGTGAACATGGTCATCTAGACGTAGTTGGTTATTAAATCTAGATTTTTCTGGATCCAAGTTGGATAGTAAGTCTACTAAAGGATGCATGTCGTTTTTTGAGGAATATGGTGACTTGGAGAAGCAAGAAACACAATATAGTGTCCTTATCTCGTGCTGAGTACCATACTGTTCCTTATGTGATTAGGGAGCTTATTTGGTTAAAATTCCTTCTGGATGAACTAGGTTTTTGTTCCGAGAAACATATGCACTTTTCAGTGATAGCAAAGCAGCTGTTGAGATTGCAAACAATCCTGGACAACATGATTGGACTAAGGATGTTTAACTCGGTAGAAACTACATCAAAGATAAATCTTGACTTAGGTAATATTAAGATTTCATACATTAAGTGTGCATTTCAACTAAATGATGTAATGGCATATGGAGTTTCTAGTGATTTGTTCCATATGGCATGCCATTGTCAAAGTCGGGCAGTGTGATATCTATGTGTTAGTAGTGGGCCTTTGTTGTTCTGGTTGATGTCTACGGTCGGTTTGTGGTCGTGAGCCCAATACCAAAAAGGCGACCCGAATGCTGATCTAATCAAATCTGATTGATGGAAGTCCCAGCTGTGCAAAGTGGAGGATCTTTCAGCTGGTCCCTAGTGAGGGAATTCTGTTGCAACAGAATGTGTGTGTATGCTGTAGTGGAGGTTGAGTAGTGAACTTGCAGGCAATAGTCTGGTAGGTAGAGGAGGGGATAGATACAGGGATGAATTGAGGTGAATATACAGTGAAGCTTGATGGTGATAATAAGCTAAATGAGATGCATAGGGCAGATAGGAGGAGTGTGTTAAAGAACCTGATCTGAAATCTTGGGTGGGAAGATGGAGAATTCTTGAGGTAGATTTGATACAGCCCTTTTGTAAGCTCGATTTGCTCTTGCTTAAATGTGATTGTGTCTGGATTGAAACCCCACAGATGTAGGTCATTCGAGACCGAACTGGATTAACATTTCGGTGTGTCTATTCTACTACTTACAGAGTGTGCATGTTGTTTGGTTTTTCATGAACTATCTGTCTGTGTAAATTTGCTTGTGTTGTCTGTGTTGTGCTGGTTGATTGCTGTTATTCAATTGAGGAATTTTGGGACCTACACTATGCACCAGCTTGAAGGGGAGAATTACCATCTACAATATATTTTCTTTCCTTACTTTATTTAGATTTGGTATGATATGATTTGATTTACTTATCATATATTCAACTTTCCTATTCTTAGAATAAGTCATGTATTCTCCATAAATATTCCTCATGATAATATGAAGATTTATACTATTTTCAGCCAATCTCTAGTTCTATTTTAGCTAAAAAAAACCTGCCGTAATGAAATATACCTGCGGTCACTTAGAATATGATAAAGAGAAAACACTTCAGTGAATCCTCAGTCTTTTTTAAGTCTCTTACTAGAGCTTACTGATTTTTTCAAGGTTCTTCTTTCCTCTTAATATTCAAGTTTTTGTTTGTTTGTTTGTTTTCAAGGTGTTCTGGGGCTGGACATTTGAGGGATGATATTCTGTACTATGGGAAGGAACTCGAAAAGTTTTCAAATGTGAATGATGATCATCGAGCTTATCTTTTGGATATGGGTATTAAGGCATTAAGGTTGATTTTTCTCTTCTTGATAGGCGGTGTTGTTATTTATTTATTTATATTTATATTTTTTGTCACTTAAGGTTTGTACATTTTGGCTGGATAAGTTCTCTCTCTCTCTCTCTCTCTCTCTCTCTCTCTCTCTCTCTCTCTCTCTTTTCTTTTATTTTATTTGCCTGCATATAGCTATGTTCATTTTGCTTTATGATCTTGAACAATTTCATTTGCAATCCGGGCTACTGTGCTTTGTTGTTTTTTGTTACAATGGTCTATTTCAGATGTATGGTACTATGTTAGTACTTTCAATTTAATTGCTATAGGTCGTGGTATATCGTAAACCCATTCTAGAAGCTAATGTCTCTACTTTTTCCTGATCTTTGGTATGAGCAGGAGGTACTTTTACCTAATCACATTCAGAGCCTATCTTTACATCACTTCTGGGCCAGAGTTGAGATTCACTACTTGGATGGATGCAAGGCCTGAGCTTGGCCACTTGTGTAATAATCTTAGAATTGATAGGTAAGTTCATAGGATATGAAACCAATATGCAGATTGTGTCAATCTTCCCCTTTTGTTAATAACGATGATAACTCCCATAGAATGGAAGATAATATGTAAATTACAAACATCACCTCACATGTTTCGTAGACTACAAGATGTTTAGTTTGCCCAGACATTTGATTGCACCTCCTCACATGCTTGAGTTCGCTAGCTAGTTGATCACTACTTATTTGCAACCTCTACCAGATTCCTGCTTGCTATCTTAATTCACTCGAAGAAACTGTTTAGTCAACCCAAAAATATCCTATATCCTCCCAACCCTTTCAAACTTCGTGTTCATTCCTTATAGGGGGCTCTTCTTTCCCTAACTCTTTCCTTTCTTCCAACTAATTATCTAGAATAATTTGCAATTCTAGATTGCGTAACAGCGCCTGCACCAGTAGAAATCACTCCAATCCTTGGCCAGCCGAAAAAGTGGGATAATGTATTTTCAAGATGGAATTTTATATGATATCCAAATGAACCTTGAATTTTTTATTTTTTAATTGATTTTTATTTTATTTTATATTTTTGGCCCTAGCCAAACAAAATTTAGGATAATATCCTTTACTCTTAGATCTCCTTTCCAAATTAGACGTGAAAGGTTCCTTTAATCTTGCCCAAATTTTATATTTTTATATTTTATAAAATTTTATTTTTTTATAAAATAATATACTTTCTCCGTCCACCGTCAATCTATTCATTTTACCATTTTAATTTGTCTATCGCAAATGTATCAATTTCATTTTTTATTAAATATATCTTACACTAAAATATAAAATGACTTCAATATTAATATAATGTTACACAAATGTCATCAAATAACACCACTTATTACCATAAATGTTAAAGGATGTAATAGTTTTTATGTATATTAATTGTACCGCATATCAATATAATACTAATATACTAAAATCTACGTGCAAAATGTAAACGGATATATAGGCGGTGGACGGAGAAAATATATTGATTATATTTTTTATTAATATTTTTATGTTTTATGGATATTTATTTATGGGACGGAGGGAGTATATTAAATCAATATTTTATTTTCACATCATCAATTATGTTTATTGGTGTGTTTATTAATATATTTATTTTTATTAATTGTATAAGACTATGTAATATGTTGTTAATTTATGTGTTGTCTTTGTATTATTTTAATATAATTCATATATTGTTTGTCTCTATATCGTGTGTCTTTATGTCATATGTCGTGTGAAATTATGGGGTGTGAAATTATATAATGTATTTTCCATTTGTGTTGACATAGTTGAGGTGTAGTCTTTTTATATAATCTATCTCATCTCTCTTTATACGATGTGTTCTATTTTTATATAATGTTGTATATCATCATATCTTGTAATGTTTTTTCTTATACTGTGTTTATCTTATGTGTTACTAAAGGATATTATCATTCCTTATGTCAGGCTCTATTTTTTATTTTTCTTTTAGAAAAAAAATGCAACGTTGGAGTGCTTGCCCTTGCTGTGGGTGGTCTAAACATTCGTTGGCGTTTGTTATGATTTGTTAGGATAAAAAATAGTTTCCTTATGAAATAACTTTTAGTCTTTCAATACAATTTACGATATACAAAGACAGAGAAGTAAACAACAAATTCTAGGCTTTGTTTACGGAAATATTTTTGAAAATTTTGATATTATTTATACACAATAATTTATTCAAAGTATTATATTTGAATATATTTTTACATTACAAAATATCACATCAAATATATATTTTTTATTTTTTATTTTTAGTAAATTATATAACACTATGTGAAACTCCGTTGTGTTAATATAAAGTTTGCACGAAACACTATTTTTGTCTAAAATTAATATTTGGTTCTAAATAGAGCTGTTAACGATCCAAGTCGAGCCAAATTTTAAGTGTTCATTAACGTTCGCGAACAAGGCTCGTGTTCGTTTGTTAAGCTTTCGAGCTCGTTCGTAGTGTTCGAGCTCGGTTCGTTAAGAATTTTTGTTGTTTGAGCTCGTGTTCGTGTTCGGCTCGTTTAGGCTCAATTAAGCTCGTTCGAGTTCGTTCAAGCTCGTTTGTCTTATTTTTTAAAATTTATATATAAATTATAAAAAAATTTAAAATTATTTTAATTATATATTTTAAATTAATATTTTATTTATATATAAATTATAAATTTATATGTATATATAATATTTATAATAAATATATTATTTAAACGAACGTTCGCGAACAAAGCTCGAGCTTGTTCGTTAACTAAACGAGCTTGTTTATGTTGTTTGATTCGGCTCGTTAACATTCGCAAACGAGCTTTAACCGTGGCTCGGTTTTAAAAGCTCTAGTTCTAAATAAATATATAAATTGAAATAATTGAGTAATCATTCATTTTATATTTTTTTAAAGATAAATTGTTATCTATTTTTACAAATTCTATAAAAATAAATGATTCATCAATTATTTATTTATTTTTTTCAAAAAAAATTATTTAACATATTTTACGTTTATTATTGGTATAAAACTTACGTAATTTAGGTTTTTATTTAGAAATAAACATCAGTTTTGGACTAGGAGAGTGTTTCGTGTAAACTTTACATTGTTTCGCGCAATAAATAAAACACAGTGTTTTGTACATTTTTATTGCAACACTAAAGAATATTATATAATTTATCCTTTACTAAATAAATTCAAAATTCATTTCAAAATTCGTTTGTAAGGCTCGCCTTAAGCGCCTCAGAAATGAATGGAATAGTTGAGTCTGTTGGCGAACCTTACAAACGACTTGATTTTAGCTCTCTACCAATTAAGCGTACAAATATAACCACACATATGCAGCTCATATGGGATTCCGAATTAGGATAGGTTAGTTATTCCATTCCAAGCACAATGGATTGATTACATTTTGCCAATTTATGTGCTCCAAGAAAGGTCATCAACACCCTTCAAAAGTCGGTAGTGAAGGTGAGTTGTTGATTGTTTACTAGAGGAACGGAATCATGAGTTTGACTTCTCAATAGATCCCAGTAGAACTATGACAGTTGCCTCCAAAGGGTATAAAGAGGAATTGAGGAAGGGAACACGGCATTGTGTATAAAGTAATTACGAAAAGGGTTGGACAACTTTTTGCATAAGGAAAGATTCACTTTTAGAGTCCCGCAAGGGATGGCCTGATAGTATGGGGTTGAACGTGTGACCGTGAGCCTCAGGTTTGGGTTACACGAAATTTGTATTGAGATAATATGAAAAGACTGTTGGGAGAATACCGGAAGAAGAACAAAATGCAAACCAAAATTAGATTTGATATACTCCTTAAGCGTAGTCACGCCTAAGCAGTGTGTTCAAACTGTTCCACCAAAACGTTTGCCTTCAATCAATTATTTTTGTACCAAAAGAAGATGAATGATAACCACCAATAAACAACGGAAATAACAATATGAGACACCAAAACTTTTAACTTGGAAAACTCTTTTAAAGTGAAGGATAAAAACCACGAGGTATCACCCGACCCAAAGCAAAATCCATTATATAAAAAAAAAGGTTCGTACAATCAAAGATAACCACAACCAAAAAGACTATCAAACTCCACACCCAATTACAAGAATCGAACCTCAATCACAAGAGATTTTCCAACTACAAACAACCTATTCCAATCCTCTACAAACAAACAATCCATTCCAATCCTCAACCAATAAGATTTAAAATCGAATCCAAACAAATAAGGATAAATCAACGATACCAAAAGGAACATCCGAAGATGACGAGACCGTTGATCGGAACCGAGTTGAAGAAATTCTCTCATGCTTGTCGATTCTCTCGCGTGCATGGATAACAATTGTCTCTCTCAAACCCTACACCCAAATGATCCATCTCCCCCAACTATGACGACTAGGGCAACAATTGGCAAGAGTGGCTCTTAATTTTTTTGAGCTAAGTTGAATTGTTGGGTCTCCTACGTATAAAAGGAACCCAAACCCAACAAAGACAATATCAGACAATAAAAATTAAGATAATAGAACTTAAGAAATAAATAGGAATCAAGCTAAAGATTTTTGGATTGTGGATATAATTTTTACACTGTGATTTCTGTAATATAATACTCCTTCCATCCAGTTAGAAAGAAAGTATACATATTTCTATTTTGGGACGTCCAATTACAAAGTAAATACCTCATTTTTTTTCAAAAATATTCCTACTTTAAATCATATCATATTTTTACACCAAAAAGTAAGAGAAAAAATGTCATTACACTACTTTTAACTACAAGTATTTCTTAAACACAGCGCTAAAAATAATTGTATACTTTATGTGTTATGTGTGGACGGAGGGAGTAAATGAATTCATATTGGTGAAAATGAATCTGTGAATTCTGTAGACAAGAATTATATACGTTTACATAAAAGAATAATAGTATTTATAATTTTTACTAATATTAAATTAAAAAAAAATAATTAGACATGTCAAATTTAACGAGACATTTAATTTTTTCTCATATCTATTATGTATCATTCTCATTTCATATTATAAGTGTTAAATTCAAAATACATATACACATATGTATTGGAAATTTTGGATTTATATGCATATATTATTTATGATTTATATGCATATCAATTACTAATTAAATGTCTTCTTTCTATTATTCAGTTTATACAATTTTAACAAGAATCTATTTTATTTTTTCAGAAAATTTTTATATTAAAATATTATTTAAATAACAATAACAATCAAATTCAAACTCAAACGGAAATCAAACAAAACCATTATCTCTAACATTTAGACCTTGTTTACATAAATATTTTTTAAAACGAAATATTATATCAAATATTTTTTTTGTCTCGCATAATATCAAATCAAATATTAAATTTTTATTATTTAAAAAAAGTTCTAAAATTTCAACACTTTATCTAAACAAAAGCATTAAAATTTCTTCGGAAACTTTTTTAGTGCATTTGGACTATTAGTCAGCCAACTAAGAGTGTGTTTGTTTGAAGTTTGGATTTTGAATCGTGATTTGAATAATAAAAATTTTGAATTTGAATAGTTATATGATGTGATATAAATAGGCGTTGATGTGCTGTTTTGAATATAAAATTGATTTTTAGTATAATATAAAAAATAAAAAATAGGTGTTTGATTTAATATCTTTTGAAAGAAAAATGAATATATTTAAAATTCAATCCCAAGCAATCACACCCAAACATATTTAAACATCGACTCATCCATCAATCATCCGCTTATAAGAATATGTACTATAAATAGTCTAAATAAATTAAAATTTCTACAAATCTCGACGGCTGCTATAAATATAATATATACTTCCTTCGTCATCTGAATTGAACCCTTTGATTAGGGACACGGTATCTAAGGTAAGAATATTTAATTAGTTAATAATAATTAGTTATGATATTATGATATTATTTTTTTGTATAATTAATAATATTTATAGTTTTAAAATAAATTTAATATATAATTAAAGAAATTAAAGTATATGTTTAAATATTTAAAAAATTATATAACAATTAAAAAATATATGCAATATGAATATTATTTTGTAAAGAATAAAATTTTCTATAATACAAATAAATAAAAAAATATTTTTGTTTATTTATAAAAGATGTGTAATTTTAAATATAGATAAAAATATTTATTCTTTTTAGGAGAGAGATATGAATAGTTTTGAGTGGTCTAAGTCTCATGTTGTATGTTATTTAGTTAATTATGTTGATTTATATTTGTTAAATATGTTTTTGATTTAATAATTTTTACCAAAAATAGAAAGATGTAACAGGACATACAAAAATAGAAATAGTATCAATTGTGGTGGAACGGAAGGAAGTATTTTCTAAATATAGACTTCTCTTCAAACTCAAAATAATGTCCCAAAAACTAACGTGAGTTTGTTTTAATAGAATCTAACTCAGAAACATACAAAATTTGGAATCAGATAAATCAAATAGAGATATGCAAACATAACTCTAACCGGAAGTTAAAGTTAGACACGGACATATACACAGACAGTTGCAAACATATCGCATACATAGTCGGAAGCAGACAATCAAAATCAGACATATCGCAAACATTTTTCTCTTAAGAAATCTTAGATATAATAGCAGCAGAACAAGTCCAACATAATAGAATAAAATCAGATGAACATGAACCAATGAACCGATCACATAGGCTTGTAGAGAAATTTTATAGGATGAAGCCACAAAATTCCAGTGACCAGAGCCGCATCATGTGCCGCCAATACAAATTGGCGGTGGAACCCCTCAACGGCGCGTGTAGGCCACATGGATTGCGCCGTTTGTTGTGAAACTTTGGTGGCCAGCCGGTTTTTGTATGGGAAATCTGAGGGTGGGGGTGGTGTTGACCGGTGAAAAGCGAAAAGGTGAGAATTGACGGGGCAGCGGTATTGATTTCTGCATGAAGAAATCATAACTCCAAACGAAAAAGGATTTTTGTTCGGAAATCGTAGGGGAGTGGAAGAAAAAGCGCTTTGGAGAGAGGGACGTGAAGCCAGCCGCAACAGACACGGGAACATTGCGCCAAAAAAAGTGATCAAGTGGAGGGTGGGGTTGAGTGTGGGGATGATAGGGGTTGAAAAAAAATTAAAAAAGGGATGAGAAGTTACATGTAAGAGCTAGCATTTGTAAATGAGAAAGTTCAAACAAAACAATTTTATTGTAGGAACTGAATCTCTATTTAAATAAGCACTTCGAAAGTTTGTTCAAATTAGCCGTATGCTTTACTCAAATTTATATTTGAAATCACATTTTTTTCACCATTTTAAATTAATTTTACTCCGTATTCAATATATTTTCCCACTAATTTTATATAAAACTACAAAATTACCACAACCATAACAGTTGAATGGTTGAAATAAATTTCTCATGAAAATTTCCTTGAGCCAAATTTCATCTTTTGTTATTTGAAGTTCTTAGTTACTATTCATTCTCAATAATAAGGTCACAATTCAGGCGATGAAAATCTTTAAAGTTTCTCCGTTCTCGCAAAAGATGTATGTGCGTGTGCATGCATTCATTAAGATATTCCCTATTTTGGCTATGCACTAACATATTAATGCGACGCCATGGTTGTTAAAGTAGATTTGCTTTGCTATGCCTGCCCATGTTGTGTACTTGACCGCACAAAAAGCAAACTGGCTAAGGTTCACACAACGCACACAATTCACCATCCAGCTAATTCTATGTTCTCAAATCAAAACTGTATCACCCCTTGTTTCAAACACCTCTCTTCAGAAAATTCTTAGTAGTGAAAACATTACAAAGAAGAGATCACACCCAGCAAATGTTAAAACTCTTTTCAGCCAAAAGCATCACCGCTTACTGACTCTGCTACCGCAAGTCTCAATTGAAGCATCTTCTCCTCAGCCAACTGCAAAATAGAGAGAACAACCCCACGCATTATCTTATCTTGCATGTCAGTTTCAATAAAGAAATTTAGATCTACAATCTCTGGAGCCCTTCTGTAGTCAATTCTTTATACACATCACACATCCCAGCACAAAGCCATTTTAATAATCTAATGAAAATATCACAATCCCACAAAATTGTTTCTATCACCTGAGATTAAACTGCCTCACTCAATGGAAAATCCTACAACCATAATAAGAGATGTTTTGATATTAAGTTAACCAAACTCACTTCCCGAACAGCCATGACTCTGCTTTCAGCATCTTCGAGTTCAACCTTAATTTCTTGCTCCACTTGTGACATCAGAATTCTGTGTGCAGCTCCTAAAAATGCCAATTAAGGGTCGATATAGGTCAACATTGTGCTAATTCAATGAAACAACTATTGTATGATATGCGGCCTCTATCCATGGTTTGTACATATACACTGGAGCAATAAATGAACATTCACAGATACACTGGTTTGTACATATCCATGGTTTGTACATATACACTGGAGCAATAAATGAACATTAACGGATGCAACTTTTGCCCGTAGCAACTCCTGTAAGTCTCAAGGGGGTAATCTTCAAAATAAAATGGGGCAAAGAAAACAATAATGCTAAAGCTGCCTCTTTGATATATTACACGGATTCAGATAAGACAAGGAAAAGGCAATAGTTCCATGATCAAAGTTAGATATCCTAAATACATAACACTAAAGATATCTAGATATGCTGTACTAAGGATCCACAAAGTTATGTCTAGCAACTTAAAAGAGAAATATGCTTGATAAAAAATGTGCCCTTTGTGTGCATTTCTTTCCTTGTTGTGATGCATTCACTTTATTATGTATAAGGAAAAATACATGTTAGAAGTTGCAGAAAGCTTTCCAAGGATTCAGAAAAATACATCCTTAAGAAAGGGCATGCGGTTTTGGAAAATTACATGCTCTGTAAACTTTAAATTTGCCAGTGTATTTTATTTTAAGTGTGACTTAGAACCCTCAAATATAACAAACAATTCACATTTTTCGCACAGGGAAAAGATGCAAACCAGATTATATTCTAACATACCTGCATATTTTCAAAATCAGAAATGAGTGGTGAACATGCTGAGCTAATTTATATACAATTAAAATTATTCATAGAGGTAAGAGTTCTCTTACTTTGTTTTTCCACAGTTTGTTTAAGCTCAATTACATGTTCTTCTGTATCCTCAATTATGTCATTGTAATGCTTAATATGCCGGTCAACCTCATCCTTGAAACTTTTGTATATTCCAAGCAACCATTCTTGTTGCTCTGAAAGATAAACAAGCCAAAGCATTGAGCAGAAATGATGTGTCAAGCAACAATAAAAAACTTAAGGTCACTGCATGCCAACCATCTACTCAAAATAAAATACCCCAAAGGCACTAGAACGCACACCTTCGAATCTATTGTCAAGCTGCTTCCTCTTGGACTGACTAAAATTGGTCAGCTTTGCCCTGAAATATAAAGCATAATGCTTAAATGCAAGACCATTCAAACAAACATTTCATTAATTTAATACTTACACATCTATTTTGACCTGGGATTCAGCATTCTGAAGTATCAAAAGTATTTCCTCAGCAGCAGCACACAAAATCTCAGCAGAACTTTTGTTTCTCATTGACTTCAGTTTCGTTTTAATATGACATAAAGCCACATTAAATAGAGCTACAGCACTGAAATTTTTAGGGAAAAAAAAAATCATCACAAAAGAAGCAGAAAATTGTTGGCAACTTTGTGATTACTTTCAACTAAACAAAGACCAGAGTACCTAGCAAGGCCATCCTCATGAATTTGTTGCATGTGAAACTGAAGATCATTACCATCACTAGCTGCTGCCCATTTGTCTAAAGAGAAAGCGAAATAAGACACACAGGAGAAGAATGGAATTTTCAAGAAGCTCAGAGAAAAAATAAGAAATGGATGTTCATTGATCACAACTCAAATAACCTTTGAATGACTCTGACTCTGGAATACATCCAGTCATTTCAGCATCTTTTTGCTCGCCAATTTTTTTGGTGGTACCATGTAGAAAATTCTGCATACATACTTCAGGAGATAACTGCTCTGATTCTGTGGCATCTGTGTATCATGACATTACCATGTTTCAAACAACATGTTGCCTGACTCCATGAAATTGGAGATTACTGATGAAGCAAATAAACCTAATGAATCTCACATAATCAACAGGTTAGCAACTGCTTTTCTCAACCGACATTCTTTGACATGGGTGGGAATAATCCATCAAACTATTCCCAGTCGATAATGTTAATATGTTATCTCATCAATCTAAGTTAACATGTCTTGAATGAAAACGTAATCAAGCAATAAATTCGTTAAAATTAAATCTGTACTTTTTCTAGTGCATGGAGCTCATTTACCAATAGTACAGAAATACCTGTTTGATGGGCTGGAATGGAGCTTTTCTATAAATTACTAAGGAAACAAATAATGTATGTTAAATAACCATCTTACCTAAGAGTTTAAGCTGATAGTAAAATATATCATTCACTACATATTATATAGTTCTCCAACAATGTAAAATTAAATTTATGCCATACGTGTTAAGTTTTGGCATCTTATGCAGAATAATGAATACAGCAAGCATATAACTATGCACATTACTCCTCATAGAAATCAGAAACCATAATATCACATCAAATTTGCATATATTATATGCAAGTCCAGAACATAGACAAGAATAATGCTGAACCGGAGACTATATATCAATGGGGCAGCGAATGCAATTATGCCTTCCTTCTGAGACATTAAAATTTTAATTTGGCAAACTGTACAGATATTAATGAAAACTCATTTTTATAATCTCAATCTTAATCAACATTTACTGCAAGAAACAGAAACACATCAAACAAATCAGGAACAATGGTAGCACAAGTAAAGAAAGAGTTACACTGCACAATCACATAGCTGAGGAGGAAAAAGAGCAGAATCAATTTTCATATCTTGAGAGACAAATCAATTTAATAAAGTACAATCAAATGTTGATGTACCATGAAAAAGTGTATATATGCCGTGATTTACAACATTATTCAGTGTTTATTCTAACCTTGCATATTAGAATCATCTTCTATGTTCTCATTATCCATCAGATTGGTAGATGATCTGCACATCAGATTTTCACTGTTGCCTTCCATGATACATCTTGGCTTAGTATGGAGACTTTCATTTAATTCACACCTACCATCCTTTAAATTTAATAAGGAACAGCAACTGTGTAATCCAAAATATTATGACACAATCAAATATTGTACTGAAGGATTAAAGGATACAGATAATTCCAGTTGAATGTTTGCTTTTCCTTTGGCTGCTTTTGAACTCAAACTTTTGAAGCTTTGGATTCCTTGCGTAATATATATACTTTTGGCAAAACTAAGTCCATGGAGCTGTTCTTGCTTACTTTCTGGTAAACATTTGGGGGATATAATTTGAAATTTAGAGGTCAATGAATCTTGCACACAACTTCCCCTGTTCTTCAACAAAGAAGTTGACTGCTGATCCTTCGAGTTTGAAATTTCAGCATCCACCCGCTGCTCAACATCTTTCTGTTGCTCAATTACCCCTATCTGTGGAGACTCAATAGAATAGTCTTTTTCAGAACCAAAGTTGGGCACTTCAAATAGATCACACCTTCGATCATAAGCAGCATCAGCATTGACAAATTCATTTCTCTGCACCATGGATTTCTCAACAGCCGTCTTGCTTTCCGACAGTTGTTTCTCTTCCACAATTTTGCTATTAACACTGTGATGAATCTCCAATCCAGAACTCTGTCTTCCAATCCTGTTTCTCTTAGAAGTCAAAGAGCCTTCAATGAAATTGTCATATAATCTTCCAGACCAATCATCTTTAAATGACAATAATCTCTTTTGCGGAAACACTTTTCTGTGGCATGTAGGCTTTTTAGCTTTAATTTTGTTTCCATGGTTTCTGGTGAAAGTTTTCTTCTTCTTGTTCGGGGAATATATCATTGGTCTTCCAGAAGTATGGTTTTTGTAATCATCTTCAATTTTTTCAGAGTTAGAGTTTCTTTCTCCAACAGGACTGTGTTCCCAACACCAGTCTTCATCGGAATGCAACTTCGCAGTCTGAGGATTGACACTTTGCTTGTTTGGTGAAAAGTTTCCCAAGATCTTCCAGAGTCCCGTTCTCAAATTTTTGGTGCCCACAGTTTCTGGTTTCCTATCTTTATCCTGCACCTGTTCACTTTTTAGCACAACCCCAGGTCCATTTGCAAACACAGTAGTCTTTGCATGCTCCATGTTGCTAGTCTTCCAACACCAGTCTTCATCTGAGTGCAACTTGGCTGTCTGAGGATTTACACTTTGATTGTTTGGTGAAACATTTTCCAAGATCTTCCAGAGTTCCATTCTCAAAGTTTCTGTGCCCACAGTTTCTGCTTTCCTATCTTTATCCTGCACCTGTTCATTCTCTAGTACAACCTCAGTTTTATTTGTAAACACAGTAGTCTTCACATGCTCCTCATGACTAAGCTTCCTTGCATCCACAAATTGAGTGGTTTTGCGAAATAATTTCTGTCCACATTCATCAGATTCTAAACCAGTTTTTCCACCAGAGTTGGCTGCAGATGGTTTCTCTAGGAGCTTTACGCTGGGCACTCTGCAGGTGGCGAAAGAACTTGGAGATTGTTCTGCAACGTGAACTCGAACTGGAACTGAAGAAGGTGCTGTTGGGTTGAAACATGTAGCGGAAAGCCATGGAGAGGCACATTCCCGTGTAGCTGCGAAATTCTTTTTCAAAAGGCAAGTAGGTTCATCATGATTTTTTACAGCATTTTCTTCGCTAGGACTTCTATTTTCTGCGGTTAGCAACTCTGCATCCTTGATATCTTTGTTTTGTTCCTCGGAAATAGCATCAACCAACACCCCTATTGAGATCTTCCTAGACTCGCTGCAACATCGCTGATGACTGCTAAAGATCCGACAGTCACTCATTTGTTCCTAATATAATATAACGATACCGATTTTCACAAAAGCGCTATATGAAGTGGTAAATGAAGTTGTGAAAGAACTGGAGATAAACAAGCAAAAATTATATGTAACGTACCTTGGCAAAGTAGAATTTGTGTTGATAGTTATAGCTGGTTTCTGGCAGCGTTGGTTTGTATTTTCGTGCTTGTTTTCGCTACAGTGTCCAGTTATTTCCCGCCCAACCTAATTGAGTGTAGAGAAAAACGATTTGCTCTCCTCTCCCACCACTGTATCGGTGCAATGACGGTCGTCAGATAGATGCAATGATTGCACACTAAAATCGACGAATATGAGAATAAGAAGAAATCAGGAAAGAAGAAGAATGGTCAGAAAAGAAAAAGAAGCAGCACCAGCTCGATGAAATAAGAAAATCATAATAAGAACAAGCGCAGAAGAAAAATCAAAAGAAGAAGAAGTCAGAACCACCAGAAACAGGAGAAGAAGAAGACATGACGATGACAAAGGGAACCAGAAGGGAAGAGGAGAAGAGAAGAAGGATGAAGACGTAAAAACAACAAAAAGGAAACGCCAACGACAAGAGAAGAACTGGCACGTAAACATAAAATAATTCACATACCATATACTCCTTCCAAAAAGGCAAAACCGCACAAAATTCAGTCGATCTTGGTTTTATAAAATTGTACTAAATTCTCATATTTTTTTCAAACTTCTTTTCTAATTTTTATAAACTATACCTCTAACCTTTTAGCTATTCTTATTCTTATTTAACGGTGAGTTTGAGCTTTTTTATTTATAGAAATGCCCATATTTCGGATATTGAAGTGAATCATGAAGTATTTGTTATTATAGTTTGTAAAGAGAAAGGAATGATAATAATAATATGAGTTTTTGTTCAAAAATAATGAAAATTCTGAACAAAATAAATAATAATAATAATCATAGTAATAATAATTCTAAAAGTTTCATCAAAGGTGATGATTTGATGTATAAGGTGACTTGGTTAGGTTAAAGAAATTTATAATTGACATTTTAAAAAAATACATATCCATAGAAACTGAGTGATGTGAATTCTGTTGTCCGTTATGGAATGAAATTCTCTGTCGTCGCGTCTACCTATCAAAGCTGATGATTGGATGTATAAGGTGACTTGGTTAGGTTAAAGAAACTTATAATTGACATTTAAAAAAAATACATGCCTATAGAAAATGGTTGATGTGAAATCCTTTGTCGAATGAATGTGTGTTCACAAATTTCTTGAAGGTTTATTTATATTCTACACTCTCCGTTCTATACCTAGATATTCATTTATTTTTGCACGTAATTTTAGAAATATTAGTATTATATTGGGATGTAGTAGGAATAAAGTAAAAATTATTAAAATAACTTTATTAGTATGTGTGATATAAAAGTAATGGATTTATGTAATATATTGTAAATTGTAAGAATATTTGTAATGTTAAGTATATATTACAGTTACTAAAAAAAAGGAAATTGATACTTTGTTACGGGACAGACTAAAATAAAAAAATAGATATTTTGTTATAGAACGGATGAAGTATTAAATACCAATGCATGAACAATAATGGTAGCCAAAGGCGGAATTGTATCCACCATTTTCACCGATTGTAAAACGATCTGCTACCCAATTTTAAAAAAAAAAGATGTAACCCAGATGACGTTATGAAGAAAAGTTATACATGTAGACAAAAAGTGTATGAAAATAGTACGTTGAACTAGAGAAGAATGATAATTTGCAAGTTTTGTGGTTTCTTGGTTATAGGTTTAAGGGGTGTCAAAGAGAAATGCTCGTTTATATGAATCAAATTCTATAATCACAACCATGGAAGTTACTAGTTATCTTAAGAGCTTAAATATGGTGAACACAAAAAATGCCAAAAGTAAAAGTTCTAACAAAGAAATTAATAGTACATAATTCTGTGTAATATTGGCCGCTTTATATGCCAATTTTTTTGTTAATAATATATTTTTTTCATGAAATAAGTGAGAAAAAATATTTTACCTTGAGCACAAGTACTGTAAAAAAGCAATATACAAACTATTTGGGGCCAACACAAACATTGAGTTACAGTAGAATATAAAGTGCAACACAAAAATCAAAGGGATCCACCATAACTAGAGTAAAGTTAAACAATAACTTTTGTCCATGTTTGTGAATATACAAAAGTATACTTCTAAACATGATATTTCCATTTTCGAATGTGCCACACATAGTTGAACCAAATATTTAATTTAGAATTAAATCCACTTAAAGACTAAGATAAAATATGTCATGTCACTATAATTTAAAATAAAGTATAATCTTCATCATCCACAAAATAAATGTCATGTTATGTTATTAGTGAAATAATATAGCAATATTGTCGAACTCCATTAACCATATACATATACATATATATATATAAATATATATTTGTCCAAGTGAGCATTCAAATAACTTCAGCCCCACAATAATGATTCACTAGACCATCATCAATAAATAGTCAAAAATCTTCGGTTCAAAAGGACTTGATAAACCTATAAAAATATAAGAGTCATCCAATTACTTCTATATACCCATCATACGACCCTCATAATCAATACATCAATAGCCGACGTTGTCATCATTAACCACAAGACGCTCTATTGTATATGATAGCAAAGATAGGATCCTCATATCTAGTCTTACCCCGTGTAATGTATTAGAATACATGCAACCTAAAATAACCTAGGAATATCTGGAAACTCTACTTCTCCTCACACCCGTAATAGGATCACATTTGAATTTTGACATATAATCCTAAACTACTGGTAGACCTCACTAGTAGCTACTTAAATGGATGAAACAACACCTAATACAAATGACCGAGTACGTCTCAACTACAATTGGTCTAATCCCTAAATGGTCATACAACTAAGTCATCTAGTTGTCCGACTACTATCGTCCAATATCGCAAAAGTATTACGGTACATCGGTATTAAATATTCTAACCCCACATGATGTCCTCACATAGCACTACCGCACATAAGGACTAAACTATAGATCCATAAAATATATCTGATAAACCATGTAATTTGTGTGTAGTATGTAAATGAGTGAATATCGAAAAAGACCGGTGAGATAACACACCTATTCTCTTTTTTCATAAATTTACCAAAACTAACAAACAGAAGCGGAACTAGATCGGGATGAGAGGAGGGGCTAATTTTTCAAATTTTGAAATGAACATAATCGTTATCCAATAATTCAATGGAGTTATCATATTTTAAAAATCTTACAAAATATCAATCTACAGTAACAACTATATATTACAAGATTAATTTTGTATTATATGAAATTGATAAATAGTAAAAGAATTTAATAAAAAAAAATGGCTCTTAAAAATATCATCTCCTATGCATTTGGCTTTTTTTTAAGGTATTTATTATTATTATTTTTCATATTTATTTCTATAGCATCGAACAATTATTATGAAACAATTTTTTTTATTATTTAAAATTAAATACTCATAATTTTTTTAGCAATTTTTTAATTTTTTTTATTGTTTTTCATATTTTATATATTATAAAATCAAAATCAAAAATAAAAAATCAAAAATAAAAAAGAGTGGGGTAGGGTAGGAAAAGGGGTCTTGCCCCCACGTATATCCGCCCTAGTTAACAAATATATATATATATACATCAAATATCGGAAAGTGTGAAGTCTCACACATGCATTGTATACATATATATGTTAATATATAAATGCAGTGACAAAACTATCAACGTAATATGACAATAACATTAAATTCGCAATCGCATGAACATGTATATCTAATTTTTTGAAATTTGATTTTATCTTACCTCTTTATCGAAACTCTTTGGATTTTGCTTTCTCATACTGACTCGTCCTCAACGTACACTTATCTTATTATTTACTTAAATAAGATGAACAACATGCTTATTCATACGAGCTACCTGTTTAATTAAAAGTTAATTCTTCTAACTAGCTCGAAGGTTCCAAAATTTTTCATTTAGTACAATACGATACCCTAATTATAAAAGTCTTATACCCCATGTTCTTTATATCACTTTATTATTATATAAAAGTTTTTAAGAATATAGAGAAATAGGGATGTGTCGTACACTTCCATTATTTATTCCAATTGAATCGATATTAACTCTTAGAATATAGTGTTAGGGCTACAAACAGAGTATTAGCTGAACAATTACATCAATTAAATAACTACATAACTAATTATGAATCTTCAAAGAATTTTTAATTTAATGCACTAATATCTAATTTTTTTTAAAAAATCATAATTAAACTTTACTTACAACAAGAAATACAATATTAAAGTCAAAAATAAAAATCAGCTAATATTTTTGTCCCTTCATTTCTTCCTTCCCAATTCTCCTCGGTGTTTATTTCCTTCATGTTAGAGTTTGGTTTGTTTCTTTTGTTTTGTTTAGTCAAACGTTCATATATATTCATTCGATTAGAATATTTTGAGGATATTTACGATGAAAGAGAAGGTGGAATAATGCTTTTGTGGGGGCATGACTTCATTTTTATTTTTTTTACAAATTGTAGAGCCAAAATTTATAAAAATCTAACGTTGGAGTTTCTGTTAACTCTCTCACATGATTTGGTGCACTGTGATTACGAAAAATTAAAATCTTTGATGTTTCACCTCCAATAAATGATGTTTTTAATATTACTGGTTGATTTTTCAATAATAATGAGTTTATACGACCGAGAATTCGTATATTTGAATGATTTTCAAGAGTTGCCTATTGCGATGCCTACCACTACTATACTATATTGCCCCGCGATTAGCACAGAGCCACGGTACAATTTTATATGTTCCAAGGCGTCGAATTTTTTATATGTGCTATGGTACATACACGATATCCACATGCACTATTTTTTAGGCAAACAATTCTACGCTCTTTGATTATATATGATAATATGATTATATTCTATTAAAGCCAGATGTCGCATCATGTCATATCAGTTACAATTATTAATTTTGTCGTTATTTGCATTGAGACTACAATTCATGAGTTCTTTTATAATGAAATTAAAAATTAATTAATTCTGAAATTAAGGGTTGTATTTATTTAAAATTTTATTAGTTATTGATTCAAATGGATTTTTATATATTTGATTAGATTGTTTATAAATTTATATGAATTTATAAGATTTTTAAATATTTTTATTGATTTAAGTAAATTTTATAAAATACATTTTTAAATAAAAACAAAATTACATTAATTTTAAAAATAATATTATTATTCATTATTTTCATTTTATTCTTTCTCATCTTCATTTTTATGACTATTGTACCTTAACTTGGGTTCATTTTCAAGTAACATTTGGAATACTATTCTTTATGTATTATAATACTACTCATTTTATTTATTAATATATTATTTCTTTCATCTCTAAATTATAGTTTTGGTTGTGTTGAACATGAGATTTAAGGAATATTGATATTATATTGATAGTGGGTAAAAAATATAGACAAAAGATATTTGTGAGTGTATTAGTGTAAAAGATTGTGACAATTATGTAATAATAATGAAAGAATAAGGTAGTTATACAGTGATATGATTATTTATGGAAATAAGACTAAAAAAATAGTAAACAAAACTATTGTATTGAGACGAAGAGAGTAATATTTTTATTTTTTATTATATTATCATTTAATATATTATCTCCCTCCCACAGATTTAAAAAATATTAATATTATATTAGTAGTTAGTAAAAAATAAGGATAAATAACTTTTTTTGCCTAATAATAATAAAAAAAAATAGGGATGGTTTTATACTGATATGGTTATTTATGAAAATAAGACTATTGTTTTGGGACGAAAACAAACGGTAAAGAAGACTATTGTATTGGTACAAAGGAAGTATTAATTTATTTTTAATTATATTAAATGTATATATTATTAAGAGGGCTGATAAAAATAGATACAATCCAAAAATTCAATCCGAGCAAGCAAAAAAACTACGTTTGAATCTAAAAGAATAAGCCAAAATAATCAGTTCGTGTCCGACCCAATTTTAAATTAAATATAATTTTTAAAATATATTAACATATGAACTTATGTTAAAAAAAAATACAAAATTTCATAACATATAATATTTGTATAAATATCAAATAAAATTCATAAACTTTTAATGATTATGAATTGTTCTAGATTTAAAAAAAAAAAATTAAAATGTGAATTAAATACATCTAAATTTTAAAAATTCAGCAAAAAATTTAAATAAAAAATTCTATAACATCGTGATTGAATAAACTATGTCAATTTTTTTTTTTTTTTCTTTTACCCTTGTAACTTACCAAAACAACTATCAATAAAGTTTTAATTTTTTTCCCTTATAAATAACCGAAACAACCATCCACCCTTGTGGGGTTGAACGGTGTACTGACGGGATGGAACGAATCCAACCAAGTATTATCGTCCCTCCACGTGGGGTTGGGGATAAGCTTAGGCATTAGTGTGAGTGTCGTCTTGATGCTGATGAGCACAAGGTCGCCTCCAATTACCAGCCCCAACCACGGAACGTTCTCTTTCCGCCGATGATGGCCTGTTACTCTGGTTCCGCCGCAACCCCTTTTCCCGCTTTCAGTGCACTCAAGTTCAAGCCACCATCCCCTCTCCTATCATCTCTCACCCCCTACACGATCCCCCCCAACTATGGCGGGATCCAGAAGATGATTCGGTGTTCCATTGCCGAGGGTCCGGCCTCAGTCTCCGCTACTTCAGGAACCGACAATGAGCAATCGATGCTGGACTGCGTCATCGTCGGAGCAGGCATCAGCGGTCTCTGCGTCGCCCAGGCACTTGGCACAAAGCACTGTTGCTCCAATGTGATGGTGACAGAGGCCAGAGAGCGCGTGGGCGGAAACATCACCACCGAGGAAAGGGATGGCTATCTATGGGAAGAAGGCCCCAACAGCTTCCAGCCCTCCGACCCCATTCTCACCACGATTGTGCGTTTCGATTGCTTTTTCAAATTTTCTCGTTTGGTTTAGCTGTTAGTTAAGAACAGAAATTGTGAAATTGAGTGGGCAGGTGGACTGTGGCTTGAAGGATGAATTAGTGCTGGGAGACCCCAATGCGCCGCGTTTTGTGTTGTGGAACGGCAAGCTGAGGCCAGTACCTTCCAAGCCTACCGATTTGCCCTTCTTTGATCTCATGAGCTTTCCTGGGAAACTCAGAGCTGGCTTTGGTGCAATTGGTCTTCGCCCAACCCCTCCAGTTTGTGTCCCCTTCTATACTTTTCCTTCACAAGATCTAATTGGTTTCTTCTAATTCCCCGAATTTTTTGTCAAAGGTAACAGGGTCACGAGGAGTCAGTTGAAGAGTTTGTCAGGCGTAACCTTGGCGCTGAAGTTTTTGAGCGCTTGATTGAGCCATTTTGCTCTGGTACACTCATCCGCTTGTATATTTTTACCATAGTAGCTTCTGGATGGATGCTTGAATGTTCTCTGAGATTAGATGATGGGATACATTATTGCGTTGGTACAATTCGATAATGCACTCAAAATATCAGTACTAAAGACATACAACAGTTGTTAACCAGTTCGGGTCAAATGCCCTATGTTTGGGAGACAACAAGCCTTACTCCATCAATAGAAAACAATTTTCAGAGTACAAAGGATAGTACGGCATATAAGAAAGCAACCTTCAATGTTGTCATTTTTGTTCTCTTTTCACAGATTGTTACTTCTCATCTCTACAGTCAATCCCCGTCTCATCCTGATGCATTCGCATATACATCTATTTGGTCAACACATTTCTGCATCATCACACTATAATCTTTGTTGATCTCTATTAAGGGCAGGTCTTGTGCATTCAATGCCTATCTTTCATTTGTGTGCATCTTTGTGTTGTAAATATGCTTATCCAATCTTTCCATCACTTACAAGCAATTCAATTTATTCGGGTGATCGCATATTCTTCTCCAATTTATGCTGAGAGCACCCAAATATTTGTTACTACCTTCAAAAAGTAAATGGCATATATTATGTTGCTCAAGCTGTGGTTTCAACTTTTCTTCAGGGTGTTCCTAATCTTGTTATAACTTAGTGGGAATCTGAATTTGTTTATTATTTTTGCTCTTCCTTTCCCACCCACACTTCTTTTCATCTCCAAATGTAGACTTAAATTGAGATGATATTGAATGGCCGGATGATAACTTTGCTCAATAGGCACACCCTTTGCACTCCACCTTAAAAAACCAAGTGGCTGAAGCCTAAATAGTAAAGTATAGCTACAGGGATGATAAAACAAGTCCAATTGAATATCCTTTTGCGCATATTATTGAAATTGTTGCCAAGAACCAATGCCCTAGCTTCAGTTGAGAACTCCTGTAGTATCAATATGAACATCCTGCAGTTTTTGCATCAAGTAAAGCATTACGTTTCATTTGTTTTCTCATACAGGAGTTTATGCTGGGGATCCATCAAAACTGAGCATGAAAGCAGCATTTGGGAAAGTATGGAGACTAGAGCAAAATGGTGGTAGCATTATGGGTGGAACTTTTAAAGCAATCCAAGAGGGATCTACCAGGGCTAAGGCCCCTCGAGATCCGTAATTATTATTATTATTATTATTATTATTATTATTATTATATGGTTATACCTTCGCTGCTCATGTGCCTTATCCTGTTATTTGTGCATCAATATTCTGATATTGGTTGAGTACTTGTGCAGGCGCTTGCCCAAGCCAAAAGGCCAAACAGTTGGATCATTCAGAAAGGGCCTTGCAATGTTGCCTAATGCTATTGCCTTAAGGTGTCTCTCACTTCATTTGTTCATTACAGAAAAATGCACGAGGAACTCTTGCAAGTTCTGCAACAGTATTGGTTTTCCTTGTTTTTCATTTAGCTCAAAATTTAAAAGAAAAAGGTGAATAGAAGAGAAAGAGAACAAGAAACATAAAAGTACAAAAATCTTGTATTAAAGAGATCTTACGTACATTGACTTGAATATTCCATGCAAGAATAAGTTTAGGCACTTCAGAATAATTCATATTTCTGTCTAATTAACATCTACCAATACGCCAGCAAATCCTGTGTGATTGGGTTAATACCTTAATATTTTTGTGACTCTTGTGCTTATGGGTGTCTCATATTCTAGATTGGGAAACAGAGTCAAGTTGTCATGGAGACTGACGGCTATTAGTAGATTGGACAACAGAGGATATTCTTTAACTTATGAAACCCCGAATGGAGTGATTATTCTGCAGAGTAGAAGTGTTGTTATGACTGTTCCATCATATGTAGCAAGTACAATATTACGCCCAATTTCGGTATGTTTTCTTCATATTTACTCTTGACTTCTTTTTGGAAATGATATCATTGGACCACAAACGTGCACAGAGTGTGAGAGTGTATCATTTACAAGTTTGCTGCTATGAATCAATTGAATAATCTAGAACACTAAATATACAAGAAATATCATGTAGTGTGTTCTTCAGTATTTATGTGGCCAGTTTACTTGCACCAAAAAAATGTTTACATTCTATTAACGAGTCGTTGTTGAGCAAATGGAAAAAAAAGGGAAAAGAAGAAGAAGAAGAGGAGAAACCTGCACATTGCCTTTGTTAAGTAAGCTTGGACAATTTGTTTGCTTTCCAGGTGTTATAGTATTAAATTCAATCTGTAAGACATTGGTTTCTGTGAATGTTATGCTCTGCATTTTATGTTTTTTGTTTTTGTTTCCCTTCTATGCTCTCTCTCTCTCTCTCTTTTGAGTACATGCAACACCTATGAGATAATTCGTATATATCCTCCTAGAATCAAGTTGTGTATACAATCATTTGGTTTTCTGATTGGGTTATGTATCCTGTGCACTTTCTCAGGCAGTTGCAGCAGATGCATTGTTAAAATTTTATTATCCACCTGTTGCTGCAGTCACCTTATCCTATCCTAAAGAAGCACTTCGGAAAGAATGCCTAATTGATGATGAACTGAAGGGATTTGGGCAATTGCATCCGCGGTCCCAAGGGGTGGAAACTTTGGGTACTTGTAATGATAATCTTGTTATCTAGGATTATGAATGACGGTTACTCATAAGGATTAGCGGATGAGGTCTATGAACTGTATGTTACTATGTATAGATAAAAAGTTGACAAAATTACAGATATCAGAAGTATGTGGTTGACTGGAACAAAAAAAACAAAGAAAACTCTCAATACTGCGAAAGTAATGCCTATATTTATTTATTTTTACCCCGCAGGAACTATATACAGCTCATCACTTTTTCCCAACCGAGCCCCACCTGGAAGGATTCTCCTTTTGAACTATATTGGGGGAGCAACTAATACTGGAATTATCTCAAAGGTAAACTGATTTTCTAACTACAACAAATCTTTATGGTTCGGTTGCAATTGGCGAGTTTGTTGAACACTGCATTTGAGTAGTAACAAATCCGCTGTGCCCATTTTGATATGCCACTTGCTCGTGTCATAATACCTTTTATGTTTCAAAAAACCTGCTTCTCCTGATAACATATGTATGTCTATTTCACTCTAGATTTTGTTGTTGACATGACAAATGTCATTCCTATAGCTCCATTTCCAACACTAAGTTTGGGATTGTGGTTTTGGTCTGTTGGTATGTCCAATCCATGTTCATAATCGTTCATTCCTCCCCGATCTGATGATGCTTTGTGTTCGGTCAGGGTGAGAGCCAGCTTGTGGAATCTGTTGACTGTGACCTGAGGAAAATGCTCATAAATTCTAGTGCGCCGGATCCACTAGTCCTGGGAGTGCGGGTGTGGCCACAAGCTATTCCACAGTTTATGATTGGGCACCTGGATGTGCTGGACAGTGCCCGAGCTGCCCTGAGCAATGGAGGGTTTGAAGGTCTGTTCCTTGGAGGTAACTATGCATCAGGTGTTGCCTTGGGCAGATGTGTGGAGGGTGCATATGAAGTTGCAGCGGAGGTAACGAATTATTTGTCACAATGTGCACGGATCTAGAAGTTGCTTAGTCGGTCAGGATTCAGGAAGCAGTAGCAGCAGGGTGTGTGGAATTTTTGTAGTAGTGTAGAGAAGGCAGGCAGCTGTGGCTGTGCCTCCCAGTCTCTGAACGCACCCTACCCCCCTACCCTTTGTGAGGGCTGGCATGAATGTTTGAAGCATCGTCTAACCTTCTTATTTCATCAAATTCAATTCATCCATGGGAGCGGATGCTGCCTCTCCGTTCCCTTCTTTCTTTCTTTATTTATCTATCCCATCCCTCCTCCAATGATTATAATAATAAGAACTTTAAGTTTAGGAGAGGACTTCATGAGCTGATGATGGATGAGTCGCCGTAAAAATTTGCCTAAGAAGAGAGAGTGAAGAGGGGAGGGCAGGTATAATTAATTGTGAGAGGGCGGCGAATATTCATTTCAACTAATAAAAAGGCTCTACCGGGCGAATGGGCTCAAGAAAAATAAAATAAAATAAAATGAATAAAAACGCGACTAGGGTGCGGCCCAACTCACCAAAACTTCACTTGCTTTAATTTCAAATTCAAAAAGAGAGCACGGGGAGGGAGCATGTGAATGTGAAGGGGATGTCGAGTGCCGACCGTTGAGCTGTGTTGTTTTGCGTTGCGGTGATTTCAACTTTGAGTTTTGGCAGGCAAATTGGCAGAAGCACTGGCACCACCACCACCACTCTCTCCCTCCCTCTCTCTGCCGCTGCTGAGTGCTGCAGCCATTCTCGGAAACAATTGAAAGTGGGCGAGTGTTGAGACAATCCTCTCCTTTCCAGTCCATGTCAATCCCGTCGTCGACTCCCCGTCGACATGGCTGGCAACGCCCTCTCCATTCTCTACAGGTTTTCTTCCGTTCTACTGCCCCTTTGATCTTTGATAGCTGTTGCTTCTTTTTTTTTCCTTCATTTATTTACTTATTTTTAAATCGTTATAGAGAAGATGGTATTTCGTTGAGATGCATATCTAGGTATTTTTATGGGGTTCGTTCTAAAACGCTTCGCAGATCGTTGGAATTTCGGTCTACTGCTTTCTTGTTGCTGCTTTCTATTGTTTTCTTGGGCTTTTCCTTGGCAACAGAATCGCGGAGATCAGTGTGAACAGTATTTTCTCCTTTTCGGTAAATCAATCCCATTATTGCAGTTACTTTTACTTACTTGCATCATAATTTTCTTTTCTTTTGTCGAAAATGACAAAAAAAACTCTGTAACCTATCTGTTTGTCGTCTCCTCATTTGGTATTTTGCAGGCACTTTCTGTTGCTCTTCTGTTTATTAGGTGCGCGGCCACTGATCCTGGCGACAAGAGTAGATTTAGATTTAGGAAGAAGAAAAAAAAGGGTAATGCTGTTGGGCATTCAAAACTGAACTATGGATATGTCTTCTCCCGGATTTTGTTGAGATTCTTCAAAAGGATGGAGCGCAAGATCTTAAGGACCTGCATAAGAAGGAAATACCTCGATCCTTGGAATTCTATAGTTCAAATGGAGCCTCTTATTCCATTTCCACTAGTCGTGGAGGATGATTCGTTTACCCCGAGCCCAAAAGACAATGATGTCTCATTTTGTGCGCTCTGTGATTTTGAGGTCTAAAGACATTTTGTATTATTATTATTATTAAATTACCATAGAAGCTATTTCATTATAATTCCACCACAGGTTAACAGGTACAGCAAACACTGCAGGACTTGCAATCGATGTGTTGAGGGCTTCGACCACCACTGTAGAGTATGAGACAAACCTGCTAGTTTCTGCAATGCCGGAGATTGGCATTCGCTTTGTGTGCCCTCTGCTATTACCGTTCTAACTTTCTGCACTCTTGACTTTTATTTGATTCAGTGGTTGAACAATTGTGTTGGGAAAAAGAATTACACTACCTTCATTCTTTTGATGGTTATAGTCTTGATAATGGTTGGTGGATTCTGCAACAATTACTATAAATTTCCCCCCACGTTCAGTTGGTTTATGTCAAGTGCTAATGGTTGCAGCTTATTGTGGAAGGAGGAACTGGGATAGCAGTATTTGCGAGGTGCTTTGCTGATCGTGAAGGCATAGAAAAAGAGTTAAACCAAAGACATTATGGAAGTTTTCCCAGAGGAGCCCTTGCTGCTTTTTCTGTGCGCAATAGCATTCATTCTGATTAAATATTTTCAAATTATTTTTTAAGCCAAGAAGCATTAACAGTCATGTTGTTTCTTATAAACAGGTTATATTGGTTATGGTGACAATCTATAGTGCAGCTGCATTGGGGCAGCTTCTTTTCTTTCATGTACTTCTAATCAGAAAGGTAAGACTTGAATTTGTTTTTTCGTTTTCCTTTAGGAGAGAGAGAGCTAGTTCCAAGGTCGCTGAGAATATATTCTACATCTCTACAGGGAATCACAACCTACGATTATATTTTAGCAATGAAAGAAGCAAACCAGTCTATGGAAATGGAATCATTTGAAGATTCGGACTTTACTTCTGATGATGATGACGATGACGATGAAAATGAGGTGGCGCCCAACTCAGTTTTTTCACCTGAACAGCCTGCATTCATATCTCGGATTATATGCAAGCAAGGCAAGATTCAACAGGTACACAAAATGATAAGAGGAAGGGTGTATTTATTTTTTCATTTGCTCGGTTGAAGAGATGCAAAATATAATCCTTGCAAAGGAAAAGTAGATAACCTACCTGATTTCGAGTTTCAGAATCCACAAAAATTGTCGATAATGATTGATCGAGAACCCAACTCATCAAATAACAAAAAGGAAGGCTTCCGTGCAAGCATTGACCCCTGGAAACTAATTAAGTTGACTCGTGAGAAAGCTCTTGTTGCTAGAGAAAAGCGGGCAGAAAGTGATGATCCATTGAAGCCCCTACAGCGGGAAATAAGAAGCGGTCCTCTTGCGATGAAACCAGATAGTAATGAAGGTGCTGCCAATGCCCTAAGTTTAACACCCCCTTTCATTTCCACGGGGGGGAGACTTTTAAACCCACCATTACTGTTTTCAAGTCCAAGGAGACGACTTTCGTCTTCCCCAACATTGTTACGGGCACTGCAGCAGCAGCGGCGGCATGCCAGTGGTGTGCCATTATCAAAGCATGAGTATAGAAGTGATTTAGACTTGAAGTTAGCTGGAGAGCTAGAGACAACTTTCTTATCATCCTCCTCCTCCGGACAAGAAGTGGCCAGTAATTATAATGATAAAAATCACACTACTACTAATGGTGGTTGCAGTGGTAGTGAGGCCGCGGCTTCTCCAAGGTAACACACTTTCTCCGTCTGGCCTGGCATCCGAGAGTTTCAACTACTTTTTTGTTTTCAAGTAACTATTTATTAATAGTGTTGTTGTGACGAGGGGTGTTGGTGAAAGGAAGATTGATTGATTTCATGTACTTACTCTTTATCTTGTAAGACACATACACACAGATTTAAGATGATGATGATTAATGGTGCCTTTGTGTTGAACCAACCCAGGCAGTAAAGTTTCATCACCTGCATTTGTTCATCCGTTTTTGTCAATTTGCCATGCATGATCACTCTCAAGTCATGTTCGGATTAGAAAGAGGTTTTTGAAATTTTTTAAAATTTTGAAAGTTTTTGAAAAATTATAAAAAGTTAGTATTTGATTTAATATTTTGTGAGAACAAATATACATTTGATTTTATATTTTTCTAAAAAATGAATAGAGGGATAAAGTAAGAATTAGTTATGTAAACATAAATAAACCTTAGCTTTGGGTTTGCTTAGCTTAGCTCAGCTCTTTGACAATAGCAGAAGCTGGAGTAATGAAAGGAAAACTGAAATGGTCCTCTCTTTTATTTTATAATATATTACTATTTTTTCTCATAAAAAGAGTAATATATGTATATATATATTTTTATGTTCGATTGACATGAGTTAAATTTCTATGACACATAAGACCTAAAGATTCATTTACGTTACAAGTATAAAATTTAAATTCATGACCTCACGTCACTACTTATTGGACCAGATGGTGCAATTTATTTTTATATTTTCTTTTTTATTTGTTATTATTTTGAATCCTATCCATCTTTCAATTTTGAGGGGTTGGATTTAAAATCTCCCATTCAATCTTATTTTCTACTTTAAACATGGAATAATGGACAATATTATTTTAGGATGTGTTTGTTCGAGGGTTTGAATTTTAGATTTGGATTTTTAAAGATTTTGGAGTAAGAATTTTTAAATTGTGATTGTTTGAGGATTTGAATTTTGTAATAATTATATTTGAAGAAATTATTATTTTATTGAAAGAATTGATATAGTGATGTGATAAGTTGAATTAATTGATTTTTAAATATTATAAAAAAAATTATGTATAAAAGTTAAAAAGTAAAATTTGATTTGATTTATGAATATAAATAAATATTAAATTTTTGAAAAAAAAAACATATATATTAATATTGTTAAGCACAAAAAATAATAATAATAAATAATGGCAGTGGGATTCTGGACGGGTCTGGATATAAGTTAAATGACCCAGAAGTAGGGTGCAATCGGACAGATGCAAGGATCGGGAAGGAAAAAAGGTCGGGCGGAGTCTGAAAAAAGGTGTACCCAAGTCGGGTAAACCGTAGATCGGGTGAAAGACGAAGTCGGGCAGACGCGAAGATTTGTCAAGAGAAAGGTCGGGCAAGGAAGAGGTACGGACAGATGCGGAAGTCTGTCCAGAGGACAGTCTGTCCTTCTAAAGAGATAAGGCAAATAGAGCCGGTCGGTTGGTCCGTGGTCGGGACCACATTTGGTTGGTCCATGGTCGGACCAATTAAAGTCGGTCAAAGACGGGGGGCGGCTGATGCGGAGGTCGGCCCAAATGATGTCGGGCGAAGAAGCAGGTCGGGCATTGAGGTCAGGACGTGATACGAAGTTCGGACCAAGTGAAGTAGCATGTGCAGGTCGGGTGAGAGAGCAGTTCTGGGGCGGTTAGAGGAAGTTGCAACTGGCGAACGGTTTTTTGAAGGTCCGACGTAGTAGAACGGTTGACACACGTGTCAATAGAAGAGAACTTTTGGAGCGGTTAACAACGGTTATGTAACTGACCAGACGACGGTTCTGAACGTTTTCTTCAAAGAATATTTAAGGATTTGGATCATCATTTGGCAAGGCATCTTCAATCAACTTCAACAAAGCAAAGTCAGATTTGGGGATCACCACTTTAAATTTCAGTCTTTTATTTTCCAGTTCCAGTTTATTTTCTGTACCATACAGTGTTTAGAGATTCCTAATCTCAGGCACTAATTAGTTTAAGGATATTTTCTATATCTTTGAATTTTACTTTATTTTTGTTGAAAAATTACATCAACAAATATGAATTAGGTTATAACTTTTATTGTTATTTTTTAAAATTTGGGGTCATAATTTTTTTAAAAGCCGAGCATTAATGGAGGTTTTAGTCTAGAGCGAGGACAAAAGGGTTAAACTAAACGATGGAGAACTTAATTGTTGTTGATTGAGTTGCTGATCGGACGATGATATCCGAAACCTGTGCAGGTCATTCCAACAACTAGTCTGTTCAAACAACCCGTCTGAGCTGCACCGACCGCAACAGGTCTCGACATGCTTCCACCGGAAATTATTTAACCCCTCACCCAACAATCACTCCTGGAAAAATATACCTTTGCGTAGTTTCCGACTCCTCCCCGTTTGCCGCCAGTCACCGATCCGCATCGTAATCGAGAAGAAGAACAATACCCAAACCACGAGGTAGCGTGTTTTCCTCTGACAAAATTTTTAATCTTCCTAACATGTCCCGACAAACACAAGGTGGTTTTTCAAAATACAAGGGATATAGGGGTAGACTCTAGGGATTTATAAAATCAAATCAAACATTAAATGTATAGTAAAGTGTTTTTGTAATTTTGTTATTTTTTCATTGTATTGTGTAATTTTTTATTTTTTGAAAAAAACTATATAATTTTATTTTTTGAAATTTTATTTTTTTAAAATGCAAGATGTAATTCTATTTTTTAAAAAAATGATAGTATAATTTAATTTTTTAGAAAGAGATGTTTAAAGTAATAAAAGTTAAATTTTAATATAATTTATATATGTGAAAAATTTAAATAAATACTCATATATTTTTAGAATAAAAATTTAAATTTATAATTAAATTAAAATTATTGTATATCTAACACTTTATATATATATATATTAACAAATCTACAATTATGAAAAATAAAAATAAAAATAAACTGCTTGATTGCGATAATAATAATAATAATAATTGTTTATTTGATAATTTATCTCATAGATTGAAATTAAATTAAGGTATATTCTTTATTCAATTTTTTAAAATTTTTTTACTGAACTTTGCGTTTTAAACAAAAGATAATAAAAATACATTTTTTTCACAAAATAACTCTTCAAATATTATTTTAATATAAAAAAACTTAACCAAAAAAAAAAAAACCCAACCTAAATCAATTTAGGCAGCAGTGTAGTGTGCCGGGTCCCGTGCTGGTGCTGAGGCTGGGGCGGAGAGCGTTGTGTAGATAATCAATCAAGCAAGCAAACAATCATCTATCAATTCAGTTCTTAACCGAGGCTTCGAGCGAGAATTCCAAACCCCACCCCCCGAACCCTAATCATCGTCATCTCTCCCCGCCGATGCCGATGGACCCTCCCGCCGTCCCCCAAGACCAAGAAGACCCCCGCGCTGCCACCAACGGCGACAATTTGACCACCCGCCTCTCCAAGAAGCCCAAACTCTCCTCCATCACCGAATCCCAAATCCGGGAGGAGTTTGCCCACCACCAACCCGGCGTCGCCAGAATCAACAACGGCAGCTTTGGCAGCTGCCCCGCTTCCATCATTGCTGCCCAGAAGAGCTGGCAACTCCGCTTCCTCAGCCAGCCCGACGATTTCTTCTTCAATCACCTCCAGCCTCAAATTGCCCATTCTCGCTCCATCATCAAGGATCTCATTAATGCCGACCATGTGGACGAGGTTTCCATCGTGGACAACGCTACCACCGCCGCCGCCATAGTTCTTCAGCACGTTGGCTGGGCCTTCGCCGAAGGCCGCTTCCAGAAGGGGGATGCTGTCGTCATGCTCCACTGTGCTTTTCAGGCTGTTAAGAAATCCATCGAAGCCTATGTTACTCGCGCTGGGGGCTCTGTTATCGTTGTTCACTTGCCCTTTCCCGTGAATTCGAATGAAGATATAATAGCTGAGTTCCGGAAAGGCCTGGCCCGAGGTAAGGCCAATGGTAAGAAAGTAAGGTTGGCCATAATTGATCACATTACATCGATGCCCTGTGTTGTTATTCCTGCCCCGGAACTGGTAAGGATTTGTCGGGAGGAAGGCGTGGAGCGTGTATTTGTGGACGCTGCCCATGCTATTGGTAGCGTTCGTGTTGATGTCAAGGAAATCGGAGCTGACTTTTATGTTAGCAATCTGCACAAGTGGTTTTTCTGCCCTCCTTCTGTTGCATTTTTGTATTGTCGAAAATCGCCTCTATCACCGGATTTGCACCACCCTGTGGTTTCACATGAATATGGCAATGGGCTTGCCATAGAGAGCGCATGGATTGGAACACGGGACTACAGTGCTCAGCTGGTAATCCCTAAAGCTTTGGAGTTCATAAATAGATTTGAAGGAGGCCTTGAGGGGATTAGGAATAGGAACCATGACAAAGTTGTGGAAATGGGTAAAATGTTGGCTGACGCATGGGGCACAAGTCTTGGTTCACCCCCAGAGATGTGTCCAAGCATGGCAATGGTTGGCCTGCCTTCAAAATTGGGAGTTTTATCTGATGAAGATGCTTCGTGCTTGAGGTCTCATATGAGAGACCATTTTGGTGTGGAAGTACCAGTACACTGCCAAGTGCCTAGAGATGGGGAAATAGGAGCCACGGATAAGGATGGCTGTGTAACCGGGTATGTCCGAATTTCTCATCAAGTCTACAATACGCTTAATGATTACATTAGGTTAAGAGATGCAATTACTCAACTTCTCCACGATGGAGTGACTTGCAAGATGCTACCGCAAGATTCATGAGCAATGTGATCATGTCATGGACATCCACGGTTGCATGGAACTATGGGTAAGAATTTTTAGCATTGCTATTTTATGAATGTGCAGTGGGTTTTGTGCAAAAGTATTAGAAACATGAAAAGAGTATCTTGTTGGCTTGTACATCTAGGATGACTAGGAAAGGATAAAGGGTCGATTGCCTTTTAAGTCGAAGCATGTTGATGGTCCTTGATGTTTGATGTCAGCTGGTATTTGAGACATTTTCCACTATTTTCTTCCATAGAGAGAGAATTCCTTGCTTAATTATGAGAAGGTTTTATAAATATTCTCAATAGTTGCAAACAAGGGAAGACACCTTTTGCAAATAAAGTTCCTTATATTCAGTCCCAGTCTCTAGCATTCTCTATTTTGGATGCTTGTTTAGATGGCTTTGTATGGACAAATTAGCATACATAAGTGAAGTAATTGGATGCGTAGTCTCAATTTAGCAGCTGCTGGCATGCATAAAATATTATTCTAATCCCGACAAGGACTGTATGCTTAATGAAGTGAATATTTGCACATATGAAAAGATGAAGCAACAAAATTAGAGCCTCGGATGCAAAATGTTTAGTAGGTTTTGGAAGTATTTGAGTTTTGGGTTAGTTTAGCAATAGTAAAAAGTTAATAGAAATAGATGGTTGATGTGATGTAAATATGTGGATTTGATTTTTTGAGTAATATTTCAAATGAAAATTAGGGTTTGCATATGATGATTTTCTAGAGAGAAATTTTGATGAATAGTATTAACACCAATTTGAAAACTATCTAGAAGCAGGATGAAACTGAGCCGCCAATGGGAGCTCTGTCACCCTTGTGCAATTTTGGATATTAATTGGAAATACCATGTTTATCCATTATAAAGGGAACTTGTAAGATATTAAATAATAAATCATTGGCTTTTCAATTTCCAATTCTTGGAGCTTGCGAGCTTCAGATACTGGCAAGGTATGGTTTCTTCGCTCTGTTTGATAACGTGCCAAGCATTAGAACAATCATGCGGCCCCAAGATAATATTATTTATTTTATTTTTTTCCTGTGTTTGCTTCCCCTCCACTTCTACTAGGAAATTTTGTCAAGCTGATGGGTGAGCATCTTTACCGCCATAGCTCGTTGAGAGGAGAAGGGAACATTGCTGTGATGAATAAACTGCATTGGATGGCCCCTTGCATGCCCTACTTTTCCCCCAGGAGTGCTGAATATTGGATGATGGGTCGGAAAACAATAACTCTTATGTACACAGTTGAAGTAAAATTGTTTCCTTGTACTTTCAGAGTTTTTAGGACTAGAGGCTGACATACTCTATTTGTCATGTGGGAGTGGGACCTTGTTTTATATTCGTCTTTGTCCCAATTATGGCATCTAATTTTAACACTTGTTGAGCCTCTGGCCCTTGTACGACCTGACGCTGTTTGAGATAAGCAAAAGCAAAGGGTTATTGTCTTATTGGTGCTGCGTGTGGCTGGAAAGGATGTGTATAAAGTTTAGGTTGGTTTTGGTATTTGCCACTGAACACAGGCAATCTGCGTTATCTTCTCAATTACAAAAGAGAGAGTTGTGTTGGGGTTGGAGCCATGGAAACAACAAATCAAGGAATTTACTGCAAGAGGAGGAACAGAGTTCCAGCTGCCGTCTACTGTATAAAACACAACTATTCTATAATGACTATGATGATACTAACCATAATGTAAATAATATAATAGCATAGCATGTTAGCTCTCTCCCTCACCCTCATTGCCGTGGTCAAGAATGGAGTCCCAGGGGATGGTAGTTTGATTTCAATAAGAGACAGGCTGTAGCAGCAGCAGCAGGAGGCAGTGTGGTGGATGGTTGGTCGTCGGATTGATTAATCAAATCAAATCAAGAAGAAGAGGTGGCGGGGACAGCAGCGGCGGCAGCCGTGGAGTGCAGTGCAACGAGGGAAGCGTAGAAACCGTCCTTGACATTGATCAGAGTGTCATGGCTCCCCTTCTCCACCACGACTCCATTCTTGACCACGGCAATGAGGTCTGCCCCCCTGATGGTTGACAGGCGGTGAGCCACCACTACGGTGGTCCTGTTCACCATCACTCTCTCCAGCGCATCCTGCACCACTCTCTCCGACTCTGCATCCAATGCACTCGTTGCTTCATCCAACAGCAGTATCTTTGGTGCTTTCACAATGGCCCGGGCTATTGCGATCCGCTGCTTCTGCCCTCCCGAGAGCTGAACCCCTCGCTCCCCAACCATAGTGTCGTATCCCCGCTGCAAGCCGCTGATGAATTTGTGCGCATTCGCCAGCTCTGCTGCAGCTATGATTTCTGCCTCTGTTGCTTCTTCTCGGCCTTCCTCCTTCCCGTAGGCTATGTTATCTCGGATGGTCTCATTGAACAAGATTGGCTCTTGCCCCACGAGTCCCATCTGCTGCCTCAGCCACTTGAGTTGGAACTTCTGGATGTCGACCCCATCAATTGTAATGGTGCCTTTATCAGGATCGTAGAACCTTTGCAATAGAGAGATCACTGTGGACTTGCCGCTTCCGCTCTCGCCGACTAAGGCCACCGTCTGCAAGCAAATTACACCTACATTATTAATTCAGCACACATGCATGCATGAATTGGATAGAGAGAGAGAGAGAGAGAGAGAGAGAGGGAGGGAGGAAGCATCAAGAAGCAGAGATTGACCACATCAAGGCTGTGCAAATGCAATACATACATACATCCGTACCTTGCCACTGTGGATTCTCAATGACAGGTCCCGGAAAATAGGAACATTGGGCCTGGTGGGATACTTGAAGCTGATGTGCTTCAGCTCAATCTCTCCCCTGAGACTGTCCAAGGTCGTGCCAGATTCATCGCCGGGATCAATATTTGATTTTCGGTCTAGGATGGCAAATACGGAGGCAGCCGCACTCTTGGCCTTGCTTGAATCTGGAGCAAATGTGCTGGATTGAGATATTGCCACCGCAGCCATGGTGAGAGCGAAGAAAACCTGCAGCATGCACCAGGACCATTGGAGCAATCAGTCAATCAATCAAATCATTCACCCATTCAACAAACAACAGTAACGGGAATGGTGATGATGTCTTGGTGCTTGCTTACGCGAAAGACATCTGAAAATGTTATCGTTCCAGCCTCAACAAGCCGGCCTCCTGCATAAAAAGAGCTGGCGTAGGCGAAGAACACAAAGGCTAGCGACAGGCCAAAGCCAAAGCCACTAATCAATCCCTGCCTGATCCCCATCTTCACTGGGCCCTCGCACTTTCTTCTGTAAACCTCTAGTACTTTCTCTTCCGCGCAATAGGAGGCCACTGTTCTTATCGTTCCCACAGCATCATTGGCCACTTGACTTGCTTCTTCATACATGGCCTGCCAACATCAGTTCTTAGCTGCGAGTACTAGTGGTAGTAGTAGTAGTAGTAGTATAACGTAACGTGTTATTGCATACACCACCTTGGCATCATTGCTGAATCCCGTCATGAATTTGATCTGCACGTATCCGTTGAGCGCTATGAGAGGCACGATAGCCAGGACGATGAGCGCCAACTGCCAGCTTGCCACAAAAGCTATAACCAATCCCACCACAGCCGACGCGAGATCCTGAACCAGCTGCGCCAGTGCGTCACCCACCAGAGCCCGTATGGTTGCTGCATCCGCTGAGAGCCTTGCTCCTATCACTCCACTCGAATTTTGGGGCTCATCAAACCACCCGACCTCCATGTTCACCACCCTCTCGAAACACTTCATCCGTATCCTCCGTATCAATCTACAACCAGCCACCCCAAAGAAGTACGTCCTGAGCGGATATGCCACCAGCGACACTACTCCAAGCACCACGAACATCAACGCCCAAAACCTGGAGTCCTCCTTCAACTTCTGAGGGGGCTCATAGAATGTTTTGATGACAAAAGACAGGAGTATGCCAAAAAATGGAACTATTGCCCCGTTTAGGATTGCGGACAGAGCTCCTACTACTAAGAATGGCGCCTCGGGCTTGTTGAGAGCGGCGAGCCGGCTAAGTGGAACTTTCGGGTGCTTACTGAGCCCATCCCCATCCCCATCATGTTCCAACTCTTCATATTCTTCTGTTCTCGCGATGCTAAGACCCCTGGAAAGGTCAAAATTGATAGATAGAGAACGCCGGCTTCCACTTCTTACTCTAGACCTAGAGGAGGATCTGTGGCTCATTATGCGGAGAAGCGACAGTGATGGTCTTTGGCTTGCCTGCCTATTGTAATCAATGCTGCCGTAAGTGGATCCCTCCAAATCATCCGCTGCTTCTTCATCTGCATCTTCATCTTTACGAGATTCTTGCAGTTTGATCAGCTGCGAATATGCACCTTCAGGATCCTCCAGCAGTTCAGAATGAGTACCTGCAGAGCAGAGCAGAACAGAACAGAGTGTAAGATAGATAGATAGATAGATAGATAGATAGATAGATACTAGCTAGTTGCAGATTACAGTGATATGTTTTCGCTTCATTTCATCAGTACTCAACAACTGAAACATCTTCAAAAGAAGAGGAGGCGGCAACCCGGTTTTAATTTTGTTGTAGAAGCCAAGCTTTGGCAGAAACTAAGTAACTGTGTTCTGAGAATTGAGGTGCATGCTAGGTGATGCTGCTACAAGTGAATTTGGCAGGCAATTGGGTGCTACAACAAACAATAAAATTGCAAATGGAACAATGCTACACTATACAATACAATACAATACAATACTGGTGATATGCATGCAGGTAATTAAAACAGAGACTGAGAGGGTATGTATGCGTCTACCTTTTTCTACCATCTTTCCTTTGTGAATGACAGCAATCATGTTGGCATTTCTAACTGTGGTCAAACGATGTGCCACTATGACGGTGGTTCTATTAACCATTATCCTGTCGAGGGCCTCTTGAACGATCCTCTCAGATTCTGCATCCAGTGCACTGGTAGCCTCATCCAACAGCAGAATCCGTGGATCTTTCAGAATTGCTCGGGCTATGGCAATTCTCTGTTTCTGTCCCCCAGAAAGCTGAGTCCCATGCTCGCCCACCGTAGTGTCTAAGCCCTAATATAATTAAGCAGCAAAAATATATGCATATGCAATTCAGTGAGAAGAAAAATTAATTTAATTGAATTTGTAGGTAGATATTCATATGATGGGAATTGGAATTGGAATTGGAATTAGAATTGGAATCGGAGAGACTCGACTAGACTAGAGAGTAGAGAGTAGAGATGGATGGAGACATATATATGTCTATATATATATATATATATATATTATAGACAGGAATAGGATGAGGATGGGAGGAACCTGGGGAAGTTTATCAATGAACTTAGCAGCATTGGCCATCTCAGCGGCCGCTCTGATGTCTTGCTCCGTGGCGGCGTCCTTTCCGTAGGCAATGTTTTCCTTGATGGTGCCCATGAACAGCACAGGCTCTTGGCTGACCAGACCGATCTTTGTCCTGATCCACCTGAGTTGGAATTCCTTGAGGTTGATCCCGTCCACCAGGACCTCTCCTGCCTGGGGGTCGTAGAATCTCTCCACCAAACTAATGACGGTGGACTTGCCACTCCCGCTCTGCCCAACCAGTGCAGCGGTGGTGCCCCGAGGAATGCACAGAGAGAATCCGGTGAAGATGGGCTCGGTGGGCCTGGCGGGATAGCTGAAGTGGACATCCCTCAGCTCCACGTCCCCGCATATGTCGCCCAACACCTTCCCCTTGCTGTCCCAAGGGTCGATGTCGGGCTTCCGATTTATGGTCTCGAACATCTTGAAGGCGGCGGCGCGGCCTGCTGCAAAGGCGCTCAGGCATGGGGAGGCTTGTCCCAGAGACCTGTTGAGAATTGAGAATTGAGAATTGAGATAGAGACGATCGAATGGATTGATTGATTGATTGATGACCCATTTGGTGGGGTGGTGGTGGTGGTAGTAACAAAACTAACGATGACTGTTCCAAGTAAGTACAGTAAGCAATCACTCACAGCGAACCGGTGAGGACGGAGACAATGACGGTAAACGTATCCCCCCCGGAGTGGCCCTTCTCCAGAATGAGCTTGCCGCCATACCACACCGCCAGGGCGTAGCTGCAGAACATCATAAACATGACCGACCCAAGGCCCAGGCCGGTGGCCAGCCCCTCCTGCACTGCCGACTTGTAAGCCTTCTCCAGTGACTTGGCATACTTGGACACCGCCCTCTTCTCTCCCGTGAATGACGCCACCTGGCAGCCAGAGGCACTCAGGCAGTCAGGGTGGACTGGGATATAATGGGACTACTATTATGGTAGGGTATGGTATGGATAAACATCTAGATGGTAGATTAATGAAGGACGAATTAATCAGTCTCCTCACAGTTCTGATTGCTCCAATGGTCTGCTCAACGACGACAGCAGCGGTGGCGTAGGCATTTTGGCCGCGGGATGCCATCCTGGAGACGACGTGGGACATGATTCCGCCAGATATCATGAGCGGGGGAAGGGACGAGAGCATGACAAGTGTGAGGAGCCACCCCTTGCTGAAGGCAATCACAAACCCCCCCAGAAATGTGGACATCAACTGCACGAACTTGCCTACCTGCATTTGCCATTTGCCATTTGCCATTTGCATTTGCATATGCAGTTGCACTCAGACACCACCGTCCCAGATATGAATAATTGATATACTGCTTCATTCTTCTATGAAATAAATCAATCAATTAATTACCTTCTCCCCCATGGCATCTTGAATAAGAACTGTGTCCCCTGACATCCTTCCAATCACCTCCCCTGTATGAACTTCCTTATCGAAAAATGAAATATCTTGCTGTAAAATGGTTCTGAGATAGAGGCTCCTGATTCGTGCAGCCTGTCTCTCTCCTGTGATCATCCAACAGGCCACCTCTGCAAATACGGTGATAATATATATTCCATGAATCCCCCCAGGCCGATCGAGCTAGGGCGGTTTATATGAAAGTATTACAGCAATTCAGGTGGGATGGATTGATTGATTGATTGATTTTACTTACGGAGGAAAGCCGCTGCACCACATCCCAAAGCCAGATACACAAACTTTAGAGCTACCTGGAATACACATACAGACACGCATGCAAAAACAGTAGCACATCAGATTAATTAGCGCATAAAGAGAGAAGGAAGTTCAAGTTCAAGGGGAATGGACGAATGAAGATATAATAATTTTAATTTTATATGACATGCATGCATATGCACTTGATTGGAATATCAATCAAAATTGCACACACACACACACATATATATATATATATATACCTTGCTGACAAGGGGGACGACTTCATCTTTTGGTGTAGAACCAAAAGCATCGGCCATATCACCAAAGAGGAATGCCATAAGGGGTGGGTTCAGACCATTGCCGACGGCCCCAAGGGTGCCTAGGAGCATCAAGATTTTGTCCCACCAGTCAGAGAAGACGAAAAGCTTATAGAATGGGACGACAGCATTTGCTGCTCCTTCCTTCTTCTCCTCCTCCTGCTGCTGGGAAGTAGCAGCAGTAATAGTAGTGCCGGCGGCGGCAAAAGCCTCTTCTTCTGCAGGCATGGCCGGCGGGTACCCCTCTCAGCTAGCTCGGTCTCTGCCGCCGGTTATTTATGAATTGAAACAATCAGTGAGTCGTGTGCTCGGCCTGCCCTACTGACTCCTCGTCGGCGGCGGCGTCACAATACATACGTACAACATGCTAGCTGTATCAGCGACGGCAAAGAATGACAACCAGCATACATATAGAGCTAGAGAGTGTGAATTAGCTATATATATATATATATATGTTATGAGTAGTAGTGGAGAGCGAGAGAGAGAGAGAGAGAAAGGTAAGTTTGGTAGATGAGCAATGTGAAGGCAGGCAAGCAAGGAATATACGGGTGATAGATTGAGGAGGCAAGCGAATTCTCAATGTATGAAATCATATATATTAGTAGTTTTGATTAATTATGATATGATAATATATATTAGCACACGTTGTTACGTTCGTTGGAGAGATAGAGCAGGTTGGTAGGTAGGTAGGTAGGTAAATTGTGTGTGCAAGGAAGCTTATCGTCCGTCCGCCCGTCCATCATCATCGGGTCAGGGCTTTATTTTCAACCCCCTTTGAACTTTGAACTTTCTGCACCTCATTCACTGTGTTTATCCGACTTTTCCCACTTCAATTGCACTTTTGTTTTGTTTGGTATATTTTTAACTACTATTATAATAATAATAATAATAATAATCAGTATTGACATACATACATACATTGATGATTCCACAATACATTAAAACAATAAATAAATAAATAAATGTAGAATTAAATAAAGCTGAAACTTTATAACTATGAATAAATAAGGACCATTGATCCAAAGTAAAAAAAAGAATGGTGAATTAATTGGACGACTTTGTAGTGTATAGATGGACTCGTGACCGTGAGGTCATTGGTTCAAACATCATATATAACATGCTCGGAAGTTGACACGCTCGACGCCTAGGCCATACCTCCGTTGAAGTCCAGATCAGCTGTTCCCTGTGCATAATTAATATGTCCGGGATATAGAGAGTTATGCAGAACACGTACATGCACATTAAGACATATGTAATGAATCAACCGACATGGGCTCGCATATATGTGACGAACTATGATCGAGAACTTGGGGTGTAAATGTCAACTCGTGACAATACTCCCCCATTTCAAGTCGGATTTAGAGTTTAGGTCTTGTCTGCTATATATGATTTGCTTAGTGTGACTTATGTCATCGGACCTAGTTTGCAAGCTATTAAGTTGGATTCGAAAAATAGCGATTGCGGGTTCCAATATTATTAATTTAAAAAAAAAAAAACAAAAACAAAACATTGGTGAATTAAGTTTTAAAGTCATGGCCCAAATTTCACGAAGAGTTTTTAAGATCTACTTGGAATGTAGCCCAAAAAAGCTCATTACCATAACCTTCTGATGCCAAATTGAAGGATGTGGGAATGAATAATTTCAACGACTACAAAACTAATGTTATGTAAGAATATTTTTTAACATGTTTTTCATCTTTCAAATTATTTCTAATGCAATACTCCCTCCAAGATATATGCTGGTTTAAGTTGGTGTTACCGTCTAATATTAATTAGGTGCAAAATCGATAGGTGTAACCAACACAGTGCATAAGCCCTTCAATTCGGGCACGATCAACATGGAGTCATGGCCTATGGTGTGACATCGATAAGTGTAATTAAGTTTGGCAACACCCGACACTACAAAAAAAATAATATATTTGTAACGGAATTCCGTCCCTAATGTTCACGTAGTTAACATAATTCCATTCCTAATTCCGTCTCTAATGTCATTAGTAACGGAAAAAGTAGATTTAGAGACAAAAAAGTTTTGTTACAAAAATTATTTTTTCTTGTAGTGCGAGTACGGGTGGCATGGAGTTGTCCCGATATGTTAAACAAATAGGACCACCCAGGCGTGCCAAGCTTCAAGGTAGTCGGGTGATAAGGCGTCTAGGCATGCAGAGCATGCACAGCTTCCGGGCATGGCGAGTGGTTTATAAATCCCTTGAAATTAAGTAGAAGTAAACTCAAGAATCCGATTTAAATGTTTAAGTATTATCACATATTTTACTTATATCATTTCGTGTTATAAATATATGATTCGCTACCCGCTCAATTCATTCATCTAATTTTACTTATTTAGTAATGCACAGATCACTCATACACACCCCTGAAGACTCTCTCAGCCATTATACTATTGCCATTTATCATCACTAACGGTTGCCCCTCGCCCATTTTTCCATTATACATATTACTGCTCAAGGTCACCCCTACCGCTCCGCTCGCCTTCACTTTCACTGCACTCACCGCTTATTGGCCATCATGCACCACTATAAAAAATTATCAATTTTGTAACGAGATTTTTTCGTTCTTAAATTCACTTTTTCTGTTACTAACGATATTAGAGATGGAATTAAAGATGAAATTAGGTTAGCTACGTGAACTTTAGGAACGGAATTCCGTTGTAGTGCACTCACTTTCACCCTCCGCTTACATTTACTGTTTCCTTTACTTTTTGTTTAACTTTATATTTGACTCTTTTGCAAGCGAATCCTTAATTGATTTTTCGATCAACCCGACTCACCTGTAAATATTTTTTTTGATTTAATTTCACGATTTAAAATCTTTAAATTTGATCTAGAAACTCACCAATATAAAGAGTATAAAAATAATTATGATAAAGTATTTTATAATCTACAATAACATATTTTTATCAATTAAATATCGGATTGTTTGCAATATACCAAGATCCAAACAAATTTTATTTCATTATAAAACCCTTAACTCACTCATTATCACTACATTAGAGTGGTCAAAGATAGCATATGAGTGTCTAAATGAGGTTGATGAGACGAGTGCGAAGAGTCTAAGGACAGAGAACCATTATCCAAGTCTAGTTCATGGTGGTCATTGAGTTTAAATAAAATAACATAAGGAGTATATCGATAATCAAAATGCAATTATTGTGAATTATAAATATGAACAAAATTAGTCTTACTTTGCCCAAATGATGCCTTTAGACTATGAGCAGTGTTGATGTCCGTGGTGTGGCTCCTTGAAAGGAAATGCCTCATCGAAAAACAATACATTGGAAATAAAAAGTTGAGATGTATAAGAATTGTAGACTTTGTATCTATTTTTTATTAATGACAAGATTAAATTGATAAGTTTTTTTTGTATTGAAACCAAAATTAATCAGTTTATTTATATTGAGATCAAAATTGATTAATTTTATTATATTGAGACCAAAATTATTATTATTATTATTATTATTATTATTATTTTTAAAGAAAGTGTATGTTATAAAATCTCTTTTGATGTCATCTGTCTGAAAACCCAAGGCCGAATAACACATAAATTAAATCATTGGAGTGTATTTTAATTTTTAACATAAGTTCATTTGTTAATATATTTATAAAATTAGTTTTTAGAACTATATTTAATTTAAAAATTGGGTTGGACCAAGCAAATTTTGAAATTTTTTTAATCTATTTTTTAGATTCAAGCACTATTTTTTCGTGCTAGATTCTGAATTTTTGGATCATGCCTATTTTTTTCAATTCTATTATAATATATATACAACAATAACATAGTTAAAATAAATTGATATATTGAATAATAATAGAAGAAAAATTATAAATAAAAAAATATTAATATATAAAAATAGTAGTATTATAATGCATGAGGAATAGTATTCTTAATGTTACTTAGAAAATGAAGGCGACGGAAATAAAGATAGGAGAATAAAACGAAATAACGAATAATAAAAAAATAAAACAAAAAGCAAAAAATCAATCAGCCGAAGAAGTAGACCGAGACTAGTTCGGATTCGTACAATGCATTAGTAACTAACATTATAGTGTAAAGGAGGACTTCTTGTAGTAGTATTAATTAGTTACCAACCACGCTTGCCCTGCCCTTGCCAGGGAGCTACCACTTATAATTAAATAATAATTACTTAATGATTTATTAGCTTTAAATCCATGCAATATATATATATAAAAATAGCACCTTGGGTTGGGAATTGGGATCGATCGAGGCCGCGCGAGGTCAAAGTCAAAAGTAATTGGGTAGGTAGTTTCGTGGTCATCAATCATCATCATCATCATCATATCATTTAACTTAATAGCATTTTTCATCTTCCTAGCTATTCCACCTAACTCACGAGTAGAGTTACAAACAAACAAACAAAATACGGGAGACAAATATGGCAGGCAGGGTGGTGGAGTCGGCAAATTGCACCACCACCACCCTCTGTATATTGCACAAAACCCAATGCTTTTCATATTGTAAAAGCAGCAGAAAGAATGAATATATCTCAGCAGCCTCAGCGGACACTGTTGAACCGCGTCAACATCAACACGGGGTCAAAGTCAATCAGTCAAACAAACATCTTTATAATAATAAAAAAATAAAGCAAGTACAGTAGTATGCGGAATACTTGATACTCTATCAAAGCATGCGTTGACAATTATCCGCGCGCGCGCGTTCGTTCATATCTATCTATTCATATCTATCACTCCATTCCATCCATCTATCTATCTATCTATCTATCTATCTATCAAATATTAATTTTTGTTCATACATACACACACATATTTATCTCTTTGTATTACAACTCCAACAACATACGGTTCTCTTCTCTTCTGCTCAATCTTTTCAAGCACCATAGGTACATACATTTTGAGCATAAATAAAACGAATGTATTAATAAATTTGATATATTATTTGCATCAAAGAATGATGGGCCAAGCAGAAGCGGTATGACCATAGAAGAAGAAGAAGAAGAAAGTGATATTAGAGAATTGAAGCAGAGAAGACGAGAGACAGAGAGAACCACATATTGAGCATTCAAACTGAATGGGCCTCCGTGATTTGGTTGGATCTAATCCAATCTGAAAAGGGCTCCCATGATTAACGAACCATTACTTTTATCTTGGTTTTTCTCATCTATAAGGTTTTGGGCCTCCAATAATAATAATACAGATGATGATTCCGTTTGATTTAAATTCAGACAATATTTGAGCAGAGGGAGGGAGGGTCACATTTGGGGAGGGGTAATGTAATGTAATGTAATGTGAGGGAGCAAGTGCATGTGGATGCGCATGTGGCTGTGCCTGCCTGTAATGTCCCCACCCCACCCCCCACGTTACTTAATTCTTTCTTTTATATATATATATATATATATATATATATTTTTTTTTTATTTTCTTTTCTTTTCTTTTTTACTGTTGCAAATTAATCTGATAGACAAATTATATGAAACAAGAAAGATTCGAAGGAATCGGACTTTTAATTCATAACTTTACGGTCGTAAATCTCATCCTATACCACCAGGTCGATTTATTTTAGTGTATGATTTGGCAATACAGAATATCGGATAACTTGGAAACACTTTTTTGTCGTACGTGTGAAAGAGAGAGAGAGAGAGAGAGAGGGTGGGGATAAAGAACAAACTCGGCACGCTTCTCTAGCAAGCAAGCTAAAATGTAGACAATGTCATGTCGTCTATCATCATGAGGATGATCATCTTCTTCTTATTCTGCACATGCAATGCAATGCAATATGACATGCATGCTCTGTATATTTGTAAGGGAGATGGTATGGGTGGATCCAAGTCAAAGTGAAAGTGGTGTGAGGGGAGAGGCCAGACAACAACATATTACATATGGTGGGGGTGTAGCTAGCTTAGCTACTCAAAGCCCTCTCTCACTCCCACTCCCACTCCCACTCATATGCATAGCACTCAAGTAGAGTGATGGAGGAGGAGGAGGAGGAGATTAACTTGATTGTCCTTTAAAGAGTTTCTCTACTTTATTATGTCTGTTAAATCCATTCTGATTAAGAAAATTTACACATAATCAATGACCTCAAAATGAAAATACAACTGAAATTTTAATTATATAGTATAACATAAAGACCTGACACAAGTGTAGTTTGGGAAGTGTCTCTGCTGCTACACCAGTCACCGAACCATCTCCCTCACTCTCTGTCTTTTTGCCTTTACATGTAAGTGATTTGTTGCTCTTATGATCATATCAGGTCCAGTTGCAGCAAGCAGAGCAGAACATAGCATAGCATTAGAAATCCCTCCCTCCCTTGCCACCAATGGACACAACGTAGGAGTGAAAAAGACAACGAAACGGCCGGGTTGTGTCGCACCTCCTCCTCCTCCTCCTCCTCCTCCACAATCACCCATCGCATGCCTCTTTTTTATCCACTACCACTACCACTACCACTACCACTACCACTACCACAGCACGAACGCCATCATATCATATGGTATTATGGTATATAGTAAAAAACCTAAAGGACCGAGCGAGCGAGCGAGTGAGATGGGACACAGAAACCACCCACCCTTCCTCTCCCACCCCACATCACTCACCACTCTTAATTACTCTCTCTCTCCCCAATTCTCCATTCAGATTTCAGATCCCCTCCCCACCCCACCCATTCGTCCTTGTCTTTATTTTTATTCTCTTCCTTCCTTCCTTCCTTCCACTTTCTTCTTTTCTCCCTCCTCCCCCCTCCTCCTCCTCTCTCCAATGTGCTGCTGCTTATCCTCCTCCACCCCCACCCCCACTTCAATTACGATTGATTGATTGACCGCCTTTTGCTTTTCCTTGGTTCCACAATCATGGTCATGGAGCTGCTGCTGTGCTGCGCTGTCGCCGATTAACCGCCCCAGCTCGACAAACACTTGCTCTCCACTCATCATCATCTACCCTTCTTTGCTCTACCCTACCTAGACCTCCTTCCTCTATGGAGGCTGCTATTGGGGCTGAAGCAGCAGCAGCTCATCCGCTGTATTATGCTAGTATGCCTTCTAGGGGAGCTGCTGCTGCTGCTGCTGCAGCATCGGATTTGAGAGCGGTGGCCAACCGAACCCCGCTGGAATGGGATCCCAGCGACTGGAGATGGGACGGCGACCTCTTTATTGCTACCCCTCTCAATCGCCGCTCTCCCGATTGCCAAAGCATCCAACTTTTCCCGCTCGAGACCGGACTCACCGTCACCTCTGCTCGGGATTCCTCCAACAGCTCTTCCTCCTATTCCGATGATTCGAGTCAAGGACTTGCTCAGTACGTTGTTAGGGATTCCGAGAGGAAAAGGAGGATCAGTTCAGTCGCAGACAATAATTTGCCCGATAATCTCACCCTCAACCTTGGGGGTGGTGGGCGGGGCTACGCCATACCCGTGAATGGCGGCGGGGAAGCCACCGCCACAGCCGCACCTGGGAAGAAGACCAAGCTGGCTGGAGCTGGGCCTAATTCTAGTCGTGCTATCTGCCAGGTTGAGGATTGCAGGGCTGATCTGAGCAAGTCTAAAGACTATCATAGACGACATAAGGTCTGTGAGATGCATTCCAAGGCTAGCAAGGCGTTGGTTGGGAATCAAATGCAGCGTTTTTGCCAGCAGTGTAGCAGGTCGGTCAGTTCATTCATCTTATCTTATGGCTCGGGAATTCAATCGACTAGAAAAGTGACTGTCTTCATTCACCAGATCTACTAGGAATGCACAATCTGTTGATTCCATTTTCCTTCTGTCTGTTTAAATATTGATGGCATTGAGTCCTACATACATAAGGCTGGATTATTTCCTTTTCTTATTCCGTTTTTCAAGAACAATTCTCAAAGAAATAATATGCTAAACTGACTAAATGCAAGTCCGTGAAACATTCATTAAATTGCCAGCACCAATCTGTGTCACCTGCAGTCTAGCGGTTTTTATTGTATACGTTTCTCAAGACTTTCTCTTTGGCCGGTGTACTCTCCGAATCCATGAAATTGGGTTAATACTCTGGCTATTGTCAACACTTTCTTTTATGGGTGTTCATGCCTACTAGTACTATTTATCTTTGCTATCAGGTTTCATGCACTTCAAGAGTTTGATGAAGGAAAGAGAAGCTGTCGCAGGCGCTTGGCAGGCCACAACAAAAGGAGGAGGAAAACCCAAACGGACAATGTCAGTAGTAACATTCCTGTCAACGACAGCCAGGCAAGTGGTTATCCGCTGATGAGCATACTGAAGATACTCTCCACCATGTATTGTAAGCAAAATAATTTCCTGTGGATTCTTGCTCACGTCATATGATTTCCATGCATACTTGTATTCCGTCCTTTGCACTTTGCTGGAGCTCCATGGTCGACAGCCTTATTGTTTCCATGATTTGCAGCCAATAGGTCGAACCACACTGATGATTATAATCTGCTCTCTCATCTGCTTCAAAGCCTTGCCAGGCAGGGATCCTCACGCTGTGAGAGAAACATAAGCGAACCATTACAAGAATCTCAAAATTTGCTTGATGGTATGCCTTCAATGGGAAGCTCGGGATTAGCATCTATGCTACTCTCAAACGGAAAATCTAGACAGGAAGAAGTTACAATCCCTGGCGATGAAGCAAGGAAGGATAAAGATTCACGTGCCACCTCTCAGGGGCCTGGGATTATGTCACTCACTCAGACTAGTTCTGAACTTTATGCTCACAGGAAGGAGATTTCTGGTGGGAGGAACAAAATGAATGACTTTGATTTGAATGATGTCTATGTTGATTCTGATGATGGCACAGATGAAATGGAAAGATCAGCCATTCCACAGGGTAGTGGAGCTGTTTCTGTTGGATGTCCTTCATGGGTGCAGCAAGTATCCCGCCAGTCAAGTCCTCGTCAAACTAGTGGAAACTCCGATTCTCCATCTGCACAGTCTCCATCGAGTTCCAGCGGAGAAGCTCAGGTATGTTACGTGTTCCTTCAAATACTTAAGTGAAGCCCCTGAATCTATTGGATACAAAGCATGCTCTTCTAGAAATTTCCATATTGTTATACCTTTGAAAGTTCTAATTGAGCTATCATAATTGCTTTTGGAAATTTAAAAGGACATGGAAATGTTGTGTGTTCCATTGTTTTGCTTTCATCAAGAAGTTTAGAATCACAACATCAGTTTCTCATCTGCTAAATAATTTTATTTCTGTCCAAAAGATTGTCTGGATTGTGATTTATTTGAAGGTTTAAGAGTCATTGTTTGTTACATTCTTTTGTAAGTGGTTGGACACACTGGGTGTTACTTGTGTTGGAGTTCTTTCTTTCATTGTTCATCTTAGGCATGGCTTATATTTGGATAAGCTCTTCGTTTCAGAATTTTATGTTGTGTGAATTAGCCTACCTTCTGACCATTTAACATTTTGTTTTATGGATTTGGCATTACAGAATTACACAGATCGCATAGTTTTCAAACTATTTGGCAAAGAGCCTAGTGACTTTCCCATTGTTTTGAGAGCACAGGTACCTTTTCCCTTAACTCCTGCATTGCTAGTATTGGAAGAGTTCACCCTTTCCTTCTGTGTGTGCCGTCTTCCATAATCCCCCTCTCTCACTGTTTTAAGTCTTTGATGGCCTTCCAGATTTTTGATTGGTTATCCAACAGCCCTACTGACATAGAAAGCTACATCAAGCCAGGTTGTGTGATTTTAACCGTCTATCTTCGTCTGTCAGAGTCTGAGTGGGAGGAGGTATGGCTTCGATCAACAAACAACATGGAAACTTGGATGTTGGAACTCTGGGTTGATTATCAAATTAATATATTTGCCAAAATGTTAAAGTTTCCCCTTCTTTTGCTAGCTTTCCTGCAACTTGAGATCCAGTCTGGGCCGGCTTCTGAATTTATCTGATGATACCCCTTTCTGGAATACTGGATGGATCTATACTGTGGTGCAGGATCAGATAGCATTTATTTATAATGGTTTGTTCATAAAATAATCCCTCGATCACCTTTTCAATCATGGTTGGTTTTGGATTTGAACCTATTTTGGCAATGCAGGACAAGTTGTGGCTGATACATCTTTGTCTCTTGGAATCGATGATGTAATCCTGAGCATGAAACCTATTGCCGTGACATCATCTGGGCGAGCTCAATTCTACATCAAAGGTTCTAATTTATCTCGAACCTCCACAAGGTGTGCAAATTCAATTGTTCTGTACTGCGACACTGCTGATTATATCTTAACGTGGGCTGTTGCAATACAGCACATTTCTGAACGTTAGGATATTGTTGTTGGTATTATTATTTTTACCGTATAAATGTCATTCTTCTATTTGCAAGGGTATTATGTTCCCTGGAAGGAAATTATCTGGAAGGTGATACCGAGCCCATGGAATATGGCGATGACCTAGATGGCCATGTTCAATGTCTAACATTTTCCTGCTCTATTCCTGCAGTCAATGGAAGAGGTTTTATTGAGGTGATAATGTATTCTGTATATAGAGACCCACCCTTCTCAACTTGATGCATGTTGACTCAGCTGCTAGTATTTCATGAATTAGAATGAAGTTTTGTGCACAACCATGGGGCGATTGAATTTTTTTATCCCCTCTTTATCTTTTTGTGCTACCCTGAACATATTCTCCACATTCAGGTTGAAAATCATGGTGTCGGCAGCTTTTTCTTTCCATTCATAATTGCTGAGGATGATGTTTGTGCTGAGATTCGTATGCTGGAGGAAGAGGCTGAAGTTATTGGTGTGCGTGATTCACCAAGAGAAACGGCGAGATACGATAGGCGGAATAAAGCAGTGGAATTTATTCATGAATTGGGATGGCTTCTTCATAGACTTCAATTGAAGTCTCGAACAGAAGGCGCAGATCCTAATCTGAGTTTCTTCCCCTTTGAACGGTTCAAGTATCTTGTAGAGTTCTCAATGGATCGTGAATGGTGCTCTGTTGTGAATAAGCTCCTGAATGTTTTTTTTTGTGGGATAGTTAGCGGTGGAGAGCAGCCTCAGCCTTTGTTAAAATTTGCTTTGGCTGAACTGGGGCTGCTGCACCGAGCAGTGCGAAGGAATTCAAGAATACTGGTGGAGATGCTGTTGAGATATGTCCCCGACAAAGTAGCAGATGAATTATGTTGGGAATACAAATCCATTGTTGAAGAAAGAAGTTGCTTGTTTAGACCTGATGTCTCGTGGCCTGGTGGTCTGACGCCACTTCATGTAGCTGCAGGTCGGGATGGATGTGAGGACACCTTGGATGCTTTGATTGATGATCCTGGAAAGGTAGTCATTCTTCTTACAATTACAAAACCTAGTAGTATTGTGGTTGAGGTGGGAGTAGCAGTGTAACTTGCATGCATGTGTGCGTGCTTGTTTTGTTTCAGGTGGGAATTGGTGCGTGGAAGAGCGCCCGGGACAGTGCAGGACTCACGCCTGAAGATTATGCCCGGCTGAGAGGGCACTACTCGTATATCCATCTTGTTCAGAGGAAAATCCATAGGGCGGCATCTTCTTCGGGGCATATGGTGGTCGACATATCTGACAATATGGGTGGTGGCAACACAGGCAGCAGCGGCTTCAAGAGTAATTTTGAGATTGAAAAGTCTGTTGGGATTGGGATTGGGATGGGGATGGGGATGAAGCAGCAGCATATGCAGGTGCCCTGCAGTGTGTGTGCTGGGAAGCTCACTAACAGCAGCAGCAGCAGCAGGGCAGGAGGTGGAAGGCTTCTGTACCGGCCAGCGATGCTGTCAATGCTGGCAGTAGCTGCTGTGTGCGTCTGCGTGGCTCTTCTCTTCAAGAGCTCGCCTCAAGTTCTGTTTGTGTTTCGTCCATTCAGATGGGAGATGTTGGAGTACGGCTCCAGCTGATGATGATGATAAAGAGTGTGAGTGTGGTAGAATTAATAGTAGAAGAAGAAGACCACCAAAGTGTAATCAATCAATCAATAGCCGCTAATAATCTGCTCTCGTGTTTGTGTTTTGTGTGTGTGTTTGTAGACAGTGTAGAACCAACCCCACCGGCACCGTCTGTCAGATATATTTATGTATGTATGTATGTATGCATATGCAAAGACTTGAGGAAGGAGTGGAGTACCGACCAGCCAACCATAGGCTGAGACCTAAGGGATAGCACCACAGCCGCCGCCGCCGCCCAAATAAGATAAAAAAGACAAGACAGCGGCAGAGGCAGGCAGGCGGACAGACGTGCGTAGTGTAATTAGTTATGGCACTGTTTCTTGCTGCTCTTAATTTATTTGACTGACTGACTGACTGAGCGAGTTGTGTTAAGATCAGTTGATTAGTTGGTTCTCCTTCCCTTCCAGTGGAGGAAGGAAGAAAGAAGAAACCCATGGAAGAAGAAGAAGACCTTAGACCTTCTCTGCTCTGCTCGTGCGGCACTGCATTGAAGAGCGTTGCAAAGTGCACTTTTCAAAGCATGCCGTGGTTTTGAAATAAATGATTGTTTTATCCTTCTTATTAATAATAATAATAATATAAAAATATTTAAGTTATATCTTAATAAAAATTTAAAATATAATTATATTATTATTTTGAATTAAACTTTAAAATTGAGGTATCAAATTTAAATAGAAATATATAAATTTTGAATTATATTAAAATTATTAAATATAATCTATAAAATTTTAATTTTAATTATAAAATACAAATAATTTAATATTACATTATAATTTTATTTTTAATTGATATATACTTCAATTAAAATTTTATAATATAAATGACTAAATTTTAAGAATATATTTTTTACATTTTAATTTAAAATCTTTAAATATAATTAATAAAATTTAAAATAAATTATAAAATTTTTATAGAAAATACTATTATATTATAAAAAAAATGCTTTTATAATAATATTTATTTTTTAAACAAATCCAACCGGTCCCAATACAAACACCAATCACCACAGAAAATAACATGGACATGCATGCTTGTTTCCACAAGCCCACCTGATTAAACTACATCAACCCTTCAGAGGCGATGAGGCGAAAACATTGGACGATCCAGAATTTGTGAGACTTTCTGCACCAAAAAGCGACAAAGGTCCAAATATACCAAAATAGCAAACGGGACAGTGTAGTCAACTGCATATATGTATATATTAATTATGACGGGACTAAAGTTTCACTCACAGTCACAGCCATTCCCATAGTCTCGGCTCGGCTTGGCTTGGGAATAAATGCATATCCCCTAATGGCACTAAGCCCAAAAAATTGATCAGGGCCTCCCTCTCCTCCAGTGGACTCACTGCCACACACACTCATTTTTGAGGACCTCTTGAAGTCATCATCAATAGCTTCTGACCTCCACCATTTCTCCACACACCCCGAGCAGGCAAGCTTCCATTAGATGAAGTTACATTCACATCTGGACCACCATCTGGATCAGTGTTGGCATTTTTAATATCCAAGAGTGCCTCAACAGAACCATCACCAAGGCGAACTCTGTGAAACTTTGAGGTTTTTTTCCGTTGTTTGCTTTTCCCATCACTATTACTGCAATTTTGCTTATCTTCTCTCCAGGTAGATGATGACTCAGCCCGGCTCTTCAGCTGTGTAGATTCACCAGACTCACTCGATTTTGGCTGGGAATCATCAATCATAGGTTTTGATTTGCCCGTGGCTGCTCGATATCCATCCTTAGACAACACTTCAACAACATCCTCAGAGGATCTGAGGCCTGACTGTAGTTCTTTCACAGTGCTCATAATGTTATCAGCTAAGTTGCTTTTAACAGTGCCACTGCCAGCATCAGCCAACTTGCCTTTGCCTTTGCCTTTGCCTTTGCCTTTGCCTTTTTTGGAACCATTACCATGTTCTATTTTCTGGCTTAAACCATTCTCTCCTGTCATGTGTGCCAAATGAATATTATAGGCTTCAATTAGCTCTTTCTGCTTCTGAGCATTAGGCAGGAGTCTAGCCATCTCAGGAACAAGATGTGACAACCCAAACTGCTCTACATATGCCAGATATGTCTCAGCATCCATTGAACCTTGGCGGTATTCACCTGATATCTCTTTAAAAGAATTGTATTTGTCTGTATCAAACCCGAGAGCAGCTTGCATTTTCTCCACCAGAGATTTATTGGCCATATGAACATCTTCTATCTTCCCCGGAACTGGATTAGAGTTCAGTGACTTTTGTGCATGTGCTGCTGAAACTGGAGGAAAATCATCATGTAGTGACTTGCGTGCCTGCGCGGCTGATACTGGAGGGAAATCAACACTTGAGGACTCAAGAGATTCACGAATAGATAGATTCGGCGCTGATGAAGAATGACTGATGCGACTCACACTTCCAGAAGCCATTGAAGAATTCAAAGAACCAGTAAATGATGAGCCAGTAACTAATGGCGGTCGAGTCTGAGCAGAAGCTTGGTCGCTAGATGATGCAGGTCCAGTATCTGCAACTGACCTGCTCTGTCCAGAACTAGATGTTGACCCTGAGAAAGCATTAACTGAAGGCCAAGAATGAGGGTTAATCAATGGATGTGCAGGTATATGATTAGCTGCTGACCAAGCAGGACCTGAACTCGAAGGATGTGCCTTTTTGCTGCTCTTACGGCGAAGATGAGCAGCCATAGTTTCCTTAGGTAAGGCGTCAAATTGAGAATTTGGTTGATTACTTCCAGAAGCGGCAGCCAGAGGAGGAAAAGAAGATTCTCCCAGGGTTCCAGTTCTAGCACTAAGGGACAATGCTTGCAGGTACCTTGATGATGGTTCAGAATCTATGGTAGCTACAGATTCAAGGGATGGAACAAGTGACTCAACATCAGTGGCTTCTCTGTGATCAGTGCTAGGTTGAGAAATGGACATTGGACCACCCGCTATGTCAAGGCTTGCCTGAATGGCCAGGGAAAGCTCAGCATCTACAGGATCCTGACGAAACGTGTGCCCTCTTCCACGACTCCTCACTTGCTCACTGCTTCGTCTATAGCGAAAACTAGTTGGTATCTACATGGACAAAAGCACTTATGAATGCTTAATCATGTCATGTTGGGAAATAGAAAGAAGTCCAGGTTGCAAATTCAATGACAAGATCACCTCCTGATGAGTATTCTTAATTATTAATTCAGATACTACAGTCTTCTGACCAGAATTAAACGAAATAAATAAATAAATAAACAAATAATCAATCAATCAAATGACAGATATTTTATTAGGAGCAGCTGATATTTGGTTAGTTTAGAAGGAACATGCCTGAAGGGCAGCATTGCGCTTTGAACGTGACATACGCCCTCCATGCTCCAATGCATTATGCCTCTGAAATACAATATATAGAAAGAAAAACACATCAGAAAGTGGAAAGAAGGTAAAATGCCCGAATTGAGTAAAATCAAATGCAACCTTCAATTCAGCTTCAAATTGGAAAACAATGAACTTTTTGACAAGGCAGCCCTCGTCCTCACAAAGAAAATGATCTCGCCGAAAGTGCATCTGAAACGGAAAATTCCACTTGAGTAAAATGAAAAATGAAATAAGAGATCACAGAATCAGCAGACAGTGTCATACTTCTAAATCATCATAGTTCTTGTAATACTCATATTGTCCCGGATGTTGCCTGCAAAAAAGGGTATACCATTCACCATACAGATCTGCCAGCCCACTCTTTTATTTAACTAATAGAAAAGAAAAGAGAGAAAGAGAGATATGAACCTTTGACAAAGGTGGCAAGTGTAATGTTCAGTTGACATGTGCATATAGAGCTCATTATCCCCATAAAATGGTGTTCGGCAGAATTCACACATTGGATGCCCCATAAAGCCACCTCTTTCACTTTCCGTTCCATCCACCTCTGAATCACCTGTGTCTATATGCTGAGTCAGCTGTGATCTTGTATACAACTTCTGCTCACATATGAAAACCTAAGAATCCAACAGAATAGGCGTCATCCCAATGCATCAACCAAAAATTCATTACCGTCAAGAAAATTTCATGCATCGTCACAATCAATTTCAGAAGATCGTTAGTGATATTTTCCTTTTTATGGAGCGGCAATCAAAATTACAAACATTTGCACCCCAAAACTAGAACCTAGAAAGTGAGTAAAACACTGAAGTTTGACTGAACTACACCAAACATTAATTTACGTTTTACTCTCCAATCTGGAAATTTACATGTAAAACAAATCATTTACGGATTGGATGTACTCTACTCATTTCAAAGTATTTCAACAGTCTAAAGTTCAACTACCAATCAACATTGATTCTGCACAGCACTGTGGACGCACACAAACATTCTGAAAAGACTCCCAACTAACTAGTTGTACTTCATTATGCCTCTTGGTAAGAAAGTAGAACTCAGGAATATTTACTTATAAATACACATCTTTAACAGCAAAGAAGGAGCGTCGCACCTTCCTTCCTTCCAAACATAAGCTGCACATTAACAGCCTATGCTTGTGGAATATATGACCCTTTAGCTGCTCAATGCTCCTAAATTTTGGCCTTCTCTGGTAAGCATCATCAGGTAGTCCTTCCATTTTATCACATACGCTGCAAGAAAGTTTGCACATGGCCTTGATCATCTTGTAGTGATCGAGGTCATCAAAAAAGGCCCGCGTATCTTCATGAAACCAGTATTGCCCCGCTCTTCCCTCCTTGGCATCAGGTGGCAGTATCGAAAAGTCCTGGATCGTCTTGGTATACTCTCCCAAAGCCTGAAGGTAGCCAAGGGTGTTAGACAACAATTTCTCGCCAATGACTTTGATGCATAGAAAAATTACAAAAGAAATTGATGAACGAACAACAGACGAAGTCCCATCGTTTTTCCAGGAAAGCATAATTTAGTTCGAAATTGATTGACGATTTTTACATTCCTTAGAATGGGATCATCCAGATCCAATAACAGGAATTCGAATCGTAGTTAATTCGATAGAGTAGACCTATGAAAGGGCAAACGATATGTGGGAGTGACTGGGTGTGTTTGAAATAAAAGATGGAATGAATAGTGAATTGAGAAGAGAAGATAAGCACCTTGGTGACAAAAACAACAGGAGAATCTGTCTTGCAAATACAGCAGCGATGGTCATTACAGATGAAACGGAGGCGAGCAACGCAGGTGGAACAAACGTCCTTGTGAGCGCAAGCACCAAAAGCCACCCACTCCAAGGTGTCCGCACACACGGCGCAGGAATCGTCCATCACGTCGGATTCTAATGTAGACGGGCAAAGTAGTAGTAAACCTAGGGTTGGGAGGGCGTGTCTATGGTAGATCAAAGAAAGATGCAGAGATGGATGGGTGCGGGTGGTGTAATCGGTTGCAAGTTGTCTAGGGTTTGTGGTGCGACGAATGAAGAAGGATTTGCCGCGGGCGGTGGAAGACGGAAGGATGGCGATTGCGATTGCGGATTATAATATTAATATTAATATTAATACTAATACTAATACTAATACTAATACTAATACATGTTTATGATAGACAGTGGTGCATCTTACTAATTAAAATTAATTTATAACAATAAATATTAATTGATTTGGATTTATTGATATCAAATCTAGTTAATTCGACCCTTTCAAGAAAAAATTCGGATTGTCTCACAGCAAAAATTGAAACACAATAGATATAGAGATAGATCTATCACGATGAACAAAATTGGAACCCTAAGCTATGCGATAAAGATCGAATGGAATTGCCTTAGAATAGATAAAAATTGGAATTTTATTTTATTTTTTTTATTATTATTTTAAAAAATTTAGAGATAATTCAATGAATTTGATTTAGATAAATTTTTATAAATTTAATTTAATTGAATTTTTATATATATATTTATATGAATTTTATAGAATAGTAAAATAATTTTTTCTATTAATTATATAAATTTATGTAAACACAGGGTTAAACAAATGTAATATATTTATTATTCAATTTATTATATATCATTACATTTTTTAAAATATAGGTAATATTAATAAATTATATATAATTATTAATATATAAAAATATGATAACATACGTAATACTATTATTTTTTATATTAATATTTTTAATTTTATAATTTTTATTATATTATTATTTAATATATCAATTTATTTCTATATTTTTTAATAATTACTATTATTCTTATATATATAAATTTTGTTCATAAAAATAAATAAATATATAGATTAAAAAAATAATATATCACACACATTATATTATCTCCACAACTTCTTATATTTTAAAAAATATCTCTTCAAAATATTTTACAAAATAAACACACTAAAAATAAAAAACTGTACTTTTAATATTTGCATAAAAAATTAAGGCTAAATTGAACAAAATCTATCCGATTTCACGAAATTGCACCAAATCTGACTGTACTTTTAAAACTGCCATCAAACTCCCTCGTGGTTTCATAAACTGTACGTATAACCCCTCAGCGGTCCTTATTCAACTGTATTTGACCTAAAATTTATTCGCAATTTGAGCGCATTTAGGTCAAATACCGTTAAATAAGAACCGCTGAGGGGTTAGACCCAAAGTTTATGAAATCACGAGGGAGTTTGACGCAGTTTTAGAAGTACAGTAGATTTGGTGCAATTTCATGAAACCACGATTAGATTTTGTACAATTTAGCCAAAAATTAAATAAAATATTAAAAAGTAAATAAATATAACGAACTGTTGAAATATATATATTTAGTTAACTTTACCAACAATATAGTGTATCCAATAATAAAAAAATAATAATAATACATATTTATTACTATAATAGTAATTTTCAAATATTATATTTATGATATAAAAATACATATATTTAAAAAAAAACAAATTGATAATAATTCTGTAATATGTTTCAGTTTTAACTTATTGCTTTTATTAAATATTTAAAGTAACATTAATAAATATTATCACTTATATATATTAACAACATAATAATAATTATTATTTTAAGGATCTATAAAAAAATTTCTCATCCGAAAGGATTTTTTTCTCCATAAAATTTTCATAATTATTTATTAAAATTCAATAAAATTTATAAATTTTAAAAATTTATAAATTGTTGAATACTTTGAAAAAAAAAAAAAAAAAAAAAAAAGGCAAATGCTTTATTTGGGCGTTGATAGGACCTCTCTTTCTCAATTTGTCCACAAATTACGTTGTTTTTTATGTTTCATTGCTATTTTAGATAGGTCTTGGCCATTGAATATTTCTAGGTTGTCAGGTCTAGTCACTGAGCTTTCATTTTGATTTTGATAGATAACAAATATCTTCACAAAAATAATTGATCGAAAAATTTACATAAAATGTCAAACTTTGAAATTCAAATAATTTTATATAAGATTTTGGAGGCATGTTGACTCAGATTTTATATGAAAAATCTATTTTGGTAGCTTTTTTATTATCTTTTACAGCGGCTCCGTCCATTAATTCTTTTTTTCCAAAGTCAACGGGAATGATCCGGGTCGGATCATATTTGCTCCCTACGAGGCACGGTGGTTTGGGTTTTAATGATATCGACTTTCTTGGCAAGAATTTAACCGCATTGACTTTGAAGTCATTTTTTACCATAGGACATGCTCCAAGTCCCGGTTATTTACGATGATATCCAAACTCGCAATTGATTTCCTATCATCCTCCAATGCTTCGATGATCTGGTCGCCTTCCAGAATAGGTGCTACTGGTACTTCCGGAGGAGCCTACTTTCCCAAATCACCTCTGTTTTTCAAAACAGTCTGTTTTGGCCTCTATTATTGTCATCTTCTCTCCTCCACCTTCGGTACTTTTCACTAGCAACGACTTGCCCTTGATCTTCTTGGGTCTGGCTGTGTTGCTACCCATGTTCCTCCGAGATAAGGTATGCTTCCCCAGGTTGTCGCTGCCTTTGTCGTTGAGTTCTAGTAAAGGGCTGACTCCTCACTTTCCGATAGTCGGACTAGCTCTCGTCCTCCTGAGGCTACTCAGGCCGTTGCATGGTGTGAGAAGTTATCACTACTTGATCAACGCCGGGTAAGTGTACACCTTCCCTTGTGAGATTTCGACTGAAAACGTCTCCTCCGGCTAGTCCGGGCGGTTCGACTCCTCTTCCTGGACCTGGACAAGGTGTGCTCTGTTTTTTAACTTTTGATTTTTGGTAGCATGGGTGTGCGGGATGAGCTATTTCGCATTCACTGCTTTTCCAATGAGCTACCAGAGGTCGTTATATTCTTGAAGAGTCAATGTTTCTCGGAGCTGGTGTGCCATATTGTTGATGACTATGTTGACCACTTGATTTGAAGGGATCCAGACCTGATATCATCCCTCCGCGCTGAAAAAGCTTTTCAGAAAATGTTCAATTGATTCATCGTATTTTTGCCGCAGGCTAATCAGATCCAATACTACTACCTCCATTTCGAGATCTAATCGAAAGAATTTCCAAAGATAAGATAACTCCAAAAATGAATCATCTTAGGCAATGGACTATAGAAGCTTTGCCTTCTCAAGATCTGTCAATGTATGGAAGAAGTTTGGCGAAAGAGCAATGTACCATAAGAATGCTAGTCCGGTAAGGGACAACGAGAATAATTGAAGCTTAAATTATTCGTTGTTTTCGAATTCCACTCGGCTTCAACTTTTTAACTCTCCATTTCTTCATTATTTTTTGACTTCTCACAATATTTGTTCACAACTCAATGTAGTTTTCCATATTTCACTACTATTTCCATATTTCACTACTATTTTGGATAGATCTTGAATACTTTTGAACTATTAAATCCATTTTTTTTTAGTTTCTATTTTAATTTTGATGATTAACAATTGCATCTTATTTTTATTATTATTATTTTTTAAAATAATGTAAAATATGTCGTTCGTTACTCTTTAGGTGCAAACTATGCATGCTTTAACATATTCTTCTGATCTAATCTAAGCATGGATGAATCGTTACTATTACTATTACTCATTGAGTCACTCGCATTTGATCCACAGCGGCTCGTCAAAGCGACCATCCAACCTATCTCCTTCGTCTCCGTCTTCATCTTGATCTTCAACTTCCGGGAGAAGACGCGGCAGCAGCGTAGTTGGATGCCAGGCGGGTGTGCCATCCTCGTAGCCATTCCATGTCAGCCTCCGCAGGCCACTCCCGTCCAGCCTCACCATGTACAGCTCCCCGTAGGGCTGGAACTGGTTTGGAATGGAGACGGGATCCGCTGTCACCCCGCCCAGGTTTGCCGTGAAGAGCAGCCACCCTCCATCCCCGCTGAAGCACACGTGGTTCAGTCTCTCCCTCTCCCCCTCCCCGGACACCACCGTCACCCTTCTCAGCCCACTCCCATCCGGCCTGATCAAATATATCCCGAACCCATCTGCTGCCTTCCCTGGGCCCAGGCTGTGCCGATTCGACGAGAATGCGATCCACTGCCCATCCGGCGACCAGCTCGGCATCGTGTCAGTCCATGGCCCCTCCGTCAGCTGGAAGATCCGGCCCCCCTCCCCCTCCACTGCATCTACTATGTAGAGATTTTTGTGCCCTGAACGCCCTGACCGAAACACAACGGATCTCCCGTCGGGCGAGCAGGAGGGGAATGCATTGTTCCCCGTCCCTTCCTTGGTGAGAATCTTGATGTCCGCAGGGATGCTGCGGCTACCCTCCGCTCCTCCTCGATCGAACGTGACCCTGGCAATCTGGACAGCCGCTCCCTCTGATGTGAAGATTGGGCCAATGGACGTGAAGATGACATTCTCATCCGGGCTCCAGGAGTTATGAAAGGCGGTGCGATTCTCAAACAGCGTCCACCCCCGGGAGCCGTTGAACTTCACAATCCTCAGCCCCGCAGATTTCGTAACATCGAAGTCAGGGTTGAAAGCAATAAGGTCCCCGGAAGGTGAAAAGGATGGGAAGGAACCATTCAGCCGGAACATGCGAACCCCTCCTAATCCTGCAGGACTAGTTACCGCCTCCAGATGGGGAATCCTCCTCGGTCCCTTATCTCCTCCTCCTCCTCCAAACCGATGATAACCAAGATGACACACAGTCAAAGAAGAAGAAGAAGAAGAAGAAGAAGAAGAAACAAAAGGATTGTAATGGTGAAGATCCGGGTTCAGCAGCTGGGTGACGGGATAGAACCGGTGCGATTCAACATCGAAAACCTCAATGTGGCGATAATCGTTGCCCTTGCGCCTGGTGGCCACGGCGATTCGATTGCCGCGCATGGCTGCAGGGGTGAAGCAGTGAACACCGGGGGGTGTGACCCGAGTGGGTGCAACTGCTTCCGGTGAAGACAGAAACGTGTCCGGTAAATCAGCCCTGAAGATGCTCCACCATCCATCCTCTGCAGCCTGGCGATGGAAGTAGATGGTGGAGTCGCCCGACCAGGTTGGCCAACCACCTTGGCGGCAAACCAGAAGGCGCTGGGCTGGATTGGATTCCTGGAAAACGACAATGTCGGTTTGGAGATGGTGGAATTCACCAGCCCAAGGCCTGGCGCCATAGGAAGCGACGGCGATGAGCTTCCCGGATTGCGAGACGGCGGGGCTGTAATCAGCCGAGCCATAAGGCGTCAGCCGCGCAACAGCACGGCCCTTGTCGTCATCGAGCCGCGTGGAGTAGAGGGCTGTCCAGCTCCTGAATGGCTTCTCGGGCTCCTCGTGGGCAGAAATGAAGTAGAGGCGGTGGCCCCTGACGACAGGGCGGTCATGGAATAGGCTCTCCGGGGGTGTGTGGAGCTGTTCGGGGTCCTCCTCCCCCGGGCGTTTGAGGAAAACGCGGGCCGATCCTGTCCTCTCGGAGATATAAACTAGGGTGGGGGTGGACCCGTCATCGCCGACAAACTGGCCGTTAAAGTTGACGGATACGCCGTCGGTGAGGCGGTGCTCAGCGGCCGGATCCCAGGCAATATCGGAGTCGGAGGGAAGCTGTACGGAGAAAATATCGAAGCCGTAGTTGGGCCTGCCGACGGAGGTGAAGACTATGGTCCCCACGGGTTCCATAATACGGCGAGACGATCAAATGAGATTGTAGAAGAAGAGAGGACGATGAATTCAGCAGCAGATGCTCTCAGCCCAGCCCAGCCCTGCTCTGCTCTTATACGTGGAGATGAATATATATATATGTGTGTATATGAATGGCGATAAGGCAGTCAGGCAGGAAGGGTGGGTGGGGATGCCGATGCAAGTCAGACTAACTTATTTTACTAACCTTATCCTATTCCTATTCCTATTCCTATTCCTGTTCCTATCCCTATCCCTATCCTACGAGACAACGGCCCTCTTGTCCTCCCCTGTCACTTCATCATCATATCATGATCATCAACTCCTCCTTCACCGGCACAGCACAAACACGAAACAGTCGGAATAAACCCATATGAAATGTATGAGATGAGGTAGGCTCACTAGAGGAATAGACCACACTCATCTTTGTTGTTACCAGCGGTGAAATAAAGAGTTTTAGTAGTTTCAGTGTCGGCATTTCTTTTCTTTTCTCCTCTAGACAATGTTGTTTTTTATTTGCATATATTTCTTATTTACAGTAAAATTTGGTACCTTCAATTAGATAATGGTCATAATAATAGTAATATTTAAAGTATATAGTGATGGTCAGGTCTTCAATAGATCAGTATTGGTTGATACAACAACAACAACGACAGACCGCTTGTTTTGCGCAAGGCCGCACCCGTTGCTGCTCTGCTCAAACAAGCAGAGGCAGCAGAGACAGTGGCGGCGAAAAAGATACTATATAATTAATACTTATGCAGTAGCTGCTGCTACTGCTGCTGCAATCCTTTGATGAGCGATAGGTGGGAATGTGCCCTTGGGGATCGTTTATGCCACAGCCAAAGCCACAGCCACGGTGGTACCAGTGAGTGTGTTTTGCCTAATTGGTGTGGTCTGGTCTATACTTGAATCTCCGAACTTCAGCCTATCTCTCCTGTTTGGACAAAACAAGACAGACAGTCCACCCATTGTTGGTAACAACTTACCTTGCAATCAGAAGGCGATTTTCCGGAGAAATGTCTATGGGGACATACTTCACAAGCTCTGATTGTAGTCCTTGTGCCTTCAGCCACATCAGCCTCCCGGCATCAATGATATCCTTGCACATGAACCCCAAGGCTGCCCGATGGATAGGCTGCATACTCCTCACTATATCACTGACCTCACATGACGCTGAATCCAGCTGCCACTCATTCATCGTCTCACTCCTACCCAAATGAAAATTCAGTTAGCCATGCTGATGATACATACATCCATACATACATTACAACTCATCAACTGAATATTAAGGCCTCACATAATAATCTCATGTCCAGTGGAGCTCTCTGTGACAACAAACTCTGAGCCATGATCAGCATCAACTGCCCAGCTGGTAAACCATGATATTGCATGAAATTCTTCCTCGGTGAAGCCCAAATCAGATATGTACGCCTTATCTGCAGGGTGACAATAATTTGTATGGCAACACCACGAATGAAAGCGCCAATATCAATAACTAAAACTGTGCATAGGCATTTTTATTCAAATAAAGATGGCTCCTGTAGTTTACTTATGTAATTCTTCCATTGGCAGAGATGATGGCAGCATGTTGCAATAGCTAGGCCCCTGAGATAACAAATGGCTCCGCGAGGAGGATGAGAAGCAGTCCATTCATATGATTGTTTGTGAATGCAGCATCTTAACGTCACATCTGGATCAAAGTTTCATGATATGTAACAGTTGTCTATTGCCAATATCCACAGGTCGCCACTTCAAAATTCATTACCTGTTGCAGGTCCACAGAGATGTTTACCGATGGCAACATATCCTAATCCTTGTAATGATTCAACATCATTCAGATTTAGATCCTCAACTGCAATTGAAAGGTTTTGTATAATCAAGACTCAAGTTGCAGCACATATCATGACTTATCTCAGATTAAAAGAAAGACGAAAATAGAAAGGATCAAACCAAACATCACATATCAGGCTTCCCCTATTTGCCAATCATGAAAGCATATCTTGCAGGATTAAGAGCTAAATTTATCACGGAGTGGTGTCCCCCATGCTGTGCTATGTCTATTTTGTTGTCAATTAATATAGATTTCTCACATTTAATCAAATATTTTTGGTCAAAATGTACAAAAATTTAACCTGTTAATCAGTAATGCATAATGGATAACTTGGTTGAATTACAACTAATTTCATCTACTTTCAAGATTAATATGAGATTTTTTAAAGCAAGCATACTTTGCTTTGGATCATTTCAATGGAAATCATGTGTTTCTAATCAAGTTGAATCATAAATGAAAAGGTATCCTGAAGACTTCATCAGGCAATCGTCAATGCTCAACACCGAAAGCTCAAAAAAGAACTGACTGTGCACTTGCAATATGGGCTTGTTTTAATTCACATTTGAGATAAATTTTTCATGAATATTTATAAATCCTAATTTTTTGACCAAAAAAAGAAAAAAACAGCACATGTAGGGAGCTTTTTGCATTAGAAGGGTACCTGGAAACTCCATTAGACCATTTTCAACACTCAACGGCAACTACACAAGAAAAAAACCTTCAATATTTATTTCAAATGCCTTCCTATTTTCACTTGTCATCACTATTCATTGGCTAATCATCACATCGTTTCATCAATATTAACCAAATAGCAATTTTAACAAGCCATGACCATTGTAATGAAACCCTGAGAAAGGCATCTCCCTTGCCCCAAAGAGCTTGATTTTTAGAAACAAGCCATGCAAAACACAACCACGCGTTTTCAATAACTTGAACCGGGCAATAGAGAAAATTAGCACTTGGCCACAAAAAAACACACAATGTACATACGGATATCTTCTAAATATACAATTAAAATTGTTCACAATTCGTTCATGTCCCAAAGCATAAAATATTGGCTACAGAATCTGAATTGAAGTATAAACAGGAGATAGTTGCAAGTTCATAAAAACAATAATTCAACAACTCACTGTCAATTCTCAGTCTCTCTACTATTAATCTTTCTTTCTGTCGCAGACTCCGATCAGCCTAAGAGCAGCACATAGTAAAGTAGGCAAGTTAGAAGCATCTGTCCAGCAAGAAAATATATGGAAGCTCAATAGGAGTTCCCACGTGATACTTTAAAATAGAAAAAGGAATTATTACAGAAAGGGGTTTGAAATTTATATATAGAGTGAGGCATAAACTGACTTTGAACTTGTAGGACCTCCGCTCCACCAGTAACACCTTGCTAATCCCATAACAATCCACAAGCATCTGTGTCAGGTATCCTCTTCCAGCTCCAAACTCTACAACTGCAGAAACATCAGTATCCCTCTCAGACTCTGTATTAGAGTGACACTTTTCATTTGTTTCATCAGAAGTGAAACAATATTCTTTTAACACTCCAAACTCCTCTAGATTCCCAAGGATTGATGCCTGCTGCAAAACGTGCTTCTCTTTATATGGTAATTTCCTGAAATATAAAAGAAGCACTCAAATAATGTGAAAAGCTCAATAAACACACAGAAACTACATAACGCTTTGACAAGTTGAATACTTGTCAACTTCTCTGTCAGTCCAAATACTGCAAGATTGGGGAACCATGTAAGAATCTCGAATGATAGTGCATATGGATGCATGAGCAGACTTGATCTTAGCAATCAATCCAATAAACTTTGACACAGGCATGGCATGAACTAAAGCCCTTTTCATTTCAGAAGTAAAATTTGAATCTTTGGGGGTGGCGGTTGTTTCTTCCCCTGCTTCCCCCTCCCCCATATCTTCTTTCCCGGCATTAATGCCCCTTTGATAATATGGCTGGCGAGAGAGAGACTGCGCCTGCTTCTTCAATGGGCATCTATTTAAGTGACTTGGAAGGTTTCCCTCGAGCACGGAACTAACAATTAGCACACAACTATATCATAAGAAACCAAATGTAGTAAATAATATAATAGTGCATTAGAAAAAATGAGAAGCGTAGGCATACTGGGAAGGGTCGATAGGGCATGGAATCCAATGCGCATCTGGCCTCTGAGAGTGATTTCCGCAAAATCTTAAGAGCCGAAATTAAGACATGATTAGCGATGGACAGCAGTAGTAGTACGAATATGATGGGAAGATGAAAGAGAGATTGAGAAAAGAAAAAAAAAAAACAGGAAAAACGAAAGAACGCTGTACGGAGAATCAGAGAGGGGGGAGTTGGCACAAAATCTCTTCTTCTTGGGAAGCCAGAATTTGCAGTGGCTTGACATCGGAGAGCAGACGGAGACGGATGATCAGAAGAAAGGAAGGGATGCGACACTGGTTTATTTATTTTTATTGGGCCACATCTAGAGAAGATTAAAAGACCCAATAGTACAGTAACTGTTTGTCTGGTCCGGCCCAATTGGGCCCTGGAATACAAAACCCTAATAATATGTGCTACCTATTTAAAGCACCGCCCCGTCCCTCCGCTTCATCTTTTTCGATCGATAGAGGCCTGCTTCTCTCATCGGACCCCCTCTACTCAGCGGCTGCGAAGATGCAGATTTTCGTCAAGACCCTTACGGGTAAGACAATTACCCTGGAGGTCGAATCCTCCGACACCATCGACAACGTCAAGGCCAAGATTCAGGATAAGGAAGGCATCCCTCCGGATCAGCAACGTCTGATTTTTGCCGGAAAGCAGCTCGAGGATGGCCGCACACTCGCTGATTACAACATTCAGAAGGAGTCGACTCTACACCTGGTCCTCCGCCTCCGCGGTGGCGCTAAGAAGCGAAAGAAGAAGACCTACACCAAGCCGAAGAAGATCAAGCACAAGAAGAAGAAGGTCAAGCTCGCCGTCCTCCAGTTCTACAAGGTTGACGACTCTGGAAAGGTGCAGAGGTTGAGGAAAGAGTGCCCAAACAACGAGTGTGGTGCGGGGACATTCATGGCCAATCATTTTGACAGGCACTACTGTGGTAAGTGTGGGCTCACTTATGTCTACAATAAGGCCGGTGGGGGCGATTGAGATTTGTAGTTTCACTCACCTTCGAGACTACATATAAAAGAAGGAAGGAGGAACGCTTTGTGATTTGTCTTGGATTTTGATGTCATGCATTTCAGGTGTTGTTTGGGTTTAAGATTTTATACTCGAGTACTATGCTTCCAATTGAGACTAGCTAGATTTTGTTCTCATTTTAATCCGGAATTATCATAATGACTTGAGAGTATTGACAAATGTTTTTCTTCATGGATCAGAGCGTGCATATCAAACTCTGAATCTTGCCAAATTAGATAATGTCTGTAGTATGTATCAATCACAGTCAGGGAGGTCTTCCTGTTAGGATTTGCATTTGTTTTTAATGATTCGGATGATAGCACCAAAATCTGTGTCTGCGTGCTCTGTGGTATGGCCTATTCTCTGATTGTAAGTTTGCTGTGGCCGACGACCCTAGTGTGTAATTGGAGGAGCGGTGAGTAGAATTGCATTTGTTGCTAATATTTCGGATGATAGCACATCAGTGAGTATGTGGTGCGGGCTAATTTCTGATGGTTGTGAGTTCGTAATGACCTTACCCTGCTGTGTGATTAGTTGGCTTGTGTGAGTGGAGAGTGGAGAGTGTAACTGCCTGCCTGCCTGCAGTTGTTTTTATGTCAATTCCAGCATCATAACATGAATTAGCTGTTGCAATGCAATCCTCGAGCCATTTTAAGTGGTAGTAGCATTTAGTCTCGAGGGTAGGGGTGAGTAGGGCCGAGTTCTCTTGGTATTTTGCTCGTCCCTTGTACTCATTGTTCTGTGGTTGCATCCTCAGTCTGTTTCTAACGTAACCTAACCTAATCAAATCTACTCTGTGTCTGGACTCTGGTTGTAGAGCAGGAAGGCATGGTGTTTGTATTAAATCTCACCCGAATTCTAAATAAAAGTAGTAGTAGTAGTAGGGCAAATGATTCACTGAGTCATGACTGCTAGCTGGCTGTGTAGGGTTTATTGGTTTTATTTTATACATGTATGTATATATCGAATGAGATTGAGGGAGGGGGATAATCTGATGTGATGTGCTCCTCCTCCTCTCCCACCGCACAACAAGCATCCATCACACAACATTGTTTTATGCTGGGATCATTGTATATCTATCTCTATCTGCGAATGCTACCTTGTTTGTACGCCTGCCTTACAATCTGTTTCTTTCATAAATGAATGTTTGTTTGTTTGTTTGTTTGTTTGATTGTGTATGACAACAATCGGGCGTTATGGCTGCTGCTACGCCCAACTTTTTGTGTTTCAACAAATTTTCTCATTTAAGATTACCCCATACCATTTACACCCCACCCTGTTTAAGATGAGTGTGTACTGTTGTAGTGCCTACCCATATTACTGTATGTTATTATTATTCCTAGGATGAATTTTATAAATCTAATTCTTGAGGTTACATTTTGCATACTTGATGTTACAGTTGGCATACTATTAGGTTTGACTAGGTGCTATGAGTTCCAACCCAGTTTTAAGAGCTACTTGTATTTTGGTTCTATAGAAGATATAGCGAATGCATATGCATTGATAAATTAACCCAGTTTTAATTAATAAACTTGATGAAGTCAACGCTATTCAATTAAAAAGTACATTCAAAATATGGCGGTGGGTTTGTTTAAGGCTGAGATTCGTAATTGCCAAGCTAGAAGAGAAGGGAAGAGCCTTACATATATATATATATATATAGATATAGAAGATATATGGTGTTCTGTTCATTCCTGTGTGCACGCACTGCACCCAACTTCACTGGTTGATTATTAAGCGCAACCAGTTGCCTTAATTAATTATATGGATGAATGAAACCAGTACAAGTGCGCGTACGTGTTCATTGAAATTGAACTTGACGACTTTTCAAAGGAGGAAATTAATAGTAAGTGCTTTGGATTGGCTTTGCTACTTTGCTTTGCTTTGGGTGGGCTCGAGAAAGAGAGAGAGAGAGAGAGAGAGAGAGAGAGAGGTTGACCAACAACAGCAACAAAAAAGAAATAAGCACACACATGGACATGCCGCATTAGCAGGAAAAGGGCACGTGCAGGTGCGCAGTCAACGACGCAGCCGCAGCTGCAGCTGCCTGTAATTAAGTAATTGATTAGTCAATGGAGGAGCGGAGCAGAGCAGAGCAGGATGATGATGATGGTATTGAATGATCTCCATTGATGTGTGTGTGTGTGTGTGTGAGAGAGAGAGAGAGAGAGAGAGAGAGAGAGCAGGCAGGCAGGCATGCATCCTTGATCCGAATTCAGTTCACGAGAAGGTCGGGTCAAGTCGGGGAGCGGCAGAGGTGCGCGACGACGGAAACCCCGCCGTCGACGGTGAGGTTGAGGCCGCTGACGTAGGCCGACTCATCGGAGGCCAGAAAGAGCGCGGCCTCGGCGACGTGGTCGGCCCTGAGCACCAGGCCCTTGAGGTTGGCGGCCTCCCCGCAGGCCTGCTCCACCTCGCGGGGCTCCTGCCCGTAGACGGCGCACGCCAGCGGCGTCGCCACTCCGAACGGCGAGATGCAGTTGACTCGGATCCCCCGCCGGCCCAGCTCGCTGCAGGCCGACCGCACCAGCCCCACCACCGCGTGCTTGGACGCCGTGTACTCGTGCGGGCCCGATCCCCCCAGGCACCCCGCCACGCTCCCCGTGCATATGATGGACCCCCTCACCCCCTGCGCCACCATGGCCCGGGCCGCGTGCTTGATGGTGGCCGCCACCCCGCGCACGTTGGTGGCCATCGCCCGCTCCAGCGCCGCCATGTCCAGATCCAGGATGCTGGCGTAGGGCTCGATGGTCCCGGCGTTGCTCACCATCACGTCCAGCCTCCCGAACTCCCGCACCGCGTACCTCACCGTCTCCGCCACCTGCTCCTCCTCCCGCACGTCGCACCGCCGGTACCTCACCCTCTCCCGCCACGACCCCATGGAGGCCACCACCTGCCTGCCCAACTCGTCCTGTACGTCGGCCACCACCACCGCCGCCCCATGCCGGACGAACAGTCTTGTGGCCGCCTCCCCAATGCCGCTCGCGCCGCCGGTGATGATTGCCACTTTACCCTCCAACCTAGCAGTTTGTTTGTTTGTTTATTTAATTAACAAATGAATCAATTACTACTTGACTAATACTAATAAGTAGGAGAGGTAGCTCGATTACGCTTATCTCAGCTATGTCTAGGTATGTATATATATGTATGTATTAGACCGACGTTCTCACGTACGTACTCACCTTGCTGTAGGGGGAGGGTTTGACGCCGACGACATTTGAGGGAGCACGGCGATCAGACCAGATCAGATCGGTGATGCGAAGAAGAATAAATATTATACAAAAGGAAAAGGAAGGAAGGTGGAGTAAGAAGAGGTGGTGGTGACCATGAATTGATGGAGGGTACCTCTTACTCTTAGCTTAGCTAGCTAGGTCTGCAATTAGGCCGAGGGGCCGCCCTCTTTTATTTATTTATCCGAGTAAAAATTACAACACTACTGGCTGGCTAGTAGCAGTAATAGTAATAGAAATACTACTGTAGTTGTTACGTAATTCAACCAATGGGCAAGGAATTAGTTAGGACGAGGAGGGGGGACTGAGCAGCAGTGCAGTGCGGTGCAGTTACTAGCCTATATTAATTGGAGAGGGAGAGGGGAAGAGGGAGGGCAAGAAGAAGGACGTGCGGCGCACTTGTCGGTTTACAGAAACAACAAGTAGTGGCAGTAGTAGTATCTGTTTGTTTATTTATTAATAGTGTGGCATTATTGAAGTCAAAGTCTCCACCCGTTCATTGATTGAATTTCATGTTGAGCGATGTTGGGCCTGGGTTTTGGGCTTGAGCTCCTTCTTGTTTAGATAGATTATTAAATCATTGCTAAAATATTACTCGATTATTAACCCAACCCAATCCGTGTTCGCAATTGTAAGCAGTAGTCAGACCAGACCAGCCCTGGTTAGGTAGGTAGAGAAGAGAGGAACGGATGGTGTCGTGTGGATGGGTGCTGGATAGGTCAGTTCCGGAGGAACTTCATTTCATCTCCGTCGTAGATCCTCCACACATCATCACCGTCATCTTCATCTCCTCCTCCTCCTCTTCTTCTTCTTCTTCTTCTGCCCCCCAAATGTATGTTGCCGCCGCCGCCGCAGCAGCAGCAGCAACCGCAGTGGTTGCCCCGCTCCACCACTCCAATCGCAATCTCTTCTGCTCCGAAACCTCTATCCCTCCTCCGCCCTTACCCTTGACCTCGCACCTCCTCGCCAGTATTCGCCCCTTCCGATGCCCCGCCCCCGCCCCGGCCAACTCTTACTACTACTACTATTATTATGCCCGTCCTGTAAGGAGGAGCCCTTCGCGCTCTCTCAAATTCCGCCCATCCTTTTCTCCTGTCATGCAGTGGCAAGACTGCACGTAATCTCCATCACCTTCTCCGATGCTTCTATTTTGTGCCATCTGGCTCTGATTTTACCGAGTTTTCTAGTCACTCATTTACCCCCAACCGTAGAATAGCTTATCATCACTCAACGCTACGTTCCTTCTTTCTATTGCAGGGTGAAAATGCAAGTGGATGTGCCCACTTCGGTTGCTTATAAATGTTATTCTGATCGTGAAGCCATTCCTCAATGGATGCCCTTCATTTCATCTGTAGAGGTGATTAGCTGTGAAACTTTTTCATATCGCCTATTTTTTTTGGCACCATTCAGCTAGCCTTGTATTGTCCATGGATGGATTCAAATTACAAGCTACATAGCTCAAGCCACAGAAACCACGACCGTGCTCAAGCCACAGAAACCACGACCGTATTAAGTTTCTCAAATCAAAGCACACCCCACCCACATCACTGCTTCTTTAGATTTGTAGAGTTAAGCAAGCGTGTGCTCATTCTGTTTTTAGATTGTGGAGGGCCAACCCGACTTATCTCGGTGGTTACTCAAATACAAAGCATTCGGACGAGATATAGAATTCTCTTGGCTTGCACGGAATATGCAGGTATGTGGACAATTCAAGTTCATCACGCCACTCTTTGACAGTCTAGTGCAGTATTACTTTCTATCAACTTCAGCCGGCTATTTCATTGCAGCCAATACCAAACCAGAAAATCCACTGGAGATCAATGGATGGTCTTCCCAACAGGTAGAGTGAGACTTCATGATGCACACTCCTGGGGGTGGTGGACTGTGGGTATAACAATACTTGCTAGACTCTTTACTCTACATTAAGACTATCTCCGGCCATCTCTATTATTAGCCCCAAATACCACCTTTTTCCTCTAAACAACTACAACAATCTCCATTTTTATGCCCCAAATTTTGCTGAAATAAATACTGTTGCTCAAAAATTCAAAGCGATTATTGTTCAAACTTTTGTTGCTGAGTCCAAATTTTGGAGAAAACTGAGATAATGATTGGAGATGCTATGCAGGACTTGCTATGGCTTATTATATTGTTTCTCAGCTTGGGTCTTTAATGAATGATGCAATTTGGCTAAGAATTCATTGTTTAGAAACTTGAGCTCCCACCAATAAAATATGTGTGGCATTCAATGTGGATGTATGGCAAAAGGCGTAATGCTAAGACATTCCTATGGGCAGTAGATTAAATTTTTTCAATGCATGTTTGTTTCAAAAGGCTATGCTTGACACTGTTTGTTCTCTTTGCCCACACAATGTTGCAGGGGAGCTGTGAGATTCTTCCCGAAAGGTGCTTCTTCATGCGTGGTAGAAGTATGGCTTCTTCTGAACTTTTCCGGTTTACCTATAGGTTTTTAGAATTTGAATATGTATGTATAATATTGGTATTATCTTTCTTGTGAGGTTCTATCACTTTAGATGGTTCATCCTTGTCTGGGGTGTTTGTCCCAAAGTTGGGTTTTTCTGTATGGTATTTATATTAATGTATAGCACAATCCTAGCTGTGATTTATGCACGTGTGTAAACTAAGATTTGTTGATTAGCGCATGTTAAACAAGTGCTAGGTGGAAGGAGTTGAATTGAGTGGGGGAAGCCACACCCACAGCCATTGTTGGCTGCTTTATTATTCTGTTGTAATTACTCATTGGATTCTTTTGTATTTCAGCTTACTGTATCATATGAAGTACCTCAACTGCTGACTCCAGTGGCCTCTGTAAGTGTACTATATATGTTGTCTACAAGATGATACTCGAGAGGTTTTTGCAGTTCAATAATTGAGGCATGGCTGAATTTGGCACCATTGCTGTAGAATTTGAGCATTAGAGGGTTTTGGCATCAATTAAATTTCAAGTCTAGTTTGCAGCCAGCGGCATCGTGTTTATCTCACTTCCTTTTGCTTATTAGGCACTTCAACCTTTTCTGGAAAGCTTGCTAGCACGTGGACTGGAGAGGTTTGCTAGGTTTGCTAAAAGCTACTCATCTGAATCAAGATGATGATGTGTGTGTATGGTTGTCCGAGTGATTTGAATTTTTTCACCCATTATTTAACCTGTGATGGATGATGCCTTGCATGGATGTGTAAGCTTAAGCGGATTGGAGAAACACAAGCATCAGCGATATGTAATTCTCCAAAATTATGAATAATGAAAAGAATTGAAATGAGCGCCCGTGTAAACAATGTACACTGTTCTTTTGGAAATCCATCGGGAACAATGCTAGTTAATTCATAGGTGTGTGCGCATAAAGTGTATTGAACTTTGAAAAATGGTACATATGTTGTAGTCCATGACCACACAACATTATTGATCGGACTATAGTGTTATGTTTATGTCTTAGAATTGAGTGAGCCCATCTTTTTCTAGGCTGTGCAGAGTAGTGAGTAGGATTAGTGTTCTTGGCTGTTTGCCGGCAACAGTTGCACGTGTATAGTGTGCATGCGTATCTTTGTTGAATTGTTGTCCATCATTGAAGAATAAAGAAAGAGAAATACATGTTTTGTTGTTGTTGATCCAGGGATATATGCTGCCTGGCACAGCCAGACTATTCACCCTGCTCTGGAACTTGAAACCAGGAAGAACTAACTATCTTCAGGCTAGGCTATTATGATGAGCACGAAAGGCCATTGCTCATCTCCCGGTCCCAATGAGTTGTGAGAATAACAAGTTGGGCTTAGCTGGCTGGCTGGCTACCGTCTTTGTCCAAAGTGAGTCCTTGAGTTCAGACCCTTGGTCCAAGAGATTGATGATCATCATTTGGTGCCTCAAGGGTGGAGTATATCTTAGCTTGAGTGCAGGTGAGCGTGCTATACTAGTCGTTTTAACTGAAGAATAATGCATTATTGGAGGCATTTGCAAGAAACTCTGATTTGATAGCAAAAGAGAGAGAGAGGTTGTATAAAGTTGAAACAAGCGTTGCTGGTGCTCTAAGAGAACACATACAAACAGGGCAAGGCAGCGCATTGAGAGAGGTGTAGGTGGCGGCAAAATGACCACCCCTCCCACTCGGCTGCAGCAGCAAAGTCAGGAAGTCCATCATAATCTTATGTTACGCAAATCTTCGCCTCTACTTTCATTTTCGGGTGGGTAAAGCTGGCTGGCTGGCTGGCTGGCTGGGAACATAGCTCTCTTCTTCTAACTTTATTATTGTACTTTATTGTTATTATTATTATTATTGTTATTATTATTATTATTATGCTATCTATCTGTCGTTTGTTTGCGTTCTGCGGTCAATTCTCTCATCACTCAGAGTGGACTACTACTGTAGATGAGCAGTTTCGTGCACTGCATTCACATCGTAGGAAGAAATGAGTGGAGATATTAATAATTTTGATTGTGAGATCGACGACGCTCGTCTCCAACATCATCATTATCATCATCATCTTTCTTTAATCAATCAATCAATAACCCTTCTTTAATCAATCAATCAATAACCCTTCTTTAATCAATCAACCAACCAATCAATCAATAATTTGGATCGAACTCTTGTTTCATTCATTCCTTCTTTTCAGCCATTTTTAGCAGTGGTCCGTCTGAAGCCATTGGCAGCACGGCATATATATAACCAAAACTCACGTCATGACAATAATAATAATAATAATAATAATGATAATGTCGTCGTCGCAATGATATTCACAGAGTTTCGGAAAAGATACATACAATACAATACAATACAGACAGAGACATACAATCAACGCATCATCAAATCACTTATTATCACTTCGAACTCTATTGCCACTGCCGGTGCTGGTGCTGGTGCTGGTGCTGGTGCTGGTGCCACTCGCTCCCTCATAAGGAAGGAAGGAAGGAAGGAAACATATGGCTGGCTGACTACCCAGTGTTGTTGTTGTTGACAGCATCATTTTAATTAATTAGTTAGTTAATTTGCGGCAGCACGCACAAGGATTACGGAAGGAATTGACGCTACTACACACACCACACCGCAGAGGGATCACTATCACTCACACCTAGTAGTAGTAGTCTGGTGCTGAAAGAAAGAAGCAAAGAAAGAAAACACATCATCCACCCATCCCTCCACAAGCTTTGATTTTGGATTTGGATTTCATTAAGGCAGAGGTTGGTTTGATGGCGGGGAGGAGGAGGAGTTGCACCGACTCATCCCTAAATTAGATGGCCTCCCCCCATGCACTTCGGTGCTCCTACGAGGACTAGCCCTCTCCCCTCCTCCGACTCCTCCTCTGAGTTCACTGATTCTGGGGCTGTACGCCTTCTCAGACAACGACACCCTGGGGCTCTGCTGCCTCACATCTTTGGGTGCTGCTGCTGCTGCTGGTGAACTACTGCTCGTCACTTTTGGACTGATGCATATGTGCTTGATCTCCCCGCGACTTCTCGTGATCATCCCGTCTAGAATCTCCCCATCCTCCGCCGCAAAAGAAGCCCGCCTGCTGCTGCCGGCACCACCCCATCCCCATGGATCTCCTCCTCCTCCCCCTCCCTCCTGCAGCATCATCACCGCTGCAGGCGCCTCCTCGTAGTCGGCGGCGTCCAGATCCTGAAGGTGGGCCCCCTTGAACAACTTGGGCAGTATGTACTGCCTCACGGGGACCAGCAGCATAATCAGCAGCGGGAACAGCACCCCGGCAATGGGAACCCACGTAATCCCGAAGCACACCACCAGATACCCCGTTTGGAATATCGTGAATGCTGCAATTGTCTTCAGCGGCACGGTCTCTACGAATGTCGCGTGGTACTCCTCCAGCACCCTGATGGATGGATCATGGATGGATGATCACTGTCAACGTCAATTATTCACTTGTAATATAATAAGACTACTGCAACTACTACTTACTTGTATCTCCTGCTGGGCGCGGTGAAGAGCAGCAAGATCCTCTCCCAGAACTGGTTCCCGGGCAGGCTCTCAATGGCCATGAAGGCGAAGTACCCCCAAAGCACGGATGTTGGGATCATCCTGAGCGCGGGCATCGCACCCACACACCCTCCCACCATCAGGGCTTGCAGCAGGTTGCTCACCCGCTGCTCCTTCACCTCCACGGGCAGCAGCTCGTCGATTTCCTTCTCCACGTCAAACACGGCTTCATCCACCGGTGCATCAAAGCTTCCCATGCTCGACGCCAACTGGACCGTCGTTTCTTTCAACTCCTTCAGAGCCCCCTGATTGATTCAGAGACAGAGACAGACATATGATATGTATGAAAGGATGAATGAATATAATTTTTATTGATTCATACGTACCGCATGTGGTGGGTGCTGGTAGATGAGAGGAGTCTGCATCTGTTGATATGCTTCCTGCATGCTACCGTACAGTTGTCCCAAGCTTGAGTTTTTTTGGATGCTCCTGCGCGCTGTGGCTACCAGCCGATTCCTCAGCAACTGTGTTCCATCCACGAATTGAATTAAGATTAATGATGCATCATCCATCATTCATTGCTTACTGCTACTGCTACTGCTACTATAAAACACAACACATCCCTGGGAGTGGGAGTGGGAGTGGGGGGCGATCAAACTCACCTGGTGTTTCAGAGTTGCTAGACTTTTCGTATGCATCGGAGACTGCGGTATCACACCATTCGATGGAGGAATACCAATAAGACCGCACATCAATGTCTGCCAACGGAAACACAAGCACTAAATAAATCTATACTACAGATATGGGTGGACTGCCAAACTTAAGCAAGCAAGCAAGACATTTCAAGGCTAGCTAGCTGTTAACAAGATGGATTCTCTCTGTCACTCTGGCTCTCTTCTGCTCTGCGTACCAGGAAGCCAAGCAGCAGTAAATCATAATGGAACGAAGGGGGCTTTCTCAAATTGAATTCCTTCTGCTGAGCCAACTGAGATGCGACGCTGTGGTCGAAGTAGTAGAGCACTGCAATCATAGTTGCAGGTATGAAGGCTCCAAATATGTAGAGGATCGGCACGTCCAACATTTCCTGAAGAAGATAGATACAATAGTAATTATAAGTGAATTGGTTGTTCTTAACTAAAAGGAGGACACAGATTGATCTTGATCGTGGGTGATGATGAAATGTGAGAAAGATGGATGCTTGCTTGCCTTGATTACAGTCCAGTTCTGATAGGCAGCAGGAGCCCAGGGGTTGGGGCTGAGCAGACGTCTTGGAATCCCCTGCGGAACACTTTTTGAGGGTATGTAGGACACGGCTGTCCACACCAATACCATTAGCGGTACCCCATAGTCTGCTATCAGGCTGCGAACCCAACCTGCATCCATCCATCCATCCCGCCCGGTAAAGCATGGAAATATGGAATTGGATTGAATTGAGCATTAATCATATCATATCATATACTCATATCCTCCTCCTCTATTCTGATCATCTCATACAGTAACAATAACACAATCACAGATCGAGTATAGATAATAATAATAAGAACAAGAATACTAGCCCGTACCACTTCCATAGCGCCACGAACGCGCTTTCCGGCTTCTCAAGGCAGTTAACAATAGCCCAAACGATAGCACCAAGGCAAACATGCCATTGGCAAACCGCCATGAAGGCATGAACTCAGTTCGCCTGCTATCCTCCCTTTCTGGGATGCGAAACTCTTCCACCAGCCCCTGATCATCCGAGTCAGAACAACGAGTTAATTAATAATTAGGCCAGCCAACCAAGATGCTCTGCAAGTTAAACATAGATGGAATGAATTCATTAGATCGATGGTTGGTTGGTTGGCTGGCTGGCTGGCTGGCTAGTTTCTTACTCTTATGGCTTGCTGCATGAAGAGCATAGCAATAAGCATTCCGAACAACTCTCCAGCCACGCGGGTAAACCTATTGATAATAGAGCAAGCTCCCAATATTGCCAGCAAGAACAACAGGGCTGCAGTCCAAACGCAAACCCTGAGGAGAGGAGGGAGGTAATTCATTCATCACACCAACAAATTAACATGCATGCATGCATACTTTCATACATTTTTAAGATTAAACAAAAGGGTAGGTAGGTGAACAGAAGTTCGATGGATCCGATCATGTGAACCCTCACTCACCATCCAGTCCATGCAAGAAACATATCACGACCCAAATCTGGCCTCTGTTTAGCAAAGTTGAACATGAAGGTGTACATTATGACGGTAGGCTCAGCAACTCCAAGAATTAGCAAAGGTTGTCCTCCAATTATGGAGTGTATGATTCCGCAAATCGCGGTGGATGCTAGTGTCTGCACCGCGGTTAAGACTCCATCTGCAGCAGGTTCAATCAACATATCTATAAATTAATTATGCTGAGGATAATAAAGGATCGATTGCTTATATACAAGATGTAAAGCCATAACATTATCATTATAATTATTATTATTATTATCAGATCAATGTGTTGGATCGGTCTTGTTGTAGTTACCTGTACTTCGCTCCAGTTGCTCGCCAAAGGAAATGACTGGGATGGCGGATGCGAAGAATATATAGGTGGTAGGTGCCAATATCCTGAAATGCGAAGAGAAGAGAAGAGAAGAGCACATCTCATCCTAGCTAATTCCATAGTTGAGTTGACCACCGTAATTTAATTAGTGAATAATGAAGCTTAGCTTATATATAATTAAGGTGGACGAAGATGAATATACAAAAATATATACCTGAAACCAGCGCGGAGCCCACCAGTCCAGTCTTGCTTGTAACAGAGGAGCCTCCCTTGAATGTCGTTCTTGATCCCACGGAAGGGGATGAATGTTTCTTCCATCACAGAAAGAATTGAATTAAAGAGATGAGATGAGATGAGAGATGCAAGGTTGGTTGGCGGATCAGTGGAGGAAATGAGAGGCTTGTATAATTATTTCACTTCAATGAAGACTCGTCCATCTGCATCCATTCCCGCTTGAGATCATAGAAGAGATGCCTGATGACTGCTACTGATATAGTACTACATATATAGTTACAGGGAGAGGGAGAGGGAGAGCGTGTGTGTGTGTGTGCGCGCTAGTCTCTTTTAATTGGTTTTCTTCTTGGTTGGACTTGGATGTGTTTGCTTTGAAAAAGGAAGGAACAGTAGTAGGTAGGGAGGAAGTAGTGGGGTGGGAGAGATGTGAATGTAATATTGCATGTGATGTAGAGTCAATGTATATGAACAGCAGCAGCAGTAGTGCTGGTTAATTAATTATGTGAAACAAACAGCAGCTAGCAAGTAATTAAGTGAGAGTAGTAGTGTTGAATAATGAGTGAGCTCCCTCCATCCATTCCCGACTAGAAGATAGAAGAAGAATGGTTATAAGTATATTACGATCGTCTCCAACATCATCATCACTCACTCTTTTAAAGTATAATAATAATAATGATAATGATAATGTGGGCATCCAACAAGGCAAAGTAATCAGAGCAGAAGCTGACGAGAAAAAGAAGAATATGCAAATGCAAAAGAAAAAGCAAAAGCAGGCAGCTAATTAAGATAGATTCATCGGTTCAAGTCACTCAGAAACACTCCCCTTTTTTTCTAAATATATATATATATAATTAGACAATTAACTAATAAATTGATTAATTAATACTAAGCCAACTCATCCTGTTTATATTCTCTGCCCTCATCACCTACTCATTCTTATAATTCCTAATGGTAGGTAAAATTATACTAATATATATATATATATATTGTCTTTAATTTGTCTTGGAACGAGGAACGAGTGAGGAGGGATGGATGGATATATAGATGTACGTATATACGCAATATATAATAATACAAAATGAAGTAGTATAATATATTGTTGTTGTTTTGGACTGAGGGAGGAAGGCAAGGCAGCAGCCATGGGGAGCTTAGCTTTGCTTTGCTGTAAGTGGGATTGCAGATTGCGTTTAATTGCATCATGTGGATGCCAGTGCATTCACACGCATTAATACATAATAACAATAAGAATAAGGAGAAAGAAAAGGAAAAAACAAAACATACATAAATACATTATAACAATGATCGTCGTATCATCATATCATATATATATATTGTGTCTGATTATGGAGTGGACTACTGCTACCTCATATTTATATTCAATCCTCTTCACGTCCTTCTAATACACTATATATATATATATATATTAACATATGGTGTGTTGTCCGATAATATACAGTATTATTATCCGCATCACACAATCATCTTATTATACAAAATATGTGATGTGTATAATAAGACTTTGACTGCTTAATTTTTCAAATAAGTAGGATGCTTATTTTTATAATTCAGCCGTTGCCTTAATTAATATTTGGTTGTGTATTATTTGAATTGGTAATATATATATATATATATATATATAATGTGGGATTCATCCATCCAATCAAAAAATAAAAAACCACTTGCTAGTTAGGAGTTAATGAATTAATTAAGGTAAGGGATACTTGAGAAGCTAGCTAGTATCGTCGTCATCATTGTATAGTTAGATTTATTGTGTGTGGTCGTGGTCGTCGTCTTTTTTATTTTTTGTTTTATTTTATTTTTTCCCTTTGTAAACGACTGGAGGCCGAAACTACTTTAATTCTACACCCCCAGTTTGGCAATGATTAAAACAAACGTACCGTGTTGGAGATGATGATTTATATTCCTAAAAATAATAAACAATAATAATAATAATAATAATAAGATGAGACAGACAACAAATCAATAATGGCTAACCAGGGTGGGTGGTATTGGTAATAAAATAAATATAAAGTATGTATGTATGTGTGTGGGAAACAGAGATACAACTTTACTTTACATTTACATGCACGATGAGACTGATCATCAGATACAAATACATATAAAGTATAATATAAATATAAACATAAATATAATGAGCAGACTGAGGTGAGGTGGTGGGAGGAGGAGGAGGACCTCGCTAGGGTTCTCTATATATGCCCAATCCCAGGCTGGTAAAACGGTGGACGGTAAATGAAATAAATAATCGATTCATCCACCAACAATATTCATTAATTGCTCTTATTAGAGAAATAATCAACTTCATGCATGCAGAGGTTCTCTGGTGCCCACTCAAATTATGATTATGATTATGATTATGATTATGATTATGATTATTATTATTATTATTATTATTATTATTATTATTATTATTATTATTACTATTACTATTATTATATTGATGGAGCTTAATCAACACCGTGCATGCATTGTTTATTAGTTCAACCTATACAGTAATAATGTATGCATGTCGCTGGCCCCGCAATAATCATTAAAAGCTACTTTTTGTAGCACTTAATACAAACAATCAAATCAACCACCACCTCCTCTCTACGCACTAACATTTGGAATTATGACACGATTCATCTAATCAAATACTCACTACTATTAGTATAGTGCCCAAACACATGATGTAATACTAGTGAGCTTGTGGTTCGTTCGAATTCTCTCTCTCTCTCTCTCATGAACAATGAATGAAGTTGTCTTCTCTCTGTCAGTCTGTCTAGTGCCCAAATATAATGAAAATCCTGCCTCTACTTTACTACGATGTGATCGTGATCGTGGTCGTGGTCAAGCCACGTTACTGCAGTTTGCATGCATATACTTACATGATACTACTTAATTGTCTGATTGGATGGCCGCAAGGAGTGCTCATCTACCCTACCATAGTCAGTAGTCACCCACAATTATTAATAATACCAATAATATATAACTAATCATCATTTTATACGAAGAAAAGGAATCATATATATCCTCACAATAATAACAATCATAATTCAAAAGTCAACGCACCTTCATTATTATAATACCAATACCAATGCGGTGGCACACACACTGCTCACTAGTCACTGCTTGTCAGTTAGGATGGTCTCCAAGAACCATGCATGCATCTCTATGACCTCAAAATGTTGTCTTGGTGTTGGTGTGGTGTTATGGCAATGGCACGCACGCTTGAGTAGCTGAGATATACTACTCTACATATGCATATACATATATGCACCCTCACCCTGTTGTGCGTGCCATGAATTGAATGTCCACCTGAGCCTGAGCTGCAGGAGGGAGGAACCAAACCATGAATTGATGATGCACGCATTCAAATTCAATCCCTCCTATAACACTCTACTTCTCCCATCCCTACAAATTTTAATTCATTAATTACTAAATCAGCAAGTCCGCACATAACATTACAGACTCACCTGACCCGAAAAGCAAAGCAAAGCAAAGCGAATTTTGAAAAACCTCCTCCTCCTCCTCCTTCTTCTTCTTCTACTTCAATAACATGTCACACGTGAATTTCCCATCAGAAAACCTCAGTTTCTCTGCTTTCCTGACAGCGTCCCGTGGAAGAGGACTGAAACTCCGAGATGGACCATAGAAATGAGGAAATGCATTCAAGTCGTCCACACCTTCATATATCAGCCCATCTCGTAGCTGCAACATTAACAGTACTAGCCTGCTATAATTAATACTCCTTCTAAACAAATTAAACCCATACCCATCTCCTCAAGTATCTGCATTGCGAATATAGATAGATGCATACCTTCTTAGCATCAATCTGGAGTAGGTACAGATCTGCCTTCACATTCAAGAAGAAGTTTTGCAAAGTTGATGGGACCTGCACTTCAATTCAATTCCAAATATGATCAGCTCGAATATAGTCGTGGAAATCAATGGTTTTCTGTTTGATCGTTAACATCAGATCAAGGAAACAACCAAGACTGGCTAACTAGTACTGACAGAGTATAAAAAGAATTACAACAGAGAGCACTTTGCCTAGACAAATTAAAATTAGGGGCCTAAAGATGGGCAGTAAAATCTAAATCAACTTATATATGTATTGACATATGCGTGTACATGATTATAGAATTCTTCACACTTCCTCTCAAGCAAGCGAGGGCATACAAATTGAATATAATGTTCCTAGCTTGTCTTTTTCTTAAATATATTTGATATACATGCAAGCGGATTTTGCTCACTCTAACCGCTGGAGGTCTGCTAACATGATTGGGGCGGCCACAATGCAACCGGATAACAACTCCTCGCAAGTAAAAAAACAACCAATCGATTTCATTGTGCATGCTCAGTTCCTTAATTTGTGAAACACTGGAGTACAGAGTTAATGTAAATCACAGACTGGTCATCATATATAAAACAATGTACACACGTAATTTGAGTTCAGTAAGCAAATGTTTGATCAAAATGAGCTAATAGTTGGGGATGGCCAAGGCCAGCCATTGCATTGCATGATATCCAGCATCAATGCTGGGTTGACCTCCTCACTCTTCCAGTGATAAAACATTAATTACCTCCAAGAAGTTACATTAAACTGAGCCACCAAATAGTGAAATAACCTTGGCAGTGAGACCCGTTAGCCAAATATACTGAATGTTAACTAGGTCTTGGAGAAGATAATAGCAACATACATGCTTGAGGAGTTCAATTCGATGGACCAAAAAGGGAGCGACTTTGGATCTCTTAAAATAACAAAAATCAAACTTTTTGTTCAAATACTAATTCCTATACTTAATGCTAGATATCCAATCTCTATTCTCAATACACTACTCCCTCCCTCCATGTTTGGTGGATCTGGTGCATAAACGGGAATTTTTATTTACTTTGTTTTAAATCACGATTCAAGACAAGACACCGCGCTACACAATACTAATTACTAAAACAGAACGCGTGAAGGATGTGAAGATTGTGGAATCAATCAGCAATTTCAACATAACATAACGCAAGCTAGGGAAGGTCAAGATCTTGATAATATATATCTCTCTCTAAAAAGAATATCAAAAGGCTCTTCAATTGGGTCGAAGTCACATAAGGGTAACGTTAGTTTAGGATAATGATTGATCTATTATTAAGGAAGGCAATCAATCAAGCAATGAGATAATATATGATATAGAGGAAGGGGAAGGGGAAGCTACCTGATGGAGGCTGCTGAGGTGAATACAAGCAGTGGATTTATCAAGGTGTCCACCGAAAGTGGCGCCGGTGCTCTGCAGCTCATCCCATTCCTGAGCAGTGCTGATCCGGTAAACAAAGTCTGCGATATCGCAATCGTCCTGATGGACAGCCATGAAATTGCAATTGGATTGAGGCAGTAGGATCCAATTCCAGTTGGAGCATGCCAGGACAGGAGGAAGAGTTATTTCGGGGTGGGGCATCCGCAGCAAGAGCTGCTTATTAGGTCTGGGGTATATTATCCGACCCGAATCATGCTTGACCTCAATAGGCTTAAAAATTCTCGAACCTAAACCCTAACCCGGCATGCCAATGCTGTGCTCGGCCCATAAAAATTTTATTCATTTAAAATTTAAAACATATATTAATTAATAAAATAATAGTAGTAAAAATTAAGGTATGATTTACTGATAAGGTTTATATATATATATATATATAATATATATTTTATTTTTAATAATAAATTAACAATCAATATAAAATATATCATCTATCCAATGGTAAATTTTAAAAGAACACAATATAGCATAATAATTTTTATTGAGTACATGTGTGTGTGTTTTAACTTTAATATAAAAATAATATTTGATCATATACTTTCTAAAAAATTAAATATATTTTCATTTAAAAAATATAAAATTTAAATAATAAAATTTAAGAAGTTAGAGGGGAAAGTAACACCTGTGGCCTAGTCTCGAGTCTCGTGCATGAGAGAAGCAATTATATTGGTATGTGATGTCACGGGTTCATTTGACTCAACTGTATATCCAAATCATCTACATTAGTAAATACTCTAATTTAGTAAATAATATTTAATACGCATTAAAATGGTCGTACTCGCACTCGTACTCATCTCTTCGTCCCCCTTCTTGTTAGGTTTTGTTTGTCTGGTTTTGGATTTTGAGTTGGAATTTGAACAGTGAAAATTTTGAATTTGAATAATTGTATGATGTGATATAAATAGGTGTTGATGCTATATTTTAAATGTAAAATTAATTTTTATTATAAAATAAAAATAAAAAAATAGGTGTTTGATTGATAGTTTGGGGGGGGGAATGGGAGGAATAAAACATAGGTGTTAGGGTGCAAATCCAACTCCCACATCGGAAGTTGTGAAGAAAAATTTCACACTTTATAAGTCTCAGGTGAACTCCATTAGTACGAGTGAATTCCACTTCTACGAGATCTTTCAGATAATATTCAAAAATAAATGTGGACTCAGCTATGGTTGTTTATCATAATCAGTCAACTAATAGTTTATCCTTACATCGAGCATATATATATATATAGTGTTTTTTATTCTTCAAGTTTGATCAAAGTAAAGTTTTCTCTACAATTATGATCTTATTAATTACTGCTTCGGCCCACTCTAAAGTTACATGTATTTTTTACATGTTGATTTTTTTAATATTAATTATTATATGAAAATATAGTATAAATTAAAGAAAAATGACAAAAATATTTATATTAGTGTCTTATAATACTACTATTACGATGAGATTTATGAAAAAAATTATACAAATATAAGAATATTTTTAATGTTAATACATGATAAATGTAATCCTTAAATATAAAATATATAAGATATATTTCTTTTTAGTTCGTTTTTTTAAAAAACTTCCCTCAATATTTATTATTATTATTATTATAAACTACAAAAAAACATAACATATGCAATGAAAGAGAGAATCGATCTTCTTTATCAACAAAATAAAACATGATAATACATAATATTTGTTAGTCATAAAATGAGAATTAGGGTTTGAGCTTATGAGCCGCCTGAAACAAAGTTGGTGGGTACCATGTGAATCGGCAACCCAAAAAGTAAAGGATGAATTGGGGAGAAATTGAGTCGGGTAGGAAAATAATTTGGGCCATTGGACATGAACGGTTTCTTTTAATAATTTGGCGCATTTCCGACCAAGAAAATAAAGTTTTTCGAGAATAAACCGTTGATGATTATCCCATGACCTTTGTAATCGAATAACAATGTCACTGAATTTGGAGTAAATATTCCCAAGGGAGGCCATAGAAGGTTCCATCGTTTTATTTCTTCACAATTTTAGTTTTGGTTGATATCTTTTAGTATTTACTTAGAGATGTTTTGTTTCAAACTCATTCATCAAATTCAACTTAATAGTATGAAATTTAGTTTGTTTTGTTGAATGAGAACCCCCCCTTGTCAACACTATTATTATTCAAACAATACAAAAGAAGGAACTTGTTATGAAAATGTCGAGTGATAGGGTTGTTGCGGGCATTCGTCTAGCTAGGAGGAGGGATGATCACGCTTACCAAACTCCCTCCCCTCCTCTCCATGGAGTTGAGTTGACTTGATTTGAATGGCGATAGATTTTGAGTTGAAACGAAATAGTTGTATAATGTAAAATTAATTTTTTAAAATTATAATATAAAAAATATATATATTTAATTTGATAATATTTTTAAAAAATAAATATTGAATGAATAGTATATTTGAAAAAAAAAAATACCAAACAAAACGTACCCGAAGTTGAAATGGAGTGTGGAGATGGAAGGTCAAACAATTCAAAAGAAAAGAGAAAGAGAAGAGAAGAGAAGAGGCCAAGACCTCGGCTGTGGCACACCCGAACTCACAACTCACAAGTCAGACAGTCCAATTGATTCTAATAACAAAGAGAGAAGAAGAAGAAGAAGAAGAAGAAGAAGAAGAAGAAGAATAGAAAAGATGGACAATAGAGACAAGAATAACACCAACAACGACAGCAATTGCAATTGGCATTGAAGCGTAGAGAGAGAGACAGAAGAGAGAGAGGCATGGGCGGTGCTGCTACGCATCCTCAACAGACCCTCCTCCCTCGCCCCTCTTCCCCCCCATCTTCCTCTCCCGTTCCCACTCCCTCTTCCTCTCCCGCTCCCACCTCCTCTCCACGCCGCCCCTCCTCCCACTTCCCCCAGGGCACCGCTGTTGAAGTCCAAACCAACGAGGATGACTTCAGAGGGGTCTTCTTTTCCGCCACCGTCGTTCAGCCCCCCGCCCCCTACACCTCCAAATACGGTGGCAAAAGGAAACCCAAAACCCTCTATGTAGAGTACCATGATCTGCTAGCCCACGAGGACGGCTCCGAGCGCCTCAGAGAGTACGTCGCCCTCTCCTGTGTCAGGCCCCCTCCCCCTCCCCCTCCCCCAGCCTCTCCCGCCACCTTCCAGCCCGGAGACGTTGTCGACGCCTTTTACAAGGACGGTTGGTGGACCGGTGTCGTCAAGCGCGCTACCCAAGGTGCGGGTGCCGACAAGTACGTCGTCACGTTTCAGCACCCGCCCGACGAGCTCCACTTTAGGCCCTCCGATCTAAGGGTTCACTTGGACTGGGTTAATGGGGGCTGGGTCCGGCCGCCGAGGCAGGTATGCCTAAATATTCTCTTCTCTTTCTTGCATTCTGATTTCCGACTCTCTTGATTTGATTTGATTTGATGGCTCCTCATGACTTGTGTGCGTGCATATTATATTGCACACTCCGCTTTCCCTCGCTCTCGATTCATCTCTCCGTATCGTCGGAGCTTTGTTTCTGTGGAGGAAATTGTTCTGTTCCTCTCAATTTCTTGTAGCTTGAGTTGCTTAATTTGATATTCGGTGAGGAATAGGCAAGATCTACAACGTTTTCATGTTCTGAATTTCTACCTCTGGTCTTAGAACTCGAATGCTGCTGTATGTTCAGTTATTCATCCACATTGGGCATTTGTTTCCTGTGTTGTACTTTTAGAGGACTTTGGCATCTGGGGTTCCATTGGATATTGCTACCTGCTATTTGCTGCTTTCTTTACTTGTCTGAGCAACAATCTTATTTATTTCATTCAATGGCTCTTGAGGTGTGAGTAGATATAGTCTTGGATAGGATGAGATGGTTTGTCTAAGATCCTCAAGTACCTTCTGTCTTTCTTACAGCTGACCTAGTTTACCCTTATATGTATTTCATTATTTGAAAAGTCAGATATGTGTGCAGACGCCGTGCAGTGTTTCTATTGTTATCATAGAGGGGCTCAGTAAAGTAATAATGCTCTTGTTGGATGAATGGATCCCATTGTTGTATTAATTTCTGTGCAAGTAAATGCCTATAATCAAGGTAGTTATTGAATTTCCAATATGCAGCGTTATCATTTCCATTTCTTTGATCCTTTCTTTGTCTTGGATTTTTAAGAGTGTAGCAGGATTGATGTTTGATGTTGGGAGAAAGGTAGAAGTTTCATTAGACAGAGAAATTTATCAGGATGCATGGTTCCCTGCCACAATTCACAAACACTTGAAAAATGGAGCTTTTTGGGTGGAGTACTGTAGCGCAAATAGTGATAACGAGGTTCAGGCACTTAAAGTAACAATCAATTATCCCTGTATTAGACCTTGCCCTCCTTTTCTCAAAGACAGAAATTTTGTTTTATTGGAAAAAGTTGATGCATTCTTTGATTTTGCCTGGTGGACTGGTGTTATTACTAAAGAGCTTGAGAATGGTTATTACATTGTCTTCTTTAAGCAACTGAAAAGAGATAAAGAATTCCATCAGTCGAAATTAAGACCCCATATGGAATGGAAGGATGGCAAATGGTTCACCTCTTCCCAGGTTTTTCCAGTCTCTCAAGATTTTTTCCTTCTTTTCAGTACTTCAAATGAGGCTTTGATTTGTTCTTTTATTACCTTCCTTATCATTTTTCTTCCTTCGAAGTCCTTGAAATATCCTGTATCATATGTTGTGTGTTGCTTGAAGTCAGATATCCTGTTTTGTAATTTTCTTGCTAGAAGAGGAAAGCAGGAAAACTTTGCCCTTGTTATCTCTGTAGTGCATGTGGGAGGAGGCAAGTAGTACTTCTCATTAAAGACGGCCTGAATGGGTTATTGAGGGGCATAGTTACAAATATTTATTTCCACTAATGAGTCTTATGGCATATGCGTTAGAATTTTGTTTGTCAACTGATAAGCAACTCACCCATCAAACTACAGGGGAAGAATTTTATTTTATTTTTAAACAACAGAATATGCAGAGAGCTGTGTAGGGGGAGGGACAATGTAGGAGAATATGTTGGACTTTCACTTCAGTGCACTGCACATATTACATTTACCCTAAAGGAACAATATCTAAATTTGTAGTTGTTGTTGTTGGTCTCTCTCTCTCTCTCTTTTTTCGTTGTCACATAGGTAAAGCGAATATGTATAAATATAAAATTATTTAGTATGAATATTAGCTGTAATCCTGAGTAAAGTTGGTATATTTCCCTGTCATTGTTTTTCTTTTTCTGTCTATTTATGAGTTTCTTGTTTTAGGAATTAACAACTGTTTGATGGAACCTGAATTCTTGACTGTTATCTCAGGATGTTACTATCCAGTCACCAGATATTTCTATGCATGACCATTTCATGTCTGAAAACTTCAGTGCCTCCTCTGTTGCTGTTCCATTAAATCACGAGGGTGATAAAAGAGATATTTGTGATCCATTATTACTTTCTTCAGAGACAACAGGGCAGGTTCATTGTAGTGAAGTATCTCCAGTTGATCAGAAGGAAGTAGTTATAGCTGGAGCAGAAAATAAGGTTACTCATAATAGTTCATCTAAAGATACAATCTGTGGTTCTCCGTCCCCAGTTTCTGTAGCCAACATGTCAATTCCTGCAATGAAAATCGTTAATAGAGATCACTTGTCAGATACTTCTTCAGGGGTGAAGAGAATTGTAAGTCTTGCTCTTTGTATAATGATACCTATCATATAACTTGTTATTTTAGTAGTGAAAATTGACCAAATTATAATTGAAAGTGTGTGGATGAAAGCTTATTTATGCATTTGATCATATTAGTTATATGGAAGCATATTTTCTAAAAAATGTATTTTTTAATTGCCAATGATCAAATATGCCTAGCTCTAGAAAGGCAATCAATATTTTAGAATCCTACATTCCTTGGTGATGTGCTGCAACAACTGTTTCTTATGCTAAAGATTTGTTAATTGTAATATCCAGCGAAGGAAACAAAGGAACTCTGATGCAACAGTAAGTGTTAGTAAAAAGGTCAACTCGACTCTCACTTCTTTGAACTTGAGCAGTCCCAATCATGATGTTGAAGGTATAAAATTTTATGATTAATGCTCTCAAATATTATTTTGTTTATATGCAAACTTGTTTAACTAGGAATTAATATGTAGGAAAGGAGCTAGATTCAGTGGGAAACACAACAAATGTTCAAAATGTGAATGAAAAATATGAAACTGAACTTCCTGTCATCATAGGCTTGCCATGTGCAGAAATGGTTGGCTCTGAATCTGGGGCAAAGGGGAAAAGGGGACATACTTCCAACAGCAAGGAAATGATGAATCTTGGGAGTGACAAGAAGCAAAGACTGAATGATTCCATGGTTTCAAAGATGAAGGTGATTATGAAGATGATGCTCATTAATTTGTTACACAGATTGTAATCAACTTACAATATGTGTACCATTATTTTCAAAATTGCAGATAAGAAGTATATATCTTACTGTTTGTTGAATCTTTAGTTGTTGACAAAATCATGATTCTGAAAGCTTTTTGTATTCATGTTGCTTCATTGCTTCCTCTCATTGCCTCATCTACTAAATATGTGCTTGTGTTGGCTTTTTTCAATTCTGTACCATTTCAATGTGCTACTATACTTGTCAGGCATGGCTTAGTCTGAAGAAGAGAAAATATATATATATATATATTATGACTACAACACTAGTTTCAAAGTATAATTGTTCATCTTATGTTGCTTCCATGTTTTGTATAGGATAACAAACCATTGGGAATTGGAGTATCGAGTGAGAGAAAAAAGAGAGGAAGGCCCAAAAAAATCTTGCTGGAAAGCGTCCAGTCTGCTGCAAAAGGTGCAACTACCTTTTTCCTTATTTTGATTTTCCTCAGAAAAATTACTTCACTTAACTCTAAGTGTCAAATTTGTTTGAATTGTTTTGTTATAGGAAATGCTCAAAATGAAGCTGTTGGTTCAGATGATGCGAACAAAAGATCTGATGATCCACATAGAATTCCTGAAGGAGAGGTGATGGAAATGGACGCTTCATTGCCAGTTCAGGAGATTGTATCGAATAAGAACAAATTACCTGATGGACATTCTGATCATAAAAATGGGAATGGAGGTAAGAAGAAGAGACTCTTGTCCAACATGCGTGATGAAAAAGTTCTGAAAGAGTCAACCAGGCTGCAGGCATTTCGGAGAGGAAGAAGACAGGTTCGAGGTGGAAAAGTTGCACCCCAAGCTCTAGGTGAGTGTTGGCATCTTCGTGGGGGGTTTATTTACTGGCTGAAGTTTCCAAAAGAGTTGAATGTTTTTTTGCTTGTTAATAATGGTAATGGAGAATGGAGATTGTGACAGGGGAAGCAATAGCATATTGATTCCTTCTTGTTTTCATAGTTTGTTAATGTCTTTATGATGATAATGTAGTTTCTGGTTTGTTTAGATTTACCCAATGAATCTGGAGAGAAAGCAGCGGAAACTAACCAGGCAATGGAATTGGAACACCTTGGTTGTGAAGCACCTGGCAATGAGCTTGATGATGAACCTCTTTCAAAGTGGATAGAGGGAATGCACTCTTCTTTCCTAATTGATGGCTCAAGTAAGCTTCTGAGTGTAACGCAGGTGTTTCCCCGTTTGCATCCTGCTTGATGACTTTTTGTTTATTATTACTATTATTATTTTTTTTCTTCTGTAGGACCACCTCCTGTGAGTACTGTGGACAAATTCATGGAGAATGGCAAGAAGAAAGGGAATGATGATGTTGTAGTGGAGAACATTGAGAAGCAGCCAAAGAGTGATACAGGTGCTTCCGATTTAGCAGATACAGAAGATTCAATTGGTCAGAGTGAGGCACAAAACTTGCCTTTTATCAAAACTGCATTTATCTGGAAGACCATTGAATCCATGGATGTTTTTCAAAGGATACCGCAGAAGCCACACTTCAAGCCGCTGGAAAATTGTAACGAGAGTTCACGTGAAGGGATGGCTGTAGGTTACATGGTGACCTTTTCCAGTGTGGTTGAAAAAACTTGCAGATTACAGCTTGATGATCCCAAGTGCGTCATAGATGACATTCTGGGAACCCTTGCAGAGTTGGAAAGACATGGATTTGAAGTGAAGATTGTACGAGACCGTGCGAATGAGTTACTTGCTGTAAAAGATAAACAAGAGAAGCTTATAAATGAGGTGAAGGCACTCAAAGAGCACATGTTAGAACGCGACCATGAGAAACTTAAGATTGATGAAGAGATAAAGGGGATCAATGAGGAAATGAGGAGGTTGCAAGAGAAACTTTCATGTGCTGAGCTTGCCAAGCAAAAAACAGATGGTGAAATCGCTTCTTTGCATATGAAACTTGAGGGGGCCAAAGAGATCATGGAGAACATGGGGAGTAAATTTGTTGCCATAGCTTCGTCTGCAATTGGACAGGTCTGAAGGATGACCTCCCGGACATTTTGTTGGACCTTTTGCGAGCAAAAAAATCACGCCATTCTAGTGGTGGAAGCGGCCTGCGTGCATATATTTTAATTGGTGATCACGGTATCTAATGCTGGGGATTGATTGTATGATAGGGGTAGTAATCCATCCAGCAGCGATAGCATCATCTTCTTCTTCGTAGTAAGTGGGATTTTTTAACCTTTTTTTAATGGTAATTATGACTACAGTATTGTAGCAAAACCATGTATGTTTTGTGGAGCTTTGAAAATGAAGGACTATGGATTAAAATTGAAGTGTGTTTGGGGTTTGATATGGGATGGGATGGGATGGGATGCCCCCAGCGCGAGTGAGTTATGAATTAGGTGAAGATTCTTGGTGGAGTTTTGAGTTTTGAGGTAATATTGAATCCTGGAGGTGTTGAGCATGAATGTGGTGGACATGGTGGTATGGTGGTTCCTCATCATGTGGTGCAATGTGAGGGTGCAAAGCAGCAGCAGCAGTGATACGGTTGCATTTGTCAATTTTATAGCTGCTCTGCTCGCCCTCTCTCCCTCTGTCTGTCTCTACTGTAATGTTGGAGAAACTAGTAGACTTAGACTGACTATTAGACATTTTGTTGCATTGGACAACACAGCAGCCCTTTCTTTCTTTCCTGTCTATATACTACGGCATCGCAGCATCCAATACTATACTATAGATGATAAAATGAAAGATGGTTTGTCCTTTGCTGTCCCTCCTGTCTGCAATTAAAATTAAGCAGGCAAGTAGGGAGAGGGAGAGAGTGTGTTGGTGGGCTGGTCATTGAATTGAATTGAATGCTCCTACTGCTGCAGCACCTAAAGCAAGCTAACAACAGGTAACAACCAACCCACCACCCACCCACCCATCCATCCATGCATGCATATGCATCAATCATCACCAACCCAATGTTGGTTATGTAATGGACGATGACGATGATGTGCGTGGTCTTACTTAGGCATGGCATGGGTCTCCTCTGCTCTCTACTTTTCTTTCTACTTGTTCTTGGGATGGACGGGTATCATCATCTGCGTTTGCTTTGGTGAGCACCATTAATTAATGACGATGATAATAATAAAAACAAATAAATAAAAGCATTAAGGTGGGTGGGTTGAACTTTAAGAGATGGGGGAGTGATCACATATCACCATCCTCCTCCCTCCTTATCTTCTTCGTCCTTTTCTGCTACTGATGATGAGAGAGAGAACTCGCTCTCCTCCTCTGTGATCATATTCATATCGTCATAGACTCATAGGCGATGGTGGGTGCATTAATTCATATTCATATTCATTCATAATATAGCTAGCTACAGGTATAGCAATAGCAGCAGCAGCAGCAGCATTGATTAGGTAGAGAGATGGCTAGCTAAAACAGGTAAGTAGAGTAAAATCACGAGTTTAGGCGCATGGGATGAGAGATGGAGATGGGAGTGAGCCAAGTTTAACTAACACACACACACACACACACACAGAGGTCAGGTCATTAATGCGCCTATAATGACTTTCAACCAGTAACCACCCACCCACCCGCACCAGCTTGACTCACTCAAGTGGTTAGTTACCTTACTCCTACTCCTACTCCTACTCCTCCCAGTCTATTATATATGTTTCTTCTTCTATATTATTGTTCGTTAATCAATGGTTTATAACTTCATTTGTTATATATAATACATAGTTAAGTTCAATATTGATATACTGAGGTCTGAGGAGGAGAAGGAAGAGGATTAGGGAAGAATAATTAATCAATCAAAAGCAATTTTGGTTCAAAACATGAGATGAGATGGGCCAAGTGTATCTGTATCATTATTGTATCAAGCTCAAGCTCAAGCTCAGTGCCTAGCGCTACTACCTCCACCGCTAATAAGTAGAATGAGAATGCTATTTGAATGCTTGCTGATTATAATCAATGATACATTAATTTAGTAAGGCGGGAGGGGGAGGGGGGCACAACACAAACATGAAAGACAGCATGATACTAGTAGTAGTAGTAGATGAAGATGATAAAGAAAGACAACTACTACTACTCCTCCTACTTGTGTGGGGTGGGGTCAGAAGCAGAAGTAACTGCTGCCAGGCTACTAGTACACACACAAGTTGCAAGTTGCAAGGTGCAAGGTGCAAGTTGCCACGGTGTAGCAGAAGCAGAAACAGTGCGGTCGAGTTGAGTTGAGTTGAGTTGGTACTCCTTCATTTACGAGAGAGAGAGAGAGAGAGAGATTAGAGATTAGATTAGATAGGGGTATATTTGCATGTAGTATATGTCTATGATCAAACTCATTGGGGCAGGGCGGTTAAGAGTCCCAGTCCTTCTCCTTCTCCTTCTCCTCTTCATGTAATTGTTCCCAACCCCAACCCCAACCCCAACACCCTCCTCTCCTCCTCCTCTTCTTCTTCTTCTTCTTCCATTTTCTTATTTATTTCGTCATCTCCATCTCTTGTTGCTGTAGTCCCAGTCCCAGTCCCTGTCCCAGTAAGTGAAGTCGTTGCCTCTTTCTCGTTTTTCTTACTTTCTATCCAATGCAATGCAATGCTGGCGTTTCTTTTTCGCTTTCTGCCTGCCTCCTTGGTTTTAGTCCGTCATTGACATTTTGGACTAATGAATCAATGCACTACTACTACTACTACTATTTATCTATTCATTTTATTATTATTATTATTATTATTATTATTATTGAGAGCTGCTTTTCGTTGGTCGTTCGTCTTTCATCAAATGTGTACTTGACTTCTCTCCAGCGTTTTTTGTTGCGGTCTTATCCCGCAGCTGTTGCGGACCGACCGCCTCCTCCTCCTCCTGCTGCTGCTGCTGCTATTTTCCTTGTAGTATAACTAACCGATATGATATGATTCGATGATATGGAATAGATTAGACTTAAGTGAGAGGGCAATAATAACACTATTGAATTGAGTATGACTTGAAGATCTCGAGGCCTTAATTGAAATTTAACTGCATGAATTTTGTGGTCGGGTTTACTTACTTTTCCCAATTAACTTTAACTACATACATACGTACGTACGTCAATGCCATTGCATAGTAACATAATAATAATAATAATAATAATAATAATAATAATCGCACCACCGCAGCGTAAGGTAAACAAAACTAGAACCGGACGATACAAGTGCGCATTTATGGCGGTGGGTCGCCCAGGCCCAGCCTTCGAAGAGAAAGTTCCTTCTTCTGCTTTGTTTGTTATGTAAATGTTATGTTATAAGCACGTCGGGTTCTCCACGCTGCTGCTCTTCACTCTCTCAGCTTTTTTTATTTCTTAGCTTGTGCTTGTTTCCAGAGAATGAAGAGGTTTGCGGTGAAGGTAGAACAAGGAAGGGAGCGCCAAGTCGGGAAGCCATCTCGCGGTCCCGTTTACAGGAATTCTTTGTCCCAACATCAATATCCCCCCATTAACGCTACTTTGAACACTACTTGGGATGTTTTCAGGTAACTAACATCATACCATCCAACTCCTCCGTCTTGCACATTTAGCCTCTCTCTCTCTCTTTTCTTTTCGTCTCCCTCCCCTCCTACTTTTTAATTCTTTTTTTTTTTAAAAAAAAAAAAAAGAAAAAAGAAAATAGCTGTTGGTTGGTTGGTTAGAATCACGAAATTTTTACCGAACAGATCATCCGTCGAAAAAAATGCTGAGAATAGGATGCTGGGATGGCGTGAGTTGGTAAACGGGAAGGTATGAGGCAAACGACTCTTTGATCCCTTTCTTTCTTGTATGACGTATAGCTCCACTTCTCTTCTCTTGTTTGTTTGTTTGTTTGTTTAGTAAAACTGAAAATGGTGTCTGAAAAAGAGAGATTCCTCTCATCGTTACTTTTACCCGGGTTGTTTTACTAATACTACTATTAACTCGCCTTTCTTCAGTGGGGACCCTATGTTTGGAAAACTTACAAGGAAGCGTATGACGAAACTCTGCTTATTGGTTCAGCCCTGAGGGCCCATGGTTTTGAACCTGTAAGAAATTAATATCATCAACCTATTATTGACTCACTCAATAACTGACTGTCTTCAATAAATATTACTACTGTACTACTCAATTTCTTACTATCATTTACCGTTACTTACATCTGTCATTTTGTTGAAGGGTGATCGCGTTGGAATTTATGGTTCAAATTGTCCCCAATGGATCGTCGCCATGGAGGTCAGGCTATGAATATATGGACTCCTTAATTTCCCCGTCTTGTGCTTGGGTTTGGGTTGGTCATGATTATGATCATCTATTTCTTTTCTTTCCAGGCCTGCAATGCCCACAGCTTAATTTGTGTTCCCCTATATGATACGCTTGGTGAGAAACTGAGAATGCTTCCTTGCTTTATGATATTAACTTTAATTCACTCACTTATTTGCGCCTCTACACGCAGTATGAATATGTGCTAGTTAATGCTGCTTGTATTCATAGTCTTAAATCACATTCATGAGGAGCACAGTATTCAGCTCAATATTTTGCAATAAAGATAACACAACCAAAATACACTGTGCATCAGTATGTCCTGGGTTTTTTAGAGTAAAACATGTTTCCAAGTAGTCAGGTTATAATATGTGTTTTTACCGTAACTTGAATAATTGACAGGCCCGGGAGCTATTAACTACATACTCGATCATGCTGGGATTGAAGTTGTGTTTGTTCAAGATAAGAAAGCGAAAGAAGTGAGCAATAAACACAATTCTTATTGCCTATATATCAGCATCAATTATGTCCATCCTTGGAGAATGGATTCCTGACTCTAATCATGTATCTTTGTTACAGATTTTTAGTGCTGACTGCCCTCATGCTGAAAAGCTAAAACGTGAGTATCAATCTGATGAAATTACTTTGTGCCAGCTGGAGAAGCATTTCTACTACCCAGATCAGTTCTTTTCCTTTTTGTTTTGGTTGCAGTGATTGTTTGCTTCTCCTCATTAACAAAAGAGGAGGTGGATAAGGCCACTTCTATGGGCATTAAAGCGTATTCCTGGAATGCTTTTCTGAAAATGGTAAATTATCTTTACACCGGTCTCTTATCTATCTTTACTGCTAATCACATAGCATCTATGATAGCAGTGAGGCTTGATTTGTATGAACTTTTTGTTAGTTGCTTACATAAATTTTCATTCTCTGTTTTCATCCTTTCAGGGAGAAGGAAATCCAGCAGAAATTTCACCACCGGAGGCATCCGACATATGCACAATTATGTACACTAGCGGGACGAGTGGTAAACCTAAAGGTGTTATGTTGACCCATGAAAACTGTTTAACAAACATAAGTGGTGTGGATCTTTTCATGGAGCAATTTGAAGACAAGGTAGGTGTAACTTCTTCATGCAGTACAACTTAAAAACACACGATTCACTTTTCCAAATATGAATGACTACAGCTTTAGCTGTACTTCCCCAGGAAGGCATGTGCTTTTCATGCGACACACATTAATTAATTAAGGTCCCAAATACTATTGTTTAGCAAGATTTTGATTATGATGCCATCCTTTTGATAGATGACGGTGGATGATGTCTACATATCTTTCCTGCCTCTTGCTCACATTCTTGATCGTATGATTGAGGAATATTTCTTTCACAAGGGTGCTTCAGTTGGCTATTATCATGGTGTAAGTTGTTAGAATTCTTTCTTTCTACACATCAGGCATTGACACGAGAAATCTTATTCCACTTGTTTTAACGGCATGATGAATATAATTCTGCTATTGGAAACTGGTTTCTGAAGGTTATTTATTAGTAAGAAACATAGGTGTACTGTAAGACTAAAATAAATAGAATTGACAGTCATTTGCTATTCTGTCTATGGAAGGAAATCAAAGAAATAAAGGACGATCTAATGGAGTTGAAACCAACATTCTTGGCAGGAGTACCTAGAGTTTTTGAACGTGTGCATGAAGGCATGGAAATGTTTTCCGATCTCTTTTCCTTATATTCACATAATAAGTATTATATGGGTGTTGATATATGATGTTTAATGTCTTTCTTCAGGAGTTCTACAAGCACTTGAAGAACTCAACTGGAGACGTAGAAAAATTTTCCACATGCTTTACAAATAGTAATGACTTACTCTCATAATGTCTAGTGTTAAGCTATATATATATGTCTTCAATAAGTGTCTGCCTTTTCCAATTCCCTGGACAAAGCAGGCAGTTAATTCATTGTAATCTTCACATATGATGCATGATACAGCAAACTTTACTGGATGAATCGAGGGTACAAGCAGAAAGAAGCATCACCTTTGGCTGATCTAATTGCCTTTGGGAAGGTCGGTTTTTTACTTTGATTTAGTTTAAGTCTTCTCTTCTTAGATTTCCCCATAAATGTTGATAGCATATTTTCTTATCTTATTCTCTCTGTCTTTGGTATAGGTGAAGAACAGATTGGGAGGCAGAATACGGCTGATAGTCTCAGGCGGCGCCCCATTAAGCAGTGAGGTGGAGGAATTCCTAAGGGTTACTTCGTGTGCCTTTGTATTACAAGGCTATGGTAGATCCCTATTTTATGAACCAAAAGAAAAAGAAGCTACTATGTCTAGGCATGAGTTTGAATAGAGATGCACAAGTATATATCAAACGCCTGGTCTGGTCTGATCTGATCTATGAGTTCTACTTGGGTTTTGCAGGACTTACAGAGAGCTGTGGATTGTCAACCATTGGGTTTCCAGATGAGATGTGCATGCTGGGAACAGTTGGGGCTCCATTTGTGTATAATGAAGTCTATCTGGAGGAAGTACCGGAAATGGGATATGATCCGCTTGGAGACCCTTCCCGCGGTGAAGTATGTTTTAGAGGGAAAGCGCCATTTGCAGGATACTACAAGGACCCGGAATTGACACAAGAAACTGTTGTAGATGGGTGGTTTCACACAGGTCTGCCCAGCATTGCTATTGCTGTTGCTGTTGATCAGAGGATTAATGATTTTACTTGATACAGTTTTACTTGAAAAGAAAAATGAGAGTATTCACGGGTGCATCTCGTCCATTCATCTCTTGTAGGTGACATTGGGGAGATGATGCCTAATGGGGTGCTGAAGATCATTGACAGGAAGAAGAATCTTATAAAGCTGTCTCAAGGGGAGTATGTTGCGGTTGAGCATCTGGAAAAGGTTTATGGCATCTGCCCCATCATCGAAGATGTGAGTAAGGATTGGCATTTGAAGTTGAGAGTTTTGGGTCCAATTGAGTTCACTCACTCATTCACATGGATTGTGTACTTGTGTTAGATATGGGTGTATGGGGACAGCTTCAAGTCGATGCTGGTTGCGGTGGTTGTGCCGAACGAAGAGTACACCAAAAAATGGGCACAGCAGAATGGGCGGCGCAAAGAGTCGTTTGAGGATCTGTGTACCCTCGACTGCCTAAAAGATCATATCCTCCACGAGCTCCAGAGTGTGGCTGAGAGAAACAAGGCAAGTGTGACTCTTGTGTGCACTCATACATACCTACCTTTGCGATCATTATGATTGTTATTCCTCATAATTGTGGTGGTGTGGTTGTGGTGTGAGATGTATAGCACCTGCCATGCATTAATGATGATGGGCTTCATGTGTGTGTGCAGCTGAGAGGATTTGAGTACATCAAAGGTGTAATTTTGGAGGCACAGCTCTTCGAATTGTCGGAAAAGGAATTGGTAACTGCAACCCTGAAGAAGAGACGAGACAGATTGCTCAAGCATTACAAGGTGGGTTGGGTGTGTCATTTCAGTTCAGTTTTCATCATCTTGGATGAATTTATTTATTTATAAATGAAACAAACAAACAATGGTGTGGCGAATGCAGGTGGAAATTGATGGCCTCTATCACAAACTGATGAACAAATCCAAGTAAAGGTAGAGCGGAGGAGGCAGAGAGAGAGAGAGAGAGGAAGGGGAGGGGAGGGTATAGTATAGGCATCCATCCATCTCAATAATGAATGAATAAATAAATAGATGTTATAAGAGTGAGTGAGTGAGTGAGTGAGTGAGTGAGTCTTCTCTTCTTCTTCCTTTTCTTCTTCTTCTTCTTTACATAGTAATAATTACATGGGTTGGTGAGGGACGTGTGTGTGTGTGTATTCAAATTGTGTTGAATGATCATTCATTATTATCATCATAATGAGACGGGCAGGCAACTTTTTAACTAACCTTAATAAAAGCAGCTCTTCTCACCTCAGTACCACCTACCCACCTACCCCACCCCAATCAATGCAGTAGGACTAGGAAGGAGGCTAGAGTGGATATTTAATCATCTATTTATTTGTTCCAGCAAAGCAACTGAGAAAAAAGTTGTTTGCTGCTACTACACAAGTAGTACAACTAATTCTCACTCAAGAGTTGATGAGAGGGAAAGTAGTAGTAGGCTGCTGCTCAATTAAGTATATGCATGCAATATTTATTGTAGAAAAATCTACCAAAATCATCATCTAGTGGACGGACGGTGCAACAAGAGATCCATCCATAATCTATCTATGTATGTTACTTTCATATCTGATGCGTTAATTGTCTGTGCAGGCAGGATATATATATAAATAATAATAATAGTAATAATATATGTCTGCTGTAGCCAATTAAAAATAATTGGCTGTGCTACTACAACTCTCATTTAACCAAGTCTCATACTGATACTATCAAATCAGAGCGTAATAAACAATAAACAGTAGCAGCAATAGTAATAGTGGTTGACTAGTTGTTGACTCTCTCAAGTTTAAGCTTAGATGCATATCCATCCATCCATCCATAATACACAATTCCCATCCCCAGGCAACTCTCCCATAGGCCATAACTAACTAACTAACTAAACTGCATCTGCAGCTTCATCGTTAACCAACTCTGTCTGTGTCTCAGAATACGCGTGTGTATAATATATTATATGCATGCTCGCACAAGATTTAGCATATTATAGAGAAGAAACACTACTACATCGTCAATACACTTGACCAATCTCATCTCATATTTTAAAAAGAAATTAATAAAAAACATATGCCAGCAGGGTCACCACCATCATCATCCACCATTACCATCCCTTTTCACTTCCTATTCTTGCTCTCCTCCCGCTTCTTGTACAGTCTCTCCAGCTGCCGTTTTGCCTCACAGTTGGGGAAGTTCGACAGATCGTAGTAATGAGGTGCAATGTCCACCAACCTGCACAATTTTTACATACATTCATATCCTTCATTATCCAACAAACCCCATAACTTTTACGTACACAAAGCAAATAGGCGCTCAATCCATCTCAAAGAGCATCACTTCGAAAATGATTTATTAGTAGAAACTATTATTATTATGTGATATAGTATGTATAAAAAAGAATAACAGCACGCAACCAAATTAGAAAGATAAAAAGGATTGTGTGCTGCTGACCATTCCCCGCGAACATCTGTTACTGTGCGAATAAAATTTCTGCTTGTCAGGACATATTCATTATAGATAACCCACTCCGGTTTATGGTCCAGGCAGTTTGAAGGGTGTAAGTGAACCGCCTGTGCACAAGACAGGTAAACAATCATCAGCATATGGAATGGAACAATGATATAAATCCACTATGAAGTCAATGTCATTTAATACGGCAACCACCTACTTGGTTATCTTTGACGGTTAAATAGTGTCCAGTTCGCTCCAAATGGGCAACCTGCATAAAGTATCCAGCCAGCATAGCCTTCCGGATGTTCACATAGTAATCACGGCTATTGAAGTCTGTGCTGCACAGCTTCAAGTTGAATCGGGCCATAATGCGGGTTAGCTGCTGTCTAACATTATCAGCTGATTTCAGCGCCCTATGATTGACAAAATTCTCATAGCACCACTGCGGGTCTTCATCTGCAAATCCAATGCATATGAGGATATATTGGTATCAGGATACACATTGGAAAAAAAAAAAAAGAGGAACACCGTTAAGTTTTGAATCCAATCTTACTATTTTGTTTGTACGCATGGTAGACATTTAACAGTGTGAGGTGATCTCCATCAATGTGCCCAAACCGAGCTTTGGCTTCATCTGCAGCTTTTTGAGCCTCCCTAGGCCGGACAAAGCAATTGGGTACTAGAGAAAAAAGTGGTTACCACAGAGGAGGCCCACGGAAGGTCAGCGATGTATAGAGAGGAGACGACACCATTTGCTTCGTGAGAGAATACTGAGAAACTGCAACTATCTGCATCAGCACTTACTTAGAAATCCTTGGTACATGCCAGTGAAGGCATGAAACCGAGACAAAGGATGCTGATGACAACCTAAAAGACACTCAAATATCAATCGCATACACGAGTGCTTTGCAGTCATGTATGCAATCAGATATCAGCAATTACCACTCACAGGCACACATCTGTGCATGCAAGATAACTTGAGCATACACTTCACACAAATGGTGAAGTAAAGACTCTATATTCACTGTAGGAAGGGGCTAACACCCATAAAATATGGCAAGCCGAGTGAGAATATGTACCTGAAAGCATTGCTGATATAGAAAGAATCTCATTTGAGCAATTAAACTCTGGGCTAACAACCAGCATTTTCCCCATCTGAGGATCCAATGGAAACTCACTCATGATTTCACCCAACTTGGTTAAGTTCCCTTCATCATCCAATGCTCCCAAGTAATTTAAAACCTCCAGTGCTCTCATCAGTGTCTCTGGAGCAGGCGGATCCATAAAATCGAAGTGCACCAGATCATCTATACCCAGCTTTTTCAGAGTCAGAACAGTGTTTGCAAGATTTGACCGCAATATCTCCGGATAGGTTTGTGGTGATAGGTCATTGTGAAAACTCTTCTCTGTGTATAGTCTAAAACATTTTCCAGGTTGTGTTCTTCCAGCACGTCCTGCTCGTTGGTGGGCACTAGCCTTCGATATGGGAGAAACCAACAAAGATTCAACCCGAATTCGAGGATTATAAACCTTTTGTTTTGCAAATCCAGGATCTATAACATAAACAATGCCATCAATAGTCAATGATGTTTCAGCAATATTTGTTGAAACAACAATCTTCCTTCCTGGAGGACCACCTTCCACTGCAGGGGGTGGAGCAGGTTCAAAAATCTTCTGCTGCATCGCTGGAGGAAGTGTTGAGTATAAGGGTACTATTTTTGCTGGTCCAACTTGATCCCCAGCATTAGCTATTTCCTTTGCTAACTTCTTACAGGCATCTTCAATTTCCTCCTCACCTGTAAGGAAAACTAGGATATCACCATGAGGTTCACAAGCATGTATCTGATACACCGTCTTTATAGCAGCTTCAAGATAGTCCCTTTCAGGCTCCTGTGTATAGAAAATCTCGACAGGATGAAGCCGCCCAGGAACTTTCATTAGCGGTGCACCATTGAAATAGCTTTGAAATTTTTCAGCCTCCAGAGTGGCACTCATGACAACTAGTTTCAAGTCATGTCTATTCCTCAGCACTTCCTTCAAAAGTCCAAAGAGTACATCTGTAGCCAAAGTTCTTTCATGAGCCTCATCGAGAATTATCACTTTGTATCTGTCCAAAAGCGGATCTGTCATGGCTTCCCTCAAAAGCATACCATCTGTCAAATACCTGAAATAAAAATGATCAGTAAGCTATTTTCATGGAGAAGTCTTTCTGAAATTGAAAGTGTGAAAAAAAGAAAAGAAAATAAACAGCAAAAGAGTTTTAAAGAATTACTTTAAAACTGTTTTTGTACTGCTGCAATCCTCAAATCGAATGCTGTAACCAACTTCTTCTCCAATTGTCACATCCATCTCTTCGGCCACTCTCCTTGAAACAGACATTGCAGCCACTCTTCGGGGTTGAGTGCATCCAACCATAAACTTTTTGCGTTTATCTGAACTCTCTATCTCTACAGCATCTAGCACAAACTGGGGAATCTGTTGCAAAACCAAATTGAATTTAATAAATAGCTGAAAAAGAAAATGAAATTCTTTTAACAATTAAAAACTTGTGATTTGACTCAAGCAATTTCCACATATTCAATCAAACAATAACATGACAGTGTTAAGAAAGCAGTTAAAGCTATTCATAATGTCTTAAGAAAGGAAGCAAATTATGATATGTGATAACGGAACTAAACATACTTAAAAGTCCTGTTAAGAAAACTAATACTCTTAACAAATACTAGAAATAGAAGAAAGACGATGAAAAGTAGGCCCAACAATATCTCATCATTAGAATATCGAACAAGAGTCGGAACCCGTTTCAATAAAATTTCCTTACAGATGCTTACTAAGTATAACTACCAGGTTTTTCACTAGACAATTAAATTGATAAAATCCCCAAAAACAAAGCAAAAAAAGAGTCTTGAGCAACAATGCGCTCAGGTTTGTTCCTTCAGTGAGCTGCGCAAGTTCAATCGAATCATCTAACAAGCATCAAATCGCATAGGCACGACTGTATGTAGCCACCTATTATAAGGTGTGTTGAAACTGACCTGCGTTGTTTTTCCACTACCAGTTTCACCAACAAGAATTAGGGTCTGATTGGCTCGGAGCACCTGCAAAAATTCCTCTTTCTGTTGCCACACGGGGAGAGACTTTCTCTTCTCCAAGATTTCGTAATACCTCTGGGAGTAAGGCCTTCCATTCCACTTGTTAATCGTGGATGCCACCGCGGCGGTGGGGGTTGAGGCGCCCCCGTTGGCCCGAGCCATCTTCCCCGAGACGGCCGAGTCGTCCACTACATCGAACAGACTAACCTTCCTCTTTCTCTCCGTTCCCATCTAGCAAAGGCTGGCTGTTGCACGAATTCCGCGGCGACAAGCCTCTCCGTTAAATAGGAAAACCGGTAAAGGGTATTCCAAATCGAAAACCCTAGACAGGAACTATGGGACTGAGATGCGAGGTGATGTTCTGTTTATATAGGGGACTCCTATCTATCTATTTGAGTTACAGGACTAAACTAATAAATTATCTAATTTAATTACAATTACGGCCATTTATTTATTTATTTTTAAGATGTAGCCGAGCCGAGCCGATCCTTTGGGCCTCAGCTTCAGCCCAAATATCAAAAGTCAACCATAATTGGACCCAACTACGTTTCAAGTTCAACTCAATGGAATACTGTAGGTTGCTATGAATATGACCCGATTGTTACCGACAATCAGGAGGTTATAATACTATTCAAGTCTCATTAATACTGTTGCACGTGACTAATTGCAACCACTTTAAACATTAATATCTTAAAATTTTTTAGTTGGGACTTTGGAATTTTGATTTAAATAGTACGTACAAATTTTAATTATTGTTTGAAGTTGATATAATATTTTAAATGTAAGCATAGGTATGTATTTTAATGAATAGCAAACATCTGCCAAAATCCAAACAAACACACACAAGCATTGCCATTTTATTGTTAGTTATGTGTATGTGTGCCTTTTGGCAATGATAAGAAACGAAAAGTCAAATCCATTTGTATACAAAGAGGAAACCTACTACTGGTAGTATTATATACACACAATTCAATTCTCCTTGTGACATTTGTTTGTTTATTATTTATCACTAAATAAAGAAAGAGTCGTGTCAAGTAGTAGTAGTAGGCGTAGATAAGTCGGGCAGGACAGAGCACAGCAGATATCCCTCACCAATTACACAGTAATTAATTAATGCATCCAGTCCAGTCCGGCTTCGACCACAAAAGCAACCAACTTACACGATGGCCATCGCACTGGTCTGTCTCTGCATCAAAATTTTCTGGCTATTCCTGTCGACCTGCATCCAAATGAATTCACATTGCCCAAATATGGCATGACACGACCACAATAACAGTAAACAAAACCAAATGCAAGTGTTAGAACCAGCCGAGGCACAAACTTGGATGGAGCAGGAGCAGGAGCAGGAGCAGGAGCGGCAGCACCATCGTCATCAGATGAAACAGAATTGTAAAACTGAAGAGGTGACGGCATCCCTGCCAGAGTCTGCGGAGCTGGCTGAGGTGCTGCGCCTGGTGATAAACCTGAACCGGGGCGGGTCGTAATACCTGCATGCACCCCAAACCAAACCAAACCATACCAACAATTCACTGTTGAGAAACAAGAATGCCTGCTACACTACTAACACACAACACAACTTTCAGTGCTTTAAACAAAAAAGCGGCAATGTCTAGGGGTGTAATCTAGATAGATACCATCTCAACCACAAAGTGATATATAATACTCTCAAGGGGAATAATAGCCGATTCATTACAATTATGCATCGTGCATGCATATGTGTGCACATATACAAAACAACTTTACATAATTGGACCCAGGAAGAAATACTGCACCTTGGAAGATGATCACAAGCAGAAAAACAACTGTGATGACCATGGCAAAGATGGTGGCCCCTTGTGCGGATGACAGCGATGTTGATGAAGTAGATGACCCCCTGCCGCTCTGCATCGTCTTCAATGCTTTGGCCCGTTCACTCCTCTCTCGCTTCTTGATCATGGCCATTCTGGACAACTCATCAATCAACCAGAGATCAGCAGCATACAAGGTAGGACCATTAGGGGGCCGGGGTGGTTTGGCAGCAGCAGCTTTCTTAACTTTTCCAGCCTTCCGCCGCTCTTTCTCTTGTCCCTTTTCGATCAACCTCTGCTGTTCTTCAAAATCTCTATCGTGTAGCAACTCCAAGCTAGGTTCAGATGCATTTTCAAATGATTCCCCAGGAAGGTCCTCTGAATTTGCAGCAGCGGTGGTACTTGCCTCACCGTCGCAGCCGGACGACCCATTGTAATTCAAAACTCCACTTGCATGCTTCTCCAATGATCTCTTCCCCCGTTTGTTACCCCTCGATGTTGTTTCTCTATTTCCTTGAGCTTCGTAGCCCTGATCATCGCTCTCAATGTCAACTATGACCTGCTTTTCTTTCGAGCTACTCATTCCATTTTCCATCACATAAACTGTGCAAGTTCTTCTCGATCGGATCCTTCAGTTCCCTCCTCAATCAAAATAAATGCCAACATCAATTTCAGCCCCCCTTAAGAATGCCGCACAATTTAGAGAATCTTACTAAATCCTCAACCACAAGTCTGAATAATAAATCGGAGGAACTGACTTCAATCCCCACAACAATCCTGTCAAGACACTACTTTTTAGCATATTTTCACAACGAAATGCAACCAGGGATCCCAATTTTCGAGATTAACAAATCATTAGAAACAAAAGTATCCGGTAAGTAAATTTATAACATGAAAATTGCTGAAACAATTGTGATCCATGCGATTTAAAAGAAGAAACAACATTCCAAATTCGACTACTTGCTTCCTTCAAGAGAAGCTTTTAAGACAAAAAAGGTGTTCGTTTTCCAGACAAGTCCGACACAAAACGAACGAGGACATAAAAAATAATTGCAATTGCCGTACCAATTCGCAGAAGAGAAAAGATGCCGGAAGGAGGAGTTGTTTTCCCTCGAACGGAAACAAATCAAAACGGGGAAATGACGTGGCGAAGGAGAAGGGCTCTCAAGGCAACAACCAGACAAAGGTTGTCGCCAATTCCGAATATTCCCCCTCGGCTCGGCCCAGAAATTAGTTGTTTATCTCTGCTGCGTGCAGTCTGACCATTGAAATTTCTTCTTGACGATGGAGTGGAATTGGATTGGTGGCAGGCAAAGGCAGAGGCAGGTTGATGTCACGTCGATCACCACTTCCATTACAAGCAAACAACAAACATGCCATTCATTGACTTGCCAAAAATCGAATATATATAAATTCTAACAAATCATCTATATCTACATGGGCAGTCTGGATGGATGGCATGGCATGTTCCCATGCTATCCACCCCGTCCAACAATGGATGTTGGGCTTCTACCATTCTTATCAAAACCAAACAGGCCCAAAATCATTAGAAGGAGAGGAATAGGAAAATAGGGTGGTGACGACTCTGATCCTGCTTATTTAATTTGATATGCCCATCGGCGGGCGGTGGCAGGACTGGCGTAGGACCGATATCACTGTGTGTGCTCGATCGTCTATGGAGAGGGAGAGGGAGAGGGAGAGGCCGAGCCATCACCACAACGACAATAGTCAGGAACCTCACTTCCACGGAGGTCGGCACCACCACAATTTCCACTCAGAGCAGCAGAATGATTCGAATGCTTACCAGATGAATGGCACGTTCAATAATTCGACTCCTCCTCTATCGGGGCAAAAGCGGCCATTTTCTCATCCCAGTAATTTGCTTGCCCTTTTACTTTTTTGGGTCTACAAGTCAAATTCGACTATTTTTTCTCATATTAATTTGCAGATGCAGTTGGTAGCGCAAATTTTGTGAAGCTTTACGTGGCTGGGATACCTAAAACATCTACTGAACAAGATGTGAGTACCTTTATATTCTCTCAGATTGACGTGAAGATCTCGTTCACTGCTCAAAGCAGTTTTGTTTTTCCACAATATACGTTTCTGAATGCATTCACTTAAATAGTATCAACCCTTTGCCTCCAGATAAGGGCTACGTTCGAAGAACATGGTGACGTTCTTGAGGTTGTTCTTCTTAAGGATAAACGAACCGGTTTACAGCAGGGTATGGAACACTGACCCATGAATTTTTTTTTTTTGCTTTATTTTGTATTTATAGTGGAATTTCATTTGCAGTATATTTACAAACATGAAAAAATCCAGTTATGAAAAGAATATTTGAAGAAAACTAGTTTAGGGTACTTTCTTATGCTATTTTTCATGCAGCGACAAAATAATTGTGGTTTGCATGCTTTTCCATGTGTCCTATCTATTACGAAGGTTAATTCACTTCTATCATGATGCAAGCAAACACGGTGTTTTGTGTCTTGATGTGCTTAGTTATGCACATGTTACTGCCTTAAGTTTATTCAATATTGATTTCTCATGTCTGTAATACTGTGCCTGTAAGGATAATTAACATTTTTTTTTTCTTTTTCTTTCTTTTTCAATAAAAAAATATGTTTGTGTAATTTTTTTGGTTCTATGGTTTTTCAGAGTGCTGCTTTGTGAAATATGCAACTTTAGAGCAAGCCGAACGAGCTATTGGGGCATTTCACAGTAACTATATTTTTCCTGGGGTTAGTAATATTTAATATTGACATATATAATTTTTTTTCTAACATATTTGTAATATGTTGATTTTGTTCAGGCAGCAAATCCTTTGAAAGTTAGATATGCAGATCGGGAAAGTGAACGACTTGGTGATATCTGATGACATATGATTCTGAATGGAATTAATATCTTTGCATCTTGCTGATGTGATGATCTAATTTTCTACAGGGATGACTGGTGGTGCACAGATCACCAAGTTGTATGTAGGCTGCTTAAATAGGCAAGCTTTGAAGTGGGACATTGAAGAAGTAATAACTCTTAACTGTTTCTTCTTTGATATTTTTGCTAATCCATACTGTTACGGTCATTTTCTTCTCTGATTTCTATTACCCTGGCCATTATTAACGAGGTTTGATATGGGATATGCCTAAATATTTTGATTTGTTTTTTTGGTCCTTGCATTGTAGAATTATATTTACAGTGCTTATTTAAGCAAATAGGCATGTTACATAACCAAAATGTGATAATGTTTTCTATATATACGTCCCCTTTTCCACTACAAATAAGTCTTATGATGTCTGCGGAGTGTTGATTATGTGGGTGATGTGTTGCATGCATAGCTTGCATATAACAGTTGGTGACTGTCTTTTCTTTGCAATAAATATTCCATGTTCCTTTTGCACTTCATATATGTATCTGCGTCTTTGAAGTTCTGATTGAGTTTTTGGATTACCAGATATTTTCACCCTTTGGTGTTATCGAGGAGATTTTTATTGTCAGAGATGAATTCAAGCAAAACCGTGGTCTGTGTAATTCTCTCACCTTTTTAAGCCAAGTTCATGATTTCTCAGTGCTTTGCTATTGAATTGTCAATGCATCAAACATATTAACAAGTTTGTTTCTCTGGTCTATTCTTTAGGAAACGCTACTTAGATTGACCATAAAGGCATAAACCAGTTGTGTCCTTTCATTTATAGTTTGATCTTTACATTCTAGAGCACATAGCAAAAAACTTGATTGTTGCCTCCTAGATCAATAACTGTATTCTTCATGCTAACTTTCTTGTCTTTCAAGGATGTGCATTTGTTCAATATACTTCTAGAGATATGGCACTGGCAGCTATTCAAGCTTTGCATGGAACATATGTGATGAGAGTAAGCACTTATACTTGGATGCTATTTGTATCTACTCATGTTATAATACTTATGCCTAGAAGGTGTGATTTAGGGATGTGATCAACCTTTAATAGTTCGGTTTGCAGATCCCAAGAAACCAAGGGTAGGCGATTCAAGGTAATGTTTTGATTTGTTTTTTTTTTTTTTTTTTTTTTTTTTTTGTCCTTGTTATTTATCTTTTCCTCATGGTAATAGCTGATTTTGTAAACTTTGTACGATATGTTTTTATGTAATTTTGTGGACACTAAAATTCCTTGGCAGACCATGTGGTTTAGTCTAATAAATAATTCCTAGTTAATACCTAAGTTCTTTCCATGTTTAGGTACCAGTTGAAAGTTTTCAAGGATTCGAGGATGTTCTGTAAGATTACATAAAAGGTTGCACACAAGTACTTTTCCTTTATTAAACAAGAAACATGTACAGGGTCTAAGTTAATCCTTTCCATAATCTGTACTTTTTTATTAGTTAATGCAAGAGAATTTGAGGTTAGATCATGATCCATGAGTATTGGTAGGATCTGAAAGACTTTGAGAAGGCCAACAGTTCTTCTAGTTACATATTATTATTCAAGTTACTGATAAGCATTCTTCATTCCCAATTTGCACTTGTTAGCGTTCAAGGTCAACTTACTCATGGTCTCTGTGAATACCCTGTTTTGAATGGGGTATCTCAATCCCTAGGTAGTATATCTATCTTCCCAAGGATTCAATCTCAAATTCCTTAGCCAATTGTTTGCTTAGAATCTATGGGTATGTTCTTTTGGATTTTTTTTTTTTTTTTTTTTTTTTGGTTGTTGATTTAATAGTGGTTTGCATGTGATATATTGTGGGAAGAAATAATACATTTTTCCCGGGAATTGGGATTGTTGCGTAGTGAAAAAACTGAAACCAAATTCCAAAAGAACACACCCCATCTCTCTTTAGCATTTGACAATCTCACATATCATATCATTTTTATACAACAAGAAGCCATGAGTCCTCTTGAATCTGAGGAAATAATTTGTCATCATCTCTTGGCTTCATTTGGGTCCCATCCAAAGCACCTCATTAGAAAACTTTCCAAATCATATATGTGGGGACTATTTAAGGCCATTCAATATCTTCTTGCTATATCTCACTAGAACCTCCATCTAAACCTTCCATGCATACAAGTATTTTTGACATTAAATTGTTGGACCTCAACCATGGTTTGCTGCCAGTAATAGCAAAATTTGCAATGCTCAGCTGTGCCACTGGTCCAAATGTGTCTTTAGAGCCTACTCCACAGGGTTGAGCACATCTGTAGCTAAAAGCCGTGTCTTGTTTCGTTTAATACATCCATGTGCTTTGTATTTCATAACATACTCCATTTGCATCAATCAGCATACTGCCCTTCTGATTAGTATATCAGTTCACTCCTAAATCTTATTTGTCTTCAATGCTTCCATTTTCTTGTCCTTATCAATTGCATCATATTACGAGCCATGAAGTTCCCCAGTTAAGAAGAATCCTTGAGGCGGCCACATCATAGGTTCTAAACTGATGGTCCATTGTAGGGGATCTTGTACTAGTTGGATGAGCAATTCCCCCTTTGATGATGGTTTGAAAAACTGTGCACATTTCACGGATGGTAGTTCTCCAAAAGATGTGATTGGAGAGATTGGTGGGGGAGTGACCCTTTCACGTAGGTGGGTGGTTTCCTCAACGACATGTTGAGGATATTCCACAGAAAGAATTTCAGGAGCGAAGGTTGGAAAGGGTGCAGCTATGCAGGCTAAAATTGCGAGGACTGGTGACGAAGGTTAGGAAGAAATTCTAAGTAGAGTGCTTTGTATAGCACTGAGACCTTGTTAAGAGTGAAATTTTGGAGGATAATGCTTGTCCCAGATGTTTTTCATATAGATTATGTACAGACTTATGAGTATTCATCCTTTCTTAAAGTTATACTAGACCCTATTTTTACTAATTACTTGGAGCAGATTTCAGGGAATTGATAGCATCTCAATGAAGTTGTGAATCTCACAACAATTATGCAATTACACAAATAGCTCTTCTACATTTTAGAACTTAATAGAGTTTCTCAAGAAGCTTGGTTCTGTTTAATTATGTTCTCGAAACTGTTTTCTGGTGATTTATTAAAATTTTCCACTCTAAAAAGCATTACATCCAAACCTGTTTTTATTTAAACTATTATGTTAAAAATGTATTCTGCTCTAAACATCATATCTAATACTTATTTATGTCACATCAAACACCTATTTTAATTTTAACTTTCTACTATTCCCAAATCAACCTAAAACTCCAAAATACTTAACATAACTAGACAAATCTTTGAAAGAAGTTGATAAAATCTAGACAGTGCAGGTATACATTTCTAGAAGTTTCTGGTCATCCTGCTTTGTCATTGCCTTTGTAATGTCTTTCATAGTCTTTATATTTAGGACTACAACTGCAGCAGCGTTCATGCCTAACTGTATGTAATTCTCTCACCAATGATAACTGTTTGTGATGCACATACCAATTTCTTGACCTATAGAAACATTTTTGCCTCTATTATATGTTGAATTCATTGTCTTGTTGCTTTGGTTTTTATTCTCTTCAGGCCCAGTCAACATGTCAATGACACAACCAATGGGCATATGATGTCCAATGAAGTGCAACAGATGAAGGTAACAATATTTTTGATCTGCTCATACAAAGGTGCATTGTAGACACTTGTAAACTTATTCCTGCAATCTTTTTATCTAAACGCGGATCTTTATATCTATAGTTGAATAGCTTACAGATTATAGGTATTCTATTTGCAACATTCAGTTTGGGTGGTTAAATAATTCTCTCTTGAAACCATAATGTGCCGCCTTAGTAATTTGCACCTGCTAGCTTCTGCTTCCCTCCGAAGTCATCTTGCTTGATTGATGCCTGGCATATTGATCATCAGTATTCAAGCTGTATATTTGATAATTTGTGGTGTATCCTGAAATGAGGATGCAATTACGACAATCAGGATAGCAACACAGAATTACATAATTTAATTATTATTTTAAGTAGCGGATATTACTCAACAAAGTCCATCGGTGGCACTGTATGTCTTCATGCTATGGTATTTGGTCTTGCTAATGCTGTATTATTTGGTATAAATTATGATACAACAAATGCTTGAAGTGCACTTATTAAAGCAATAGACACCTTTCTGAATTATTGTTGCATCTTGACTTGTGCAATCCATTTTCAGTCTTCAGATGCAGAATGCAAGACAGCAGTCATGACAAGTAATGGCTCAGCACCTGCATCTCATACATTAGATTCGATTGATGATATGGAACCCTCCATAGAATGTGAATGGAGCGAGCACGTCTCTCCTGATGGAGACTTGTATTATTATAACTGTGTGACATGTGAAAGCAGGGTAAGAAGTTGGTTTTTTTCGTGATGCAATCTCTGGATATACTTTTCTCTGACCTTGAATCTTAATTTGATCGGTACTTGTGTACCCCTTGATTATAATAGTGGGAGAAGCCCGAAGACTATGAACTTTATGAACAACAACTCGATAATCTGGAAGAACAGCAGCAGGACTTGAGATGAAAAGGTTTGAAAAGCTGAAGTTGCCACCGCATTCAAACAAGAGGCATGTCCCCGCCTCATTAGATTGTGATGGACAATTGTTTCAGTGGGACTGCTATATGTTTCGCTTCTCCTGGTATGTGCAGTAGGATATTTTATGTGTTACATTTGTTTGTTTCAGTTTGGAACAAGATAGCCGTTCGTTTTTTGACAGATTGGATCTCATATATTTCATAACTTGTCGAGGCAGATGGTTTTCCTTTATACTCCCTACTAGTTGGTAGTATACTAGTATCCCTGTGGTTTTAGTTGGGTAGGGGATGTACATGCAAAACCTCATCCAATGGAGGAGATAATGCAAGAAACTTAGGGAGTGTTTGATTTGGATTTCTAATTCAAAATGACCAGTATTCAACCAACACGGCTTTCAGTAAAAAAATATACTATATTTCACTTTACAAAAACTGAAATGAAACCCTTAATACTTTCTGTCCATCTAGTCCTGAGAGACTATTCTCCATTTGACATGAAAGGAAACAACAACTAAACCCCACAAGCAGGTTTTCCCATCGGGCTGTAAGGCAGATGTTCTACATATAAACGTACCCACTCACCTGCCAGCTTATCTGCACGCACATCCATCAATTAAGAGATTACTGAATTACTACTATATTGGAACACATCATGCATCAATGTATTTGTTTTATGTATTGTACCACTGATAATGAAATGAGCTGAGCTACAAAACGTTGATATGATCTCTCTCTATATATATTGCTATGATATGATATACAGTGGACAATTGAGTGGCTATAACGAGGACACAAGGATGAAGTGAAGTAGCTGATTAGTGGTGATTGCCAGCTAGTTCCTCATTCTTAACAAGATTAAGAGTAGATGATGGCACAACATCCTGAAGAAGCCCATAGGCGTTGTTGTCTGTTAGTGTTAGCAGTTGATGCGTGAGGTGGTGGTGGTCTTGTTGCTTTGGTCCTGGTCCTCCTCCTCCTCCTCCTTCAGCAGCTGTGCTAGTGCTAGTGCTAGTGCTAGTGCTTGTGCTCCCGTAAAAGAAACCTTGTGGTTGTGGAAGGTGAGGAGGTGGTGCCATTTGTTGATTAGTTATAGTATTATTATTTATGGCTGCTGCTGAGAAACCTATAAGACTCAGACCGGAGGAGCGTTGATGGTGATGGTGATGCATGATTGAGGGTGAGGGGGAGGGAGCTGGATGAGTGTGGTGGCCTTCGTATGTCGTGACCACAATGCTCGGATCATTCCAGCATCTCTCCACTCTTTTCTTCACATTACATGAGGCGCTTGTGCACCTGTAATAGCTCCTGCATTATCACCAGAACAGAGTAGAGTGTGATCAGTACAGTTACAGTTACAGTACCCCTCTTATAATAAGTAGTAATATCAATCAATATTCAAGAGTAATACGTACATATAGAAGATGATGATGATGTATACATATACCTAGGGAAAGCACTGTTCTTGACGGCTTTTTGGCCGTACTTTCTCCACCTGTATCCATCTTCCAAGTGATCCACCTCGCTCTTTGTCATGAAAGCAAATCTTGGCTCTCTCTTCCTCTTCCGCGTCGTCTTCTCACTCTCACTCTTCTTCTTCAACCTATTGATTCATAATTAATTAATTTACTGACAGACTCACTAACTATATAGTACAATACATACAATTAACTAATTAATTAAGAATGAGAGAGAAATTAGAAATTACATACGGTTTCGCTGTCGTCGTCTTCTTGGTTGTTTCCTGATCTTGGTCATCTTCAACCCCGGCCGGTTCTTCTCCAATATCCAGTGCCGCGGGTGGTTGTAGTTCATCATTGGATTCGGAGGAAATGGTGGACGAATTGGGTGTCGAGGGCGTTTTCAACAGGTAGTCCTCCTCCTCCTGCTGCTGCTGCTTAGTAATGGTACTAGTGTTAGGCAGGTGATTAGAGGATGGAGGCTGTTCCTGATCTTCCACAGCGAAAGGGAAAGAGGGAGCTGGTGTCGAATACCCAAAGTCGAGCTGCATGTTGAGCAGCTCCATAAACCCTAGTGAGGAGGAAGAGGTGCTGCCAACTACCAAATCGGAATAATACTCTCTCATCAACATGCTGCTGCTGCTATTCGCATCGTTGGTGATGGAGGAGCAATTATTGTAAAGATCCAAATTAAAGGAGGAGGAGGAGTTGGAGGGGCAATAAGCAGTAGAGGAATTCGAAGAAGAGGAGGAGGAGAAGAGTGGAGGAGGAAGTGGATTGTCCATGGTGGCGGAATAATCTTTGAATATCATCATAGTTAATCAATTCAATCTCCTCTCATGCACAGGCAGGCAGGCAGACAGACAGAGAGAGAGAGAGAGACAGGAGTCAGCGTAGCGTAGGAAAGAAGGAAGGGAAGGGGAGGGAAGGGAAGGGGTTTATTAGTGTGAGGGAGGGAGGCAAGGATTAGATGATGGAGGAGAAGGAAGAAGATGATTGATTCATACGAGTAAGTGAGTAGTAAAAAAAATAAAATTAAATACTAGTGTAGTATAGTGTAGGCTAGCTGTATAGAGGGGACACAAAGCAGGCGGGGTAGCAGCTAAGCTAATAGAGTCCTATTACTCCCCTAGAAGAGGTGGGAAGCATAGCATAGCATTGCATTTATGAGGGGGTAGGGTGGTGTAGTGTAGTGTAGATTCACATCAAAGGTGGTTCGTTTTGACCGGTAAACCGGTTAGCGTGTGAACGCGATCCACCCTCTTTTTACTCTCTCTCTCTCTCTCTCTTCTGACAGTCAGAAGAGAGAGAGAGAGAGAGCGGGGGAGGTGATTACGCCGCTTTTCTTGCCTGCTACATTCGCCTTTTAATTTAAATTTTGTCCGCATGCATCAATAATATCGTCATCATCACCAGCACCATCATAGTAATAGTAATAGTAATAGTAATAGTAATAGATAGATAGACAGATACAGTCTAGTGTAGTGTAGTCAACTATTTCCATTCATACACACACACACACACAAGCGCATAATATATCTATATTTACTACCAGGTTGCGCTCACATAGAGAAAGAGATGCATACATACTGGGAGAGATCCAGTCGGCCGTTGGTTGGTTGTTTCTATGCATGTGAATGGTGGTGTCGGCAGTGAATTCAATAAATAAAAATGAAGGAGAGGAGGAGGGCGATGGAGTGGAGGTGGTACCACGTGTTTTGTTTTCCCAATCAAATCAAATATTATTATATTATTGATTTGACAAACACGCTTGCTTCTTGTATACGCTCCCCCAGGGCAGGGCAGGGCAGGCCCCACCATAATTCATCTATCAATCAATTACGTATCATCCATCGCCATCGGCTCTAGTTTTTGGCCTCCAGCTTCTCGTCTATACTGGTTACATTTTACTAGTAAAATAATTAGATGAGATGAGATGGATAGACGTTAGTAATGAAAGTTGACCAAGTCAAACTAAATATGTATTGATATACGCATAAATAGATTGACATATAATACTATAATTTACAAAACTATACATCTATGCTTACCATTTCTATTTTGTAATAGGGAGGAGATTAAAATTCAAAAATAACTTGTATTGTATAAAATGGGTACAGACAAGGTAATAATTTCAAATCAACTCCATTAAACAACAAATTAGATGATGAGAAAATAGTACTATATCTTAATTCAACTATACAATTTCAATTAGACAGATAAAATGAAATCTATAGAGTGATATACATGGATCACTTTAGTGTTCATCACAAAATTAAAAAATATACTTATTAACATCTTTTTTGCTTTTATTTAATATTTTAATAATATATATCATCTTAATTAAAATAAATTAATATTCCATTGCAATGATTTTAAACATGTACGAAAATCATTTTATACTTGTAACATTTAGCGTAATATTCATTAAATTAAATACATAACTAAAAAATTCCTAAATTATCAACTAGAAAAACAAAACAAAAAGTAATAATCATACTCACACTAAAACTATTTATTTTATTAAGAAAGATGGACCTACAATTTTTTTTTTTTTTTTTTTTTTTATAGGGTGTGTTAGTTTGGGGTTTTGGAATTTGAATTTGGACGAATAGTAAAATTTTTAAATTTGAATAATTGAATGATATGATATAAATAAATGTGATGTAATATTTGAAAGGTAAAATTAATTTTTAAATTATATGAATATTATTGGATTTTTGAAAATCCAATGCCCAAAACAAACCCAACCTGAATGTATACCGGCGGTAACGAGATACGATGGATGCTCCGGTTCGTCTGTAGGTGTGAGTTCCCGCCAAAGGTTTGGTGTACAGTACAGGTGTAAGTCCAATTTCGAATCTAAACTAAAAGAAACGTAACCAAGGTGCTCGTTCGTGAAATACATTGCTGTCCTGAAAAACCATTGACGGGACTGAGAGTCATCGACACGGACGAGGAAGAGGGAGAAGAGGAGGAATGGAGTTTACGCTGAATGGGAATTCCCTCAAGACTTTTGCACGCTCCATCACCTGCCTCGCCCGCATTGGTAACGAGCTGGTTTTTCAGGCGTCTCCTGCTCAGGTAGCGATAGTTTCTGTTGTTAAACTAATTCCATTTTATATCCAACCTTCTTGTGATAGATCCTCTATGTAAATTTCTTTTCTTTTTTCTTTTTGTGATTATCTTAGTTGGATTGTTCAAATTTGAATTTAACTCTTTTAATTGCATAGTTACTAAAGTTAGGGTTTTACTGATGCTAATTAATAATAACGACCTGAACTGTATAGAACGGCCTATTGCATGATTTCTGAAGAGATTCTGATTTATGAGACGTGCAATTCCTGTTCGGATTGTTCTACACATTTTTTACACACACACACACACAAAAGGGAATTTGAAGTTAGGAGTTTATTTATTTATTTCAAATATTTTGATCATGCTTGTTTCTTTTTCTTGGGTGCAGCTTTGCCTCCATACTCTTAATTCATCAAAGTCAGCCTACCAATCCACAACCTTCAAGCCGGAATTCTTTGATGTATATTCGGTATCCGGTTCCCGGGTTCAGTGCAGTGTACTTTTGAAGGTGTGCTATTTTCAGCAGTGATCAGTAGTTATCTTTGGCATGCTTAATTTGGTAGTTAGTGAATTTAAACCCGATGTTCGCGTTATTTATGCAGGACATGTGTGCTGTGCTGAGAACCTCAGTCACTCGCATAGATAATTTAAGTTTCCTGTTTGCTAATTCCGATGCATCGAAGGTGCAATGGACATTGGATTGTCTTAATGGTATGAAACCTTTGGTGCTTAATTGTCTGTGAGGCCACAGGGAACGTCCCTTATGAGATCTTTATATTTATGCTTATTGATGGAAGTGTGCATTGATAGATAGCTTATAGAATTTCAAAAGACTCTGAATGATTCCTTGGCATACCGCCACAATAGCACTTTGAGATAGAGACGACCAGAACTAATGTGTGTTAAATAATATATCGAATGGTAATGCAAATATCTACCTAGAAAATTTTTAAGTTCCTCCCTGTGTAGGCATGATAAGTTGTTCTATGGCACCACAAATACAATACTTTTTAAATTTCGAAGCTATCATAAAAACTGTGATATCTAGTAATGTGGCTATTCTGTTGGTGTGAATAATGCCAATATGCTTGCCTGAGTTTCTCCTTTTGTCCTTTTCAATCGGAGAGTGTAACTTCTTGATAGGTGTTCATTCTCACCGTTCTTGTATAACAGTTAATAGATAGTGATATCACATTTTTATAGCATTGATTTTACTTTTAGTGTATGTTGTGGCTGCAAAAATAAGTTTGTCTTTCTTGAAAATGTGTTGCTTGTTGAATATATATTGTAGATTGTGGAATTATGCATGAGAGACATTATGCTCGCCTCTGATTGTGCATAAAACTTTAAGCCCATAATGTTTTTGCAACTATAATTAAGAATTTCTAAGCAAATTTTTAAAACGTGGACAAGACTTATTCCATCAATTTAGACGTGCTCACAGATTATGGGAGTTAAGACATGTCCAACATATCTTTAGTTTTCTAGAAATAATAAATAGATATATGTTTGAAGAGATTAGTCATACATTTTTGAACAAATTTCTAGAGATGTTGAATCTTGTGATATTAATAGTTCTCTCCAATTGTAACCAAATTTTAATTTGCATCGGATAAGCCAGTCTAAACATCTGAAGCTCTTTTCATTCATCTAGAGACGACATCCTTGTCCACCTGTTTTGGGATTTAGTTATGTACGTATGTAACATGAATGTAAATACTGGAAAGTGTTCAAAATGAAGCCTGTACATGCCTCGTAATGCCAATTTAACTCTATTTTTTCCAGGTCTGAGAAAAACATATTGGATTACTTGCATCGCTGAACATAATATACATCATCTATCACTCGATCGGCAGAAACTTCCCAGCAATTTTGTTGTTAGACCTCAAACTCTCAACAAATTACTTGGGAATTTTCAGTCAACCCTTCAAGAGATTACGGTCATTGCAACCCAACCATCTGCCCTGCCACCAGATGCTGCTGATCAGATCGGGGGAAAAGCGGTTGAATTCAGAAGCTATATAGATCCGACCAAAGGTTCATTGCACTATGAAGATGTGTGATCATTGTTTTCAATTTGCTTGGTTCATAGCTATGGTAATTATTATTTTTTTCTTTTCAGAGAATGATGCATCACTACAAACTCAGCTATGGATAGATCCTGCTGAAGAGTTTGTGCAATATACTCACACTGGTGATCCCATAGACGTAACCTTTGGAGTAAAGGAGCTGAAGGTGATGCTACTATCTGCTGACATCTGTTGTTCTTATTTGAGATTACCTTAGTGAGCTAACTACTTCATCTTATGAACTCCTATACATAGGTCACATGAGGTCCGGTAGTTTCTTTTATATATCTCCTCATTCATTACAATGCTGCATGCCTTCTTTTATTCTGATGTTTCAATAGAAATGCATTGTCTTTGCACTTTTTATCCGACTTCATCTTTCTCTTTTTCCTTCTCATGTTGCAGGCATTTCTTTCATTCTGCGAGGGATGTGAGGTCGATATAGGTTTATACTTTGATAAAGCCGGAGAGTAAGTTTCATCGTCTTACGGATTTTAATTGACACACTTTATCTTTTGTGGGTTAACATTATTGTAGCTATATCTTGCATCGATTCCTTTATGATCCAATTTGCCATTTTTGTTTTTGGAAATACAAAAAGTATAATAGAGTTGTTGAATTTTTTCTTTTTTTTTTTTAACAAAAAACGGAGTTGGCTATGCAATGTACTGTTGCATGTGTATTTTATACAGCACTTCAATTTGGACAGAACAGCATTGAGTGCTATGGTTATATCATCGATAATGTTCTTGTTAAGCATGTTTTCACAATTGGAGAACACAGGCCTATCCTAATGGCGCCGAAGTTTGGGTCAGATGATGTCTCCTTCTCAAACTTTGATGCTACCCTTGTGCTCGCCACCATGCTTGCATCGCAACTCAGTGGCCAACCTTCTGGTGTAGCTGCTGAAGGGGCTCTGCCACAGCGGAGGGCTAAAGGAAACACATCGGAGCATCCCTCCGATCACACTAGAATTTGGTCTGATCTCCCAGGTAATGCGTGCTGCACATCACAAACTGTTATGCAGCTGCATGTATGCTTCAGCGATTGACAAGTCTATGTGGTTGCTTGCAGAAAGCGCAGCAAGAGATGGCAGCAGTACCGAGCAGAGGGCAACAGCAGAGAGGTTCGATGCAACGGACATTTCTGCAGATAACAACAACGCAGGCTGCCGCCATGAGTATCCTATTCAAGGTTGCTTGCTATAAATAATATAGTCACCTTTATATTCATCGTGATTTGATATCTTCCCTCTGGTTTTGATCAATTGCATTTGTGGATCCAGATGCCACCTGCCAGGGCCCGTCGCAAAGGCATCCCAGCAATTGGGTGAGCGTGGAGGATGAGAATGACAACGAGGAGGATGACGATGAAGATGATACAGAGATGTGTGTGCAGTCAACTCCTCCATAAATATATAGGACTTATTATACTCTCCTAATTTGCAAGTGAAGTGGTGCTGTAAACAGACAGGCACACTGCTGGCAGCCAATGCTATTGCCATTGCATTCCATCAACTGCTGATATCTATCGTATACTTCATCCCACTCACTTCAATATATTATTACTGCATAGTAGATAAAAGAATAATATCATTGATCTTCTTGGTGAATGTAAATATGTGAAAAGTTTTGACAAATTTGCTGTTTCCAAGACTACTAAATCTGCTACGCAATAGATAAGATCAGACAGTCCTGTACTGTGCAGTTGGGCAATAGGCCATTCATTTTGCAGAATTACAATATTATTAGATAGGTATGTTTATTCAGTTCATATTTCGACAGTCTGTCAATCCGTGTATAGTAGTAATTTATTTATTTTATTAGTGGGTGGGTTGTCAATTGAAATCAAGAAGCAATATACAGAGATGGAAAAAGCCAAGCCAAGCAGCTGTATTTTTCATTTGAAGTGAAGGGAAACATTCATACATAGATAGATAGATAGTTCCATGGCTTAACCTTGGGCCATTTCATACAGACACAGACAGACAGACAGGCAGGCAGGCATGGAGGACTTTATTTAGTAGTGTAGTTATGCTTAAAAACCAACACGTGCAAAATGAAGGCTGAAAATTCACTCACTCACTCAGAAAACGAAAGTCACGTTGGATATTCCACCACAGTTTTCATACCATGGAATGTCGACGCTCAGCTTCCCGCTGGTTGCCCACTCGAACCCCACCCCACCTCCATTCACGTACGCCGTCTTCGGCGAACCACTCGAATATGCCAGGAACCTCCCCTCGCCCTTCACTTCAATCTTCGCCACGCCCTCATCGTACACCGCCCCCTGAATGGTCCCTCCACAGTTGAACAGGTTGGTCAGCCCAATCGGTGCAAACTTCACACTCCCCTGCCCCAGCCTCTGGATTGGCACGAAGCTGAAGATCTCGAATGTCGACGACTTTAGGGTGAATGAGATGGGCCCTGAATCGTGCTTCGCCAACAACAGTTTCTCCGCCTCCGTGAGGTACACAGCGTATTCCTCAGCACTTCCCATTCCGGCTGCCTCATTCTTCTGATCCCATTCGATGTCGTTTACATGAACTGAACCGGAGAGTGGCTTGTAGCACTGGGAGTAACCTTTGATCCTCTGTTCCTTGGGGTCCCATCCGGCGCCCTGGCAGTTGAAGGCCCCAACAACGCCGCCATACTGTCGAATTAACAAGCAAACCAATTGAATTTGTTTGTTTGGGATGATAGATAGAGGAGTGAGTAAATTGTTGTTTGTACTGTCTGACCTTGTTGAAGTTCCATATCTTGAGAATGGTCTTGCTGTCAAAGAGGGGGTTTTTGAAGAGGCAGTCTCTTGTCGGGAGAGCAAAATGGATGCATTTGGGGATGGTGCCATCAGGGAACACCAGCTTCCTCAGAAGATCAAAGTCATGGCCAGTCAAAGAATCACTCACATAAACGGGACCGCCGCAGATGGCCCTGGAGCCGGCATGGAATTTTGCGCACAGATGGTCGGACTGGAACATGTCCCAATCGGGCTGGATGATTTGCCCCATCCACATGCTGTTGTAGGCGCAGTGGATCATGTGTACCCCTTGCAGCCAGTACACTCCCATCGGGTCACCATTAGGGTCTTGGAACCAGAAGTCGTCCCCTGTGTATATTGCATGCAACACCACACTTATATTAACCTACTTACCTACTTAGAAGCCAACAAGAACATACATTTAATTTGCTGGATTGGATCATGATATCAGCAAGTATCTTGCAAATTTCTTACCGACTCTTCCCATGGATATCTGCTCAGTTCCAAGCAGGAAGAAGTCATTGCATTGCTGCATACTGGAGATGAGCCCTGTCCCCTTGAAGTTCTTGGACAGGGATTTCGACAGCCCCTTGTAATAAGCCTTGGCAAGCTCGACCCTGCCCTCGTACTCTTCGCAGACATATTCAAGCATCTGTTTTTGGATCAGTTCAATACAATATGTCAACCAACCAACCAACCAGTGGAGCAAAGAAAGTGAAGTTAATATATATCATCAAGCACACTTACATGGATAACATCCACTTTGACTCCTGTAATTCCGGATTTGGCAAGGTAAGAGTGCATGGAATCATACAGATCAGCAGCTTGGTCTGGATGAACCAGCCCCACCGACCCCTCGATAATTTTGACGACTGCAAGATCAGTCATGGTTCCATCAAGCCCCGGAGACAATTTACATGGAATAATCTCCGACTTGAGGTGGGTTGCCCCTGGCCTAACCCCACCCCAGGCTCCAGCCAAGGCGTGCCAAACGTATATATCATCCAGCCCCTTGAATCTCTCCCTCAGATCACTGGTGAATGCTTTCATTCCAGAGCTGTCAGACTTGCAAGAGCAGTTTGAGCAGCCTTTGTTCGATCCACCCTTCTCTTCTTCCCCTCCACCGCCGAACATTTCGTCCAATTCGTTCTGCAGCTTTGCTATCTGAACCTCGTACTGAGACAGATCTGCGACCCCAGATTCAGCCGCCTTGTCACGGGCTTTCTCCGCAACTTCGATCTCAATCGCCTTGGATATTAACAGCTTTGGCTTCTTGGGGTCGAATTTGGGGCGATTCGGCCCCAGCATTGATCCGGCCTTGTACTTTCTGAACTTCTCGCATTCATCAAGTCTGTGAAGTCTGGCAGTCATCTGAGTCCCCCCGAGCACAAGATTCTTGGCATCCTCATGGGGGTCCTGTTCGTCCATATTGATGCTCTGCCACCCATCGTCAATGATGAGAAACCTCGGGGAGAAGCCACCATCTGCAAATTCCTGCACTCCATGCCAGATTCCGGCAGGCTCCACGGTCAGGTAGAATGCATCCCAGGTGCACCATCCGAACTTGTTCACCAGTGGCGGCGCAGTTTTTTCTTCAATGAGCTTGAAGGTGTTGAGGTGCACTCTGATGGCAGTGTAAGCCTCTTTCATCAGAGTGTAAGGATTGTCGGACATGTGAATATACGCAATTGCATCGAAAGAGGATGTTTTGGCGCGAGTGGAACCACTTTCGGCGCAGATGAGCATGTGGCCGTCGAGTCCAGGATGAAGGGCTGACCTGAATTTTCCTTCGACGATGGGGATGACGACGGCGTAGGACTTGATCTCGGGGACATCGAGCATTACCCACTGCGTCTCCATTTGAACGTCGGAGCCGGAGTTCCCAACCCACTGGGTGGACCACCAGGTTTTGAACCTGAAGATGCTGACGAAATCCCTGCCGGTGAATTTGCCGAGGGAATTGGTGAGCCTGTCGGAGGGCCCATCCTGGGCGAATCCGAGGAATCCGCCCTTGGAAGACAGGGACTGGGCGCGGTGGAAGAGGGGGGGTGGGGCGTCGGAGGAGGGGCAGACGGAGCAGTAGGGTTTGAAAGTGACATTGGGGGGAACTTCGGATAGCAGGGGAACGTTTTTGAGGGAGAGCTTCCCGCCATGGAGTTGAAAAAGGTTGTCGGTTTTGGCGGGTTTGAGGACGCTGAAGATTGAATTGATTGGATCATTTGGGGGCGCCATGTCAGAAAAGTGAGTGAACGAAGAATAAAGGAAATTGAGGTCTGTGGAAGTTGGGTAGGAGAAACAAGAAATGTGAAGAGCAAGCAAGCAGAAGAGAGCTAGCTAGGAAAGGAAACAAGGAGGAAGTGTGGAACAGAAGGAAGATGGAGATGGAGGAGAAATGCGGGGAGGGAGACGACACATATATAGACTGGGAAAGCGAAGTAATAATGGAAATAGGGAGAAAAGTGGTGGGGAATCTAATCAAGAATTGATTGGCATATACATTTGGCAAAAGAAGAAAGAATCAGGATAGGGTATGTATGGTATGGTATGGTAGGGAAGGGTAGAGTTGGGCGGCGGCAGCAGTGGTGGTGGTGGACGATCAACGGCGAACTAAGCCTGAGAAGGAAGCAAGAAAAGAAGGACTTGGGTTAAGCTTGCTGCATGCATGCATGCAATTTGCTTTTTCTTCCTTTTTCTGTGATTAACAAATTCTACTCTCTTAATTGAGTTCATTCATTCATTTGTAGATTTTAGTTTTACTACTCTCACTAGAGCATTTCCCATCCACTCTCACTCTCACTCTGTATAATATATGTATTATTGGTTCAAGAATACTTTATAAAGTTCCATCGTACATTGAAGATCTATGCTATACATGACTAATCACAAATTAATACATAGATACGTGTCTTACTTTGGCAGGTGGATCTTATTTTGGTGTATTGTAGTAGTTTAGTTTTGTTGGGTATTATATAGTGCATTCAATGCATGGTATTGATAATTGAATTAGCAGAAGCAGAAGTAATAAGGTGCCGGTGGGGATGGATATGATATGATATGAGCAGAGCTGGAATTAAATGCATGTCTATCTCTCCACCTGTGCCACTCTCATTGGTTTATTTATATCATGGAAGAAGAACATGAGAAAGAAGAAGAACAACAATACTAGACTATACTAGGGAGGGCCTTTATTATAACTCCATCACTCTTCTTGTTACATTCATTCCATTAGTGAGAGTTTTCAAGTGTGGTAGTGATAACCATGTTTTGAAGGAAAGGAAACTAAAAAACCAGTCAAGTAGGCTTCCATCTGCAGAATAGAATAGAATCCCTACCAATTGATCCATTGCATACATGCATATGGGTGGGGTGGGGTGGGGTGGCTGCCCATCCATCCACAGCCATATAAACCAGAGGGATATTTCTCAACTTGTGCACCATCTAATACATACATACCTACATAACCCACAGATATATACCATATTCCTTCCTCTTTTACTCTTCTTTTGCTTTACTTTTACATCATATACTTGTTGGAATACATAAAGCATTGCAAGAATCTGAATCTCGCCGGTAAATAATACAGATAGGTTTGCAATGCCTGCCTTCCTCCTCCAATCCCAAATAAAAATCACTTGCAATGCAGTCAGGTCCCTATTAGGAGGAGTACTATCGGTGTGATGGGAATACGATGCCTGGTTTAAAAAAGGGATCCCACTTTTACCCACTTGAACCGAGCGAATCCAACCAATCCAAATCTCTCGGCTTTCCCCAACAAAATTTCCACAAGTTAAAAATAAGACACAGACAAACAAGGGGCTTAGATTCACAATTATAATTTCATCACACATTGATTACATTGATCATCCATGAATAGCCAACTAGCTAGCTACAATGGAAGTGGCTGAAGGTTTTTGAACCTTTTGCTGCAGTCTGCAATCAAGTGACTTCTTTCATCCTCGAGTACCAGCACCTTTAGTGTCCCTGATTCCTTCAGCCAGGCAGCCACAACTGCCCCTGTTGATGTGAATCTCCCAATATTACACTTGGCAACCCGAAATGGTGCGCCCATGCTCATCAGCTGAGCTTCAACTGCGCGCTTAAGTGCACCATCACCTACCACTTTGCTGTGCTTGCCCCACCCGGTTAGTATGCTGCATATGTGTTTCATTAATCAAATGTAAAATCCAAACCTGAAACCAACTCAAATAATTCAAGGTATTGACAAATAGAGAAACCTATATACCTTAGCAACTTTGGCAATTCATGACCTTCGAAAACAATAGAGCGTATATTGAGCAACCATGAATGCACCATGGCTCGTGCAGCGCCCAAGGACATGAGATGCAAATCCAGGCATGACTCTGACCAAGTATTTTCCCATACTTCTCGACGCTTTCCTTCAAGCACAACAAGTTGGGCTCCTCGTTTCTTGGAGAAAGAAAGTGAAATGGGTCAATTAAACCTCTTCAATCTTTATCTGCATGACTCAAAACTTGTCTAGCATTATCAAATGACCATATACCACCACACGCTTAGAGTGCATCCCAGATCATAACTGTTGGTATTTCCTCAGAAATGCATGAAATCTAGATTGATTTGTCATTAGTCACACAGTGGGCAATCTCAAACATCCATCAAGAAATCATGGGCATGGCCAGAGTTCAACAAAAAAGAAAAAAAAAAAGTAAGGATTTACAGGTATTCATTACTATATTGATTGTTATCATCAAAAGACAGCAAAAACATACAAGCAAATAATCAATGTCCTCAAAGCTACCAATATGCTTTGTCTCTGAGAGTGTAAAACATGTCTATTTCTTCTTTTCTATTTTAGGCAAGGGTAAGGTGCAGGCAATGGTGAAGCATTTATGTTGCAATTTCAATTGGAACACTCTTTAGACACTCTCTCAGTTTCTTTTAAGCTACACTATAGAGGATTTTGCCTCCCAGACTTAGGTACTAGCTCGTGATGAGATTGGCTGAAGTGATGAAGTGTGATTATTTTCTTGGCACATAGTAACAGGTTTGTTCAACCAGTGAGAAGACGCTCTTCAAATATAATTTAAATTGATAGAAAAGAGCATTGATTATAGTATAGAACAATAAACAGTAATTATCTATTATCTCATACATTGCAATGGACTTAGATAACATGGAGCTTTCATTTAATTGGCAAGGTACCTGGCCAAAGTGCCATAGCATATCAGTCAAAGCATTGTAAAAAGCAGAAGCGGTTGAAGAGTCCATTCTCTTCACTTCATCAAAAAGTGTTAGAGCTTGTGACCAAGTGAACTCATTGTGACCCATTAGAAGTCCATATGCTACTCCATATACTTGATTATCAAACAAACGCAACTCCTCCAGTAGCAGTGAAGCTTCTTCAAATGAACGGCAGCGGCTACAAGCACAAAGAGTTCAGCTAGAACCTCATGATGATGATATTATCAAAATCTAAAGTTTTCATAAACATTAAGGCGACCAGTTGAATCTCTGAACATTGAGATATATATTGTATCTATACTTCCTTTTGCAAGGATAAATGTGTACCCTGTTGATAATTTATGGTTGCACAATGAGAATCCAAAACAAAAGCATCTGGATATGTGCAAATTAGCAGAGATAATTACGATATTTAAAAACATGAATAACCTGCAAGCATTAAGAATTGCGGAGAAGGTAACAACATTAGGCTTTATTTTCATTTCATGCATTCTCCCGAAAACACCTAAAACACATCGAAAGTCCTTCATTTCCCTGTGGTCATGCTTTCCATTGCCCAATTTTCCACAAGCCAATTGCTTGAAAACTTTAGTAATTCTGTCATCCTCCTTGTCTTCCATCTCGGTCTCAGGAACATTCAGAAGAACCATTTGTTTTGAGGATTCTATCTGAGGTTCAATCTCATCGACAGTTTCATATTGACCAAAGGCATTAATGATTGAGTTGTAGGTAACAACATTAGGCTGGATACCTTCCCTCATCATCTCATCAAGTAGCAGCGCAGATGATTCCACCAGCCCCTTCTTGCACAAGGCATCAATCAATTTGCTGTAGAAAACCACATCTGCCTTCAGACCTTGTAGTTTGAACCCTTTGTATGCTTCCATTGCCTCTTCATATAATCCTCCCTTGCAATAAACACTGATTAATGTTGAATAAGTTAATAGGTTAGGTGAGAGATGTTCCCTTTTCATCTCTGCAAACAATTCTTTAACCTTATCATACATTCCCTGTTTACCAAATCCATCCAACAAAGCATTGTAAGTGACAACATCCTTCTTAATCCCAATGCTCTCCATCTCCTTACCAACAGCAAAAGCCTCATCAAACCTGCCAAGACTAGCATAAATAGCAAGCAACGTATTATAAGACACCCTGTCCAATTTAATACCCGCAAGCTTCATCTCATTGAACAAGTTCAGTGCTCTATCCAGCCTCCCGGCCTTGGCACACCCACGAATCATAGTACTATAAGTGATTTCATTAGGAAATATATTCTTTGCATGCATCTCAGCCCTTATCTCAAAAGCAGCATCCATGTGCCCACCACTACACGCGGCGTCTAAAAGGGTATTATATGTATAGATATCTTGATCAATCCCCCGGTAAGCCATCTCATCAAACAAACTCCTTGCACTGTCCCACAACCCTGCTCCACTACACACTGCAAGAAGTGAATTGTAGGTAATCCTATCAGGCTGCACCCCATTCCGCATCATGTCATCAAAGATCCACAAAGCCCTCTTATAATCAGCACCGCCTTTACCGCATGCATCTATGAGAGCATTGTAAGTCACTAAATTTGGCTTCAAGCCCAAGACTTTCATACTCTCAAAAACAGCAATCGCCTCATCACAATAGCCACTCTTAGCATAGGCACTAATCAAGGAAGAATAGGCATATACAGTGTTGCCATACCCCTCATTCACAGCATTCTCAAACACTTTCTTGGCTAATTCAATCTTTCCCAGTCTACCAAGCGTACTAATCATCGAGCTAGCCAGTTTCCCCAGCTCGTTTCTCCTCCTTTCACGACTAATTGCAAACTCAAAACACCTCATTGCCTTGACCCAATCCCCTCTATTCCCCAGCTCCCGCAGCAAAAAGGTATAATCAGCAGACGCATAAAGCTTCGACTCGAAACTAAGCAAGATATCATCCAAGCATTTTACCTCGCCACCGCAGATAAGAGCTTGGTGGAGCGCTTCTTCTGCGGCGGCGGAGTGGCGGGAGGAGGGAGTAGACCTAGGGCGGCCAAAATGCATTTTTGAGACAAATCTGGTGGAGCGCCGGCCGGAAAAATCAGCTGCAGAAAAACAAGAAAGGTTAGGGCTTCCAGCTGCTGCGACAGCGGTAGCAGAGGGAGGGGGCGGCCTGGGGGCGGCGGCATGAGAAACGTGGTTGTTTAAGTAAACCTTTTGAGGTGCCCAGTTGTGTTGACGGGAGGAATTGCGGTGGCTGTGATGATGGTTTTGGAGGTGGTGGAAATGGTTATTCTGGTAAGGTTTGGGAGTGGTGAGTGTACAGTGCGGTGGCGGAGTTGACGACGCCATCGCACAAAGAGAATGAGAAGAAGATAAAAATGGCTGTTGGGCAGCCTTTTTTTCTTTTATCTTGATTTAAATATTTTGACCGAGGGAGATCGGACATCATCGCGACAGGTAGGATTGCCCAGTCTCCACTGAGAAAGAAAAGTCAAATAAAGATAGTAAAGAGAAAAGAGTGGAGTGCTTTTTCAGGGCCCCTCTCCTTACCTACCTTCATTTCATTTATGTCCAAAATAGTCAATGTTTTTCATATGAGATTTTCACTCGCCTCCATTGCTTACCTAAATCCATGATTGGCCCAGAGAAACAAGAATCATGCATGGGATGGGATCATGGGAGGGAACACAACACAGCTGCTGCAGCTGCTTCCATACCATTCTCATCTTAATTCCAACTTCTTGGCTACATTCCCCCATCAGTCAAATTAAGATCGAGGTTGGTTGTGTGATCTTGTCTTGTCTGTCATGGCAACCAAGCAAATGACCTAACCCCAAACCATAGGGTACAATAACAACACGGTAAAACCTAACTAGACAAATTGTTTTGCAGGCGTACGGGGAAAAGACACAGGCTTCTGTCTTTCCGAGGAAGTCTAAAATTGTTTTTTTCCTGTATGCCTGATCCCGCATGGCAATGGAGACAAGAAGCCATCGGATTTCTCCAACACTTTTTGCCTTGTCCCTTATCCTCTGTGCAATCCACGTGACAAGCATTGGCGATGGCATTGGCATTGGCTCCAACCCCCTGCTTTTAAGCTGCGGCGATTCTGTTGGAGGAAATGACGCAGATGGCCGGACATGGCTGCCCGACGCCAGATACCTCCTCCCCGGCAGCAAGAACGTGGAGGCCAAGGCTGACACACAAGATCCCTCATTGTCTTCAACAATCCCTTACATGACCGCCAGAATATTCCAATCCGAAGCAACCTACCAATTTCCCCTCCAAGATCCATCCTCCCGGACATTGCTCCGACTCCATTTCTACCCCTCTTCCTACCCTAATTCCAACATATACAATTCCTATTTCTCCGTCGTTGCTGGGGGCATCACTCTGTTGAACAATTTCAGTGCTTCTTTAGCCGCCGAGGCACTTTCCCAGGCCTACTTCATCAAGGAATATCATCTGGCTCCGAACCAATTCACATCCCTCGGCGTCACATTCAAGCCATCGGACCAATACCCGTCCTCCTTCGCTTTCATCAATGGCATTGAGATCATCTCATCTCCCCCAACTTTTGTTGAGGATCCTATCTTGGTGGGAACAGATGCATCCGGTGTCGACTCCCAGTCTGCATCCACCATCCCCATTGCATCCAGCAGCATGGAAGCATTGTACAGGTTGAATGTGGGAGGAGGATATATTTCCCCAACAAACGACAGCCTGATGAGAAGCTGGTACGACGACAGCCTGTACATATTCGGTGGCGGGCATGGGGTCGCCTTAGGGGCCAACATCACCGTCAACTACAGAGGCATGCCTTCCTACATGGCTCCACTGGACGTGTACAGCAGTTACAGATCGATGGGAGCTTTCAAGGATGTCAACGTGATTGCGAACCTGACATGGACTTTCGATGTGGATCCTAATTTCATGTACCTGGTTAGATTGCACTGGTGCGACTCTGAGATGACAAAGCCGAATCAGAGAGTTTTCGATGTGTTCGTCAACAACAAGACTGCGGTAAGCGAGGTGGACATTTATGCGTGGACAGGTTCCATTGCAACTCCAATGAAGAAGGATTATGTGATTCATGTCAGCAACAGGACAGGTGACGACCCTAAGATTTGGGTTGCACTCCATCCTACAGACCAGACTAAAGCCGAATTCATGGATGTCCTTCTCAACGGGCTGGAGATATTCAAGCTCAGTGACCCTCAGGCGAATCTGGCAGGACCTAATCCGACCATGTCTGATCTGATGAAGAGATACCAGCAAGGCCAAATGAATCCAGGGTCATTCCAAGGACGAGAAGCTTTCAGCCAGGTCACATTCACCGGAGCTGCCGGAGGAGCTGCTGCAGTTGGGCTAGCAGCCGTTTTGATCATGGCAGCATACAACAGAAAGAAGAAATCTATGCCACCAGCGGATCAATCAGGGCCCGGTTGGCTTCCGATCTCTTTGTCCTCAAATGCAAACCGAACCAAGTCATCCATTATCTCCATTTCACCAGATGCAGCCAGCAATTGCCGCTATTTCAGCTTAGCAGAGGTAAGCAGTGCTACCAATGACTTCGACGAATCAAACATGATCGGCGTGGGCGGCTTTGGGAAGGTGTACAAAGGCGTCCTCGATGGCGACACGAAAGTGGCGATCAAGAGATCGAATCCTTCTTCGGAGCAGGGAATCAACGAATTCCAGACAGAAATAGAGATGCTCTCTCAGCTGAGGCACCGGCATTTGGTGTCTTTGATCGGATACAGTGAAGACAATGGCGAGATGATCCTGGTGTATGACTACATGGGGAAAGGGACATTGAGGGAGCATCTCTACAAGGGCAACCAAACCATCCTCTCATGGAAGCAGAGGCTGGAGATCAGCATCGGAGCTGCTCGCGGGCTGCACTATCTCCACACGGGTGCAAAGAACACCATAATTCACAGAGATGTCAAGACTACCAACATCCTGCTGGACGATAATTGGGTGGCTAAGGTCTCCGATTTCGGGCTCTCCAAAGTGGGAGCGGAAGGCCATGGAGGGCATGTGAGCACGGTGGTGAAGGGCAGCTTTGGATATCTGGACCCTGAGTACTTCAGAAGGCAGCAATTGACAGAAAAATCGGACGTGTACTCGTTCGGAGTGGTGCTGTTCGAGCTGCTGTGCGCGAGGCCGGCCCTGAATCCGAGCCTGCCGAGGGAGCAGGTGAGCCTGGCGGATTGGGCGCTGCATTGTGCGAGGAACAATTGCGTGGAGGACATAATGGATCCAGAATTGAAGGGGGAAATAAGAGCAGAAAGCTTGAAGAAATTCACGAGCACAGCGGAGAAATGCTTGGCAGAGAATGGGGTGGAGCGGCCGTCCATGGGGGACGTGCTCTGGTGCCTGGAGTCGGCACTGCAGCTCCAGCAGCAGGAGGAGGAATGCCACCAAAATGGGGGAGACCACGGCGGCAGCAGGGATGTGGAAGAAGGCGCAGTTACAGATGATAGCCAGAGATTGGTGACGATGCACCGAAAAACCTTGAGCCTTGGAGACGACGACGATGATGAGAATGAGATGGGCAACATTAGTAGTAAGGTAGAAACCGCCGTTGTTGTGGATGATGTATTGGCGCCTTGTGATAAAAAAGGCCGTTAAGCTAAAAATAAAATACCAGAAATATATATATTTGGTATTATTATTCATTCATGAGTTTGATCGGTAACTATGTAATGTTTTTTTTTTTTTTTTTTTTTTTTTTATCGGAGTTAAGTATGTGATGTTGTGTGATCATGAAATGACTCAAGAATGAAAATCTAAATAAATCGACCTGGCCCAATTAACAGAGGCATTCAAAAACACAATAAAAGAGAATAAGGTGTTCTGATTATATATAAATGTAACTAATAAAAAAAAATATGTGTATAATTGTCAAGACGGATGGAGTAACTCTAAAAGTTCCATAACAAATGGTAATTTTTTAATACAAATAATTTGATTTAGATCAGTCTATAATAGCACAGTACATTAATAAAAGATTGACTGAAAATTTATTCACTATCATATTTTTGTATAAAAATTACGGCACCTCCTAATAAATTTCAAACAACCATGAGTGATCTATTTAATATGTTCCTCCGAATATATCTCAAGAAACTTTTTTATTGTATCGGGCCAATAAGGCTCAGGCTCCTCCGTCGTCATTTAGAGTTGCAGTGTGAGACAGACAGAACAAGACTGTTCTTCTGCTTTGCTCTATTCGAATTTCCTTCCGCATATTACATATACAAATAAACGACGATTACCCGCGTTGAGGCTTCCCTTTCATTGAACTGGGAAAAGTTGTGATTCGTGAAGCGGATTTTAGAATTTTTTTTAAAAAATTTTGTGCCGTAATTCTACTCCGAGTTTCTGAAGGAACCCTTCTTCTTAATTCGTTGATTTGTGTCCTTGCGTAGATCAGGGATCCGGTAATCATATCCTTTTGTTGATTTTATCCCGCTAATGACTTTCGGATGTTATCCATCTGACTTTTCGTAATTGATGCGTGATATCCCTTTTCAAGATTTGAAGTCTCGTTGGGGAATCATAATGGCGAAAATCAAACCTCAAGCACTCCTACAACAGAGCAAGAAGAAGAAGGGGCCAAGCCGATTCAGTATTGCTACAATTGCTGTCTATGCCCTGATTATCGGAGTCATGGCGTTTTTCCTGGTTGCGTCCTACAGGCACTGGGCCCGAAGGTCTCTTCTCCGGTTTCCCTCTTACATCTTTCACTCTAATTTGATGATGAGTTGCTATTGGTGATCTTTTTGTTATCAGTCTCTTTGATGACCGAGACCCAAGGATATCTTCCCAACTAGATTTATATCCATAGGCAAAGATTAAATTTTTATACAAGGCATGTCATATTTTCATTCCGATGTTAAAACATGTTTGAGCTCCTTGTTTGTGACATGCTTGCACTTGAAGTTTGCTTATACATAATTAACACCATTTCATATGTGTGTATGTGATATTGGTATTTGATTGATGGGTCATTCATAATCTAGTTTGAAGATCTATTTAATTGTATTCTTGTGGCAGCAAAAGCTACTATATGAACCATACATTGATTATCACCTTGATTTGGGCATTCATTCAGGTCAAGATTTCTGACTGAAGATACATTAGGAGGTGTAGAGGTATGCAGCTCCTTCTCCTTCTCTTCCTCCATCTCTTTCTTGCTGAGTTAGGTTACCCCATGATTCATTCCTTCACAGCAAAGAAGGAAGTTCTAATACTTGATGGAGATAATGAACATGGCAGAAGAAGACAGGACCTCAGGAGCAGCAAAGAAATGAGACATTATTAATTTGATAATTGACACTAGAATGAAACCTGAGATATGTCATTCATAGGCATATTTCATTGCTTACTGTTTCATTTTTAACACTTCCCTATTCAGTAGCGGTTTTTCATATTCTTGCTGCGGCCTCTGGATTGTTAGGTTTCGCCTTTATATTCACTTGGGTGTTCAAATTTGTGATGCAATGTTGATTGGACCTGCCATTTTTTCTTCAATGCTTCCATGTTCATCTGGTCATGCTTGTGTGTTTTTTTGTGCAGCATGATGGATCATTTGTTGATTCAAAGAAACTTGGTTTCCCTAAATATGCTGTAAGTTTCTGTGTATGCTTATTTATTGATCAATCAAGTCTCTGTTGGTTTAGATTTTTTACTTAATAAATTTATTGATATGGATATTCTTCTGCAATGTTGGGAATTTAAATTCCCAATTGTGAATCTTGGTGTGGCACTTTGACTGTTAGTTTTACTTATATGTTGCAGATTCCTAGCTTCTGTTCCGCGTCTATTTTTATGTTTATTTGTTTTAGTGACATAACTGCAGTGTACCAAAAGTGAATGAACGTTCTATATTGATTTATAGTGAATCTGCCAGAAACATATCAAGTCAGTGTTAGTTTATCTTTTCTTGTTAACTGAGTCTGTTTTGTCTAATTTTTCTGTTCATGCATTTTGTTTACTCTTTTGGTTTTTTGTTATTGTTCTCCAGTAATATTTTAACCCAATATCAGGTGATAAGTACCTCAAAAGGCTCAATAACTGTGGAGCTTTACAAGGAAGGTTTGGCTGATGTTGTCGATGAATTTGTTAAGTCATGGTATTTGCTATCTCCTGCTTCAACATATTTAACTTGTATAGTGCATGACCACTATTTCTCGGCGCTACACCTGCATCTGAATTTTTTGTTTCTGCCCTATTTATACTGATTGACTTGTTGCTTAGCTCTTATCACCATGCCTCCTAATATAAGGTTAGTTCTGTACTTTCTTTTTCAGTCAGAAGGGACTCTTCAAAGGAATGCTATTTAACCGTGTGATAAAAAATTTTGTCATTCAAGGAGGCGATGTAAATAAGCCTGGTATTGCAGAAGATTGGACTTCTAGGGGAAAGCAGTACAATCATTTAGATACAAGGTTTGATTCATTACCCCCTCCAACTCTCCATATTTTTCTCATAGTTAAATGACCATAGTCTGTGTCTGAATTTTTACACTTGCTCAGCCTGAAGCATGAAGCCTTTATGTTGGGCACTTCCAAGACAAAGCTGGATGGTGGGGGTTTTGATATTTTCATCACAACAGCACCAATTCCTGATCTCAACGAGAAAATTAATGTATTTGGTCGTGTTGTCAAGGGTGAAGATGTTGTTCAGGTAAAATGTTTTCTTACCTCTTTTTGTAACTGTTAGCTGATGAAGTACAGAACATGGTCGTGGTAAAGATGTTTTGTAGCTTTTACGTTTATTGATTATTCCATGGCATGTTCCAGGAAATTGAAGAAGTAGACACAGATGACCATTACCGGCCAAAGTCGCCCATAGGCATCATGGAAGTGACCTTAAAACAAAAGCTGTAATGGAGAAGACCATCTAGCATCTAGGACCAAAGCACCATGTGGTTGAGTTTCTGTTTTGTAGCATCATCACTTGCAGAATTTCTTATTATTCCTCTAAAATATTTTGCAGTTATTCTGTATTCATGTCTCATTCACAAGTGTCCAATTAACTGAAATTATATGATTCTGTTTAATTTTACCCATACTGGCATTTGGTAGATGATCCTTCCTTGTTGTATATGTTTTGGCTACATGGCAAAGTTGAGAGAAACTGAACCTATGCATACATGTTGGAGTGAAAGGATTTTCCCCATTGGTTTCATGCATCTCAGATGTACCAGCAGGCAATCATCCTTGGACGCCATGGAAAGCCTCTTTTCAGTGGCTCCTTAGCAGTACTGGCATATCCTTGTCTTTGTTGTGTTGTCCCCCCCTGAAATCGTGTTTGGGGGGTGATTTTTCGGTTTAGATTTGAATAGTAAATTTGATCTTGTATCTTTTGATGCAAATTTTTTATGAACCATAAAAATCCATAGATAAAAACCAAGATAAGAGAAGATTGAAACTAGGGGAGAATTTCATCATGCACCTGAAAGTGGGCAGCCCTTTAAAAATAGGTGGAAGCTGTAAAGTGTAAATGATACTAGCAGCCAAAAAGAGTTAAAATCCCTAAACCAAAGGACAGGAGATTTTGACATTCATTCCAAGAACAGGGAGAATCTGCTGTCTGGAATGGATATGGCCGTGTTGCTTCCCAATCCTTGCTCCCGCTCCCGCACGCTTCTTTCACTTTCATCCCCCCTCCATTCTCCAAGAATCAACAGCCGCTCTGCTCGAATTACATGCTTCTCCACCCCGTCTGATTCTTCTGTATGCTCCCTCCAACCATTCTCTTCTTCCAACAATTACGCCTTTTCACTTGCTCCAGTGTTCTTCTCTTTTGTCTTCATTTCAGTAAAGAAAAACATTTCCTGCAGGTGGAAGTGGAACCAATTGAATTGAAGCCTCTAAGAAAAGAATATGTACCTGGTGGGCTTGATGATATCTTCTTGAACTTGTTTCGCAGCAAAATGGCGGGGGTAATTGAGGGCGATGTGATTATTGATTCAATTATGAATAGTTAGTTGTTTTCATCTATGGATAACATGACAGAAGATACGATTGGTACTTTCTTTAACTAGATTTATTGATTAAAGGAAATTGGGTGGGACTCCGAAAAGCCTGGCTATGATGGATTGATTGATACGGCTCACCGGATGATGGCTGGCCGATCCAACGCTGAAGCAACAAACGCCGCGGTAATCCCATATCTTATAAGTTTCTCTCTCAACCATTTGTTGTCTGTCTTACGGATTCTAAGAATAAATTGAAAGACGAGACTAGAGTGAAAATAATCTTCCTTTCCTTTTCTACTACATCACTCACTTGTGCTACTTCTTTCATAATTAAGATTCTTTTGATTTTAATATTGAATAAAATGTCATCATTCCTTTCTGTTTTTGTCAACTGTATGTGTCTCTGTCTGTCAGGTGAGGATATTAAGATCACTGTTTCCTCCTTTGTTGTTGGACCTGTATAAAATGCTCGTCTCACCTATTGCAGGAGGCAGAGTAGCAGCAGAGATGGTAGGTAAGTGTTCTAATCCTTGTATCAATCAACTTAACCACAACAACACATATATCACTCGCTGATCTTGTGAATTGTAATGCACTCACTCACTCTAGTGAAGAAGAACTGAGCTGGTTAATGGAATTTTGTTGTAATGTATTTATTTATTATTGTGTTGTGTCTCTGAAAGCAAGGGTGACTGTGGTTACATGTCAGTGGCTAATGGGAACCTGTACAGTTAACTCTGTGGATCTGCCTGATGGATCTTCATGGTCTAGTGGGGTAATGTTCTTTTGGTATTCTCGCGTTGTGTTGTGTTGTGTCTTGTCTAAAAATGCTTGCTTTATATATGTGTATTCCCGATTGTCAAATTCATGGGATGGGATCCATGTTGCTCGATTGATTGATGTAGGTATTTGTTGAGAAATGCAAGTACTTGGAGGAGAGCAAGTGTGTGGGAGTATGTGTCAATACTTGTAAGCTTCCTACACAGGTTGGTATGTATGCATGTTCATCAGTAAGTGCAAGATCATTGAGTTGTTGCTTCATGGTATCTTCTTGAACTTGTTTTACTGCTGAAAAGAAATGCCACTTTTCCGGTTGTTGCCTGTTTTGGAAAGATTAATGATGTAATGTTGGCATGTTTCTTTCTGTCAGACCTTTTTCAAGGAATACATGGGAGTTCCTTTGGTGATGGAGCCAAACTTGAGTGATTATAGCTGTCAGGTATTACGATTATTTGTTTTTGTATGCCTCTCTCTAATAGGTATGGAATATCTTCTATATTAACATCGATGAAATGATGATATGAATATGGACATGGCAGTTCAAGTTTGGGGTGCTCCCTCCTCGGCCGGAAGAAGACAGTGTGCTGAAGGAGCCATGCCTGCAAATATGCCCCACTGCCATTCGCCGTCAACAAATACCTGTAAAAGCAAGCATGGAACAACCCTCCAACTCCAAATGCCCAAAGGCTTGATCCATCATCTTCATCTTCATCTTCATTTATCATACACAACCTGCATAGTTTCAGGGCATCTGTCTCCTAATTCTTGTTTTTTCCTGGCGAGTGCAATAGCTACTAAAATTTTAGCCACCAAGATGGAACATTGATTATGAATAACATCATCTGCTTCTCCCCTATCTTCATTTGTTCTTTGCACCATTTTCGTTCTTTTTTCCTTTTTTGTTTGTTAATCGCAATTTGTACTAACCACGAATCTGATCATTCGCATTTATATTTATAACCTTGATGTAAAGCAAATTCCGGCAACAAGCGATAGATAGATTTCCATTCTGTAGTAAGATTATCAGAACTTCGAAACTCAAAATAGCCACCACACTTGAGCAAGAATTATATTGAACTTTCAAGAGCAGCAGCTAAAGCATTAGAAAAGTTTTAATAGATTGATGATCAGCTAAAGCATTAGAAAAGTTTTAATAGATTGACGATCATTCTTCATACTCGTTTACAATATTCATCGAAAGAAAAAAAAAAATATTCAAAGGTTGGTGACATCATCCACAGCTAGATCCGAGGATGCATCACATCCATTTACAGTATTTATTTCAAACATCTACCAATCATCAGGCCAAACTATATTTTTGAAACAAGTTTACTAGGATTAAAGGGTGAAACTTAAAAAATATAAGAAAATTATACAATTATTTAAGCACTAACTACAAAAGAATTATTAACAGAGAAGATGCTATCACCTATTACTATTAGTAAAGGCCATGCCTAAAATGAAATGAGTACGACAAAACATATGGTCAATGTGAAAGAAAACACAACAATTGGATATAGCATCAAATAAAGATGACAAGGAACAAGGTACATTTTACTGGCTGACAGAAGCATACTTGGTGAGGAGGGAAAATTATGAGAAAGTTTAAAAAATATTGTGTTATTCATTAATGATTAAAATAAATATAATACTCGTACTAGTTATATATATAAAAAAGAAAAAATTATTCGGTAATTATATAATGCATTAACATAGTAATTATATCAAGTAAACACACCTAAATGTAATTTTATAAGAATTATCTACCAGGTGCGGGACTGGGCTGGGCCGTGTCGGGTCGGGTCGGGTTACTCCTATCGTAGTATTAATCCTATCTGATACTGTTACGACGATACGAGGTCGGGCTACACCAACACGGCGCTATCTTCCTCCATCCCTTCCTTCCGCTCTGTTGGACTCGCCGCCGTTGGCCTTGCTGGAGTTGCGCATCTCTTCCCCTCAAATGGCGCATTCATGCGTCTCCTCCTCTTCTCTTATATTTAACTCTACTTCACTCTCGCTCTGTCCCCCCAACCCTACCACTTCCACCAAATCCTTTTCTCTCACCACCAAATTCAGCAAATCCACTCCCCGTCCCTCTTCCCTCAAAGCTGTATACGCTCCGGACCACAGTTCACGACCCGGTGTTTGGTCCATTAGGTACACCTTTTCTTTACCCCTGCTATTTAGTTTTCAACCAAACAATTCGTTTAGTTTTCTGGCGTAAGTAATCTGGGTTTGATATTTAGTATTTCTGGTAGTTTCTGGATTGTTTAATCTACTAGAATTTCATTCGTCTCGATACTATATCTAGAGCATCATATCAGGAGTCCCTGCCGGTTTTAAAAAGAAACGATGTTGGACTTGAGCAACCCAGCATAGATATTCTTATGTAATTCGACTTGTTTGTTCATAATTGTAGTGGGCAGATTCGTGTAGAATAATATACAAGCCCTTGGATACTTGTAAAAGATTTCAGTTTGATTTTGAAACCCTGTATGAAGGATATTCATTTTTTATGGTGTAAGTGATTTTAATTAATATCCAGGGATGACCTGCAAATTCCATCCTCGCCATACTTTCCAGCTTATGCACAAGGACCTCAGGGTCCTCCTCCGATGATGCAGGAGCGCTTTATGAGTGTCATCAGCCAACTTTTCCAATATGTGAGGCAATATATATTTGTTTAACTGGCATTATGGGATATTGGTTTGTCGTTTCTGATTTTTTTGCTGCAACTGATACTTTTGTAGAGGATCATCCGATGTGGTGGAGCTGTAGATGATGATATGGCAAATATTATTGTTGCTCAGCTGCTCTATCTTGATGCTGTGGATCCTAATAAGGTCTCCTCTTCCCCCACACACTCAAAATCAGGGAAAATAAGTAACAATCTGATTTCATTAGGAAGTTCTTATGTACTTGTGTCTGTTTCCATTTAGAATTTGGACATTCCAGTCAAAGAGAAGAAAGTGTTTCATCTGTGTGAGTCAGTGCATCTTATTGACTTGAGCATGCAATAAGATAAAGATATATGTTTCTGTTGATATATCAGTGTTATAAGCATGCATGTTTGTACTTTCTGCTTCAACAAATCATCTTAGAACACTGCTGTTGCTCTGAATTGTCGCTGTTGTATCGTAAATTTGACAATCAGATTGTTGGGAGTTATAGTTTTGATGATTTATGATCAAGTATTGAGTGGAAGTATAGTGACTTAGTGAATCTTAAGACTGGTTTTTTATGCTACTAAATAAATTTGACATTCCCCTCCCATCAGCACACAAAAACATTTTACGTTATTGTACTTCGCTTAAGTATAGAACACAGTTGCCATGTGTTTGTAAATACCATACTAATATGTGTAATTTAACAGGATATAGTGATGTATGTGAACTCCCCAGGCGGATCAGTTACAGCTGGTAATACATCACTTTCTATATTAATATTCCAACTTGTGACTGTTCAAATACTTATTTGCTCATTTTTGCTTTTAGGTATGGCTATATTTGACACAATGAGGCATATTAGGCCTGATGTTTCAACCGTGTGTGTTGGACTAGCAGCTAGGTGAGGATACATTGGCTTTTTTATGTAACCGTCATTTGCATTATCCATAACCAAAATTTCAACTATTCTTATTTTCCAATGGATTACCTCTTGTTATTGAAAAATTATCAAATGAATCTGGTCAACCCCCTTTCCCTCATGATTTGATAACTTCATAATTGCCTCCATCATCACACTGTTTGTGTTTTTTTTGTGTATTATGGATTTGATGTTTTTGAAGTGAAATAATTGTTGGGCGTGATGTTTTAAATGAAAATTTGGTGTTGGATGTGATGTATTTGGAGAAAATTAGTATATTGTATAATTTTTTGATTAAAATCATAAGTTCAAGTTGTATAGAATAAAAGTAGTCATTACATTTGTTACCTGGCATCTTCTATTCTAGCATTTGCATGATTTATATATAATGATAGTCTGGTGAACTGAAGTGATTATATCCTCAATGTTCATGCACAGTATGGGTGCTTTTATATTGAGTGCTGGCACTAAAGGTATGTTTTATATAACTCCATATAATAAATATTATGTTCCCGTGATAGCACTTAGCTCTGTAAAAAGAATAATAGTAGTGCTTCTTGTTGATCACTGAAGGTAAAAGATACAGCCTTCCAAATTCAAGGATAATGATCCATCAACCTCTTGGTGGGGCACAAGGAGGGCAGACTGACATTGATATTCAGGTAATTTGTACTTTTAATAGTTGATGTGTGACAGTCATCCATTTTAACTAGTTGAAATTTAAGTCCCAAAAATCATTATACACTGTCCTGGGTAGCTTCTATTCGATGCCTTGAAATTACATGAAACCTGATTTTACAAACCATCAGTTGGTACAATACAGGCAATAAATTGTTCATAAATAAGAATGTGGTTTATCGAACTATATATTTTACAGATCCACACCTGAACCTTGATCCTAGTAGCTTTTGATTTTCTTTATGCATTGTTGCAGTTGTATGTTACACACACTTATATAGTACTTCTTTTTCTTTTTTTCGTAATGAACCACCAATAGGTTGATGATTTCTGCCCATCTTTAGACATTTGAAGATGGAAAATATGATTTAAGGGCCTTTTTTTTAAAAGTAAATTCCCTATGTACTTAATGTTTCTGTTGAGCTGGTGCACTCTACAGAGTTAAAACCTAAGGACCAATTTTAAGGACTAGATGTGATGAATATCAAGAATGTACACTTTGGGGGTATCTATCTGTCTATCTATCTGATAAGAGTTTGTTGCCAGGAATTTAATTATTTTTTTGTTTGGAAAAGAGAAAGCTCTTTCAGTAATTGAGTATGCTTCACATTTGTTGTTCAGGCGAATGAAATGCTTCACCACAAAGCAAATTTGAATGGTTATTTGGCCTACCACACCGGACAAAGCCTGGAGAAGATCAACCAGGACACAGATCGTGATTTTTTCATGAGTGCTAAAGAAGCCAAGGAGTATGGACTGATAGACGGTGTTATCTTGAACCCTCTTAAAGCCTTGCAACCACTTGCAGCTGCAGAAGAGCCACAATAGTTAGTTAACTATGGTTTTTGGTGTTCAGTCTTCAAGATCCTCACCTGAACTCAGTCAAGGGACTTGGATATACCGCATTTGCTGTCATCATTATGAGTTTGCCTCCTTTTGCTTGATTCCTTCCCCACTTTTATCACCAATTGAATTTTATTTCCATTATATGATAGGGAAGACTTTTGAGTATTCAACATACTTGCAACCATCTTGTCGCTGCTGAGTGATATATTGTATGCTGCCTTCATGAATGATTTGCAACGAGTCAGTCAGAAGGTGAGTAAACATAGCCATTGAACTATATATAGGATTGAGCTACTTGCAATGAGGCACTTGCTCGAATAGAAAAATTGGCTAGCGGGAGTTCAACTACAAGTGTGAGTATGTGAATCAGGCATTGTAAATTTGAACCTATGAAAACTTCCTCCCCAGAGAAATGTCTCACCACTGATGGATGGATGTATGAGCATTCCTGGCTGGGCCGAGATGAGCCCAACAGGCAGCACCAGCACATATTCCTAACCCATCCCCGACATGGTAATGGTACATTTGCTACTTTTATCCTTATCTGTTGATGTGTTTTCTACACGTGAACCGAGGGGGCAAGGTTAAAAACGGAAAAGAAGATTTTAAGCCCATCTACCACTTGATGATGTTCTTGACATGAACGCAAGAACAGGAACAAGAACAAACTAAAGATCTAGGACATGCATACATACAAACATACATACATACATACATGCATAATGATGTAATTAACAATGAAAGAGGAGAGAGGAGTTTAACGAGTTCCTCATGAAGGACTTGCAATCACTCCTCCCTGTCCGAGACTACTTCTCATGAAGGCTGTGAAATAGGAAGATGTGGGAAGTTCCTCAAGCTCGTCATAGAAGTCATTCTCCTCCTGCTTCAGGTCCATAGGGACAGGGCCTTGAGAAAATGGAGATGGCAGTTTGGGATCTTCAGGTTGATGAGGGTAGAGCACATGATTGCTCTGCACTTGCACGCTTTCTTGGAAGATGCTGTCGTCGTCTTGATTGTGATTGACAAGGATGTGGTGGTCTGAGACTGCGGTGGAGTTGAATGGTGACTGGCAATACTGGAACTGATGATCTTCTTCCTCCTCCTCTTCTTCTTCTTCTTCCTCTTCTTCCTCTTCTTGTTTTGGGCTTCTTGGCTTCTGGGCATCGTCAGCAGAAAGTTGCAGTTGCAGAGGAGCTGGGACTGGGTTAGCCTCTTGCTCTTCCTCTTCCTCATCCTCAACTTCATCCTCTTCCTCATCCTCGTTTGGAGAGAAATGAGGAGGTCCAGCATGATTGTGGGTGGAAGTGTAAGTGACGATGATGGTGGATGCATCTGTCTTGCACCTTTCTACTTGTTTCTTGGCTGAGCAGCCCTTGCATGTGCTGCATCTGTAGTAACCTCTGCATGTGAATAAATATGCAACTCCACTTTTATATATTCTGTGTAATTCCATTTCCAAACACGGTGTGCAAATTAGACAACACTTACTAGGTTGAAACAAGGAGATTGGAGGAGGAGGAGAACCGGAGAAGATCAACATTCAACATTCTAACACATTGAACAACCAACCAACCAACCAAAAAACGAACCTTGGATAAGGAGACCCTTTGATGGGTTTTTGACCATATTTTCTCCATGACCAACAATCTGTTGGAGGCCCTTCAAACCTCTGCTGCTTTTGCTTCTGCTTCTGATCCTTCTCCTGCACCTCCTTCTCCTGTATCTTCACTGTCACCACAACCTTCTCACCCACCTTCCTGCACAATCAATCAATCAATCTTTAAGCATGTACAACAACAACTAATCTTGTAAAAAGGAGCTAACTAACAGGGGGAGAAAGAGAGACCTTTTCTTGATAGAACCATGGTGTCTTTCTGCAGGATTAGGGCGATCTATTTCCTGCATGATTGATGATTTCTCTGAAAGGCCGTGGGAAGCTAAGCAAAGGCTAATCACAGAAACAGATATTTTATGGAGAAGAGCATGGAGGAGGTAGCTGAAGCAATAAAGATGGATGGATGGATGGATACAAGAATAAGTGGTTCAATTGATTATGAGAGAAGGAGAGAGAAAGAAGAGTAGTGACAAAAGCCCACAGGAACTGGCTGCCTTGCCTAGCTCCTCTCTCATTCTTTCACTCATCAATAAATAAATATATATAATTACTTAAGGAAGAAGATGATTCCCACATTTCTCACACACCCACCCCCACCCCCAGGCCACCACTCTATTCCCAATGCTACTGTTTTTCACATGCAGATTCATCACAGCATCCAAATTATTATTATTAAGATAAATTGAATAAGAAGTAGAATTTGTAGCAAAATGCCAAAATCTTCAACCTTTTCCTTCAATAAGCGTGTGTGTGAATATATATATATATATATAATGTAGATAGCTATTCCAAGCACAGGTGCAAGTGGATTTGGTGGTTGGGGGGGGGGGGGGGGGGGGAGAGAGAGAGAGAGAGAGAGAGAGAGAGGTCCTGTAATTAAATGTGATGCTTTGGATTTTAGAGAAGTGCAATATCCATCCATGATCCATCCATCCACGACCACTCATGTTTCTTTGTGTAATGAAATCAATTCTTAATGGAGACAGTGACTGTTGAATATAACACTAGTGTCGTCGTATGTTTCTGTTGAGGAGGACCCTTTAGTCTTTTCCTTATTTAGTTGGAGCATATTTTTGTCGATTAATTTTTTTTTTTTTCTTTTTAATGGTTGGGTATTTAAAACATTGTCTCAGATTTGTTTTTATCTTTTCCCAAAAAACATAAGCCAGGCAGGCTGCTGTCTTTGTTTTTTTTTTTTGATCGGACCGGCCGTTGTCTTTTTAATTTCTGCTGCCCTTGTCCTCTGTCGTGTAGCCTGTTCGTCCTTTAACTCGTGCGTTTTGTTTAGTTTGTGGTTTTTTCTCGCTCGCTCACTCCCGCAATAATTGGAATGTATCATGTATAGAATTAATTAATTGTTGTTCAGATTCCTAAGGTTTTGAGTTCAATCAATTCATTCATTTTCCATATCCATACAAATTATAATACGTATGGCACGACTGAATGATGCAGATGAGATGAGTGCTCTCAAATTAAGTAAGGTCCATCATCACCCATCCATCCTCATCCTCAGTAGTTACTTTCTTAAAATACACCACCAGAAGTTGGCAGTTGCAACAACAAAAACCCAAGCAGCTGCCGGCAGTGGCACTATTGAATTATATTAAAGAAGCCTGTTTTTAGTTAATCGAGTTAAGCAACTTGTACTTAGTTTATTCTTCTACCACGACTACGACTACGCCACTTGCACTTAATTAATAATAATTTTACATTAATCCATCAATCTCATCTGCTAGTTGGGCCCAGATTACGATGAGAGTACTAGTCGTGACTGACTCATGAATCCTCCTCCTCCTCCTCATCATCATATTTTATGGAGTATTATATACATACTAACATGTAGTAGTCATTTAATTCAGGGACAGGCGGTGCCTCCCTATGCCTTGCTGATCCCATCCATCGATGAACTTGAAACAGAGAAAAAGGAAAAAGGATGAAATGGTGGGACTGGGCAACCGGAATTATATATATATATAAATTGGAGTTGGACTTCACTTCTTGGTTGCTTCTTGATGATCGATGATTGATGGATGAAGTTAATTGACTTCCTCATCCAGCTCCTCTCTCTTAATTGATTTAATTTAATTTCCGGCAATCTGAATCGGAATCTTGAATGGGCTCTGCCGATGATCATCAAGAAATATTGATCATACGGCCTGCAGATGCAGACGCAGAAGAAGCAGCGAATATGGTGAAAGAGGAGGCTTGCAGAATCGTGGGCACCACGTTTCTGAGCTTCCTCCTCCCCCTAACCTTCCTCCTCCTCGCCCGCCTCTGCACCACCCGCTACTTCTTAACTGTTTCCGACAGCCACCGTCACCATAACCAATATCACAATGGCAATTGCAATGACATCATCCTGATCCAGCTGCCAACACTAACCCTTAGCCTACTTGCTTCTCTTCTTACCTTTGCAGCCTTGCTGCTGCATTTGCATTGCTCAAGTTTAACCAGTACCAGTACCTGTACCACGGCATTTTCATGCATCCTGCTTTTCTTGATGCAACTCTCTCTCACTCTGGGGATTTATGGCATCGACTCCCACTCCGACGCCGAAATCAACAGTCATACAGTCGGAAGATTGTTTCTGCCGCGGAGACTGGCCTTCGCCTTTGGACTGCACGAAGCGATGCTCTTCTGGTCCTGGATCGCGGTCAAACCTGTCGTCGACAAGGTCATCTTCGGGGAGGGTCGTACTCGGACTCGGAGCTGGGCCTGCAGCAGATTGGAGAAAACAGCCATGGCAGCGGGGTTAGCCAATCTGTGGTGGAGCAAGTTGAGCGAGGAGGCGGAGGCCCTGGTGGTGGTGCCCTGGGTGAAGTGGCACCTGGGGATGGATCTCACGCTCCCGGATCTTCTGGCCTGCCTCTCCTACTATCTAACGGCGTCTCTCGGGCTACTCCGGGCGGCGCTACTGCTCTGGACGCTCTCCTCCTCCGTCGTCGGAATAAGACCCTCCGCCGGCGGTCCACGTCACGTCACGTAATATTCAATTCATTGCGTCGCCGCAGTGCTTTTTCGTCACTGACTATGATAACAATTTGATTTCAGTAATCAAACAGGTATTCATTCATTCATATTTCAAGTAAAATAATGTCTGTTTGCACAAAGTAATTCTCTCATACATTTGTATAAATTCCCAAGTACTAATTAAAATAAATCCATTTTCAAGAATAGGCTACAGATAGTTTGAAGATAGTTAGTCAGTCAGTCAAGTCAAAAAATAAAAAATAAAAAATAAAAAATAAAAAATAAAAAATAAAAAAATCCTGAAAGTCAAATCCATGTAGAGAGGGGAAGAAGGCAAAGAGATTTCCTGAAGAAAAAGGCAACGTCGTATTGCAATTGCAATTACAAGTAACGTAGCGGGTTTTGTTTCGTTTCGTATCGTATCGTATGATAAATAAAAATATCTGGAATAAGCCGTTGGGATGACGCCACGTCAGCTTGGAAGCCTCGTTCAGACAGGAGTCCCGTTGGTAGCCCCGTCAGCATCTGCCCTGCCCCTGCCCCTGCCTGCGTCTCCTTCTCCCGATTCTCTTCCTCTCTTCATGTCTCCCTCACTCCCCCTGTTTTTCACTTAAGGAGAACAAACAGCGAAGGGTTCGCAGATCATAATCATGGTCTCAAAGTCTAAATTCAGAGTGCGTTTTCTATCCACTTTCCTCTCGATTTTGTACTTCTCTACTTTTCTTCTATCAACTCTTGATCGCCCCGAGGTTTTTGTATGATGATCTTGTATCACTGGTTCTCTTTCTTAATTACTGTCTGAATTGGTTCCGCGCATCGTTTTGCTGGGTTCTTTATTGTTCAGAATGATTTAACTTTCTTAGCTCGTTATTACGGAATAATTAGAAAGAAAGCTTGCCAAGAAACTGTGGAAAAAATGGAATATTATTTATGTTAATTCTATTTGATCAGAAAGAATAGCTGGATTTCTTATGTGATATCCATTGTTTTTGTACTCGTTTCCATAAGGGAAACCGAGCAACTTTATGAACACCTTTGTTTTTCCTTTAATATTTCCTTTGTTTGAGTGCTGGAACAATGTTTTATGAATTAATTATGTGTGATGAATGGTAAGGAGTAAAGTTCGACAAATCTTTATTGGTTTCTTGGTTTTATTTATTTATGTATTTTAGTTTAAGTTATCATACAGAATGAATGTGTGCCATTTTGGAAATTGAATCTACTTGGAAGTGCTTTTACCCATATCATCGGCCATGAAAGGCTTTGTGTGCTCTAGCCTGTGGCTTCATTCTGCTCAATTTACATACTGCTTGATTGATATACTGCCTGAGTTTATCAACTTTGTCTTCCTACAGCCTTTCGGCTGTGCTAGCATTCGATATGAATTTTGTAGAGTTTCATGTAATTTTTGAAAATTTGAAGTTGATTATGCCATTTGGCTCTTTGGTTGGCAGAAGTCTCATGGGGATCAGGGGAGTGATGTCATGGCAAATGTGATGACGAAGCTCACACAACTAAAAAAACGGATTCAATCCGAAAGAATGGTTTTCGTTGGAGTAAATTTTCTCACCTTCAATCTTTTGTTTGGTCAACATTGGTGTAATGGGTTTTATATTCTCAGTCACAATGGATCATAGACGTGCCTTGTTTATTGTATGCCTCACAATCATTTTATCGCAAGAGTGTTGATTGTTCGATTTGTAATTTTCTTTTCTATATATATATTTTTTTCGATTTCTCGTGATGGTTATGGTTCTAGAATTCATGATCCTTGTATTGTTAATCTTTCTTAGGAGAAAATTGAGCTTAATAATATAAAGATTCAAGCTTATGCTTCCGACCTTCAATCGCTAGCTGCATCGCGGTATGAGTGCTCTACTGTGGCAAGTGGTTCGGGCAATTTCCTTTCTTTGCGAATGAACTATCCTCTCTGCAAAGTTAGTGGTCTTATCCAAGGATCATCAGACAGAGAAAATCTTGATAATGAAGAAGTAGTCTTTTCTACTACTGCCAAACTTCCTCATGTTGAGAGGATACCTCCCTATACTACCTGGATTTTCTTAGACAGGTATGAATTGTCTTAATTTCTTTTTTTGTTTTATGGTTTATTAATTACGATAAGCTTTCTGTCGTTATAATTTAACTTTCCTTTTTGATTCTTGGCTTGAATAAGAATTTATCTTATTTGAAAGCAACTATTAATTTTCGGTAGCCAGGAAATTCGGTGCTATATCTACCTTTGTTTTGTTCAAATTTGAATTGAAAATGTACTCCACTCATTTTGTTCGTGTTGAACTCAAAATCAACTTTACTATTGTTTACTCATGTTTACTTCACACAGCACAGAAACCAGAGAATGGCTGATGACCAATCAGTCGTAGGGCGCAGACGCATTTACTATGATCAGCATGGCAGTGAAGCACTGGTCTGCAGTGATAGTGAAGAAGAACTTGCCCAAGCAGAGGGGGAGAAGCATGAATTTTCTGCTGGAGAAGATCGTGTTTTAAGGTCAGATCATTATATGCCTGCTGTATAGTCCTTTCAAGAACCTGGATATTAGGGAACCCCAGCCTGTGTATGTGATGGTTTTGCATTTGCTATCCATGTGATGTTCACTTTTTCATATAAGAAGAGCTAGCATATACGATCACATTTTTCTTCTATCTTCATCACACACAGAAAATAACTACCAAGCTGACTTGTCCCAAGCAGAAATGCTACTTAGAATCATCTTTCCCAAACCACCTAAAAACTATTTAATCACTTAGCCAACTGGGACCTCCTAAGTAAAAACACCAAATCCTCAAAAGGCAAAGCAACAGACACTTTAGAAAATAGGTAAAAGCTCGGCAGAGTCCACAAGTAAATGAACAAGAAAATAAGTAATAAAGTAAAATCCACGCATGTGATTTCCTTGGTCCTCATCTATAAATAAAGCATGCATTTCTTTCGTGTTTAAAATTCTATGGATATCATTTATTTAGTTGATGTGGTGTTTGTGTCTGTACCTGTGAGGAATAACTGTGTTCATTATCTTGATTTGCAGGCTTGCTTTTCAGGAGTATGGACTTGGTAATGAAGTTCTCAGCGCATTGACCCAATTTGTTGGGGGAACCACTCTGGAAATCCAGGCAATCTCTCTGTTCTCACACTTCACAAATTTGTATAAGAGAGAACAATACCTTTTTCCATCACAAAGTATCTTATATATTCATTTTCTTTTGTTGTGGGAGCTGCCGTTTGCTTTCTTGAACATCCTTTCTATATTTTTACTACCCTTTACCAGGACCGCTGCAACCTGTTGACGGCAAGAGATCAACAAATGGAGAAACAACACTTAAAAAACTCAGGAGAGGAGAGAAATGGCAATAATGTAATCCTGGACAAAAGCCTCAGTGCTGCTTTAGACTCATTTGATAACCTTTTTTGTCGTCGTTGTCTGGTATGTGTTATTGGCTTGTCGATAGTTATTACTTTCAATTGAAAGCATACTTAAAACCTCCTTTATATACTTACAATTTATCAACAGTTCTAGTAATTTCATATCCTGTTGCTATGAAATACCAGATTCCGTCCACTATTAATGGCATATTGATTGCATTAGTATTAAATGTTAGTATACTATCCGTCAACTTTGGACTTTCAGTTATTAATTGTGTGTTACTGTTCTTCTCTCTGACAGATATTTGACTGTCGTTTGCACGGCTGTTCAAAAACTTTAATCTATCCTGTAAGTGGAACATTTGCTTAAATGATTTTGGATACTAGAGATTTTTCTACTGCCTTGATTGGAAAAGTATGCTTTTCAGAATGAAAAGCAAGCCATCCTGTTTGATTCAGAAGAAGACCGAAAACCCTGTGGCGATCAATGTTATCTTCAGGTAAAAAATTCCTCAAGAATCTACTGAACAATGTGAAATGCTTCTTAGTTTGACATTGTGATGTTTTAGGCCTTCGAGTATTTACTTTTACATGCACGCTTGCACACCATCTCGAGCCCATACAGAATATAAGGATGTTGAAGCAATTGGTGATGCCTATAGAGCATATTGAGTTTTAGGAATTAAAAAGTTGTGGCCCCACTAATCAAACCTTGTTTAAAACATTATAGCAGAATAACTTGTTTGTATTTTTACTTTGTGCATTATGTTTCTGAAGATGTCCGGAACCTAAAAAAATTGATTATGCACCTGCTTCCATGACCATGCATCATTCGCCTTCATGATTACAGTATAACTAATACACTTTGTCCTATGTGGTATATTTGCTATTTAGACGTTGTCTTATATGATAAAATTTTTACTTGTTTGCTTATGATCAAGTTTCACAAAGGTTCATGATTGCAAATTATTTGGACTTACAATATTGGTGTAATTTATCTTATGTCTGTTTAGTCAAATAGCTTGGCCAAAATTTCAACAGCAGACCCCATAGACACTTGCAAGGGATCTGATGAGGAAAGCAAAAGTTTACTTACCATCGAGGAAGGTAAGAAATAAACAGTTTGAAGTTTTTGGCACTTTTGTTATCTCTTATATAATATCTTGATGAACGAATCACAATAATGAATTTGTTTTCAGGAACACATCAAAGCGAAGGAAGTAATATAATACCTGAACCTGCAAATTCATCAGCTGAAGCATCAGAAGTGGCTCCTGATGATGATCCTTCCAGTAAGAAATTAAAATTAACTGATTCAAAACCTTCGGATCATAGTACAGCTTCAGTTACCTGCACCCCTGAATTGGATGGATGCCATGAATATGAACTTGAGGGATCTGCTCTTGGATCAGTTCCTACTTCTCAAAAGAACAACTTGGATGCTTCTGATTCTCCTCATGGTGCAATTGATAATAAGACCAGGGATTCTCTCCATGATATTAAGGGAAAAGATGTCTCTGAACTCCCTTTGAAGCGGGCTTACTACTCTTTTGGTAGTTCAGCTAAAGCTTCACGTGGATGGGAAAATTGGAAACCTTTTGAGAAAGATCTGTACTTGAAGGGATTGGAGATATTTGGCAGAAATAGGTAAGGAAAACTTTGGATTTTCTTTAGCCCTTTCTCTCATATAATTAAAGTATGACATGTTTTGTTATATAAAAAAAAAAGGTATGACATGTTTTTACTTGAAAAACTTCCACAAATTCAGTATGAGTGCACAATTTTTTTCAAAAAACAAAAAGAATTTTTTACTCTCTTTCAGAACTCTAGAATAATTCGGCATGTACAGCATCCTATCCCTCTAGTTTTTTCACTTACATCTGAAAATTCACATATTATTTTGATTCAATGTCATTGACTGTCCTAAATCATTTAGAGCTAACTGAGTCTAATGTTTAAACAGTTGCTTCATAGCTAAAAATCTGCTACCTGGTCTGAAAACTTGCAAAGAAGTATCCAGCTACATGTATGGTGATGAAGCAGGGATATCTCGTGGATCTTCAGCTAAGCTAAGCTCATTTTTTGAAGACGCTGGAAAAGCTGACATGGATCATATGGTTTGTAGGCTTTGATTATATTTGCCTAATGAATAATTTTATGAGCTATAGATTCATATATTACAAATCTATGGAACACATATGACAGTAAAGGTTGGTAATAGTTTAAGTGCATTTAATTCTTTCTTTAGATAAGTTTTCTCCAAATTTGATGATTCTAAGTATACTAAAACAATCTCACAGGAAGTTTTTTATGCCAATCTGAGCAGCCTTATATGAAAAAGTATTTTCTGCTTTGGTAACATTTGTTTAAGTTTCCATTGTGTATCAATTGGGGGATGTGAATGCTACCTATTATTTAGTGCTGGAATAGCTTTTGTGATTTGGGTGTCTATGTGAAGCTGATTCTTTCATTGAAAGTACAATATCACTCCATGTTTTTATGATTGATTATTAATGTATCAGGATGCAGACATGCCTGTTAAATCCAGAATATGCCGTAAAAGGGGCAGAGTTCGCAAGGTTAAGTCTTCTTGGAAGTCTGCTGGCCATCCATCCTTGTGGAGGAGAATAGCAGAAGGAAAGGACCTGCCATATAAGCAGTATACTCCATGTGGATGCCAGTCTTTGTGTGGGAAGCAATGCCCTTGTCTACAAAATGGAACATGCTGCGAAAAATACTGCGGGTACTCCTGTTTTTACTTTTCTTCCAGTCTATGTGCACAATCTTCTTTTCTCTCTAAAATGAACACCGCATCTAATGTCTTAACCTTCTTTCAGCATTGTGCTATTCCAAACTTGCATTGCTCTATGTTACTTTGAGAATCTTATATAGTTACTGCATTCAAAGCCTCACAAATTCTTTTTTAGAAGGTTAAAGGACATTAGCTTATTGGCAACCTTTCTTCTAGGTGTTCAAAAGCATGCAAAAATCGTTTTAGAGGATGCCATTGTGCTAAAAGTCAATGCAAAAGTCGACAATGCCCTTGTTTTGCAGCTGGGCGTGAATGTGATCCAGATGTTTGTCGAAATTGTTGGGTCAGGTACTGAATTTTCATGTATATGCCTTTCTCACTGCCATACAAAGCATCTTGTGTTTTTTTTTTTTTTTTTTTTTTTTTTTTTTTTTTTCTGTCTCGTTCCAATTGACATTTTGAAACCTCCTTGGCTGAAGAATTATTTGTGTTAGATATGCTTCATTGGTTTTGTTCGATGCAAAATTTGGAGAGAGAATAGAAAGCATTTGTGGAGTTCCATGGTCGATGTCTTAACTACTTGAGAGCTGTCATGAGGTTCATCGTCTTCGTTATTGGATATCCACTGGCTGGGAGCTCATGTGTTGATATTTCACATTTTCACCATAATCCTTCGATTCTCCCTATATATATATTTTCTGTCACTTTGACATAGTTGATCTCTAGGGAAAATGAGGGTATTTACTCAAAGAAAAGCTCTCCCAGTTCAACTGCCTGGAGAACCTAATTTACTTGATTAAGATCTACTTGCCAGTCTAGTAAATATTTTCTCTGTGCAGCTGTGGCGACGGTTCTTTTGGCGAGCCTCCGAGACGAGGGGACAGTCAGTGTGGTAATATGAAACTCCTTCTGAGGCAACAGCAAAGGGTAAAAATAGTTTTAAATCTTCTAACTTCATCACTGCAAATTTTGGAACACTTAATGTTATTTGATTTTATAGATCATCCTTGCAAAATATTGTTTATTTGATTTTATAGATCATCCTTGCAAAATCCGAGATTGCTGGTTGGGGAGCATTTCTCAAGGTATAAATTAGTGTCATTTTTTGTTTAGATGTGATGAGATGGGAGTACATATACATATATAATTGCAGAAAGGTGTCAATAAAAATGATTACCTTGGAGAATACACTGGTGAACTGATCTCCCATCAAGAAGCTGATAAGCGAGGAAAAATCTATGATCGGGCAAATTCATCCTTCCTTTTTGACTTGAATGATAAGGCAAGCATCTCTTGTTCATAGTATTCAGACATCTTTAAATAACAACACTACCTTTTGAAAATGTATATGCATTTGTAAAACACATGTACAGGAGAACTAAGTTGACATATGTATAAGGAATGAAATCTCACTTGGCACTTTTGTCTCAGTATGTCGTTGATGCCTACCGCAAGGGAGACAAGTTGAAATTTGCAAACCACTCCTCGACCCCGAATTGTTATGCAAAGGTGTTCCTACTTGTCTTTCATTCATCTTCTTCGAAGGCTATGGCACTTCTGATCCCTCGATTCACGATCTTCTTTACAGGTAATGCTGGTGGCTGGCGATCATCGTGTTGGCATCTATGCAAATGAGCAAATAGAAGCAGGTGAAGAACTCTTCTATGATTATCGCTACGGCCCAGATCTAGCACCTGCGTGGGCTCGGAGGCCTGAGACTTCAAGGAGAGACGATTCACCAGTGCCCCACGGCCGAGCAAAGAAGCACCAGTCTGGCTGAGGACACACTCTGCACCGCACTGCACTATACTATTTCATATTAATGAAAATTATAGATAAAGGGAGGAATTACTTCAAAAACATGGTGTATGGGTTAATGATAAAAGAACAGGTAATTTAACCTGATATATATATATATATATATATATGAGTTAGAAAGCTGTGCAGGCAACTTGGCACTAAATATAGCATGCATAGAATAAAATTGGAACACCTATATGATGTATATTTACTTGTAATCCTACTATTTAGCATCACTTCTCCATAACTACTATGAAATTCTTGGGCTGTGCTTTGATAGATGTAAGAAAGACAAGTGAAATATCCGAAATACCTGAATTTCGGCAGCTTTACAGAAGTGCATCCATCTTGTTTCTATGTGTTCCCAGTTCTGAATAGCAAGTTATGGTACAACAACTCATTCCAGGTATCCGGAACACCTGGAAGGCACCAGTGGCTGCAATCTTGAACGCCGGGATTAACAGATCTTCTTCCATAGATGGAAGGGTGAGCGTCTGGTCTGTAATTCGACAACTGTGTTATGTCTAGAAAAGTAACAGGGGTCTTCATCTGCCTTATTACTTCCTCCACCATCAAATTCTTTGTCAAGGGGTAAGTTGGGCCAAAAGTCTCGTTAACAGGCCAAAATGCTTCCTTACAATGGCCACCCGTGTTCCATAGACCTCCGCTGATCACAAGTTGGAAAGTTCACCTGCTTAATCAGCAACGAAAAACAAAAAGGATACATTTTTCGACAGTGATTGAATGCCACACCTGAAATGAGACGGCGCAGAACTTCTGAAGAATATCTGAGTTTTGCGAGGATTAATGTGCTTATCCACCCATGATGCCCACGTCAATAAAGATCGCCTGAAGGCCTCTGTTACATCAAGTTGGGGATGGACTTTGTCGCCCTCCTGGTAGTAATTAACCCTGTTGAGAACCACAAATTAAAGGCAATGCCATAGAACACGAGATCAAAAAAGAATCAGCAATGATCATATTCAGACATTACTACAATCATATAGTAGAAATTTTGAAGTTACTTAGATCAGATTGAGATTGAAGCTGACCCGGCTTTAGTTTTGTGATGGCTCCACCAATGTGCAGTGTTGAACACCAAAATGTCGGCCCCTCGCCATCTCGAAGACCCTTTGTCTATAGTGTCGATGCGCAAAGTCTGCACTCGTTTGCTGCCTACATGTGCCTTACTCTCGTGTACCAAGAAATGGGAGACGTAGTACTCGACCTTGCATTTGTATTCCTACAAGACCAAATATAAAGAAAGATGATACCATCAAATGTCTGCCATTTCTACATCACAATGTAGATCATAATCAATCACCTCAAACTTGAAACAATAGTTGCCCCTCCCTTTAGTTATTCTCCTCCCATGGATCTCATAGACCTTCTTCGGATCTTCGATCCCTCCCATCAGCAAACAAAGCATGGATTCCCATTGGTTTCGGTTAATGGAATCGCCAACAAACACTAGCCTCTTCCCTCGGAGGTGTTCCAGCATTTTTGTTGCATTGAACCTGCAGACGATTTCCATCTCAGAAATTGCCTGATCCAATCTTCAAAATTACATATTCATGAAACACAAAATGAAGGCCATCCATCCATAATATTATTATTACCTAGGAATTTCACAATCTTGAGGCTGCCACCTCCATTTCATGTATTGTTTGTCCCTCCTGCCATTAGCCTCACAATTGAACCCTTCGTCTATGAATGGGCACTGAGCATTCGTATAAAATGGGTTGCTTTCATCCCTAACCCACCTCCCTCTCGTGATGTCACAACCAGGGCCATGCTTTGATTCGACCTTTTTCTGGATTGAAGTAACATGACGAGGTTTCTCAAATGAAATTCCGTCGTCGAGCACGGCTTTACTGTTGTTAGTGACGTATTTATTACTACTATTTTCTTGGAATCCATTATGAGTAGAGTTGGTATCATCCACATCCAGTTGGGAACTACTGAGTTTGAAGATAGAAAGATTCTTACCAAAAGAGGTCAAGTTAGGATTACCCGTCAGCATAGTACTTCCTTCGACAGTCGGCATTGTAATTGTAATCTCCCTTTCCCTTTCTCTTTCTCTTTGTGGAAGGCCCGAATTTGCAGGAATCCGGGATGAAATGACATCTCTTTGAGAACTGGATCCGAACAAGTTTGAATTGTTGAGCAGATATTGTGAAGGAGTGGAGTCTTCTCTGTTCAAACTCGGCGCAGTAACATCAGTAGTAGTGGCAGTGGTGTTGAAGCCTAAATCCGAATCCAAATCCAAATCCAGAGGTGGTGGTGCAGCAGGGATAATCGAAGTGGAGAAGAAAATCAGAAAGAGCAAAGAGAAGAAGATAGTGAATGAAAACACGACAAATCTGACGATAGGCGGCGGCTTGGCTGAAAAGCTTCTCTGCTTCTCCATCTCTCTTCTCTTGTCTTCTCTTCTTCTCCGTTTGAGTGAGCGAGTTGCAGACAGACAGCGAGTACCGACTAGACAGGCTACCACGGTAGGGGCGGTTGATGCAAAAAAAAAAATGTCAATTGATTAAATAATTAATTGATGAGTAGCAGTGGAGCAGTTACGCATTTGGTAGAGTTGGGGGAAGAGAATCAAACATGAGAGAGAGTGAGTGAGTGAGGTGTCCGAATGAACGCCCACGCCCACCGAGAACTGGTAGCAAGCTTTTCCATTTCATTCCCATATATATTTTAGTAGTAGTAGTAGCAGTATTTAACGAGGAAGAATGAAATGAAATGGACCTCATGTTGTTCTGGATCGACCGCCATTGCCATTTTGCCATGGATTTGAGGTGTGAATGCCTTTCTGCATTTAGGTCTAATGTAGATTGCGCAAGCTGTAATGTAAATCACACTACTTAACTTTGCCCTCCATCATAGAAGAAACCAGCAAAGCAATTCAGTGATAGATATGGAATTCATTTCTTCTGCTCTGCTCTGCTCTACATTATTATTATTATTATTATTATTATTATTATTCAAGCAATATTCGGGTAAGATTATTATATATATGTAATTTATTATTGAGATGGTCTTCTGAAATCAGCGTAATCCGCAATGCAACTGCATGATCAAAGATTATTATTATTATATTGTTGGAAGTGATGGCGTAGTCGGGGAAGTGGAAAGTTATTCCACACATTAATTATCGGTTTGTTATTGTTATTGTTATTAATATTAATTTATGATATCTTCTCTTCTTTCTAGTAGGATTTGAGAGAAAGAAGGAATAAAGAAAAGGATCGGTGAGAAGAGGCAGTACAGTACAGTACAGTACAGCAATGCGTGAATGAATGTTGTCGTCCTCTATAGCTTATTATTATTACTATTATATTCTAATTAATCATTATTGGGCTTCTCTCAATAAATGGGCCTTCCATTAATAAGCTTGGATCAATATATATATAACCCAGTTTAGTAACGAGTAGTCTGTAGTCGCTTTTAGGGTACGGCACGACCAGGCCACAATCCAAATCCAATTCATCACTGGCCACAACAAATCTTTCAGGATAGAGACTTATGGTATTAGAATCTGCAGACCAGACCAGACCAGACCAGACAACAATTGAATGAATTTAGAAGAAAATCCTGCAAACAATAGACTCAGGCCAAATCATTTTAAGAAGAATGCATCAATTATTTGGTACAAATAGTTGTTGAGAATAATATGTTCATACATCAATCGCATCACCTACTAACACAGGGTTTAATGCCACTCCAGTTGTTGATCCATTTGCAACTTGGGTGTCCCTGTCCCAATCGTATGTATGTGTATGTATCTACATCAAAAAAAAGTAGCACATCAAAACTTCAAACTGGATCACAATAACTAATGAACTTTTAACATCTAATTCCCAAATTATCTATGGAACAAGGTCCAAATCAAGAAATTGTTTGGTTATTTTGCAAAAGCTAAGGGAAATGGAATACTACCATAACGAAGACCTGCGCATGGTGTGTACTTCATCGATTTCATGATCTTGATGCTCTGCAACTCCTCCAGCAGCAGCACCTACAGCCTTATCCTCTGTATCTGAAATGCCTTTGTCAATGTTTTCATTGCCTGAATTAGGATCTTCGGCTGATGATGATGAATTGGCCACACAATACTTTTGCAGCCACCTGTCTGTTTCCCAGAGGACATGCATCACACTTTCCCATGCAGCATAACCATGACTCTCAAATGGAAGAATAACCAGCCGACAAAGTGCACCATGACCTTTCAGTGCATTGTAAAAACGTTCTGACTGCATCATCAAATGTTATTAAGGTATAAACTAGAACTTGAGGCCAAACACTGATGTAATAATAGGAGGTTAGCACCATACAAAACATCACACGGTAATTAAAGATTATCAATGTGTCACTGAGACATGAAATATCCAAGACAACTCAAAATTTCATCAAATGCAACACAATGGAAACAGCATAATAGTCATACCAACGGCAAAACCAATATAGAAACATGGGGTAGAGGGTGAACAAAATGGAGGTATCAATTTTTGATCCCACCTGCATAGTCAAGGTTCCAGAATTGTTGTCTTCTTCTCCATGGATGAGCAAGATAGGCTTTTTTATTTTATTAGCTGACATATACGGGCTCATTTCAACATAGGTAGTTAAGGCATCCCAAAGTGTCCTATCCTCATTCTGCAACAAGCAAAAAAATATATTCCAGGCTAAGCAAGATCAACACTAACTATGACTTGAACGCAATGTTGAGTTTTAACTTCTGGGGAAAAAAACACAAACAGCAAAACTAAAAGATAACTAATGTGATTAGGGAAAAACAGATCTTCCTTTTTCCAGTCCTCAAACAACTTGAGAATCATGTTCCCGTGATAGTAAGTTACATTAAACAAACAAAAAACTTTGGGAAAAAAAAAAATGAAGAACAAAGCCACTCTGCAACAAGTAAGCAGCATAACAAATTATCAGCTTAAGCAAAAGAAAAACCTGAAAGCCAAATGGTGTAAGTGTTCTGTTGTATGCTCCAGAGCGAGCAATACCACAGCAGAAGAGATGTGGTGCACGAGCAAGGAGATTTGCAGTCATGAAAGCCCCATATGAATGGCCACCAACAGCGATTTTGTTTGGATGAGCAACCTACGGATCACAATATTGGCAGAAAATCATGTGTCTACTCACTTTGTTAGTATGAATAAAAAGGTGGAGAAAAGTGGAAAGACATACTCCCCTCCGAATAACTTCTTCAACAGCAGCCTCTGCACTTGCAACAAGTTGCTCCACATATCTGATGAAGATAACATTAGATGGACAGTACAGGTAGTTGAGCATATATAAGTTGAAGAGAACTTTTAGCTCTGTACATACCGACTAGTCAAAGCTAACTATTTAGAGGAATGTGGAATCCCAAGAAATGCATTAGCAGCTTAGTCAGGCATTTTATCAATTCAAAAGTGACAGGTTTTTCTCAAAACAAAAAAAAACGTAACAGCAAGAAAAAGTCTAATATGGTTGATCAAAAATGAAAATCTTGACCATGCAGATTTGAAAAACACTATACCTATCATTTGCCTCTTCATCACCCTCTCCAATGATGGGAATGGTTGGCCCTGACAGGATGGCAAACCTGCAGATTTGCTCTCACAAATGTCATACTGTAGGATTTAGGATGTGATGGAAAGGGTTATAGCAAGTCAGATTGTCTAGATTCAAAATAGAGATTGAACTTAAAGCAGGCATGAAGATAAGAAACTTGCCTTCTTGCTAGCCAAAGTAAGGGAGAAGTCGAACCAATGCTGGAAAACTCATTTGGGGAGCCGCGAACTTGTCCAGCTGCATCTTTACTTTTGAACTCTCCAGGGTAAGACCACATTAAACAGGGAAGAGGTCCATCCCTTGCAGGATCATATTCAGGTGGAAGATATAGAGTTGCAGTAAGTTGAACCCCGTCCTTCCTATTGTATCGGATCATCTCTTTCTTTAATGAAGACAACTGGGGGTAAGGATGAGGAAAATTGGTAATCTGACACAGCTTCTTTTCTGGCCAACGTAGCATGTAATACTGGGTGTTTTCAGTTTTGGATTCTTTAGAAGTTAGTATTTTTAACTGATTAAGATGTATATCCCCATCATTTTGATCAGACATCAAAGCAACAACAGTTTCATAAAACTGTTCCTTGTCACTCTCCCATATTCGTTCTTTATTACCTGTATTTCTGAAATTCCCTGTGTCAGAGCCAACACCATTATGATATTAAAGGATAATAGAAGAACAACTAACTCACATATCAAATACATCCAAAAATGGAACATTTCCTTGTGGGGTAGCACCGCTTCCATTTAATAAGATGTATGTTCCTTCATCGTTATCCTTCCTGATCTTTGCAATCACATAACTCCCAAAGGGAGTTCTTCGGAACATCGGAGAACCAGGATCTGAGTAAACATCTTCAAAAGACCGATCAAACAGTAAGCGCGGACTCGTGCTCCCACATCCAGGTGAAATAACCCATGTTCGTATTTTCCGTGTCTTATACCAAGACTCATAAACTAATGCAAGAGAATCGTCACACCAAGAGATTCCTCTGAAACACAGAATGCAAAATTAACCAAAATAAAGTCAGTACTTGCACAACATTGGTTACTTCATAACATAATGAGGGTAAAACATTAAAAAGATTCTAAAAATTAAAAAGATTGCACTGATTCATGGAATACGAAGGCAAGTCTAAGGTAATTTGAAGTTGCCAAAATAAATCAAAAAATAAAAAAACAGCATTAAGAAAATAATAATGATGATGATGCTTAGTGTTCATCTAAATACGAATAATAATAGCAAGCTTAGGATCAAGAAATTGACGCTATATGATCTCCAACCTGCAAGCCACACACAACTGATTCGCATATGATCTAACTATACATTGATACAAGTATATTAGAAGAAGGCTTGACTGTACCCAAAGCGAAAATCAAGTTTATGCAAAACCACCGGCTGCTCATTTTCAAGTGGCTCTGCAGGTTGTGTGTAAATGATATCACGTGGAGAGACTTCTATCTTGGCATCACCACCATCCTGTGTCTCAACCCTTGTATATGGGTTTAAAGAGATAAAAAGAAATACATTAGATAAACCAACTGCACAAAAGCACTGGGTTTAGAATCATCATGGGCAATAACCCAACAAACTATTGAGGTACAACAACAGTCCCCTACAAAACCTTTTAAACTTGGACAACCTTATGAAAAATAGACAGCAAAGCATGTTCGGAAATAAAATTAATTAACTGCTGATTAATAGCCATGAAAATTAACACAAACATATGATAACAATTGTCTCCTCAATATTCCTTTACTAATATGAACAGTGTAATAAAGATACCTGCACGTAGCATTTCTTTAGATCATAATCAAGGGCACTACGAATAGCCATATATCATTAAATTTGAAAGTGTACTTTGGCATTAAATTTCAATCAAGTTACAATATTATACAATTATTCTTCTATTCTTCCAAATTACACGAACAGGAATGCACAAAAAATTAGACTGCATACCAGAAAAGTGTTGAGGGCTTATCTGCTCTCCATTGAAGTGAACGCTTTCCTTTTCGAACACTGTTATGTGCAATTGGAATATTCTCAGCAAGAGGTAAATCAAGAAGTTTCCTCAGAAAATTCCCATCAGCAGTCCAAAGATCAACCCTCTTAGGGAATCTCCCACAAGGTACATTAAATGAGTATGGTCGGTGCATTGAGGCAATCATAATGTACTTTTCATCTGGAGATGGATCAAGAGAAGTATATATAGCTGGAGTTCCAATTGGCTTCGTTGATCCATCTAAAGATACCAGAACAAGTTGAGAGGTTACATAGTAATCAAATAGATCTTCATCAAATTCATCTTTGAGAAGATCTTGAAATGTTCTTGTTTGAATGACCTCCTTCTGTTCATTAGATTGAATTTTAGGACCAGAAGGAATCAAAGGTTTCTTTGGAGGATCTCCTCGAGATAGAGGAATAGTACAAACCAACAGTGTTGAGTTGTTCAACCACACAAAGCTGAGAAGGAAATAGGAGAGACAGATTTAAAATCCAGAAAAGAATCTCTAGCAATGCTATGTAGAGGTACAGGAGCATACTTTTCAAAAACTGCATTTATAAAAATGTCTGGAGCCTGAAAAAGGGGTCTTGCTTTTCCAGTCTCAACATCTGCTATCCACAATCTTATCAGGCTACGGCTGGCATCCTCCAGTTCAAGGGTTCCCTACAAGTGGGCATGGAAAATAAAGTAAATATGGGAATTTTTCTAAATGAAACATAGTACTTATGTAGGGAAAAATTAAAAAGTAAAATAAAATAAATCAGCCATATTCCTACTTAATTTGGAGATATTTGTCCAACCAATTTCAGATAATTTTGTAGGTCATTTGAATAAATAAATAAATTCTTACATCTGCAATATCCTTGGTAATAAAGGGATTTGGCAGCAAAATGAAAGATGCGGGTAAGTATTCAATGATTATAACAAAACAACAAATTAAAAGAAAATACCTCATCAGCTCGAACACCAAAGGCCAGATAGCTACCATCATTTGACCTTATAGTAGCAGAAAAAATGAGTTAAAAGGATGATCAAGAGTTGCCCTTTATAGTAAGAATGCTGTACAAAAAATTGTGAAGACTGAATAAAAATTCTGAATTCATACTCCAGGCAAGAAAGAGAAGAACATGTACATAACACCAACTCATTCTAAGTGTCGTGTCTAAACAGAAGCAGCAGGAGGAAGCTAGATGCAATACATTTTTTCAAAATCATATACTGTTTCCTCATCCACCTAAACAACATATCTAAATGATGGTTCCTACTTCAAATCCAGAACTGGTAACCATCAAATTAAGTTAAATAAGATCAGTAGTACCCCAAATTCGTGGTCTTGTCACATAAAACATAAGCCTAACACTATAGATTCAATCGACTTCTATCAAAGAACTGAACAGCAGATGAGAAATTTTCCATTTGACTACAAAGCAAGCTTATCTTTGCTCACACACACACAAAGCATAAACAAACCAGAATTCCGTCATACCACGAAACAAAATTGATTTTTGCACCACTTGGAAGACCATGTACTTCTTTTTCAGGTCCCAATGTACAGTCCTCCATTATCTGGTAGATTCCAATCCCTGTATAATATGACCTGGAAATAAATATTACAAATTATTTCCATCTAAAGAATAGAAGTAGGAAAAATAGATAAAAATACCTAAAGCCCATCACAGTTTTATTGCCGAAAAGAAAAGAGAAGTCCATGGAACATGAAAAGGTCCAACAGTTATTATGTTACTCACATTCGACTCCGGGAATTACATTTGGGATCAATGCGAATTCCAGCAAGCTTCTCCTCAGGCCTTGCCAATTCTTCCAGAGGAGGCAATGATCTCCTTTTGAGGAAGAGTATTTTATCCCTACCAGGTGAAAATGATAGTGTTGGAAGGGGCGGAGCATCAACAATATTTCTGATCTCTGGTGGAGGAAGTCTATATCCATTTCCCTCTGATAATTCTACAAGGATGTGTGATACAGCAGATGAGAATCAGACATTTAACCTTTAAGATTGATGTGAAAATTTAAGATTCAAACTGAACACCAGATGCAGATCCTCTTCTTCTTGAATCAGACAAACAAAGATGAGAATCCTATTAAGTACTACTGTGCAGTACAAACATGAAAGGACCTAGTGATTTGTTGAGTAATGGCAAAGTTATGAGACAACAGTCACCAACTAGCTTCCTCCCAACTAGATGAAACAAAGAGTGAGCGTAAAGTCACCAAAACCAATCGGTTTGGGCGATACAGCTTGTTGAAAAACCAGGGGTGCAACAGGCCGGAAAGATAGTTTCATCAGATGAACGTCATAAAAGTACCTCTTCCACATGAATTATAATAACCTCATATAAATTGATCACAAATTTCAATACGAAGTCTGAATCTTAATCAAAGAGGTTTCCCATAGCTGACGGATGTGTGTAGGATCTAGAAAGATGAGAAAGAGCCGCTACTCGTCATTAAGAAAATAAACAGACAACAACAACAGAAGAAGAGAGAATAGCAAAAGATCATTTAACAACAGCAACACAAAAGATTTATATCTTCCGATCAAAGCCAAGCACAAAGTCACGCAAACGCTTCGGCGCGACAGGATAAAGGAAAGAGAGGTAGAGAAACAAGCCTCCCTCGAACTTCCCCGACCGCAATCACATTCATACAAAATCCAGATTACAGTGCAGAGTAACAATATCGGAAAACCCCAAGCAGTGGTCAGTATTCCGAAAATGCATTCATACACACACGAAGTCAGGAATCTAGTTTATCCAATAGTTACCTTCATAGTCAACGGTGGATGGAGAAGAATTGGTGGCGCCACCCAAGCTCTCGGCGGCGGCGTTCATGGCAACAGCGCTGCGGAACGTCATCGTCCGCGCCCCAACGGCAACTGATGACTTCGGCTTGAAGAATAGAGGGGATGGAGGGAGAGTCGATTTTAGTTTTACAGAGAGAAAGCGCGGTGAAGAGGAGAGAAGGAGAGGATGCTTGTGTGAATGAAGGAAGGAAAAGCGGGGGCAAACTTTGTGAAGGCGCATGTTAGCTAGCTGGTGAACGGATGAATATAATTTCTCCAACCTATTGGAATTTCCTTTTAGGAGTGGGTGAGTGTGCGCCTGCCTGCATCCAGGACCAGGAAGGAACCAGCCCTGCTATGAGCTACCCAATCCCACCCACCCTCCACTGCTCATCATGCTCGTGCTCATATTTACTGCATTATAGTATAATGATTTTTACTGTATCCACTCATTGATACCCAAAAACATTCACCCCACCCCAAGCTATCAGGTGAAACAGACAACAGGCCAGGACACATACAATATACCATACCATATCGATATCATAGATGTGATCATATTTGGTGAACTGTTTGAGGGAATAAAGATACCTTTTTTAAAAATGGGAATAAAGGGAGCATTCTTGAAAAGCTTCGACGGGTCCAAGTCCAACAAATTCTTATGATATCTAAGCCAAAACCGCTGGATAATTTGCCATTGGAGACCAGAAGCCAAAAAACATTTGACTGCTGATTGACTTGACTGCCAGACGGTAATTGGAGAAAAGGAAGATATTTTGTTAAAATAATATCCCGTCCACGCAACAGACGTGGAAAGCTTGGATTGGAGCTGACGCGATAAGAAATCTGTGTACACGAATCACCCGTTATTCATTTTAGGAACGCAAACCAAGATAAGTATCATATCATATCGATTGCAGGATTTTACCATCTCCATCTTCGACCAATCCAAGGAGCAAATTCTGAGTGGAGAGGAGATGTTGACGATGGCAGCAGCAGCAGCAGGAGTGAGTGCCGCGGCGGTGCCGAGCATCTACGCCCGGGCGGCGGAAGCTTCAAAACCTCACTCTATTAATTTCTCACAGCTGAACGTGAACACGCCATGGAAGAGGCCCATCGCTCGTGGAAGGATTTATGTCCCGCCGGCGGCGGCGGCGCCGGATAAGCTATCCGGTAAAGTGGAGGAAAGCATCAAGAAGGCGGAGGAGACATGCAGCGACGATCCAGTGAGCGGCGAGTGCGCGGCAGCTTGGGATGAAGTGGAGGAGCTGAGCGCGGCGGCGAGCCACGCCAGGGACAGACAGAAGGAATCGTCGGATCCATTGGAGAACTTCTGCAAGGATAATCCCGAGACCGATGAGTGCCGCACCTATGATAATTGATTCAATGCCAAATTATCATTATTATTGTTGGAGTGCTGTAGCTGGAGCAGATGTTTCTACCAGGAAGAGAATGAATCATGTGATAAAATACGAACATATTTCATACTTGCATTTGAATGAATGTCCTGTCAATGCACATATATCTTAATTATAAGTTGCAAGAAGAAACCATGAATGAAGCACTGCTTTATTTCACACAAATAGTACATCTACAGACCACAATCATTTGCTAAGTACATGGAGCAGTTCATAGGACAATACAAGAAATCCAATTAATTTAACATCCTTAAAGGTAGACCAAGAGGATCATAGTGCCTAAGGCCGCCGCTACCGGAAACTCTGCAACACCTCTCTTCAAGTTCAAGGATCCATTTCTCAACACTGGAACGCAGGGGCGGTGATTGGTTGAGCCGGGCAAGGAAGCTGCCAAGGTTCAAGTAATGTCTCGGGGATATCGGGAATATCAACGGCCAGGCCGCTAACCTCGGATGCAATTGACAGTACAGAATTGAGGGATCGAAGACGTTCGGTCAACTCCAGCACCTGAGCCCTCAGCACATTGTTATCAGAAGCAAATTTAATGTAGTTTTCAGAGGCATCGTCGATCATATGCCTCAGCTTCTTGTTTTCCTCCTGTATCTGGCTCTCCTGAGAAATTAGCTCATCCAAGCGTTGTTGCTTCCTCAATCGGGACCTCCGCGCAGATTCGCGGTTAGACTGTTTCCGCTTCCTCTTCCTCTCATCGCTCTCAACAGACTGTGCTACTTTCATCGGTTGATTTGATGCCATTCCCCCAAAAAAATGTGCAGAGCTACACTACCTTCGCGTTAACCCTAAACAGCTTCGCGGAAACCTCAGGCGTTTGACAGATGGACAGATATATCTTCAATCCCGTCAAACTAGGGTTTCAAATGCTCACAGGCCAATTCGGGAAAACACGTAAAACCAGTAGAGGAACACCACTGATAGAGAATGGAGAAGTCTAATACGACCCATCAGGTATCAGGTAGCCAGTGTCATAAAACAGCTACTGATCCAGAATGCAGAAACCCTCTGCCCTAATCTATAATTCCAAATTTCAATTCGTAACTACTAAATCGATCGCACAGAATCCACAGATCCGTATTCAGAAGAATCAATTGCCGATATAAATCTACATACGGAAAACATCGAATTGTAAGATCAGGCATCGAATCAGAACAATACCAGCCACAGATTAACAATTAACATCAGAACCAAACCAAAACACTACAAAAACACCTTAAAAATAAAGAAAAACGCAGCAGAAAATTCTAAAAGGAACAAAAAACGAAAAGCTAAAAACAAAACGTAAAAGAGACAATGAGAGTCATACCTGAGAGGAGCTCTTCCGGAGCCTGTTGGGAGAAGATTGCGAGGTATAAAAGCGGCGATATTTATAGGAGTGGCGAATGGGAATTTCGGGCATTAAACTGATTTATATAATATTTAAAATTACCGAGATAGTGCCACAGTGTAATGATTTGGAGACTCCAGGATCCGAGATCCTTAAATAATAAAAACCGCATATTTTGGCTTTGTAATGCTTATGGACGACGAGTCCCGGCGCCCCGAGTTATACCTCACGCGCTGTACTTGGGTGGCTGATTTTAGAGACACAGCTAAGAAATTGAATATGATTTGACTACAGTGATATCTTTCTAATCTTTATTAAACTTGGCAAATTAAATTTGGAAGAAGTATTTATGTAAGTAAAATAATCCGAATTTGTGTGAATGCATGAATAAATACTGATTAATTTATCTTAAAAAATAAATATTTTATTTACAATATGATAATTTATAATGCCTGATTTTGATATTATTGATAGCATAGCAGCTACAAGACAGCACGTAAATTAAAGTATAATTTAAGGACACAATATCCAAATGCAGTAAATAAACTAATAATATATGTTGTGTTATTGAATCATATTTTTTATTTGTTTGGGGCAGCATCTTAATTCATTCCATCATAAAATAGATGATGAATGGAAAGACAATTTTATCCCTAATATGGTGTGTTTGTTGTGATATAATAATACAATATAATACTAATATTTTTGTTTATACCAGGACCGTAATTACTAAAACACGAATAAATTTAAATTTATTTGAGACATATCAAAGCTACAGAACAAATATATTAATGTTCCATTGAGGAACATACCGTAAAGTGCCATTTAGTTTAGCAGAGGCCAAACTGTGATTGTATTTTGGTGTATAGAAATAAAGTTAGGATAAATAAATTAGGGTTTGTTGAGTCGTGAAATTTTATGTCTCATTTTAGTATTTTAACTTATTTTATTTTTAAAGATCAAATTAAAAACTTATTTTTATTTATTATATTACATCAAATTTTCAGTTTACATAAAAAAATAAAATAAAAATCATATTAATACATATTTATATAACATCAAACAATTATTTTAATTTAAAATTAACATTTCTCAAATAAACACAATCTAATTAGATGAAGATCTAATATTAAATTATAAAAGAATAATTATTAAAGTTAAATTTATATTAATATATTAGAACGAGTAATATTATTTTATACACCTTAATAACATATTTATTATAATATAGTAAAGCTTGCTACACAAAATTATCTTATATTTAATAATTAAAGTAAACATGATATTAATTAATCTTATGATCATTTAATTCATAAAAATAATTTAGGTATTATAATCAAATCCTTAAAAGAAACGTTGTGTTTGTTAAGTGTTGATGTGATGTTTTGAACTTGAGGAAAATTCTTTAGATGAACGACAGAATTTTGACAAAATCTTAGCGACGAACACATCCTAAATAATTATGCACTTATTTATAGTCTATGCTGTAAACAATGAGCGTTTACTATCGGTCCACAAATACATAAGAGGCCCACCGGGTCCAGATAAAACGCGAAATTATCAGCTTGGGGGTTTAAATAACAATATATAAAACCCAAGGTACTTAATTGCAATTTGCAGCTTCCTTCACTTTCCCGCCAAAACCCACCTTCAGTATCCCCACACCTCTCTATTTTGCCGCCAGTCTGCAGCTCCGACTCCCAACGCTTATTAACTCTGCAATCCTCGATCCGGCGTCTCTCATTTCTACACTCGCACACAAACGCAACAGGAGAAGCTTACACCGGCGAAATGAACGACCTCGACTTCAACAGCGACAAAGGCAAGCGGCAACCCTAGCTCGTCGTATTCCGTGAATGTATTTTGTGCGTGGCTTAGTTTATTAACTGTTTTAGAGTTTTTGCAGAAACCGCGAAAGATTTCCTGTTGAACTTTGCAGATCCGAATGGCGGGGCTAAATACATGAGCATTCTTGTAATTCCCACAACTATGTTTTGTATTGCGTCTCATCTTTTGAAAGACGAAACATTTTTGGATTTATCTTAATCCCTTTCTTTATATATATTCCAGCAAGAAGTAGCCAACAGGAAGACTAAGGCCATACAAATCGAGCTGGAAGACTTAATTAATGTTCGGTCTCGCTAGTTGTACCTTTTTTCTGCTGCATATTATCTTATGTTGGAGGAAGAACATTTCTATTAATCTTTTGGTTTTTATCTGGCAAAAACACAGTATAAAGATTTAGACGAAGAATTTGTGAGACGAGTCACAGAAAATACACGGCGATACATTGGAATATTTGCGAATGCAATTGACGAACTACTGCCCGAGCCAACAGAGGTGTTACTGGACGACGATCATGACATTTTACTGACTCAAAGGGTAGACGAAGGAACTGAGACTGGTGGTGGCTCTGATCCACAAAAGAGGCTGCCTCCTGAGATCAAGAGATTCTAGTAAGCTTCAAGAAAGATCCTAAATCGTAATTTTGAATTTTGGATTGATTCCACGATAAAAATAAAAAATAAAAAAATACTTGTTCACTCGTAGTTAGCTTAGTATATGTAACTTGGAATAATTGTTTGTCTGGCCCTTTCCCTATACTGAGGTATAATGTTTTGTGCTTGAAGATTATATAGAATTGCATCCAGTGACTCTGGGGATTGTTTTTATATTACTATTTTCAAAGTCTATTGCTGAAGTAATTATTGGTGTCTTCTATTAGTTGTATTACTAAAAAACCAAAACAATTGAATTTTGAAAAATAATCATCCTTTTCTCCCGATCTCCTGGGAAAGGTAAGGACTTCTAACACTGTCTCTTTGTGGAATCAGTGAAGTTTATATTAAAGCATCTTCGAAAGGGCGTCCTTTCACAATTAGGGAGGTTAAAGCTTCATATATTGGGCAGCTTGTAAGGATATCTGGTATTGTGACACGCTGCTCTGATGTCAAGCCTCTAATGCAAGTGGCTGTTTATACATGTGAAGAATGTGGATTCGAAATTTATCAGGTTCCAATTCTGATCTTCATATACATTAAAAGCCTTGCTATTTACCAGTTCTCACACTCGCAATACTTACCCTGCTTAATTATATGTGACACAGGAGGTAACTGCTCGAGTTTATATGCCTCTGTTTGATTGCCCCTCTGATCAATGCAACACAAATCGAGCTAAAGGGAATCTTATCCACCAACTCCGAGCTTCTAAGTTTCTGAAGTTTCAAGAGGTTTGCTGCCCAGTTATAATTTTTTAGTGTTGATTTCAAGCACTCTAAAGAGTTCCTAGCTTTTGACATTTAATATTGTCTTTCAGGCTAAACTCCAGGAACTAGCTGAGCATGTCCCGAAGGGTCACATTCCTCGGACGCTGACTATTCATTTCAAAGGTGAACTCACGAGGAAGGTTAGTCATATTTGCCATACTTTGGAGTTTCTAGAGATGGCGTCTTGATTCATCATAAAACAGTATCTGGTTTGATTTGTTGGCTTATATGCTACACTTGAATGTGCTACAAGAGTCAGTGGTCAATGACAAACGGTCATGCCCACTTTTACTAGCACATGGTCATGCATGGTGTACCTCATTTTGGCAATGTGTAAGGTATCTCACATACTTTAGTTTATGGTGACTAAAGACATGTAGCAGACATTGTTTTGTTGCTCCAGTAATATTATTGTAGTAAATAAATTCAGTAGTTTTGAAAGGATTAAAAAATTTCCCACTGAAACTGTTGCCTTAGTACAATCCTTAATTACATGTTCTGTTTTTCATTTTCTTCCATTTCCATAACCATGTTCTTTTCCATATTGTAGGTTTCTCCTGGTGACATTGTTGAGCTGTCAGGTATATTTCTTCCTATCCCCTACACAGGATTTAGGGCAATGCGAGCTGGCTTAATTGCGGACACGTACTTGGAAGCCATGACTGTCACGCATTTCAAGAAAAAATATGAGGAGTAAGCATTTTACTCTAATTTTCTGTCTAATTGTTGGTAATTAACCACTATTTTGAGACATCAAAGAATGGTTTGATTAAAACTACATCAAAGAATAGGAGGCAACTAGAATCTTGTTGAAATGCTGCGCTTAAGGGCTTATATTTTCATATATAAGCACTTGTTTCTGGAAAGATATTTTAGAAGGAATCAGAGTTCAATTATTAATTTCTATCTTGAATGGGAAAATAACTAGAAATAATGTTATTTAAGGTAATTTCTACTTGATTGGAGTTTAATTTATCTGTGTAAACTATTATTTTTCTATATACTTGTGAAGTATTATTGTTCTTCTTGTGCTTCCCTGAATGTAGCTGCCTTTCTCTGTTTCTCATTCTTAAGGCATGTTTCTAGCTTCTTGTATTAATAACACACATGGGTAAATATGGATTACTTCTCCAATAAATTAATTGACTTTTTGATGTGCAGATATGAACTTAGGGGGGATGAAGAAGAGCAAATTGCTCGCTTGGCTGAGGATGGCGATATCTATAATAAATTGGCTAGGTCATTAGCCCCAGAAATTTTTGGGCATGAAGATATTAAAAAAGCTCTTCTTCTTCTCCTTGTTGGTGCTCCTCATCGAAAACTGAAGGATGGGATGAAGGTACAGTGATATTGAGAGATTTTCTCTGTTAGTTATGTGTTCACTTCGACCAAGCTGAGTGCCTACAATTCGAGCAAAGCTCTTTATTTCTTTATCACATCCTACACAATCTCTGTTTTCACATAATTTGTCATCTTGAACAGCTTCAAGAATCAAATATGTATAGGAAGTACCTATTTTCTTCAAACCTAAGCGATATCAATGCTTCCATGTTTAAGATAGTAAGTGTCCTCATGCCATGACAGATAAGAGGAGATATACACATATGCCTGATGGGTGATCCTGGTGTGGCAAAAAGCCAACTTCTCAAGCATATAATAAATGTTGCACCTAGAGGTGTGTATACAACTGGAAAAGGAAGCAGTGGAGTTGGTCTGACTGCAGCTGTTCAGAAGGATCCAATCACCAATGAAATGGTTTTGGAAGGTGGAGCTTTGGTAAGATTTAGTGTATACTTTTGGATCTTCCGTTTATCAGGTCTCCCTTTCATTAAAGGATAACATAAGCACTGGAGCTTGAATTAGGTACTGGCGGATATGGGTATCTGTGCCATTGATGAGTTTGACAAAATGGATGAATCAGATCGTACATCAATACATGAAGTAATGGAGCAGCAAACTGTTAGCATTGCTAAAGCTGGTATTACTACATCTCTGAATGCACGGACTGCTGTCCTAGCTGCTGCCAATCCAGCCTGGTAATTGGTCCCTAAACTCAGCTACTGATTAATTATTTATATATACATATACTAATGCTATCAAGGAGAAGTTACATGAAACTAGGAATTAATGAAAAAAAGACTAGGAGTATTAAATTAAATAGAACAAGTATCCATTCTTTAAAGTGAGCAAAGTCCTCAGGGCATAGATAACCTTATTTGTAAGGCTCATTTTGTATTAATTAAGTCTTCCAAATGCTTTCTCTAATAGTTCTGCCAACTTTCCTTTGTGCTGAAGGGGGAGATATGATTTAAGGAGAACACCTGCTGAGAATATTAATCTGCCTCCTGCACTTCTATCAAGGTTTGATCTTCTGTGGCTGATTCTAGACCGAGCAGATATGGATATCGATCTTGAAATGGCTAGGCATGTTCTCTATGTCCACCAAGCTAAGGAGTCTCCAGACATTGGATTTACTCCACTCGAACCTTCAGTCCTCAGGTAACTTTCCCACATGATTTACTTTTTGAACTTCATTGGTAGGAACATTAGCAATCGTATCTTCATTTTTTTTTTTTTTTCGGCAACCTATTGCAAACTTACTTTAATCCGTAGCTATTCCTCTAATTCAATACTGGAGTGGTTCATATCCTTGTTGTCACATCATGAATATGGCATCTGATCCATTAAACTAAACATAGTCGTGGGAACCTGAACTCTTCTGATGGTTATTAGGGCATATATCTCTGCTGCAAGAAAACTTTCTCCTACTGTGCCAAGGGAATTGGAAGAATATATTGCAAGTGCATATTCCAGTATAAGGCAGGAGGAGGCAAAATCAAGCACACCTCACTCTTATACAACAGTTAGAACTCTACTCAGCATTCTGAGGATATCAGCAGTAAGCTTTCACTTTATTAGCCAACAGTACATATACATAAATTCTTTTTCAAGTCATTCACGTTATCTATTCTGCAAGTAATTTAAATTTAACCTTTTCAGGCTCTTGCAAGACTCAGGTTCTCCGACTATGTTGCTCAGAGTGATGTAGACGAGGCACTTAGGCTGATGCAAATGTCCAAGTTTTCCTTGTATTCAGATGACCGCCAAAGATCTGGCCTGGATGCAATTTCTGATATATATTCAATCTTAAGGGATGAGGCTGCAAGAAGTAACAAGATGGATGTGAGCTATGCTCATGCTCTCAACTGGATTTCAAGAAAGGTTTGTTCCTAAAAACCTGGTAAACCTTACCGGTTGCTGTTAACTCGAGAGATCTTAATGAACGATACTTGCTGTTTTACAGGGGTACAGTGAAGCTCAATTGAAAGAATGCTTGGAAGAATATGCTGCCTTAAATGTTTGGCAGATCCATCCAAACACATTTGACATCCGTTTCATAGATGCTTAACATTAGGTTTTATTACATTCTACTGCTAGTTGAAGGTTCTGTATAATTTATTTTCCTTTAGAATGCAAGCCCGGGTCAAGATATGCGTGTTACAAACAAGAAGCTACCTTCTGATTGTGTGTAAGTCATTAGATGACCTGAAATCAATTCATTCCAATCCCCATTCTGTGATAAATTCTCAAACTTTGTATCATGAAAAAAAGGAAGAAGAAAGATGTGCTGCTAAAGAAATATATAAACATACACTAGTTTGTAGTGTATAGATCAAACATGACTCTGGAAAGATGAGTTTTTTTAAGTGGCTTGGTCAAATAAGCATCCGCCCCAGCCTCCATCATCGCTTCTAACTCCTCTCCTTGCTGGTGAGCCGTCAAAGCAATTATTGGAGTATGAAACTTATTTAACTCGGCTTTTCTAATCTCTGCAGTTGCCTCAACGCCATTCATCACAGGCATCTGCCACAATTAAACAATACATTTTATTATTATGTCTATATTCACTAGATAAATAAATAAATAATTACCTGGCAATCCATGAAGATACAATCAAAAGGAGGTGATAGTGGACGACCAGCATTTTCAATATCATCCTGCTGCAGTCTTCGGTAGAACTCCTGACAGGCTTCTGCCCCATTTTCACAGGTAACTGCATCAGCACCAAGCTGTTTACACACAGCACTCGCAATCCTTCGCCCCACAAGATCATCATCAACAACAAGAACCCTCTTCCCCTCCATTGGATTCTTGCTGCTTGAACCTCCAACCTCTTCAATTTCAGACTTCTTAGCTACCCCAAAACTGTGCTTGGGAATTTTCCCTCTCACCCCACTTTTACTCGATGCACTGCTGGAGCTGGTTCTTGTTCCCCCAAAACTCACTCTTTTACTTAATGGTAATCTTTCTTCTTCTCTTGCTATGGCCCCTCCAAGTTCAGGTAAAAGCCTCACTGCCTGACGCAGCCGTGATCCATGGAATGGCTTGGAGATGATCAAATCTGACCGAGGCAACCGATCCATATCCATTGCATGGGAGCTACTGCTGCTCATGGTTGGATCATACAGCCAAATAGCTCTACTACTGCACCTCTCATTCAACCCTCTTCTAAATTCAGCTACAGCTTTCCAGGTCTCCTTAAATGGACCTGCACGAATGTCGATCACTAGCAAAATGAAGGTGAATGAACGAACATGAGCACTTCCCTTCTTCTTCGATGCAAGAACATTGTCCATTATTTCGTCCCTCGCGCTCAAAGTAACATCCCTTGATCGCATGCTGGACGTCCGCGATGCAGCTCCATCACTCCTTGAATTCGTCGAAGAGCTGTTGTTGTAATAGTATGACAGGTTTAGCTTTTGGTTAATTTGTTTGAGAGCTGAAGGTAGGCGCTCGTCCTCCCCAATTACTCTCACTTTTATCCCCAATCTCTGCATGAATCCCTGCACGACTTTCCTCCTTTTTGGATTGTGGATGAAGAGTATGACTTGTGATCTTTCTGAAACACGAGACTTATACGAATCACTCAATACACCATCGCCATTAGACTCAATATCATGAGCTCTTGTCTCTGCTACTGCTGCAGCTGCACTAAGGAAGACATTAAATCTGAAGCAAGTTCCTCTCTCCCCTACATCTTTATTCACAAGCCTTATCTCCCCTCCCATCAAACGAACCTAATCCAACACAAAAATCATCAATCAGAAAACAAAAAAAACAGAGATATTTAAAGTTCAGAGTTTAATACCAGTGACTGCACAATGCCGAGCCCCAAACCAGTGCCTTCCTGCCCTGCTACACTTTCTTTAACTTGCACATAATTTTCAAACACTGCTTTTTGCTTCTCTTTGGGAATCCCTTCGCCTGTGTCGCTCACCTCAAACACAAACTCGACACAATTCGAATCCCTCTTAACATTATTGTTCCCACTTTCAGATTCAGATTCAGCCTTGAAGCACAGTAGACACTTCATTGAGCTGTTCACATTAGAAGCAATTATCTCATTTTCAAGGCTCTGCTTTCTTGTCCACGCGCCAACTGTCACATCTCCCTCCGACGTAAACTTCACTGCATTACTCACCAAGTTGCTCAAAATCTGCTTCAGCTTCCCTCTGTCCCCTCTCACTCGACTGCATTTCGACACCGAGCCATTGCATGGATCCAAGATTATGTCCACACCTTTCTTTATACCAAGTGGATGATACAAATCCACCACATTCTCCAGCAATTCTTCCATGTCGAATTCTTCCTCGTCTAGCTGCATCTTTCCAGCTTCTATCTTACTCGTGTCGAGAATCGAATTCAATATGCCTACAAGATCTAACGTGCAACTATCCATCTGTGACAGGTTTGTCAGCAGTTCTTGGAGCGAAAGCCGCCTTCTTGAAACTTCATTATAACACAAATCTATTAGACCTCTGATCCCTGCCAATGATGCTCGAATGTCGTGGCTTGCACTAGCAAAGGCTAGACTTTTGTTCATACTTTTCCTTTCGGCTTGCTGTGTCGCTTCCTTTTGGTTGATCAGATCGCGGCACAGATGCATCTCTCGTCTTAAGCATTCAACAACCAAATAAACAAAAGCACATATCATCGCCACCACGACGCCGATCATTATTAAGAGCAAAGCAAATGCCCACCTGATGTTCTTGTCGATGTTGCTAGAAAATTCGTTGCTCGGCACTGCCAACACATATACCTGAAATCAAACCAAAGAAATGTATCTCTTAGCTTGCAAAGTTTTTCCATTTACATAAATATTTGTAATAAGTGTTTATACTCTTACCAATTGTAGTCCTGCAATTTCGACTTGCGAACAATGCATTTCGAACTTTCTATCCCAAATGGACAGAACAGAGCCACCATTGTTGGAACCACAAGTGATGTCTCCTGCTGCATAAACTTTATCTCCATCACTACTGACTAATTGCAACGAAACATGATCATCGGTCAAAACTATGCGCATGCCGGGAATTCCCTGAGTCAGAACCTTCCCATCCTTTGTAGCCAAATAGAAGCTTCCATTGTAAATGGCTAATTCAGAAACCAAAAATTCGACAATAGGTTCCAGCGAAAATCCTAAAGAAACAGCACTTTTTCTGAGCATTCCGGCTGTACTAAGCAATAAAATGTCCGAATCATTGCCCCAACCACTGGCAACCGAGACAAATACATTGGTGCTGTTCAGTGCATTCTGAACCCAACTTGAATTCACCACAGCAGATGGAGGAAACTTAGTGGCATCACCATACAACTTTCCCGCGTTTCGATCAGCTGTTTGAACGTACCAAGTGTAGCTATTGCTGCTGTTTTGAAATGTAGAGTTTGAGTAGAGTGCATAAGGCTGATCACCTTGGGTATAATATGCAAAGAACAATCCGTCCAATCCAATGTAAGAAATCTGCTTCAGGTATGGAATTGTCGACAATCCTTGAAATAATGCCGACGCAATCTGCAATGTTGGAAAAGATTATATTCAAACAAACAAAGAAAGGAAAAAATACCATAATTATGTGATTGAAGGGATCCATATTTGAAGGTTTTTAATACCTTGGATTTGATAATGTAGAATTGGAGACTATTATCACCCAACGATGAATTCAACATTCTTACTAAGTTTGTAGCTGTTGAATTGATAGAAGAAAATAACATCGATGTTCTATGAATCAGCCTAAAATCCAATTCTTGATCAACTTTGCCTTCAATTAACTTCACTTGATCTTCGATTCTTCTAACTTTGGTATACCACAGTGGAACCAAACAACCAGCTATAGCCAATACCACAACAATCTGCATGGAATTTTCAATATAACCAAGATATAAAATTTAAAGACTTTCTGATATATGTTATTAAAAAATTAATAATAATAATAATAATAACAATTGTAACTTACTATGATCAGGAGAGAGTAAAAGGGATGCAGAGCTATGATTCGTTTTATCTGAGATCTGATTGTCATTCTCTACTACTTAAGATATACCTGAACTAAGAAAAAACAAAAAATAAAAATCAACATTAAAAAATAAAAAAGGATAATATAACACAAGTTTCTAACGATAATCTTAAAATCTCATGTATCACCTTAGGAGATTCTTCAATAATTGGCATTCATTTCATGCGTAAAAAAAAAAAAAAAATCACACCAATTTTATAGAAGATCTTTTATAAATTCCTATAGACTTTTTTCTTGAGAAATTCTTGAAAACATAAGAAAATTGATCAAATAGTATAGCATAACACAATTGAAGAAATTTATTGTGAAAGTATATACTCATAAAATATTCTTAGATTTTTCATATAAATTTATAGTATCTGATTTCTTTCAATTTAAACTTGCTCCAAAAGATTAGTTTTCAAATTGAAAAAGTTGGAAAAAGGAAAAAAATAAATAAATAAATCTAGTAAATAAAATATATAAATAAGATCTTGTATTTATTAATGGAATAATGTAATAATTACTATTTGCATTAGAAAGGAAAACTTTCCTTATTACGAAGATATGATTGAATAGCTCAATCATACAATATTTATATTCATCATAGTATATTAGTTTATTATTATTATATATATATATATATATCTTATTTTTTAAAATATAAATAATTATACATAAAAAATAATAATAATATAATCATAATTGTTTTTGCTCAAATATATGCTTGATATAATAATAATAATAATAATAAATTTACTTTCCTCCCTATGTATATGTATATGCTAGTAAACCTCATTAATATAATCATAATTAAAATTATAGATGAATGGAAAGATCGATTCAATTCATAACTCGCGTATACAAAGTGATGGAATGAAACTAAAATAACATACAGTTTGTTTCTTTGAATTTGAATTTGATCAAATTTAATAATAAAATAATATATGCTGTGATGTTTATAATAATATATATATATATATTTTTAAAATAAAATCACAATAATAAAAATTGAGAAGAAAAACTCACAAAAACGGCTCATAATATATAAACATAATTTAATTATAATTTTATATTTATTTTTACATTCAAAATAATAATTTCATATTTATGCTACATTTGATCTACATTAAAAAATTCAGATCTAATATAATTTCATTTAAATTTATTCTTTTTAACATAATTCAAAAGTATTAAACATATATTTAAAAAGAAGATTTTTTGCTACAACACTAACATACAAATAAACCATTAAATCAATCATACATTATATACACATATATACATAGAAGGTTGGGTAATTACCACTTTATTGTTCTTCGGTTTAGGATTGTCTCCATAGAAAACAACAACTAATTAAATTAAATTAAATTAAATTAATTAACTAGTCGAGCATCACCACCCCTTATATACATAAATACAAGTGCAGGCAATTGCCTTCCTTATTTATTTATATACATAGCCATTTATGCTTCCATGCTCTCAACTAATTGTGGAAAACAACTATGTACACAATAATTTACAATCAATTCTTTCAAAAAGATAATAGACAAAACACTTAAAATTATTTTTCCATACCTTGCTCATAGGGAAAATTCACCTGAGAACACAAAAAAAAATTAAAAAAAAAATAATAATAAAATTGAAAAACTTACATAAACAAAATATATATATACATTCCGGTCACAAATAAAAAAGAATTCAATTTTCTTTCTATATATATTATAAAAGTAGTTTGCTACCTCCATCAAAATACAGAAACAATATATACATATCGTCAATAAAAAAGAAAAATAAAATGATAATGGTAGAATGACTTTATTGCCGAATCAATTTCCTTTGAATTTTGTAGTAAAAAGTTTTATTATCGAATAAACATATATCACAATCAATAGATGTAAGCCAAGCAAATGCTATTAGGAATTTCTAACAGAAGTAGAAACGGACAAGTAATGCAACGAGGAGGACATCTGAACACAAAGTTCCTAAATATCTAATAACCATACCATATATTTACTTATATATTATATTTAATGCATCCTAATTAAACTCATGTATTGATTTTCTCTATGTTACCAAAGTTAAAGAGATACTCTAATTATTTTTACCATAAATAAATAATACTAGTAGTCATATTAATAGTAAAAATCATATCGAAAGCCCAAATGGCCCATGTAAAAATATAGTCGAATTTTAACCTATCATCATAATGGGCCTTATGCTTTTCTAAGAAAATAAAAACGGCCCATACAAAATGTAGCCCAAATATTGTATACAGTCCGATAAGATATTTGGGCTTTTGATGGATCGATGCTCCACTAAAGACAAATACTGAGCAGTTGTGGGCACGCGCACTGAGTCATGTTCCCGCCAAAAGTCGCCGACTGACTGACGCGCCTCGCCATCTCGCGCCTCTTCTCGGTTCAGTTCAGTGGACAGTGGTTCTTCCTCAGTTCTTCACACATTTTAATCTTTGTGCTGTTTGCTACACTCTCAATCGGACATTCTCCGCTCATCTGTCGGGTTTCCCACGGCTGTTGTTTTTTTGCAAAATCGTATAGATTTGTGTAGACGCATGGCCTCATCGAAGAAAACGAGCAATGGACGGTCCCCACTGGTGAATCCGCAGCGTCAGATCACTGCGTTCTTCAGCAAGAAGCCGGAGTCCGCATCGTCTGCTTCCCCCTCGCCATCGCCCGTGCTTTCCAAAAAAAACCCTAACCCTAACCCTGATGGAATGACGAGTCCGATTACCCCTTCGCCTCTCCAATCAAAGAGCAAACCTGTGCTGCTCATCTCCCCAAAATTGGCTTCTGCTTCTGCTTCTACTTCTCCTGGAAGCCTTATCTCTGGTAAGAAACAGTACGGCGCGGAGGTTGTTGATAGGAGGATCAGAGTGTATTGGCCGTTGGATAAGACTTGGTATGAAGGTTGTGTGAAGTCGTTTCATAAGACATCGGGAAAGCATACCGTGCAGTATGATGATGCTGAGGAGGAAACGATTAACCTTTTAGAGGAAAAGATTGAGTGGATTGAAGAGCCGGCAAAAAAGAAGCTTCGGAGGTTAAGGAAAATATCGGTGGTGGAAGATGAAGAAGATGAAGAGGAGGACCACAAAGAACTAGAGGATGACTCTGATGATGAAGATTGGGGATCGAAGGTGGAGAAGGAAATGGTAGAAGATGAGGATGGATTGGAGGATTCAGATTTGGAGTTAGAAGAGGAAACTGAAAGAACTGGTGCTCGGAAACACGTTATATCCAGAAAACGGAAGGTGGGTAAAGGAGAACAAATAGGATCTTCTTGTACAAAGAAACACAAGAAATCTGGAGAGTTAAAGTATAAGAGTGATACGTCAACAGATTCTATTCCTTCTAAGGAAAAGCAGGTCGAACCTTCTAAAAGAATTAACCCTGAGAGTAAGTGATGTGTGAAATTGTCTAGTTATCCAAATATGGAAAACCATTCTGCTAATTTTTCATTTAATCGTTGTGCTATGCTTGTCTTTAGTTTGATTAATAGTGCCAGCATAGAGCAACACACAAGCTTTGTTTTGAACATGTGGTAGGAAAGTGCTTATAAGCTTCATATTGTTGATGTCTTCTTCATTCTATACTGCTACGTTGTAGCTGTGCTCACTTTATGCTCTTAGTTAGAAAGTTAGTTGAAGTATGATACGATGGGATAGTTGTGTGATGATCTTAAATCTCAGATTACATTTTGTAGGTGGGAAGGTATCTGCTTTAGATAGCAACATCTCAGTAGATGCTGCAGAAAGATTTGTCACACGAGATGCACAAAAGTTGCGCTTTGTTGAGATGTAAGTTGTTAAATATGCTCAACCTTATTATACAAATAATATTCAAATTAAAGCTGCTAAAAAGCTTGTAACTATTATATTTGAACCAATTATAATTCTGTGAAGTATGAAAATTTTCTACTACATTCCTTTTTGGGGTACCATATTGACCTTTTTCCTTAAATAAAACAGAGATCGTATGGATGCCCGCAGAAGGCGCCCTGGGGATGCAGACTATGACCCTAGAACACTTTTCTTGCCTCCCAACTTCGTAAAAGGCTTAACTGGTGGGCAGGTAGTTGACTTCTTTGGTTGCTAGTTATATCTCTTTGAGGACTTTTTTTAATTGTTTTATCCAATGTTTGATGATTTTAGAAGCAATGGTGGGAGTTTAAATCACAGCATATGGACAAGGTTCTCTTTTTCAAGGTAATATCTTGAATGTCCATGGTAACTAAAGTTTCAAATCCATGTTATGAATTAGGCTTCTCTTTTAGAAATCTGATTCATGTCACTATAATTTTGCTAGATGGGCAAGTTTTATGAGCTTTTTGAGATGGATGCACATGTTGGTGCTAAAGAACTTGGTTTACAATATATGAAGGTGCAGTCCGCAGTCCACCGTCCATGATTCCCCAGTGAATGGAGTTCCTTTAGATCAATGTCAAGATAGAATTCTTTCTTGATTACTTTTTTACATGGAACTTCTACTAAAGCTGCATGGTTTTTTACAGGGGGAGCAACCTCACTGTGGATTTCCAGAAAAGAACTTCTCAATAAATGTAGAGAAGCTGGCAATAAAGGTTATATTGCATTATATAGGCTATTATTTACCCAACTTTAGCTATGGTTGTCATTTATCTGATGATAGAAGTGTAAATTTTCAAAAGAATAATTTTCATGGCAGGGTTATCGGGTTCTTGTTGTAGAGCAAACAGAGACACCTGAACAACTTGAGCTTCGTCGAAAAGAAGAGGGTTCAAAAGATAAGGTAATTCCGACAATGTGTATGAAAACTCACAACAATTTTTTGATATTATAATATAATTTTACCTTGGTAGGTATTAGTTTTGACAGTCCTCTTCAGGTTGTGAAACGTGAGATCTGTGCTGTGATCACGAAAGGAACTTTAACGGAGGGGGAGATACTATCAACCAACCCTGATGCATCTTATCTAATGGCATTGGCCGAGAGCTGTGAAAATTTAACAAACCAACCAGAATCTCACATTTTTGGTATTTGTTTGGTTGATGTTGCAACAAGCAAAATTGTCCTTGCGCAGGTTAGCAGGAATACAGGGAGCTTGGTTTTCATTGGTTATACTAGTGTTCATATTTGGTTAAAGTGTGTATTGTCTATAATTCCTATCAGCATGTTTACACAGATATTAACCTTGTTTCAATTGCCAGTAAGTAATCATTTTTCACCAAGAATAACTTGTTCAGCATGTGTGGGTTGCTAGCTACAAAGCCAATGTGTAGCATAAATGATCATTTCAACCGATTACAAATGTTTATCCTTCTTTCTTTAAGTCTCTTTGAATGTAGTGGATTATTAAGTCTCTTTGAATGTAGTGGTTTCAACTTTTTTATGTATTGAAATTCTTATCTTTAGAATTGAATATGCTTCTTTGTATCAGTTTAGGGATGATGCAGATTGCAGTTCATTATGCTGTTTGTTATCTGAGTTGAGGCCAGTGGAAATTGTAAAACCTGCTAAGCTGTTGTCTCCTGAGGCTGAAAAGGCATTGTTTAGACACACCAGAAATCCTCTGATTAATGAGTTAATCCCTTTCTCTGAATTCTGGAATGCCGAGAAAACTGTACAAGAAGTCAAGAACATCTATCAGCGTATTGGTGACCATTCATGTTATTCAACTATAAATGAAACAACTTTGCATCCTAGTGGTTCTTCCTCGGAAAATGGCAATAGAAACTGCCTACCTGATGTACTATCTAATCTTGCTAGTGATGGTGAAAATGGAAGCCAAGCTCTCTCTGCTCTTGGAGGCGCTCTTTTCTATCTGAGGCAGTCTTTTCTGGATGAAACCCTCCTTAGATTTGCAAAGTTTGAGTTGCTTCCATGTTGTGACTTAAGGAAACTCACACATAAACCATATATGGTTCTCGATGCAGCTGCACTGGAAAATCTTGAAATATTTGAAAACAGCAGAAATGGAGATTCAACAGGGTATTTTGGATTGTGTTCAACATTATATTTTAAAGGATCTCCTTATCACATGTTTGCTTACCCATGAACTGTGATCTCTGCAGGACATTATACGATCAACTGAATCATTGTATCACAGCATTTGGTAGAAGATTGCTTAGAACATGGCTTGCAAGGCCTCTGTATCATTTCAAGTCAATTAAAGAAAGGCAGGATGCTGTAGCCGAATTAAAGGTGTTTTAACATGGTTTCAGTGTCTTATAGTTATACTGAATTGGCTAAATTGTGATCATTTGGCTGCACAAGTGAATTGCACTTTTCAGATCTTTTTTTTTTTTTTCATTTCTCATAATTCCTAGGAGTTGTTTATTACTTTTACTACATAGCATAAAAAATGTCAGCAGTTTCACCTATTTTAACTATTTTAGGGGGTTAATCAACCATATGTGCTTGGATTTAGAAAAGAAATTTCCAAGATTCCGGACATGGAACGCTTGCTTGCACGCATTTTCACTAGCAGGTGAAGTTGCAAGGCATTATTATTGTCCTAGTTCCCCACAGAAATTTGTTAGCATGTACTTGTTGATGTTCTTATTCCTGGTTTTGGGTGAATACAGTGAAGCCAGTGGAAGGAATGCTAGTAAGGTTGTTCTATACGAGGATGCAGCAAAGAAACAACTACTAGAGTTCATTTCAGCTCTGCGTGGCTGTGAAACGTTGGCCAATGCCAGTTCTTCCTTTTGTTCTGCTTTAGGGAATGTGGAGTCTAGTCTATTGCACCATTTATTAACGCCTGGTATGAGCGAGAAAAAGGAAGAAAAAAAAAAAGAGGATTTCTGAATCATATTTTTGATAATGTGCAGATGCTTATGATGAGTTGTTTCCAGGTGCAGGGATTCCTAATATCAGTTCAACTTTGAGGTATTTCAAGGATGCCTTTGATTGGGAGGAAGCATATGAATCAGGGCGTGTAATACCTCGAGAAGGAGCTGATGTTGAGTATGATGCTGCATGTCAAAGAGTTAAAGACATTGAATCCAACCTTCAAAAGCATCTGAAGGAACAGCGCAAATTACTCGGAAATGCATCAGTGAGGACTTCTGAACTTCCCTGAATGAATATTTAGTTTTTTTAACATTGCTGATAATTATATTGTATCTGGATATTTTGTAGATCCGTTATGTAACAATTGGAAAAGATGCATACCTTTTGGAAGTGCCTGAGAGTTTATCACATAGCATTCCAAAGGAATACGAATTAAAATCATCCAAGAAGGTACGATAACCAACTTTTTAGTTTGTTTTGATTTGAAGTAAGTTCGATACTTCGATTGCTTTGAGGAGTATGAGACAAGATCTGAGGCTTTGTTCTTTTATAAATGGTTATACTCTCAGTTAGTAAATTCTTGAATAAAAGTTACCATATATTTTGTTGTTGTATACACTACATTTCTTATAAGGACTTTATCTTAGTTTTTCCTTCGGAGTCATTCATTTGTAGGGTTTCTTTCGGTACTGGACACCTGTGATTAAAAAATTAATGGGTGAGCTTTCCCTCGCTGAATCTGAGAAAGAACAGAAATTGAAGAGCATTCTTCAGAGGCTAATTGGACGATTTTGTGAGAATCACTGTGAATGGAGACAGATGGTTTCTACCATAGCAGGTATCCAGCTCCTTCTGAAATATAGGCATTGTTTTCAGTATCTATTAGTATATCATGTGAACGTCAGTTTCTTTTTCTTTTTCTTTTTTTTTTTTTTGTTTTTTTAGTGTAGATGTTTGTGTCTTTCCAAGGAAATACAATTGATTTAGTAATTTACTCTTTTTTTCTTTCCCATTGAAAATGAAGTGCAAATGCAGGCTTTGTGGGAATATTAGTTTACTTTTTGGAATTTTGCCTATAAATTATTGCCTGCTTTAGATGCAACTGCAATAAAATCTAACTAATTTGAATGGTTGTATAAGATTTTAAGAAATTGACTGTTGGGAAGTATCTTATGTCGAACCCTTTTTTTTTTTTTTTTTTTTTGCTATTTTGCAGAACTGGATGTTTTAATCAGCCTGTCAATTGCAAGTGACTATTACGAAGGAAAAACATGCCGTCCAATTATATCTCCACCACATTCTGATAACCTGCCATGCCTGAGCGCTAAAGGTTTGGGGCATCCTATGCTGAGGAGTGATACTTTAGGGAAGGGCTCCTTTGTTACGAATGATGTCACATTGGGTGGTTCTGGTAATGCCAGCTTCATATTGCTCACTGGGCCTAACATGGGTGGGAAGTCTACTCTTCTCCGACAAATTTGCTTGGCTACTATTTTGGCACAGGTTAGGTTTCCATACTCAGGTACTAGATAGCTCAAGTGGACACTTCTTTATAATTAGATTTACTTTGGTTTACCACAGATAGGAGCAGATGTGCCTGCCGAAAGCTTTGAGCTGGTTCCTGTTGACCGGATATTTGTTCGAATGGGTGCCAAAGATCAAATTATGTCTGGACATAGCACTTTTCTTACAGAGCTTCTGGAAACTGCATCTATGATGGTAAGATAATTGCTTGGATTTGCGGCAGGTTCTATTCTTGTGAATATGTTGTGGGCTAAACTGTTTTCAATGGCTGTAGAATTCGGCTACTCCGAATTCACTCGTGGCATTGGATGAGCTAGGAAGAGGGACATCAACATCAGATGGGCAAGCCATTGCGTATGTTCTTTCTTCTCCTTGTCATAATTATGAGATAGTATCTGATCCCATAACATTTCACATGGCAACCTGTTTCTGGCATATTGGAAATTATTTATTTTGTAATGGGTAATATTTCTCGGAGCATTATAGGATTATATGAGTACATTATTATAAGTTCACTAACCTTGTTGATTTCTTTTATCAGTGCGTCAGTTCTTGAGCATTTTATCTGCACAGTTCAATGTCGGGGAATGTTTTCTACACATTATCATAGGTTGGCTGTCGACTATGAGAACAATACGAAGGTATGTAATTTATTTGTATTGACATGAAGATAGAAGATACAAACACTACTTTGCAAGAGTGCATGAACAAAATTAGATCTTAATGACTTGAAATTTGCTTAGCAGCGAGGAAAGAAATTATATCCATTTTGGGACCAAAAACCAATCAGTCAGAACTTGGATTTATGGCCTATAATATAATTAAATATTAGAAACTTATAATAAGCACTAAGCAGGTCGCCGTATCGCCATATTGTCGCCATTTCGGGTGCCATGTTGCCTAGGCGATATGGCAGTCCGATGGCGCCGTGCCTAAATCCTCGCCGTAACAACCTTGGGCCTATTCTATTTTGGTAGTTCGATCATGGAATTTCTTTCTTTCTATATTTCCGGAATATGAGTTATGTGACTTGATATAATTGATTCTGTTGATAGTACAGAGACTAGGTCTATCACCTTGATAGAGATGGTTCTACTTCGTTGGATATTTCTTCAAGTATCTGGAACACAAACTATAATGAGACTCTTACATGTGTAAACTTTAACAGAGCGTATTGGAATTTGAATATCAAATGTATACATCACATACTTGCAGGTCTCTCTCTGTCATATGGCATGTCACGTTGCAAAAGGAGTGAGAGGTCTGGAGGAGGTCATATTCCTTTACAAATTGACACCCGGTGCATGCCCTAAAAGTTATGGCGTGAATGTTGCTCGATTGGCCGGTAAGTTCACCTTGAAAAGTATTAGAGAAAGCCTACACAGGAGACAGTTCTTTGTTTCCTTCAACTGAATCAAATTGTCAGATTTCCTGTTACTATAAGAAAGAAACGAAAGCCAGGTTGGTGTTCGTGTTAATAATTCATCTCTGGGAAATCATTTACAGGACTTCCAGACACCGTATTACAAAGAGCTGTTGCAAAGTCACAGGAATTTGAGGGCAGTCATTGCAAGAGACTCAACTTGTCCTCAAACGAGTTGGAAGACGAGGCATCTTTGATCATCAAGAACGCCATAAAGATTGTTGCTGCCGCAGAACCTAGTAATGAACACTCGGTTACTTGTTTGGCCAACCTGCAAAGTAATGCAAGACTACTACTCCAACCCCAACAAAATTAGAAACCAAACCATATACTATCATATATTCGTTGTCTTGCCTTGCCTGATCTATTTCTCAACACCCCCGGAGAAACCACTTCCATTATGGTTCTGTGAGAACATAATTCCTTCACAGGTTGCAAAATTTTTGACAGCTGATCACTGGATCAGCAGCTCAAGCTAATTGAGGTATGGAGCTCATTCTTACTGTGTTTTTGTGGGTAGAGGGATGACTTAGATGAGCTGAAATTTTGGTCAAAATTATGTTGTATATCTTGTAAACTTGTTTTGTTGATATTTGCAGCTCGAAGCTGCGGGGAGGTTATTATGCAATTTGCTGTTTCCTTTTTTAGCATCTCTTGGTTATTGCCTTGTCCTCAACTTTGTGTGGTAATTACCAAAAATATGTTTGTATATTTCCCTGCTCTATATTTTTCATCTTTTCCCATTAGGGGGCATGAAGCAATTTGACATTAAGAGAGTATACAAGGCATGGGACACATGTAGATTATAGTATAGTAGTCCATAGTTCAATGTATGTTACAAGTGCCGTCCATCTTCATAGTCTGAACCCTCAGAACTCTGAAATAACAAACCAAATGTCGATATGAATGACCAATGTTTAAAAACAAAGCTTGTATGCATTTTCTGAAGTGATTACCTCATAATCATGCCTGATGCTGTCTTGAATTGCTGTTACAATGCGGACAACTATGTACATGGGCAGAAGTATACCGCTGGTCTTGGCTATAACCACCTGCCACCATTTATTCAACAAAACAAAAAACAGTATAATATAATTGATATTGCATTGCATATGCTTGCCTGTTATGGAGCATAGTACAAATGTTTGCAAGACTCTAGTCACTTACAGTCATGAGTGAGAAATGGTAATCCCCTGCACCTCCAACAACAACATCAAACAACTGTTTGATAAGAAGCAGAGCTGTAAGCTGCAAAATTTAGGTACATTTTAGATTCAAAGGGAACAAACCTGTGCCTGTGGTGTGGATTTAATGTTTTATTATGGCGGCTACAACTTTAGAGATACAGCAACTCTATTCTATTCTATATGGTAGGGCCATTTGTCTTATAACAACTTGGCCCTATCTGGCATGGCTTTGACTGGGTGATTTTAAATCAAATTAACTCGCCTTTTTTCCGCTTCTCTATTCTCACAATTAATGCGTTAATAATGAAAACTGGCAGCTAAATAATAAAAATGAAACTGAAGCTGCCAGCTGCCAGCTGTTCAAGAAACTGAGATTGAGTTAAAAAGCATAAACTTACCATGAGAGCCACTGATCTGCAGCAAGCACCACTTCTATCAGTTGCAGATGCACACTCAGAATGCTCTGTTTCAACAACCTCTCTTGGATTTCCTTCTTGATCATTCCTCAACACTTCCAAACTTCCCCTATATTGATAAATCCCATAAAACAACTTTCAAAACATAATCCTTTCTTCTACTATTTAATGAATATATGGCCGGCCAGCAATACAACAAAGAATCTATTTTGAGCAGCACATTATTTCCGGATAAACAGGGTTTGAATAAAATAATGCCACCCAGTGAAGAGGAATGTCGAGAGAAGGTATGCTTGGATGAAGCATGTATAATAGCACAAACAAAAAAGATTTCAGAGATGCCGTGTTGGGGTGTGATGAATAACAACAAAAAACAGATAAAGCTAGAATGGGAGAGAAAAGACAAAATAGATTGCCTTATGGTTACTGTTGCATCAATTCTCCCTGTCTTCTTAGGCAGTGCAGATACATAGCCAGGTTCGAATCTCTGCAAAGGCCGGAGAAGGGTACTTTTCAGTAAAGTTACTATAGCAGCATACTTTCAATATAGTAAAATTCTCAGAATTAAATATTCTTTAAAAGGTCATATGAGAGATTGATGAGAAACGCACAAGAATGGCAAAATCTCACAAGAAATATTCTCAGAACTTATTTAAAAACTGGGGAAATCTACACACTTAATATAAAGTAAGGTATACAGATAAGAACGCGAGTGGTTGTCCCATTACTTGTGATAGAAAAAAGCAGATATTGCCTAACATGGATAATGGACCATTTACACTCCAAGAAAGACTGTTGAGACAGCGACAGAAATGACATCCTCAGCCTTCCGGAATTAATGTCAACACACATATTATTTAATATATTATTATAATTTATCGAGACGACAAACTAAAATGGAGAAACATTAGCTATGCTGGGATTCTGAATAATATTCGTATGCAGGTATTGAACAGGAAAACTGAAGATATTACTTCGATGATTGAACAGAGAAGACGAATTTGAATAATCCAAAACAAACTCGCAGGCAAAACCAGTTTCAAGGAAACAGAACATACGAGCAGAAACAACCAAACAGAGTGCTACTGAGAAAATACAATTCTGAAGTTTCCGAAAACAACAAAATTGGAATTATGAGAATTAGAAATTTCTAGAAAGCAAAAGAAAACTGACGTAGTTATACATATTAATCATCCAGGAGAGGTAGTTTTGACGATGAGCACAAAGAATATACCTGTAAACATATTTCACAAGTCGTGTTCCCTTTCTCATTACACCATCTCTGCACGCAATCTCTATGCGCGAACTGAAACGCGATCAGTAATGAAAAATATCAGAAAACGACGATCAAATCAAATCCTGCAATCACTGGGAAGTAAAAGATTAAAAAGGAAAAGTTGAAGCACAATACGATCATAATAAACAGGAAGAGCACAGAAACATGCCTTGGCAGTTCCGGAACAAGCACAAGGAGCCTCCAATTTTTTACAGCTTTCGAGCTCTTCTTCATGGCAAATTCTGCAAACGCATACCGAATCAACGGACCTCCAATCATCCACCCACAGCACAACATCGGTCATGATGATCTCCCCTTTGAATCAACCCGCAGAGACTCTCCCTGGACGTTTCTTCCTTATTCTTCGTCTTCGTTTTCTCCCCGTCTCACTCTTCTCAACCAAATTTCCATCGAGCCTCGGCACGTGTTTTTATGAACGAAGACTAGGGAGATGAAATCCCGAAAATACCCTCATCATAAAATTTGTATGCCAGCCTCTTTGTTATTTGTTACCATCACAATAATGCTGCCTTTTGACTTTAAATTAATCACACATCAATTGCAGTTTCACTTCACCACATAAAATTTTTAAAAAAATAAAAATAAATCATCACAAGTCAACAATACTTACTTGTGTGTTCAATTCTTAATTAAATTGCACTGAAAATAATTATCCCTCTTCTAAGATGGAATTAATGCCACTTGTCTGTATACCACTTTGACACTAAGCTTGTAATTTTTTACTGCTTAAATTGGCAGTTTTGGGAAGTAAAACTGAGGTTAGTTTCGGATTATGGTTTGTATTTGTTTTTTACTCATTAGAATTGGAGTTTAGATTTTTGGGTTTGAACAGGGAGAGAAAACATGTTCGGTTCATTACAGTGATTTTACTACTATTATTATTTTGCATTTGTGATCTTTAATATATCATCACAGGACTACAAATGTGACATGTTTGGATTCTTTTAAATTGAATTTATGAATTTTGTTTTAAAAGGTTCAAAAGTAATATTTTATAAATATATTATAAAAAAATTAAAATAATAATAAAGATTGTTTTCTAATCATCTCTCATTATCATATGGTATCATATCAAACCATATGGCAAGGCTGCGGCTGGCGGCGCAATTCTCATTCTCATTCTCTCGTTTGTGCTTATCCTTTTCTTCTGTCTCCTTGTTCTTATCCTCCTTAATTTGTCTAAAAACAAAAAGATAATATATACATCCGTGACAAGCTTGACTCCTCTGGTGGACCTGACCTGACCTGACCTAACTACAAACTAATAAAATCTCCAAATCTGCATGCCCATCTTTGATGAGTTTGGGCCTCAACATATACTAATACCTAACAAACCCACTAAGATAATTCCAACGAATCATAATATAATGGACCTGGACACACACACGCGCGCGCGTCTAGGGAAATACTTTTAGGGCTAAATGTTTTTGTTCTTCTTCTGATTAATCTTCTCATCTTAATTTTAATTCAGATCAAATTAATAAAATCACCATGCACATTAATTCATTATCAAAGTGACTACAAAGAACCACAGTGTATAATTCGTTCATCTACAGAAGCTCCGTATCTTAATTTTGAGTTCCCTTCAACACTAACCACGACCAGAAACGACGTCGCTTTAACCAAATCAAATAAAATAAAATCATAACAACCAGTGGCGAACCTTCGCCGGAACACTTTTCTCCGAGATAGGTTCCAAACTAGGTTTCCACCCTCTCCCCGACAACAATAATATTTTATTATTGTTCAAATATTCCGGCACTACTAACCTTTCATTTTCATCTTCATCATCATCTGCAAAGGAATGATCACCTTTCATCATCATCATCTTCTTCTTCTTCTTCTCCAAGCACTTCCTCACGCTCCCATGGCCGGCAGGACACAGCAGTCTGGCGAATAACCCTACAGGTTTCAGGAAATAATTATACCTCAAGAGCTCCCGAGCTTCTTCCGACGATAATGGCGCCGCTCTGCCTCTGCCTCTGCCTCTTCTCACAGGAAGCATCACGTACACTTTCTTACTGTCCAGCCTTTGATCCGCCGCCAGAGGAATCGGTTTCTTCATCACGTCCCGGAATTCCACCACCACCTGCTGCGGGTGCTCCAACATCAGCTCCGCCGCCGTGACCGCCTTCTCCAACGTCATCACGGCGCCGTTTGCTAGAATCACTTTTCCGGTGGAATTCCCCATCGGAGGCCGGATAAATTCATATAATTCTAATTATTTGAAGGTTATAGTATCACACACACACACATATATATATATATATATTGATGGAGTGACGACCACATCAACTGATTAATTATTTAATAAAATTATATTATTATCAACAGTAGACTTAGTAAACACTAATGAGAATGTCAAATTATGTCAATATGAGTATAAAAGAAACTGATTCATTCGCTATTTGCAATAAAATTGAATTACTATATATATATGTAATGGCATGCAATTGGCTAGGTTATGATTGTTTAATTTTTAAACCTACCCATTCGATACACATGAAAAGTCAACAAAAATAGGAACGGTTCAACTGCTATAGTTAACTTCCAACTACTAGAAATTAAGAAGCAGAGGTAGTCTAACCCTAATTAGTTTGGTTGGCATCGTTTAACTACTTCGGTTCGGCTTAACCACCCTCATAACCATGGTTACTTTATTAATTAGATCAAGCTTCATGTATAAAAATAAAATAAAACAGAAATATATATATAACAGCAGTGGTTCAAATTAAATTCCCTCACAAATTGGCTCTAAAGCAGGTTTCCAGCGCCGTCGCCTAATCCGACAACTAAGGAATACGCCGCCGGCCGGAACAATACCTTCTCCAGCCGATAACTTAATCCGATTATCGCCGACCGCCGGCGGAGGATCAACGGAACTGCGTCGTTTCCATATTCTCCTTCTTAAAACCGACTCGATAACCGCCATCTCCGACTCTGTAACCGTTCCTTCAATTCTACTGATCGGAACCAGTATGTAAGCCCTACCTCCTGACAATCGCTCGTCGGCAGTCATGGCGTACAGTCGGAGATCACGCCGCGTATCGCTCAGCGGCCAAATTACGTACCCTGGCTCACGGAGCATGAGCTCGGCGGCGGTCACCGGAACGTCGACGAAACGCAGGGTGTTCCGATGGAGATCCAGGAGCTTTGCCTTACTGTGAGATTGTGAGAAGAAACACGAGGTTTTGTTCCCCATTTCTAATTGAAATTCGGATCTGGAGAATGAAGAAGAAGAAGTATAGGTGCGAGGTAAATCGGTAAATCGCTTTATAATTAGCAAAGTGAGTACAGGTGAGGTGAATGTGGTAATTAAAAGCGTGTTAATTGTTATCGATTTACTTGACAGCTGTACAACCGTTAATTGCTTTTAGTTTATTTGGATCGGAGGAAATCAGGAATTCAATTGCGGTTTTCTGAATATTCAAATTCCATCATGAATATAATAATGCATGCATTGCATACAGGTAGTTCGTGTATAGTTTCATGCATCTATTCAAATTCTATACAGACGATAATAGCTGTGTGTAATCAAGACACAATAATAGCCATATATCTAAATTAATGTGGTTTTATTAAAGAAACAATTAATCTTGGGCCGTCAGGTCAAATAGCCTACTGGGCTGCCTTATGGTATTTTTGGGCCACCAATAAACATTTTCATTTACATCTGAAATTTAAAAGAAATTATTATTATTATTATTATTATTCTTCCGATTTTTAGTTTAATCTTCTAAATTAGAAAGAGATTTGTTTTTTCTTCTCTTGTTGAGCCAATAACTATCCAACAGACATATTTCTATGTGTAAAATAATACAGTAAAAGTAGTAGATAATAATTAAACGAAACTTTTGGGTTTTGTATTTTAAATAATCACCGGCATTGGCAGTGCATTAAATTATGTACTAAAAGACACTGGAAAAGACTGCTTAAAAGACTGGCTACGGGTTGGGCTCGATAACATTACATAACATCACATCTCATCTAATCACTACTTTGATAGAGTAATTTAAATTCATATACAATTAACCTTGGCAAGACTCTCTCTACTAAATAATTAATTATTAAATTACTTATTGTTGTTGTCTGAATACGTAGTGTAAGGTCGAGACAGGATGGGATGTAGTGTGAATGTGTGAAGATACATTTGACGTACGTACGTATATGTACATATATATGTATGTATGTATAGGTGGGTGGGTGGGTGTGTGTTAGTATCAATAGTATGTACATGCATGCATTGTTGGTTTATGTTTGACTATTGTTGGAACTGAATTTGAATCCAGCCAAATAAACCAAAATTATTGTTGACTTTGAGGTCCTTGCATCATCAGATTATTTCAGATCTCCAACGTCCAAATTCCCTGCTAATTAGCTTCATCATCCTATCTTATCCTGCACTGCATCGTCATGTTCTCCACCCTACGCATTTGATTTAATTATTTTATTTTAATTTAATTTAATTAACATACATACATACATACATACATACATACATATTCTTAATCCTGCACTGCACTGCACTTATGACTAATAATAATAATAATAATAAGCACATGTAAGGCCTCGTTTGGGTAGTTTAAATTTAGGGAGGGAACTGAAATTTTAGAAAAATGAGGGGTGGCTGGCTGGCTGGCTGGCGCTGTTGATGGCTCGCACGATTTCCGCACATGGGCCACGTGCGCTCTGCTCTGCCAAATGCCCTACACTAGGCTTTTCGCACTTGATTGCTCTTTGCTTAATCCACACTTTAATCATTAATTAATTCATTCATTGATCAATTAATTAAAAAAACTTTACAGTATAATTCATTTTTAACTAGTATAATTAAATTAGATATATATATATATATATATATATGATGACGTTCATGCATAATTAATGGAATATTTAGGTAGTCACGTCACACTCACAGTTGCCTCCTTGTGCACAAACATGTCTCGAGAACGGGTGGGTGTCTTAATTTAATTTAATTTAATTCGCTGCATTCGTATTTCTTAATTCCTTCATTAAGCTCATATCCTATCAGTTTAATTCATAATTAATTGTTCCTAAATTGCTTCTCTATATATGTCTCCTTGTTTCGGGAAAATAATACTCTATTATTATTATTATTATTATTATTATTATTATTATTATTATTACTACAAGTAGCAAGCAGTGTTGAAATAGTGGTTTTAATTCGATAATGGAATGCAAGCTGTGCCTTGTTTTGCAATAATAATGAATTTACGATGATGTAGCAGCAAATTTTATTTATATGTTAAAAAATATATAGTTTAGAGGAAATTAATGGTGTGTAATGTCCATGAAAGCTACTTTGCGTTATTGTCATATTGATTGGTATTGGTGTAGAAAGAGAGTGAGAAACACAGCATGTGGCTGCTGCTGCTTTATACCATAATCCATCCATCCTAATCATCATCGGTACACTGTACATGAAAGAGTTGTCTACTTTTGTTTCTATCATACCATCTAATTATAATTATAATTATATTATAGTAGGAGTACTAGCTAGCTACTGACTATAATTAATATTATTCTACATATATATATATATCTTAGAAATATACCTGGTCAGACCATCCACGGTCCACCCCAGCTACGTACGATTTTATTTCCTGTAAATGTTATTAAGATAAGATTTCTCCTAGAAATATATAAATAAAAACAAAGCCATTATATTACATATAAACTTATTTATATTTTCATTAAAACAACATATATTAGAAAATATTTTCTAATCATTTTGTTTCAAAATAGCCAAAAACATAGAAAAATTCCAAAAACAAAATCAATCATACCCCAAACTGGTCATGTCTTGTGGAATAATTAAGGATAAATAGCGAGACAAGTTCATGTGTGTTTTATTCCACATCATCATATCCCAAATTTTATTTTATTTTTTTTGTTTATTTTCTCGAATCACTAGTAATTGCTTCTTGTTGCATTGCATGTGTCTGTACAATTTCTTCCCATAAAACATGAAGGAATTGTCCTAATAATAATAGTAATAATAATAATAATACATGGCAATATCACATCCCATTATAGATCGATTATACTATAGCGGAATTAAATGGTGTGTTTATTATCCATAGTTCATAAATTGGTGTACGTGGTGGAGCCTAAAGCCCATTCCATGCAATACAATACAATGCAATGCAATGCAGTGCACGATCATTGTCTTTATTTTAATTTGCAATAGTAATAGAATATAATTAAATTAAATTAATTTAAGAGTTGGAATTTCTATTATTTAGTTTATTACAGCCTGGAATGAGAATTCCAGCTGTTGCAGTTGTAGTTGTAGTAGCAATGGTCCCGCGTGTAGGTCGTGTAGCTAGCTAGCGCCACGTCACTCAAATCTGAATTGTTTGCACTCCACTGTGAAAGACATATACTGATAATAATAATAATAATAATAATAATAATCATCATCGGAGAAATCGTGACCGTTGGTGATGTGGCGTAGATATCTATCCGTCCATTTAGAAACAGTAGTAATAACAAAGCTCCAGTCCAATTGCAAAGCAACGATAGGGGTGGGGGGGCGGGGGCGTAGGGGAAAGCAATCATTGAAGGTAGTCGTTGTCGCCCCGATGACACGTGGAAGCATTTTAGGCAAGGAGTGTAATAAGAAGTTGGATTGGAAGGAATAATAATTTGGACGCTTTAGCCTTAGCTTGCTAGCTTTAGTGAGCAGTGTTGCGTCGGGTGTCTGTCTTGTGAACCTTTCCGGAAGCTTTAAGACAAACCCATCTGATGGGATCTGTCCATTTTCTTTTTTCTTTTCTTTTTTTAATTCTATTAATTAATTATTATAATAATAATAATTCATGTGAGTGAACTCAATTCATCCATCAATCTTTAATTCAATCCCCCGTTTGGTTGAAATTTAAAGCAAAGAACAAAGTGCTGCTACTGCTGCTGCACGGGAAAGCTAAGGACGGAATGGAATCAAACAGATAAGAATAATGCATTAATACAACCGTTCATTCATTTCCCCATCCGTTTTATTTCCTTTCCTCTACACTGTACATACACATATGTCTCATTTTAATTCATTTGCTACAAAATCATTGGTTAATTAATTAATTTATTAGTATTATATTGAGGCAGGTATCAGTTATATGAAATTCCTCTGCTTATACTTAAAAACATCTGAAGACCCTTACCTGTTACGCCAAAATAAAACAGATCTAAAATGCCCAAATATTGCCAGAGGCCATGAATTAACCTATTCATTCCAACAATGAATAATTCAATATATTTAATAAATAATTATATCCATAAAATGTATAACAAATTATTGGTTTTAGACAATATCCAAAAGAACACAGAAACTCGATTCCTATTTAATTTGGACCACTCTCAATTTTTAAAATATGTGGTTTTTTTTTATGCCCCTAACATTATTATTTGAAGTACCTAATAATAATTAGCTGGCGCCGCTGAGTCACTTTCTTTGTATGCAATGCAAGGTTATTGAGGTGGATGACACGTCACTCGTGAATGATCACCTGGCAAAACCGGTGCCTATTTTGCGAACCGCCAAAAATCAACTAAATTTTATTTTATTTTTTTTTAAAAAAATAAAATTAGTAATACACATTCTTGCGCGTATTGCGATTGCACTGTTGTTAATTTATTTTAAATTTTAACGGTTATATATTGTATGAGGTTTGTAAATTTATTTAAAATATTTTAAATAAGTGTACGGACTGGGCTGTGTTTCTGCAAGGATTTTAAAAATATTAATTATAATAAAATATGTGAAGCATTGGCGTTCATTTAGTTGGAACTAAAATATAATTGTTTTATGTGTGCCTTAACTTCGGAGGTTTAGAATATTAATGTATTGACCTAATTAGTTAGCACGTAAAGACATAGAAAAAACAACTTAAATGTTGTTACAAAACCAACTCATGAATTTTATATGGTTGAAAATCAGCTAACAAAATAACACACATAAATGTCAAAACAATCAAGTATATTCGACCCTAAACTCAAATATTCTCTCCAAAATCTAGTTGTGTTTATTCGTGGGGTTTTGATTTTTAATAGTAAAATTTTGAATTGAAATAGTTATTTGATGGGATATAAATATGGATTAATTTAATATTTTAAATATAAAATTAAATTTTAGTATAATATAATAAATAAAATTGGATAGTTGATTTGATGTTTTTTTTAAAAAAATAAAATTTAGAGATAAAATCTTATAAATAAAGACACCAATTATTTGAGTTACCCTATGCATATATTCCACACGATCCTAAAAAATCTATCATTTAAGACACAAAATAATCATAACTTGCAGCATATATTGAGTTGACCATCACAAATTTAGATTTTGTGGCATTTATCCGGAAACATGATAAATTTGTTGGGTGCATATGGTTAATCCAGTTAGTCCTTTTGCACGTAGGCTCGATCGTCTAAATTATCAAATGGACATGTACACATATATTAGCAAAAATAAAATAAAATGTATCTTATAATCATGTGTGTTCGCCAAAATATAATTATAAAACAAACTTATATGATTTTCATTTACGTGTTTATAATTTTTTGTGGCTATATATATTATAATGAATAGTGATGATACGACAAGCTAAGGGAAAGGGAATGTATACACTAGCTCTTAAGTATGCTAGATAAAAAATCAAGTCCAACACATGTAAAAATGAGATATAGTTGTTTGTTAATTAGTGATTCGGATATTTAAATAAAACAACAATTCTTTTCATAATTCTAAAATTTCTTTCTATTCTTTATTAATTCAAATAATTTATTAAATATGATAAATTAATTGAACGATAAGATTGTTTGAGTGGGATATATTAATGTCTCACTTCCGATGATGAACCAATACAATAAATATAGATACGAATTTATGGTAGGTATTTATAGACGCGTACAAGTAAAATCGCTCTATTGCAAGTATATAACAGGAAATAACATTTCAATCACTCAATAAATGCGTCCATACATAAATATATTTTTTGAAAATGTTAATAAATGTTTATTGAAAAACTAATTTGACAGTATAAATCCATTATTTTAAATTTATATTTGAGGCGTAGGCGATAGGCAATGTGGAGTGTAGAGAGAGAAAGGGGAGAGAGAGAATCTGATGCCAGCGATGAAGTGGAAGGATCAATCCTTTCTCTCAGGTCAAAGCTGGCAATTGTTGTTTAAAGCCATACTCCTATTGCCCTTCCGCCCATTCATTCCCCCCATCTTATTCTTCTTCCTCTCTCCGCTTGCTTTTTCATTCTCTCAGATCCAAATTCCCTCTGCCCGAGTCAGGGAAGGGTGTTTGGATTAGATTTATCAATAGATAGATTGATTCATGTTGTTGTGTAGCCGAACAGCATTCTGATCAAGGGGACGGAGAGAGAAAGTGAGAGGTTGAAGGAGTTTCTGTTAAATGGTTGCTTCCTGCAATCCACCAATGGCTGTTGTGTCTCCGCCTCGCGCCGGCGGAGAGAAGAAACACTGGTGGTTCACCAATAAGAAGGTATGATGATGCTTATCGATTTTTGCACTTACTATTTGCGCTTTTGATGCGTGATGCGCGGTAGGGAATTAAGATTATTGATTGCTGGAAAATGTATTGTAGATGGTGGATAGATGCGTGAGGGAAGCTAAAATGCTGATTGCGACGCAAGAGCAGAGAGATATTGCGGCGGCGCTGGGGCTCCTAGAGACGGCTATTGCGGTGGCGCCTCGCGTGGAGGTAGTGCTGGAGCTGAAGGCTCGGTGCTTGCTGAATCTGAGACGGTTCAAGGAGGTTGCGGATATGTTGCAGGACTATATTCCTAGCTTGAAAATGGCGATTGCCGACGATATGGCGTCGTCAGGATCATCGGATAACTCGTCGAACCAGTTATCTAGGGAACAAGTCAAGCTTCTTTCGGCGCGTGGTACGGATGAGCCGGCGTTCAAGTGCTTTTCTGTGACGGATTTGAAACGGAAGGTTATGGCCGGTCTCGGTAAAAATGTCGAAAGCGATGCGCAGTGGAGGTAATCTCGGAATCTCTACCCTCCTCCATTTCCGACTCCTTCTGTGATCTCGATATTTTATTTCATTGATGCTCATGGTTAAGCGTATTGCTTGTATATCACGCGAAATCACTGGTAGCCATTGATGAAATCTCTCACCTAATCCTGCCTTAATTGACGCGTAAAATTCCTTGCCTAAGTCAAGTTTCCCTTTCGTTTTCATCGTTTCGTCGTCATCCAAAGTTTTTATTAATTACTGTATGATTTTAGATGATTACCGATCTTTTGATCTGACGTATTTCTTCCTTCGAACAGGTACTTGGCTTTGGGTCAAGCTTGTTTTCACCTAGGATTAATGGAGGATGCGATGGTGCTTCTCCAGACCGGAAAACGCCTCGCCGCCACCGCATTCCGCCGCGAGAGCATTTCCCGCTCCGACGATATATTCTGCCTCAATAAATTCCCCCTCTCCGGCGAAATTTCCCTCAACCATCCGCCCCAATCCCCACCCAAATCCGAATTCGACAGCATCTCACACCTCCTCTGCCACATCAAGCTCCTCATCCGCCGCAAGACCGCCGCGCTCGCCGCCCTTGACGCCGGACTTTTCTCCGAAGCAATCAGACATTTTTCCAAAATCCTAGACGGTCGCCGCGGCGCTCCTCAAGGTTTTCTCTCCGAGTGCTACGTCCACCGTGCATCCGCCTATCAGAACGCCGGCCGCATAGCAGAGGCCATCGCCGATTGCAACAAAGCTTTAGCGCTGGACACTTGTTGCATTGAAGCTCTTACCATCAGAGCCACTCTGTTCGAAGCCATCAGATGTCTGCCAGACAGCCTCCACGATTTGGAGCATTTGAAACTGCTCTACAATTCAATTCTGCGTGATCGGAAACTTGGAGGACCTGTCTGGAAACGCCAAAGCGTCCAGTACAGGGAAATCCCGGGCAGGCTATGTTCCTTGGCCACAAAAATCCAGCAATTAAAGCAAAGGGTTGCTGCCGGCGAAACCGGAAACGTCGACTACTTGGCGTTGATGGGATTGAGAAGAGGCTGTTCAAAATCAGAGTTGGAAAGAGCACAGCTGCTATTGACATTGAAACACAAACCTGATGGATCTTCTAGTTTCATTGAGAAATGCGAGTTTGCCGACGAGGACGTTGAATCGGTGAGGGATCGGGCAAGAATGTCTTCCCTGTTGCTTTATAGATTGATTCAGAAAGGGTATTCGTCCATCCTGTCTACAATTTTGGAGGATCAATTGGCGGCAGAGAAGCAACGGCAGATTGCCGCCGCCGCTGCGGCTACTGATGTGCAAGCTGCAGCTTCAATTCAAGTTAATCAGAAAGTCCGTGAGGCAAGAAACGAGCAAATTCGTGTTGCTGGTAGCAATGGAAATGAGGAGAATAAGATATCTAAGAAACCGATAACATCGCCGCCGCCGTCGGTGTTCCAAGGTGTGTTCTGCCGGGATCTTGCAATGGTTGGGAATTTGCTTTCTCAGGCAGGATTTAATCGTCCAATTCCGGTGAAATACGAAGCATTGAGCTGTTAGTTAAGCTAATAAAATGGTATGGTATTGGTTCATGACTGTGGACGGTCGATGCTATCAATGCCATGTGCTTTTGAAATGCTAATATCCTCGGGCGGGAGAATCAATCAATCAAAATCTGTTCCAGGATGGCTGTACAAAATTTGATAAATTTCTATCTGCTTGCTTCCTTCCGCTTAGAGAAAAAAATTTTGCTTCTAGAAGAACAACCATGATGCTCTTCTTCTTCTACTTGGTCTAAATTTCATTTCCTTTTCCTTACTATTTTGGTACCTACCTGTATATAATTTATATTTCAATTTCAGACATTTCTCTGCTTGTGGGTGGGAGGGAACTTTGCCTTTTGGCTTCTATCTCTTGTCTTTTACTTGTGCTACTGCTACTACTTACGAATCCATGCATTCATTCATTCACTGTTCCAGCTTTTCTGTTTGCAGTCTTATCCATCGACACACAACTCCCAATATCCGACACATACGCACTAATTTGCCATTCATATTCTCTTAGAAAGAGAGAGTGTAAATTAAACCCAGCTTCAGCGGGAGAGATACGAGATTGTGTTTGTAATTTTGTAAATATTACTAGTATTATCAAGTAGGACTGACGAATAGGATAGAATAGAATAGAATAGAATAGAAAACAAAAACTCCAATGAGCCATGATCCATCATCCGTCATCATCAGTTGTTGTTTCACTTACAACTTTTACCGATGATCTTTTACTGGCCATCATTACTAATTCTCCCTCCCTCGATCATTCCCATCTCCCAAGGCCAAGGCCAAGGCCAAGGTTAAATAAATAAATACTAATACTAGCACCTACTGCTACCACCGTACGGTCTTTTCGTCTTTTTCTACCTTTTACAAATGTGCTGCTGCTACTGCTACTGCTGCCACCTTTAACTTTTGGTTACAGCAGCAGGTACACAGATCACAGTAGTAAATAATAATAAGAGGGGGATTCCTTCCCCAAGGTTAAAAAAACAAAGAAAGGAAAGGGAAGGGAAATACTCCTCCAATCGAGTGAGTACCTGCAAACTTTTTCTTGTGTCCTTTATATTTTTACATGAGTACGCCAAGAATAATCATTAAAAGCTTATTGGACTTGGACTCATTTCCATCACTATTATTGTTATTGTTATTATTATTATTATTATGTTTATATGACTCCCCACTTGTACGACTCCACCGTACTCCTTCCCTGTTTTAAGCTTTATTTTCATATACTTCTTCTATCTTACTAATTTTTTTAAAATATATTACTATTAATTTTGTTTATAAAATATTCAAACACAAAATGCATGTCAAAACACATCCATAAGCTTTAGCTTCTTTCAAATGTTCACTCTCTGATCGAGTTCACACAAAATATATATATAAAGTCCCATGTTATTTTTAGTTAAAAGCCAATTCGCATGAATGATATATTCTTAACTCTAGAAATTGCAATCAATAGTGGACCATTTAGAAATAAATTGAAATTAAAATCACGTAACATAGGAGACAGGGTAACGAGCAAACCTAAAATCAATGACGTACAAATATTCTCATCACTTCTGTCCTTTTATCTGGATTTCGTAGAAAGTGCAAAAACTTTGGTATGCTGCATTTATATATTTAAAATATACCAATTAATTTCCCTAATGTAGTAGTAGTAGTAGTAGTAGTAGTAAAAGTAGAGTATTAAATTCAAAATTGCATAGACAGATACACTATGGTCTCTGGCTTCCCTTGGAAGTGAATACTAATAATAATAAACAAATTTGTGCAGGTCTTTTTTTTTATTTTATTTTTTTATATTTTCAACAAAAACAGTGGTTGAGTTGGGTTGGGTTCTTCACTTCCACACTAATCAACACAGCAATGATTCTCCCAACAAATGCAAATGCAAATGCAAATGCAGATGCAAATTCAAATGCAAAAATGGCCATCTCGTCATGCTTCCTCCACTTTCATTCACAACTAACTATTAATCTTATCTTTTGCAATTAATACATACAAACACACATTGATATATGTATGTATGTATGTATATGTAAAGTGTGATGGTTAGATTTGCAAAAGGCAAAGGGAAAGGGGAAAGATGGGAAAAAGAGTCACGTGCACACCAAAACAAAACAAAGCAAAGCAAAGCAATCTGAGCCTGAGCCTGAGCCTGAGCCTGAGCCTGAGCCTGACCACCTCAGATCAGAACACACCCCAAAGGAATCACCACTTACACAAAAAGAAACAAAAAAAAAAAAGAAAAAAAAAAGGCCAATATAGTAATAAAATAATAAAATTTATTTATTGCAATGTCATGTTAAAATACAAATTTCAATTATTGAACTCACCCTCCTGCCTCCCTCCTACAATCTCAACTACAACAACTACACAAATCATATATATATATATAAACAGATACTCTCTCCGTTATTATCCTTATTTTTTTTATTATTATTACAATTGTCACTGCTTTTTACATTAATATATATACTCACAATGACAAAAAAATTATTTATCTATATTTTTTATCGACTACAGATAATACCAATATTTTTTAAATATCGTATTCAATTCAATAAGATTATAGTTTTGGAATGGGAATGATTATATATTATTTGAAGTATAACAATAAATAAATAAATGAAAGGAGTGAATGAGCAGGCAGTTTTGTTGATGAATTGGTTGGAAATGTCATTTATTGTGAGGTGAAGTGAGGGATGGGATGGCAAGTCAAACAGAGCATAGGATTCTTCCTTAGCTAGCCAGCTAGCTTTCCTGGGGAAGATGAAAACTTTCAGATAACATTCAATAAATTTAATTCAATGGATGTCCATCCCAAATTCACAATCTAACAATATACTGTACTCTAATATAATAGATTATATTTGGAGTAGAGTATAATATACAGCTACCCATAACCCTATTGCTCTACGAGGCGAGGCCTATAGGCTATAGCTAAGCTACCCATCACCATGTCATACATACATACATACATACATATATTAATTAATTATATATTTATTTAACTTTGGTCGTGATAGTGGAGAAAATATGTTACGACGTGCATCGTAATTATCCCTCACTAGTTATTTTTCAAATGTTTAGGTAACAAATGAAAAGAAAGAAACAGGTTCGATGGTTATTCTGACAATCAGATTATCTATATATAATTAAGAGCCATGCAGTAATGTTAATCTTTACAATAAATAAAAAAAGATAACATATAGTAGCAGTAGTAAACTTACAAAGTCATTTTCTTTTATGTAAATTCTGAACTTGTGGCTAAAGAAAAGGGCTTTTGCACACTTCCACATGACGACTCCATCACTTTCATTACATATATATATATATATATAAATGTATATATTTTGCCAATTTCTATACATTTATTTACTTGATATATAAAATTAAATTAATAACAGTGTCCAAGAGAGGATAAGTAAATTAAATCAATGTATCATATAATAATCATAATAATACCAATCTATTAATTAATTAATTGATGGCCGATTGAGTCAAGTTACAATAATTCAATCAATATATATATATATATATGTTCTTATAGTTTGCTGGATAATATTTATTCAAAAATGAGTTGACAGTTGACATAAGTACAAATCAACAGCTAATTAGCAATGATAGATAATTAAGAATATATGATTGTAATTATTTTAATAATTAAACAGATAACCATGCATTATCCTGTAGCAATCGTATTTAAGCTGTAAAGAAGATACGATGATGTCACTTAACATGTGGGAAATCAAGAATTTCACCAATTTAATATAATATAATTTAGTTTCAATTCTGATTTGTGCATGCATGCAGATCATGTAGTTAATTAATTAGTTAATTGGCAAATTAAAGATAGCTAGCTAGCTAGCATGCATGCAACTGGATCTCTCAAACCCCACTTTACTAATTAATTGATTAATTAACTTGTTAATTATTAAATTATCTGGCCTGTTTGATTTCTACTGTACAAGCAGGATAAGCCATGAAAGTTGGTGAACTTTTTTATTGTAAACAAATCAAAATTTGAACTTGCAGTATTTTTAATTTTACAGATCTGAGTCCCCCATCATTCTCAATTGCATTAATATATATATATATATATTACATACTGCATGTGAGCAATTCCCATTTTAACTTGTAAATAAATTAATAAATATACAATTTTTTTAAGGTAAAATATTTGTGTAATTGTGTTCTTGATCGGATTGGGGAAAGTCAATTATACATATTTAATTCTGAGATCTTTGCGAAAAAGTTTTGCCACACACACGACATATATAAAAATCCATAATTTCTTTCAATAATTGGGCTTAAAATAATACATTTGTGACTTAATTGGGCTTTAAATATTGGGCCTTCAAGTTAATACTTCGATACCCTTGGCCGAATATAATAATTTGGGCCTCTATTAGTATGGCCCATTGAACTTTATTTGATATTTTGGAAGAGTAATTTAGTCATTTTCTACGCTGGTTTCTGTTTCTAGAATCTACCGCCTGTGAGGATGGGAGTGGTTGCAACTTGCAACTGTTATCGACGAACCCTGGCGTAGCGATTTACGTTGGCGATTCTGAAGGAATCGACGGGTTAGGCATGGCTTGGATGACCAGATTTCTAACTGCGGTTGCATTTCTTGCAATTGGAGTGGTTTTCTCGCCGGAGGTTTTTGGATCGCTGTCGACGGGCCAGAAATCCCCCGTGATCATCACTGTGTTGAAATTGGCTCACCTACTTTGCTTCTCCACAGCCTGGGGAGCAGCTTTGTGGGTTACCTTCATCGGCGGGATAATAATGTTCAAGTAAGGATCTCCCCTTTTCAGTCATACTCTCGATTCTCCTACTGATATTACAGCTGTCGGCAATTTTGATTGCACATATTCACGACGTCGTAATTTACTATGCAAAGCTCTCTTCGTTGCAACTGTTGTGAATTTGGCTGGAATGTTTTATATTCGAAGTGGACAGAGAGCATAATTCTACATATATGCTGCTTAATTTTGCTGGAACTTGAGTTTGTATGAATCACTTTAGTGAAATGCTGAATTCTGGTGAACAAATGCCCTGACTGTTTATAATGCCTTGTGAAATTTTCTCGGTAAATTTATTCTGCTTATTTTCTAATGTAGAAACCTGCCAAGGCATCAGTTTGGGAACTTGCAGAGCAAGATGTTTCCAGCCTACTTTTCCATGGTGGGGGTTTGCTGCGCTGTGGCAGTAGGAGCTTTTGGTTACTTGCACCCATGGAAGACTTCGGAAGCCAATGAAAAGTACCAGCTCGGATTACTTCTTGCTGCCTTTGCTTTCAATCTCAGCAATCTTGTTATCTTTACTCCCATGACCATTGAGGTAAAAACATACTAGCTACTTGGTTAATTTCTTTAGATCATGTGAATTATGTATGTAGAATTTGATTGGTAGTTTTGCACTACATTTACCTGTATTTTTATAAGCATTGACCCTACAAATTATGAAATTAGGGTTACTACTAACTTATTGTAACGAGCTTTGACAAAACGGCGCTGAGTCCAAATTGTTTCCTTTGTTTATTCTTTAAAAGTTCTTGACTTCAACTTGTTTAGGACAAGCCACATTAATACTATAATTTTAATGGCCAAGTGCAGATGATGAAACAAAGACACAAGATAGAGAGAGAGGCTGATATTGGTGGAGAAATTGGGTGGACAAAAAACCTAGAAGTAGCAAAGAAGAATCCCAAGCTTGCTGCCATGAACAAGAAATTTGGAATGATTCATGGATTGTCTTCTCTTGCTAATATCCTGGCATTTGGCAGCCTTGCTTGTCACTCCTGGTACTTAGCCGGTAAAATCAATCTATAGATAAAACTCAAAGGTCGATCTCTTCTGCTGTATCTGATTATTATTATTATTCTTATTGCTATTATTTTTCTGTTTTTGGTATCAAACAAGCAAGATGCTGTGTTTCTGGACAGATTCTTAAGATATCACTAATTTCCACAGCAGAATACTTATGGGTTGTAATAGTGTATTAAAGAATAAGATCAAGTGATTGCTTATTTATCTATAGTTTTTATCTGCACTGCAGTCTGTTGGTTTGGTTAATCTCTTGCTGTTCAATAGTACTTTTTAGATAGACCTATAAAATAGCCAAATTGAGTTGTCATTTTTATGTTTGAAGTCGACTTGTTTACCGGGAAAGTAACATACTATGCTGTTCAACTTCATTTGGCTCATGTTAAACAATTTTCTTATTGGAGTAATTCAAATCAATTTGAAGCGCCAGCATTTATTAAGGTATGCACAATCTTAGACTTTCACCCTTGCATTGTCCACAGATGCGCATATGTTTTTACGAAGATGCTTTCAAGATTCATAGTATGACATTTCAAGAACTAAATTGTGTTGTAGTCTATGAAGTTTCCTCGCGAATGAGCATGATGCAAGAAAGATCTCCAATTTAGAGGGAAAATGATGTAATAAGACATTATTTCTGAATTAGAGAAGGAAAACATGAGGACAAATTTTCATTGTGCATCCATTTGTGTTTTTTGGAAGCTTTCATCGTGGAATAAAGACCCTTTTCGTCGTAGATTATTGTGGTTTTTGCGTACACTGCTCAAATTTGCTCTAATGAATAATACAGTATATGAAAATGACTATTTGTTCTGACTACTTGAAGATAAATATGATACTTCATTTTCAAGGGAAATTTAAGTTACATTGAGTTTTTGAGTGTCATTATCTGTACAAATTTCCCAGGAACAAATCAGGTATTGCAAACAGCGTCCCCGCTTCTATTGTAATTTATATTCCCACGAATAAAGAATCATCTACTAGTGTCATTTCCTATCTATTGTCTACTATTTTGGCCAATGATGATAACTACATGTTTCTAATATCACCACTCTTGCAGGATAAAATGGATGCATTGTGATGCAAGAATCATCATATGTAGCCCTTTCAAAGATTCTGTACCTATCTTAGCGACGCCGAAGAAGTTCAATGCCCCTCGACCGGCCATCCCTTCACGGTTTCTGATCCAACAATGCTGCCATTGTCATTGATCTCAAGTGGTGCCACAGCTTCCCACCAGACTTTGCTTTGGTGCTATTGAGCTCTTGTTGTATTATGTACCTTATCGATTTCAAGTAAGAGTTCATGTCATGGTCCCTTACGATTGTCCCGCCTGAACCGTATGCTGATCTGTCGCTCAGTATCTCGAGAGGGTGCGGAGAGTTTAGAAATGCATTCTGTGCAGCCTTGATCTGCTTCTCTGCTTTGGCTATATCCGATTCATCATCGCAGGTTAGAAGATACAAACCGCTCCCCGGTGGGAGAAGATGGTGGCTCGGAGAAAATCTGTGGTCTGGCTGAAGAATCAAGAACTCCCCCATTGGAGTGTACAACAGCTTCTGCAAAAGATTTTCAACCAAACTACAGTTGCTGGAGGAGGTGAAATCGATGGACATTACAGACGTACCTGTTTCTTCAAACATGGAAGGCTGCGGAAGTTGCTGTTTATAGCCTTGAGAAATTTAGCAACGTGGTCAGGATAGTTGCAGGAGAATGCTCGGGGAACAATGTCTCGATGCAATGTGATCGACCGGACATGGTTTCTAGGCAGGCCAAGCTTGCGCATCAGGCGCTCACCTCCACACATGATCGATGGCGCGCCGAAGATTATTACAGGAAGCAGCGAAGAACGAGGCACTTGTTCCCTCAACAACAGCATGAGGTTTACAAGCAACGACAAGCTCCCGCCAAGCGAATGCCCCGTGAAGTAGAATCTAGCGTGATTCCTGTGGCATTCAAGGTGTGCTTTGATTTCAGGCAGCATTTGGTCGTAGATCCCTTTCGCAGCCTCGTATACGCCCCTGTGGACAAGAACATCGTCCATCCCCTCGAATTGGACAGGCTCGAAGAGAAGATTGGCCTGCCAGGAAGCCAGTGAATCAGATCCTTGTATTACAAAGAATCTCGTTGCAGTCTGATCGTCATCGCAGACAAACCATTCGCAGGGCGAAGAGTGAGTCGAGTTGAGATCGTCCGCCACAGCCTGCTTGACTTGCTCGTTCGCTGCGACTACTGCAGTCATGGAATCGAGATCGTTTTGTTGCGGCGACGGCGTCCGGAAGCGGAGAATTGTCGGAGCGTGGGATTGCAGGTAGGAAGCAGCGATTTTGTATGCATCGGATGCAGCTGAATTGGCGTTGGGGTGATGTGTTTGTTCTTCTTCGATTGATCCAACGTTGGATGCATTTTGTTTCTCCATTGATGAGGTCACCAAACGTAGGCCGTGAAATCTCAGCAGATTACCAGGCTGTCGTTTAACAACCATTTTCAAATTCAAATCAAAGTTAACATAAAAATTATTATTATTATTATTATTAGTATTGTACGTACCTTGATTTGGGGGATGGAATAAGCCAATTTTCCCAAATACGACATTCGAGCATACAATCGTGCTTCTGCCAATGGCACCTTTCGAAGAAGTTTACAGAATGATTCGCTGCTGCTGCTGTTGAATTCATCGACGTCAGTTACGCACACCTCGCAATCGTCGTCTTCTTCATCTTCTTCTTCTTCGTTTCTGTTTGGATTATCTGAATCTGCTTCTGCTTCGAGGTTAGATTTCATTTCGTCGTTGTTGGTGCTCTTCCAGAGAGAATTGACGTGCAGAACTTTGTACACCCAATTACCGCGTTGCCGACCTTTCTCGTAATCGTCTGTGTCTCCAATGGCGGCTTCCTTTTCCTCCACCAATACCGGTAATGATTCCTTCCTGTTTCCGCCGCCTCTCCGCCACAACGCTCTCACCGGCCGCCGGAATCGCAAATTCCTCCGGTGCAGGTGCAGGTGCAGCTGCGGCGACGCCTTCCCGGCGAGTCTGAACTCCCTGGCGATGTTTGGCGCCAGCGCTGCCTTAAAACACAAAGCATCCATTGCCGTGATAAATTAAGTATGATAATAACAACAGGAATGAGAAGACGACCGGATCGATCATACAATATTATCTGCCATGTGCGTATAGATAATAATACAACACAAGAAATCCAAAGCTATACGCAGCAGGGCAGAGGACGTTGAGGCGACCCAAAATGTTTGAAAATTTGAGTCCTCCTCTTCCTTCCTTAATTCTATAACCTAATCTAACCTAACCGCCACAGCCGCAGACAAATTATTAGTATCTTATTTAATCGATGATTCAGAAGTTTTATGTGTATGATCTTCCAGAATCCTTCCACACATCATTTTCAATTCCTTGCATCGCCTGACTTCTGACTCCGAAAATCCCTGTCAACAGAACAAAAAGATTTGCCAATGGCAGCACGTTTGTTGCCTCTAATGGCAAAAAGTAAAATAAATTAAAATAAAACAAACAAACAAAAGATTGGCATTGAAGTAAGACATGCAATAATTTAAATAGAACCGTGTATGCACGCAGTATATAAAGGCAAAATATATAGATTAGGACTGATTATTTATTTGACTATTAAAAAAGCCTATTAATGTATGAACCTGAGCCTGCCCAGCTTTCAACCCAACCTTTTTCGTACGACATGTTTAATGAAGAGCGTTCCAGCCAATTTGTTGGGCCAATTACTGTATTTATATTATATAATTTTGAACATTTTGTTCATATTTATTTCTGCCTTTCTTTTTAGTCCATATACAAGACATACATAACAACTATAACAAGCAATACATAGTTCATATTAATATAAATCAAAACAAATGTAATACACGTCCCTCCGGTAAGGATGTCCCACCAGCAGGGGTGTAGACGCCTCAGGTCACATGTCATATATGGTTCACATTTACCCAGAGGGCACTTTCAGTTAGCGGCTACGGACTATCAAGTTCAACCGAAAATTTATCCAGAGAACAACTGCTCGAAGTTATAATTAGCACGGTATTGATTAACTCCAATTAGCACTTTGAACAATCCGATCAATGTATGTGTTTTTATTTGACATGTTACACATCCAAACACACCCATAATTGTTCATTATAGCCATCAGAACACAGTTGATGCAATGGACAGATGAGAATTGAAGTAATTAAAGCACAATTCATAAAATATGGAGACCAACGAGTCAGCAGGAAATTACCAAATCTTACAGTGAGAATGATTAGAAAATATCTGAATAAAAAAGCTCATGTCGCTGCTCTTTTGCATATATATACTCTACAAAATTGTAATCAATCAATGGAGAATATTAGAAGAAGCTCTTACTCCGTTTACTAGTAAATTGAACAGACCTTTCGTTGCTCGTGTATTTCTTCTGCTGCCTATGCTAGAACTTCTTTGATCTTTGCCTTTTGGTCATCTGTCAATGACACTGGAAACAGAACTTCAAACTTAACGTATAGATCGCCCTTCTTGTTACTGAAATGCAACGGCATGCCTTCGCCTTTGAACTTCCTAACTTCCTTCGGGTTGGTGATACCCTGAGACAAGAAAGCAATATGATCCAATACCATTATTATCTCTGAGTACCTAATCTCCTTTCTTTCATCAGTTAATGTGAAGGAGAGAAGGGAGAAATCTGCTGCTTACATTGTGGCTAATGTCCACCAAATGCTCGTCGAGGTGCTTAATAGTCTTCTCAAAACCAACAAGTGCTTGGACCTGAATAAAGAAAGGCTCAATATCAGTATAGTTTGATGCAAGATTGCCAAAATGCAAACCATTATTAGCAATTAAATCTTGTTTAATCAGTTATTCAGTATTAAGTTTGAATTTGGTTATGGTTTCCAAAGTGCCCAAAGATTATTGCTTGGTTAACAAGGGACAATAAATTTGATGTCAAAGATAGAGGAGTTTGTCAAACTCCATTACCAGGGTAATTGTAACAGTTGTGTGTAGATCATTGCCTTCTCTTCTGAAGAGATCATGAGGGGCAGTTCGTATACGGAACTACAGACACATGAACAACAAACGGTGAGGATAAATGAAGAATTGTCAGAACTGAATAACCTAACTAGTAATCTACCTACTGCCGCATATTAAAACACAAGAAATCAAACCTTAAGATCTCCAGGTTCACCATCAATAATTGGCTCTCCTTCTTCATAGAATACCACTTCCTGTACAAGGAAATTTGTGTTTTAATTAGTCAGAAGTGCATAAGAGAAACAAAGAAGAAAGTTATCACCCCTACAGTTCTCGAAAAATCATTCCCCAGAGAATTTTTTTCATACACGATAGTAGAGAAGTATTCTGAATGAACAATAATGATTAATAAACAGCATTTATCATACAGTAAACTTCACAGTTAGCGCATATGAAGTGCAGGATAATAAAGATAATGCTCATCAAATGAAAACAGAGGTGTAAAATAGCAAGTATACAAAGGTTGAATAATGGGCAGAATAAGATCAGAATTGCCGAGGAACTGAAACTATTCCACTGGCACAAGGACCCCAAAACAAACACAAAAAGAACAAGAAAGCTTACTTGTCCATCTTGCATTCCTTTCTCAATATCCACAGTGATGAAATCCCCCTCTCTTACATACTTCACATTTGGACACTGTTCACAGACCTGGAAACACAATATGACAGCAGTTTAGATAGCTGCCATAGATCGGAACAAAGCAAGATGAACTGTTGCCATCTCCAACAAGAAAAACATAGAGCAGTTTCTCATTAGAAACAAAAACCTGCTCTGTCATCTGCTGAAACATCCCTGGGCCAATTTGCCTGTGATAGACCTCATTTCTACAGTTGCAGCGCCTCTTTCCCGGAGCTGGTTTTATAACATTCTTTTCCCTCCAAACCTGGAAATTTCCACAAACACACAAACTATGTAAATTCTATGGAGGGTGAAGATCAAACTCCAACATGTTACTGGAACAGAACTTGCTTCATTCTAGTTGGTACAATGTTTGGTGCACAAGATAAGTAGATTAAGAGCAAAAGTCATAGTTGTAACAATAATATTTCAATCTGTATAAAACTCCTTTTTTGAGTCTATATCAGCAATATATAGTACCTTGAGCGTCCCACCCATATACAGATCTTCCAATGTAGCATCCAAGTCAACAATCACATCATCACCTTTCACAACCTTCTCTTCCTCTTCTTCCATGGAACCTCCTCCAAAGAAACTGGAATAATATCACTTTGTCAGCAAGGGAGAGTAAGAAATTGTGTCATTACTATTTACAATCAACAAAATATGCTAAAAAGCTGGATTAAATTATATATTTCCTAATAAACAACAAACACAGTAAAATCAGTTAATACAACAAACTATACACCTCATATTCTTAAGCTCCATATTATATTTGAAAAGAAATATTAATCCAAAACACTAAAAATTAATTTAGGAGGCAAAAACAGCATAACATGAGATACAGCATCCAAAATGTTTGGTTTCATGGAACATTTTTTAGTTCAATTAAAAATCAGCGTGGTCTATTAATCTCAATATAAGCACCACAAGATTCACAAAAGATACAGCATCCAACATCCAAAATTCAATTGATATGGTAAGAAAATAATAATCAACAATAACGTCCACATGAGCCAGGGAATATATAAACATAATCAAATATCACCAAGTGTAAAATTAACATAAACTCGAGGAACTTACGAGCTAAAAATGTCTTGAATGTTCATACCCCCTCCTCCTCTACCTCCACTAGCTGCATGCTGCTTAAGACCATCCTCACCATATTTGTCATATATACTTCTCTTTTCACTATCCGACAGAACTTCGTAAGCTACACGCATAAACCATTCCAGCCAGTCATCAATCGTCCAAATAAATTTATGTAACTTCTATTATTGTACATCACAGCCAATTAGTTAGGATGAATACAACTGAAAAATAAAAATCTTATACCATTGTTGATTTCTGCGAATTTCTTGTTCGCCTCTTCATTTCCTGTATTTTTATCAGGATGATACTTCAATGCAAGCTTTCTATAAGCACGCTTTATTTGTTCATCGGAAGCGCCTTTGGGCACTTGAAGGATGTCATAATAGCTCTTCCTAAAAAAACCAAAAAAACTTGGAATCAATAGTGCCGAACAATTATGTTAACACTAGATACCATCGAAATAAAATTACTAATCCAAATACTTACGCCGAAATTGAAACAAGATGGCATGATGCAAAGCACAAAAACAGTAAAAATGCTGTTCTTCGCCTCGCCATCACACTGAAGAAGAGAGATCAAACCTGCAACACAGCGAACCAAGATGCTAGGGTTTAAATCAGATCTTCAGGCGCATATGAGAATGCGCGAACAATAGGAGTGGCAGAGTCAGATTTGTGCGAGCAGGGGAACGCAGCAGACTTCCCGAATTTCTCAGATGCTCTTGGAGAGAAAAGTCATCAGAAACCCGACTTTCGCAAATCGCAACGTCGCTTTGGAAGATCTAACCAATCAGGAAGCGTCTCCACTCTATCAAACCAATCACAGATTGCCACGTATACAGATCCTCGTGGTATTCAAACTTCACTCAGCTCATAAAATTTTATAACAATTGGGCTTATATATAGGAAAATTAAATGGGCTTCCTAATCGGGCTCAAAACAAAAGAATGAAAAATGATTCAACAAAAAAGCCCAGCCCAGCCAACAGGCCCAAAAATGAAATGCAACAGGCATAATTTTACCTCAAGAGAAATCCAAAAATATAGTATTTGGTTTACTATATTGAAAAAGTCGATTTTATTGAACTTGCTTGTATGATATAACAAGCCTTCAATAGGATATCTATGTAGATTCATAAGGGGAACCATAGAATGAAAGAATGGAAATAAAAGATTCAAAATGTTGCCATAATAGACAAATACTACAAGAATCTAATGTAAGAAAATACATTAACATCACATAATATAGTCGGACAATACGTTATATTGTGGAAAATAAGCCGTAACCATCCCTATCTAATCGAATACATGTCATGATTAGACATCAAGGGGAAATAGGGAATCCCCAAAAAATGCAAGAATTACCATAACCTTCTAGCTAGTGTGTGACAAGTATAGTTAGCAAGAATTATTCACATTCACCTGAAATGCAAGGAAACAAAGGATCCCCACGAACAAAAGCATCATTCGCCGTCAGAATCATTCACTTTCAAGTTCCTTTCCAACGTCGTGGGAGCCTTCTGATCATTCCCGCGCTCTGTGCATTCATCGATCTGATAGGATTTCTCATTGACACCAAGTTTCATATAAGGACAAGACTGTGCCTCACCTTCTACGTTATTTGCACACTCGGATCCAGGATTGAGTAGCAATTCGAATTGTGAAGCACCTACTGGTTGTGTCCTCAATTGTACAGATTTCAACAGTGTTGCCCTTCTTAAGTCAGCTGAATGGCAAATGTCACTTGGAGAAGATGGGAATCGACCCTCAGTATCAGAGCCACGATGCCGAGTCTGTGGTGAATGTGATGATGTAGAAGAAAAAAAACCACAATGTGAAGGATGTGCAGTGGTGGGAAGTCCGGATGTCGATCCACTTATGGCCTTTGGGCATCTGTAAGGAGAGACAGGGCTCGTGGGAGCACTCTCGGGCTGTGAAGAACACGGATAGGTAGAAGAACTGTCGTAATATTTCGCCTCATCTGAGTCTTCTGACATTGGTGAATATGGCATGGATATCTCATCCCTGTAAGAAAGGGTTCGATGAAAATTAATTTTCCAACAAGGTCCTTATCTCAAAACAAATTAAATCAGTTGCATCTACTTTCAATTCTACCATTGCAACCCTTTGCATTAATTTCCTCAACGACACCTTAAATTATCCTACAAAAGTTGAAAACCACTTAAAAAGTACTTTTCAGTTCAATCCCATTACAAGGCAAGTTACACTAGGCGACAATAAAAGATTTATTTCCATAAGGTTGTATATATAAGGTTGTTTGAGTTATAGACTTCATGGCTATGTCCTTCAACCACACTCAGACTCAGTCACCATAAACCAAATTCAACAGATGCACAAAATTTGGGTAATCAAAATGGTCATTCAACTTTAGGAATTGTTTCCATTTTCAAATGAAACCATTTTGGTAAGAATTGCTATATCTATTTCCAAATCAAATGCCTGCAAATAATTCAACTAGTTCTATATTTACAAAAATGTAATTGGTACTAACCTAAGAGAGGGGATGCTTTCAGAGTCCACAGGAGAATTCATAAAATTTTCAGACAAGTGATCTCCAACTGTGAGTCCATTCAAACTTGAAGCCATAATCTGCAATTTTTAATTATGTGAAAAATCAAGCAAACAAAGAGATCCAAAATAATATTTCTAGTAACAATGGCAAACATATCTATAATCCCCCATTCAAGCAAAATTACTACATTTACATGTATTATCTCCAGCATATGGTTGATATCGTGTTCGTATCACCCAATTGAAAAGTCACCGGCGCAGACCAAACTGACTAATTACTTTGCAGGAATTCCAATTGAGAAAGCAATTAAAAAAAACAAATAAACTCAAAGCCAATCAATTATTCCAAGTTAAGAACACTTGATTCAAAAATTGAATTTCAGAAAATCCAAAACACCGAAATGCGAGTCAAAAATTTTGAGAATGCGTCGCACCTCACTGAGATAACGCTTGTGAGAGTGAAGATTATCGACATAAACCTCGTCTTCGGGATCTCTACCTCGTTTAACACTCGGCGATCCAGGAGCCGACGACGATGACCCGCTGGCGTTACCTTCCGGCCTCATAATCGAAAACTATTCACTCAACTGACCTCCCGTCTATTCAATACAAATTCAGAGACGAAATCAAGAAGACAAACAGCAAGACAGCGACGACACCACAAAGAAACGATCAACCGGAAGGGCGGAGTGCTATAATTTGTTTTCTTGCATATATGATCTAGAAACATTTTATATCCTCTCTAATTTTGACTTAGCCGGTAGGCCCATTAACAACCTAATGGGCTTCCATTCAGCCCATTAACACACGATTAGTCAGGGATAAATACAGAAAGAGTTTGTTAAGGACATCATTTCAAACTCGGTTGAGGTATTGAAAATAGTAAATTTTAAAATAACATTATGTCTTTTTTTTTTTTTTTTGTGTATTATAAATGTATAGCTGATATAATCAAAATATATTTAATACAATACTTTTAAATGATGTATATGACTTTGATTTAATTGTTTTAAAATAATAATAATTTTTTACAATCAACTATACTTTTATTGTTTATTTAAATATTATATTCGAATTATTTTGTTTCAAAATATTGAATAAAAATATTGAATAAGTCCAAATTTTAAATCATATTGGAATTTGATTTAAATTCATATACTTTGCAGATTTGTACAAAATTTTATAAAAAGCTTATACTTTGCAGATTGCATTAGATTTTATAAAATTGTATACTCTGCAGATTGCACAAAATTTTCTAAAAAAAACTGTATAATTTGCAGATTGCACAAGATTTTCTAAAAAAAACTGTATAATCTACAGATTGCACAAGATTTTATAACAACTGTATTTAACAGCATTTTCGATATATTTTGGGAGTGTGCTCTGCATATTGAACAATATTTTATAAAAAAAAATTGTATACTATGTAGATTGCATAAGATTTTATAAAAGACTATATCTAAACAGCATTTTTATATATTTCGGGACTTTGCTCTGCGTATTGAACAAAAAATTATAAAAAATTGTGTTTAAACAGCATTTTCGATATATTTTGGGACTGTGTTGTACAGATTGCACAAGATTTTATAAAAAAAAAATGTGTCTAAACATCATTTTCGATATATTTTGGGACTGTGCATTTATAAGTTGTTGTCATACTTATAAGAACACCTAGAATGGCTCAAAACAAAAATGTCTTGGAGTAAGATATAATTTATGATGTATCAAGGTCGGATTTGAAAATTGTTTTTTTCTATAAAAGAAATCCATAGCAATGGCTCAAAAATTCCTTGAGAAATTGCATAAACATTTTCTCTATTGGCGATGATTTTTTAAGGTAGTTGGAGGAAATTCTTTTTGGAACGACAAGGCGAGCAAAAGTGGCATTCCTCCTCCGGAGACAATGGAGAACTCCGGTCAACAATGACTTCTTCTCCGACCGACAACGACAAAGTGGTCAAAAATTTTGGCAGCCACTCAAAGTCGATACTGGCTGGGTCTTCCACGAAGTCACCCACTTCTATGAAATCTCCCTTTGCACAGCTAAGTCAGCAGTGACCAAATTAAATTCAAAAAAGAAAAAGGATAAAATAAAAAAAAAATAATAATAGAGAAGCGGTCGCGACAGGGCATCGACTATACGAGGCCTTGTAAATTTTGAATCTAAAATTTACAATTGAAATTTAAATCACCGGGGATGAATTATTTCGAAAGGTGGAAAAAGTACTTCCACAAAGTGAGCCACTATCTGTCTTGCTCTAAGTGGACTCGTCTTTTAAAATATAATCCTCCGAGTATTCATTTTTTCATTTTGGTTGTCTCATAATTATGTATTCATTTTTTTTAAATGTATTATTTACCTAATATTACAAATATCCTTACAAGTTCCAATATATTTATACAAATATTATTATATTTATATACTGATAAGGTCATTTTAGTTATTTCTACTTTATTCCTACTATATCCCAATATAATACTAATATTTCTAAAATTGCAAAAAGTAAATGGATACATAGTTATGGGAGATGGAGTATTTAATAGTATCATAATATTATATAAAATGTATTTAGACAAATATATTCATATGTTCTATATTTTAGAATTTATTTAGATGAATAATAAAAAAAATTTTGTATTATATATATAAAGTAACAGATATATTGATTTATGTGTATTAATATAATTTTAAATTCAAATTCAAATTAATTTATTTTTTCATTATATACTAGATCAATATTTTTCAATCATCAATTACATTATTTACGTTCTACATTTTCCATTAGCAAAAATAACCTCAGCTAGTGCGGAAATTAAATAATTAAATATTTATTGAAAAAATAAAAATGTAATATTGGGATATACAATATGTTTTAAAAATCTAATTAGTAATTAAAGTGATTAAAAATATACTTGATCGTCCACTTATAATATTTACATATTTTTATTTTTGGACATCTAATTACAAAGTTAATATTTCATTAAATATTCTATTTCTTTTCTCTGCAAATACTCTTACTTTATATCACATCATTACAAAAAAAAATAAGGGCACAAATTTCATTACATTACTTTTAACTGCTGCCAAAAGTAAACGTCAACATTGTAAACGGACAGAGGAAGTATATAATAAAAATAGTGATAATTATGATAAATATATGTTGAATTGAGGGTAATTAAATGTTGAATTTCTTTCATTTGTCAAAATTAATAAGATAAATTTAAAGGATGAAAAATTAAAAATAAATTTAACCGAAACAAAAAAAATATTTACAATAAAAGAAGCTATTCAAAATAAATAAATCCAAAACTTTTCTAATATTTATTTTTAAATAGAACATTACATTCTAATTATAATTCAAACAAAAAAAAGGGCTTTGTTTGATTTTTATTTGAATTTAAATTTTATTTTAAATATATTTCATAAAAGAAATAATACTATAATTTTATTATAAATCATAGTAGCTAAACAGTAATAATAAAGTTTTGATTTCATACTCAAAATTTAAATACAAACCCCAAACATAAAGGAAATCACTGGTAACTCAAACCAAATTTTAAAGTGTTTGTTTTTGGGTTGTAGTTTTAATTTTAAATTTCAAAAGTACAATTTTAAATTAAAATTATTATTTGAGTTGATATAAATATAAGTTAATATGATATTTTAATTATAAAATTAAATTTTAACCTAATATAATAAAAAATTTAATCAATAGTATTTTTTATGTAAAAAAATTAAAAATAGTAAAACACAGTATAAAACAAACTCCGCAAACAATCACACCCATTGATTGATTGACACATAACTTCATAACACATTAACATGTAACTTTTGGCTTATCTTTCAGGTAATGATTTAAAGTATTTTGTTAGCTATTTATGGAGGCACTGGTTGGTTAAGTAGATTATTGTTATTTTTCCAAATTTAAGAAATCAAGATAGGTTCTTGATTAGATTAGACAACAGCCATAGGATTACGAGGCCACTTTTTGTTAACCTAAAAAAAAAAAAAAAAAAAAAAAACTCATCCCTCCTGCAGATGAAACACGTGTCGACTCAATACATATGTGATGGGACTTCCACCATCTACCTAGCGAGTCTGTGCTACTAATATTCGGCCACCTAACTTTACGATTTTTGCTGTGATAAAAATAAATGAGAAACAAAATAACGGTAGGAACATATCATGTGGGTGAAATAAACATCGACACAAAGTACCTAAATGCAACAATAATAGAAGAAGCTATAATGGTAAAAAAAAATTGAAATAATGGTAAAAGATGTATATAACACAAAACATGAGAAATTGAGAATTAAATGAAAAGGTTCAATAGAAAAGATCCAAAAAGTCACAATATCCAAAAAGACTTGAATCATTTCAATATATGCAATAATAATTGACCTATCATTGTATTTGTATCCAAAGAAATGTGTGCCCACCATTTTTGTTAAGCACCGTGGAGTGGAGTGTAAATTCAAATCTCATATTGAAAGATCTAATACTTCTAAATTTCATTAGTACAAAGTCCTTTTAAAAAAATTCAAAAATAAATTTGAGTTAGCCAACCCCAACAAGTAAAATCAGACACGAGGCAAAAAGAAAGAGGTGTCACTGTTATTACATCACTACTATCCTAAATAAATGGATTGTGAGATCTTGCTAGATAAATTAATGAGGATTTGGGGGATGATTTTATTTATAAGTGCAGGAAATGTAGACCTAAACTGAGGCAGGGGGGGAGGGACATGGGGGACACCCACATGCCAACTGAATAATTTATTTATTTATTAAGTACTGTGACTCAAATAACCGCCGGCAGTGAACGAGACGGCAATAAATTCAGAATGCACATGACACGTTCAGTTCATTCGTCAGCATATTAGGTAGACAGGTAGATAGATAGATAGAGATATTATTATTGTCAATCAAGTCCAAAACATTTTTTGCATTTTACAGAGGCAAAGCAGTGAAACTTTAGAAATTACAGACCATTCCCTTGTTTCAAACCACCAAAATTAAAGGGAGGAAAAATAGGTAGATCACCGAAAAACGATCATGGAAAATGGTAATAATCCAGTTAGATGATGAGCAACATCATCGTCTCCGGTGGTATATTCAACAGCTCCTGTATTGCGTAGAACGAAGGAGAGCTATAACAGCATGGATATGGCGGTAGTATGCCCATGATCTTTATATTCAAAGCTAAAATAGATATTAGACTGAATTACGAGCTTCACCTGGAAGAAATTGGACTCAGATTTCTGGCAAATCCACTGAAAGCTCCGTAACTCTTGGAGGTGAATCCTAAGCATCCAAACAACCCTTGCCTGTAGGGTAGAAATGTCTTCTTCTTCATCTCCTCTGCTTGAGCTCTGTTGGCGGTGTAAAGCAACTCATGAGCAGACGGCGGAACTCGCCGTTTCCACACTCCGTTCGCAGGTTTTCTGGCCGCTCGCGGACCTTTCCTTGCGTCGCTTCTGCTTCTCTTCTCATCGCGTGAGGATGACGGCGATAAAGCAGGCGACGAAGACGACGCCGGTGGTTTCTTATCCTTAATTGAAGAGAAGGAAATCGCCGACCATAATCTCTCCTTTTTATTGGCTCTTCCTCCCTCGCTTTTGCTCCTGTTAAGAAGATCCTTCAGAAACATCCATTTTCTCGAATTTCTCCCTGAAGATGAAGACCGTGAAGATGATGCTGAGCATGACGGAGTCGTTTCGCTTGATTCAATTTCTTTCGTTTCGTTTTCCTCATCCACAGCGATGGCTCTCAAACCTTGCCATTCGTACTCTGAATTGAAGCGTAATGGCGACATAGATCTGGCTTTACGGTGAGAGTACTTAACATTTCTCAACCTCGAACCCCTACCTCTTTCATTTGCTGCATCCTCCGAATCCACGCCATACAGATCTATATATGGTGCAACAGCTTCCTGACGTCTCTGCAAATGAGAAGATAGCTTCATAGGTCGGATTTGACCATTGAAGAACAACTCATCAGCAGACGTCATGGAGCCAATTCCACCGGATCCATTAGGAGAAAACCTGGAAGAGAACTCGAACTCAAATGAGCCAGAGTCGGATGACAAAAACACCGGCTCATAATCGTACACCTGTGTTTGATTTTTTTCAGTTAGAATGAAATGCGTAGGACTGGCCGGAGCACTGAAGAAGTAGCCGCAAGGAGGACCATGGCCGGGGCTAGATGGAGCACTGACGAAGGGAGTGGAACAAGCACTGTCAATATCATCACTGAATCGCGGCGGCTCTGCGGCGGATGAAGCTCCGAGCAGTTTAGAGGGCGAAATGGACATTATTGGAGAGAGGAGAGTAGAGGAGAGGAGAGCGCATAGGGAAACGGAGGGAGAGAGCTTTGAGAAAAACTGTAGGGAAACTGCAGGTGAGAGTGACTAACCTTGCTGGACACGCAATTATTGTAAACTGGTGCTGCACATAAATGGAGACCGTCTCTGCCGAGCCACCTTCGCATTTATTATCACTACCCCAATATTTTCTAAATTTTTTATTAATACTCGTCGCTCACCAAAATTTCTACCCATCATTGGAGTGAAGACACGTTGTATTTTTTTTTTAAATGGAAAAAGGTACAAAAATGGTTTAAAAAAAAAAAAAATTTATGATAAAATAAATAAATAAATTGTTATATAATAATATTATAATATTAGGTAAGTATATAAATATAATATATGTATATATGAAATATATAGATATATCTTTGTAGTGTGATGTATGCATGTAAGTATGTATATAAGTTAGATACATTTCTAATTTTAAAACTTTTGAAGTATTATTTATACATGACAATATATTTTTAAAAATATAAACTTATTTTTGATGAACAATTTAAAACATCATGTAGTTTAGTGAGTAAGAGTGAAGCCCACGATGATATTGAGTTAAAAGTAGATATAAAGTCATCTCCAACTCATTAATTTAATTTATCTAGTTTTAACTTTAAATGTGGAGTTATTATAGTAATTTTACTCTAATTATAATTTTATTTTTCACTCTTATTCTTCAAATATTCAATTTTTTCTGTTATTTTAAACAACCTTTTTTTATAATTTAAAATATTTTTTTTTTTCAAATTTTAGAAAAATAAATAAAAAATTTAAAAGTTAATATAAAAATTTAAAAATTTTAAAAATAATAAAAAAAAAATTGAAGCAACGGCCAATTTATGTGTTGATAATTGGCGTTGTACTGTAGCTAACGCAAAAAAATAGCGTAAAACAATCGACGCCAAATCAATCAATCATTCGCGCTGGATTGAAGATGCCCTGTGAGTGAAGGTAATATAAATTAATTGAGTGTGTTTGTTTGGATCATTGGGTGTTAGTGTTTTAATTTAGTTTAAACAATAAAATTTAAATTTAAATAATTGTTTGATATTGATATAAATAAATATTTAATACAATATTTAATATTTTATAATGTGAAAATATTTAATTGAATGCCATACAAAAAAAAAATTGAAATGTAGTATTATTTTTTAGACTTTTTGAAAAAGAAGTAGTAGAAAATCTTCATAATTTTTATTTATTTTTTATAAATAAAATTTAGTTATTCAAGTGATACAACCTTGAATGAAAAAAATAAAAAATAAAATTTATTTATAGTCTCAGGGATAGCCCAATTGTATGGAATGAACTTATAACTGTGAGGTTATAGATTTAAATTCCAAACGCCTCCAAGGATTCCACTTCGTCAAAAAATAAACGAACGATACTATTTATATAAATATATTGCAAAAATTTAGCAAACACAATAACTTATTTATTACAATTTCCCACGGACAATAGAGGTTTTCTTCACTCACTTAAAAACTAGTTGTACAATGAGATTCAAGTCGAGGCCAATTTTTCGAAGAAATTTGGAGACAACCTCGTGCAGTCGAGGTACTTCTCAAAATGATATATATATTTTTTTTCCACACATTTGCTCCATCTCTTAACAGACACAACATTTTCAAAGCCACTTGGGGTGTTTTTCTTTGGGGAATTAATCTGTTTATCCAATTTTTTTCAAAAAAAAAATATCAAATCAAACACCTATTTTTTATTTTTTATATTATACTAAAAATCAATTTTACATTCAAAATATCACATCAATACCTATTTATACCATATCATACAACTATTCAAATTCAAAATTTTTACTATTTAAATCTCAACTCAAAATCCAATCGCCCAAACAAACACACCCTTGCTCTAAAAGAGTTGAACACATGAGCTTTAAAGGTCCTTCCCTCTAAAGGGTTTTTTTAGAGGGGACAGTTGTATTTGGTCTGACCGTGTCTTTTGTTTGGACGGTCTCCAAATTTGTTAATGGGCCACAATAATTGGGCTTTGTAACAGGCAACAATAGGTTCGACACGTAGAAAAAAGAAAAAGAGTATTTTGGCATGTCCTGACAGACGTATCATATCATATCAGGAAGCTTAATTTATTGACTTATTCTCTGTAACGATTCTTCAAATCCCATATTTATAAGTTATTTAATTTACGTGTTGTATTCGTGGCTCAATAATATTCCTGTAATTGCACTGCCGACTGTAAAAGAAAAGAAAATATAACCAGCACCGCAACACGTCATCTCCATCTATTTGCCAAAATATTAAATGACAGTTTCCAACACGTTGTTCGAATCACTGAAAGGGAAATCGGTACTCGAATAACGCCCGGTTCAATATTCCGATAATTTTAAAAAGGAAATTAAAATTAAAATAAATAAATATAAAAATAAATAAACAGGGGTTTGGATTCGGCGCTTTTGGGCGTTAGGGTTTAGGGTCTGGACTATATATATATTCATGGGGACGAAACCCTCGCCATTGGGAAAGGTTGAGAAAAGGTGTCTGAGCTTTTGACGACGAAGAAGAAGGGAGTGCGCTTCTCACACAGGAGCTTTTGAGCTTTTTCATATTCGCGCGCGAAGCTTGAGGCAAACTTCGCCACCACAATTTCTACTGCGGAAATCGCAGAACGAATTGAGCCGCCAATTTTTTTATTGGTCGATAGTGGAGGAGGATGAAGTACGTATTGGTTACCGGGGGCGTCGTGAGCGGCCTTGGGAAAGGCGTCACTGCCAGCAGCATCGGCGTTGTGCTCAAAGCATGCGGACTTCGAGTGACTTCAATTAAAATTGGTTTGTTCGTTCACTTATTGATTTGTGCGTTGTTATTTGATCTTCCTTTCTTTTTAGCGTCCATAGAGAGATCTAGGGATAAAATGACGGTGTCATAGCACAATGTTCTGTAAACGTGATTGAAGAAGCGAGGCATTTCGCCTCTCTTTGTATACCCCTGCGGCGAAAATTTGAGTACATGTTAAAAATTTACGTTTTTTTTTAATAATCCATTTGATAGATATAATTTTTAATTAGAATGGAAAGCGATGTATAGATTATGTTCTTGATATGCTGGTTTAGAGATTTCCAGCAACATGGGATTGGTACTATACGGTGAATTTGATTATTTTTTACTCATGTCAGATCCATATTTAAACATGGACGCTGGTACAATGTCACCATTTGAGCACGGAGAGGTTTTTGTTCTTGATGACGGTGGTGAGGTACTGATTCTTTTTATTTGAATATTTCCCGTGCAATCCACAGTGAAATGCTGATTACAGATATGCTATAATTTTGGACAATAATATTTTATGGTAATTTTAGCATATCTGCTACTCTGCTACATCATTTTTTACCTCCCCCAATCATGAGAAATTCTAGATATTACTTTGTAATTCACCTTGTGTTATTTGATAAATTATAGAATTTGTTAATTTCTCATTCTTACATGTATTGGATGGCTTTTGTAACATGTGGCAGGTGGATTTAGATTTAGGTAACTATGAACGGTTCTTGGATGTGAGACTAACTAGAGACAATAATATTACCACAGGGAAGATTTTTCAGGTAATGTTGTCTTTATATTCCCACAGAAGACATTTATTATTATTATTATTATTATTATTATTATTGTTGCTGACGACGACGCATTCCCCTGTTTTTTTATTAGTCTGTACTTGAGAAGGAACGAAGGGGCGATTATCTTGGGAAGACAGTACAGGTTTTTCTATGTTTGTTGCTGTGATTTGATTCTTACAAATGAATTTGCATGGAATTAGCTATCATACTCTGCATTTACGACTTAATTCAGGTGGTCCCTCACATAACTGACGCCATTAAGAATTGGATTGAAACGGTAGCTGCTATCCCTGTAGATGGAAAAGAGGGTCCGGCAGACGTTTGCGTTATTGAATTGGGAGGAACTGTTGGTAAATGATCTCTTGATTAGAGAACTTCTGTGTTTATAATATAAATCTTTATGTAAATCTGCCTATGACTCCTCAAAATTCTAGGTGATATTGAATCAATGCCATTCATTGAAGCTTTACGGCAGCTACTTTTCTCAGTTGGTAAGGCGCAGAATAGGACATATATCCATATTCTTATTTTCCCTATTCTGGATATTAGAGCTCAATTGTTCTCTTGGTTTGCCATTATGTTTTCAGCTCCAGCGAATAAACTTTGAGACCAAATCTACATTTCCCCTTCTGACTTCATTTTTTTGGTGTTGTTTTACCTAGATTGAATTAGACGATGCGTTGCTCTTAGCAAATATTTTTCCGTCCAAAATATTTTGCTATTGTTTTTTTTTTTTATTTTATTTGGGATGTTTCAAACCTTTCGCAGCTTTTCTTTATTTCCACCAACTTTTTTATTGTTTTTCTTTACCCTCCTAAATACAATTTAGAAAATCATTCTGAACAAACTTTAAGGGCAAAAAGTTAAAAAAACCCTATAAAAAATATACTATCTAAATTACTGCGCCATAAGCGTAAGTAGCAGACGAAATGGGATAGAGGTAGTATATGTTTTCTTTCTGTGGTTTAGGATGAGACAATAAATTATACTATGACCACATTCCTTGATTCTAAACTATGTCCGATGCAATTCAGTTTAGATATCTGCATTTTGCTATTTTAATGTTTGTCTTGTTCTTACAGAGCCAAACAATTTCTGTTTGATCCATGTGAGTCTTATACCTGTTCTTGGCGTTGTTGGAGAGCAAGTAATAGCCTGTCCTATCTAAGAATCATATGATAATAATACATGCAGCGAATTGCAGTCTTATGCATGGCAATTTTTGCACTTCGCAGAAAACTAAACCCACACAGCATAGTGTGCGGGAATTGAGAGCCTTAGGCTTGACTCCACACTTTCTTGCTTGCCGCTCTGCTCAGGTACACCTTTTTCATGCTTTTCCTTTTGTAGGTTAACGGTTTACAATAAATGACTTTGCCAAGGGGAAAAGTCAAACAGATAATCTTGGTTCTTTCATGGTGTTTAAATACTTAAGATTGATTGGTTGTGAACTTCTTATATGTAATCTTATCAAAATTTATATACGAAAACTTTTTTTTTTTAATTTTCTTTTTGGAAAATGTAGTATTGGAGTTAGAAAACTAATGATGTTTTTGTGTGATCTGTAGCCTTTGCTGGAAAGTACTAGGCAGAAGTTGTCCCAGTTTTGCCATGTCTCTGTAAGTTACTTATTTGGCTGTAACTTTTTGATCTCATGTGAATCTCAACATTTACTTATTTTTATTTTTATTTTTTCTGATGTTACTCTAGGTTGGTAATATCCTTAACATACATGATGTTCCAAACATTTGGCACATACCTCTTCTGCTTCGGGTGGGTAGTATTTATTGGTGAATTTTGATGCTGACCACATTTATGTCTTGGTTATTTATTTATTTTCTTTATTTCCATTCTTTAATTTTGTCATCCATTTGTCCAGAATCAAAATGCACACGAGGCTATTTTAAAACATTTGCAGCTAATGAAGTAAGTTGTTAACAGATTTTCTTTCCCTTATTCTTGTAAGTTGAATCATGCCAATGGCCTTTGGGTTGCATTAGGCTTTATTTATGTGTAGTAATAATTTTCTTGCTATTTTGAACTTGTGTCATGATAGTCAATTATTCTATTTCAGAGTTGCCAAGACTCCTAATCTGCAAGAGTGGACTGAGAGGGCCAAGATTTTCGACAACCTCTCCAACTCCGTTAGTGTCACCTGTTGCATACTCTCCCCTCTATTTGTTCTGGAATGTGAAGTTAGAATTTGAATGCTATTGCAGGTTAGAATTGCGATGGTGGGAAAGTATGTTGGGTTGACAGATTCTTATTTATCTGTCGTGAAGGTGAGAAATATTTTTGTCTTGTAATTCTATGAAGTCCAACATTGTGGTGATCTCTGTTTCATGGGGCGAGGGGCTTTTAGATAACATCTGGTTTACATGATGGAAACTTATAATTTTGAATCTGCTGGCAGGCGTTATTGCATGCTTGCATTTCATGTTCACTGAAGCCAGATATTAAGTGGATTGCAGCTTCTGATCTTGAAGACGACACAGCAAATTCAGTAGAGATGCTCACTTTCTATTGCATTTTTACCTTTTTCAGTTTTTAATTTAGGAGTTGTCTTAGGTTATATATTTTTGCAGAAACCTGAAGCTCATGCAACAGCTTGGGAAGATCTGAAGGTATACAATACTACCACTTCTCTTTTGTCCCCTGATTCTGCACTTCTCCTCTTGACACCATTCACATGTCTCTGTCCATGTTTAGTAGATAAGATGGTGGGCTTTGTGTAGCTGTATGTAATTTATATGATTTATTGGTTTTGTGAAACGGACTGTAAACACCATGTTAGATGATGTATTTCCTAAAATAATACATATTGCTGTTGAAATTCATATTTATGATGTATTTGAAATATTTCTTGCGCTGATATATAGTTATATTTTTGTTGCCGTATTAAGTAAAAATGTTCATAGTTTATTGCTTAGCATATTCTGTATGGGTTTGCTTAGTCATATTAGAATTTTGCTCTCTTCTTTTCGGAAACTATTGTTGCAAGTGTCTTGTGAACTATTTTTACCCACGTAGCAAAGTGATCTTTCTCGAAGTTCTGATAACAAAAAAAATCTTGATTTCAGAATGCTGCATGTATCTTGGTTCCTGGAGGCTTTGGTGATAGGGGTGTGAAAGGAATGATCTTGGCTGCAAAGTATGCTAGAGAAAATAAAGTTCCATATCTTGGAATTTGTTTGGGCATGCAGATATCTGTCATTGAGTTTGCTCAAAATGTTAGTTATATCTTTATTCAATAATTTTTCTGTCTTTTATTACAACATAATGAACCTTATGATTTTATGTACTCTGTAGATTGTGGGCTGGGAACATGCAAACAGCACTGAGTTTGATGATCAGACTCCTAACCCTGTCGTGATATTTATGCCAGAGGTATTCTGCGCTAATGTTCAAATACATAAATCTCTCTGCGAATTTTGTCCCATACGATAAATGACAGGTTCTTTTCGTGCATGAATTTAGGGTTCAAAAACCCATATGGGGAGCACTATGAGGCTTGGCAGTCGGAGAACTTTATTTCAAACACCAGACTGCCTAATGGCCAAGCTGTAAGAGCTCACACCCTTTCACATACATGTAGCTTGCATTTGGCCAAACTCAACAAATTACTTGAAGCTTTATGCATCTTTCTCAAATTTCTTTCTGCATCTTTTATTTTTTAATTTTTTGCATCACACCAGTTTTTCCAAGTGCTTTAGAGAGGTTGCAGTATCTGGGGTATCTTTTGATAATCTGATTGGCTAATGCTCCTGGTGTCTTTTATCTGATATAGGTACCATAATTTTGAGTATGTGGATGAGCGACATAGGCACAGATACGAGGTAACTTGATTGTATATTTACTTGTCTCTATTATTTGTTCTGGTGAATGTATGTTAATTATGCTAAGTTTCATAGGTAAACCCAGACGTAGTATCCAATTTTGAGGAACGTGGGTTGAAATTTGTCGGGAGGGATGAAAGTGGAAAGAGAATGGAGGTTATTTTCTCCGGCTTGGTTGTTTCAGTTTCAGTTTGCAATTATAGCTGCATTTCAGTAGTTTGATGTGTCGTACTTCTGTTAGACTAGATTATCATTCTCTAAACTTCAATTTCATCTTGTACCCTCATTTCTGCAGATTTTAGAGCTTACAAGCCATCCATATTATGTGGGGGTACAGTTTCATCCAGAATTCAAGTCACGTCCTGGGAGACCTTCACCCCCATTCTTAGGTAATGAGCTGTGACTGCAGACTGCTGCTTTTTGGGTGAAAAGTTGTTACATACACATTTGCAATACTTTGATTCATGAATATACTATAATTGTTTGTATAATTTTAGAGATCTATAATGTAACATCATATATGTGTTTAATAATGAAGTGATTTGAGGAGTGAAGATGCCTTCAATTGATTTTCAAATATTGTAGGTTTTATTTTGGCGGCAATTGGACAGTTGAGTTCGTTTCTTCAAAATTCTCAAAACGGGAGCTTGTAGGATTCCTACAGCCAACAACTGAGGGTTTCTCATAATTTCAAGGTTTGGTACATACTTTTGTGAATATCTGATATATTATTAGTCTCATTCCCATCTTGTATTGTGGGAAATCTTACATTTCTCATCTAGGTTTGGTATATTATCAAAATATAAAACCATGGATGGTTTTGAGTAATGTATATATCCATCATCACCTAGTTGGAGTGATCGGTAAATGTGTAAACCAAACAGCACAATGTCAATTTGACCATTTTTACACTTCTTGTAGGTATTTTGGCAGTCGGATAAGAGCTATTCTGGCATTTTTGAAAGATGTGCATTTGCAGCAACAGCAGCAGCTGGAATACACACACATGCTTACATTTGTGTTGGTGAAGTTGATGCGTCCAATTTCCTTCCCGGAGTTTTTTGTGTGTGAGAATTTAGTGGTTTTCTGCATTTCGTTTGCTTGTAGATATGCATTTCCGACGGATGTTTGGTTTGGAGAGAGTGTTCAAATTTTGAGTTTAAATTCTATATATGTGGGAGATGATAAAAAGAATATGTGAACTTCATTTGACATTTCCTGTAGTGGAGCTTTGTGTTTATATTGTTGATTTCATTTAGAGCCCTTATGTTTGCTTGTTAATATGCATTTCTTGTAGTATTGCAGCAGTAATCTTCCAATAGGATGTTACTATCTGCCTATAATGTATTCTCAACATTTCTTGTCTTTCTATTAGACATATATATCTTAAGACAAATGACAAATTTCAATTCATTTGAAAAACCAACGTTCGTATAATATGAATGCTAACCATATGCCTACAGAAAAATCCAAAACAATTCTGCTGTTTTTCTTTGCATATATAAATATTTAGTATATATCTACAGACAAAAAACGGCGCAATGCAAACAGAAATGACCAAACTGGGAGCTGAGCCAAAATGCAAACACGTTTATGCACAGAAACAGATCCGCTCGCTGCGTGCAGATCATCAAAACCAAAACCATTAATGCATTGTGAAAAAATTGTGTGTGTCGATGGAGGTCGCGTACGGATCGAGGACCTTATGATTTCAATTCCTGTACTGCTGATACGATTTCTGCCTTTGCAGCTTCATTTGCTCATAGAAGTTTGCTATAAACTGCTCCGCCTTCAGATCAATCCCCTCGTCACACTCTTCTTCCTCTCCTTCTTCCTCTTCTTCCTCACCATTTTTCAAAAAACTCACTCGCCTGCAGAACAATTCGCTCGCCTCACCACCAAAATAAGCACGATCTTCCTCGAAATCGTAGTCGAAATCCACGTGCGGCTTGATGCACGGAATGTGCGGCAACTTGAACCGCATGGAAGACGGACGATGCATTTTCACGCGTATGATCGGCGTGTCGTCGAAGGAGAATTCGCGGTCTCCGTACACTAGCGCTCCTTCAGCACCGCCATGCCTGGTGGAGTGGCGAAGCTTCCTCACAGTCTCACCCAACACATTCCAATTCACAACAAGCCTGTTCCTGAACAAGCCTCCTTTCCTCCCCCAGAGCAGCGCCAATCGGAGGACATTCCAAGCTCTTCGAGCAACAAGTGAGTTCTTCTTCGACATTTTTACTACTTTATTCCAACTTTTGCGTGTAGGTAATCGGAATAATGATTGTTCGCCGTTGCACAAAAGCGAATCCTATCGGAATTGTTTGAAGGATATTGTGGGGAACTATGGCTGTTAATTGCTTTCTGGGGAGCCTGGTTGTTGTGTCTCTCTCTCTATATATAGATTTATACATGGTGGGGACTTGGGCGGGATCATATTCGCGTACGCGGTATGAAATATACAGATTTTTAAAATAAATAGTAATAATAACAAGTACGGAATAAGTTTGAATTATTTAAATGGGGCGGTGGAAGCTTCGTCCTAGACACGCTTCTCTGTTTCTCTTCTCTACACGGACTGTACAATCTGTCACAAACATACGTTTTTTTCGTTGGTTTGTTTGCTTTCTTTTATTAATTGATTTAATTTTCTATTCAATCAAAACTAGTGTAAAATGGTTGGATACTATAGTTCAGGTGGTTGGTTAAATTAAAATCAGCTATCTAGTATTTGTTTACTATGGGACTTGGATCTCCGCTATGCCATACGATTTGTTTGATATAGCTATGTGAACAATTGTAGTTCAATTTTCTTATTTTTTTAAAACTTTGACCATATTTTATAACAAAGAGTTATTCATTGTTTATACAAAATATATTACATACAATAATTCATTTTTATTATAATTGTAATTGTATAAAGCAGTCGGGCGCGTACAAATATAATTTTAATAGTAACGGGATAGAGAACATAGTACAAATGGGAGCGTGACACGTATTACTTTCCGTGGAAGTCCCGGATTGGAAATCCAGGATCAGAAAAGTACAATAATTTATTGGGCGTATTGAAAATTAGAACAATGATTGGAGAGCATAGAGCAGCAGTCGCCCAATAATAAATTTCTTGAGGTTTGGTTTGGTTGTGAGGTTGGGTGGGTTCCTGTCACGTAATTAAATATTATATCTATGTTAATACTCCTTAAAGAAGGTTCCATGACTTGGTACAAGTAAACGTCCCTAAATTCCGATGCCAAACCTTACAAGTAAATAGATACACATTATAATATAGTCATACTAGTAGATACACATTAATTCAAATTAGTTTTGAAATACCACAATACTATGATTTATTGAAATTGGATTTGGGTCTGTTTTTTTGTTTCTTTAATCCAAATCTCCACATTTTGATTATTTGGATTTTGAGTTCTTTGGAGAAAAAAATAAAAATAAAAATTCATCAAATATTATTTTAATAATAAATTATAATAATAATAATAATAATAATTATTATTATTATTATTTTCAAATCGAGCAAAAGAAACATACCATAAAAAAACCCAAAAAGTTACATAAATAAATAAAATCACAATAGTACAGAGATAATACACAGGAAGATATCACTCTCATTGATATGAACAATCAGTATCTGTAGGTGTGAATCGAAATTAATGCAAATAGACATTTGAAGTTGGTCTGATTAACTTTATCAAAGTATTTTTTTTTTTTCTAAAATTTCATTTAACTACTGCAGGCTAAATTGCACAAAATCCACTTATGATTTCATGAAATTGCACCAAATTCCCATACTTTTAAAATTGGCGTCAAACTCTATCGTGTTTTCATAAACTTTTTTTTTTCAGTTTATTTTTACTATTTTTTTAGGCTAAATATATAAAAAATAAATATATTTGTAATTTTAGGGGTTTAAAAATTGAGATTCTAAAATTTATTCGCAGTTTGAGGGGTTAAATGCAAAGTTTATGAAACCACGAGGGAATTTGACGCAGTTTTAAAAGTACAGAGAGATTTGGTGCAATTTCATAAAACCAAAGTTGAATTTTGTGCAATTTAGCCAACTAGTGGCCTTCAGCACAACATCTTTACTTATTTCACAGTATCAGCTATATACTGTCACTTTGCAGCAAATTAAGGAATAAATTTCAGTGAGGAATACAATACACAGTGTAGATTTCCCAATGGGCTGAGGTGGTATTTATTGTATTGGAACAAGGATTGCTTTATAAATAGTATATAAGTGAAAAGGCAATTGGCAAAGTATTGTCTGATAGGTAACAAACAAACGTTATGAAAGTTCCTCAGCCACAGACACTGGTCCTACATCCTAATTCCTATTTACATATCCCTGGGTCTACACTACACTACACAGAAACAACCCGCCAACAACATTGAAAAATCAGGCTAATTTACTCATTTCACATTAGAGGCCCCATCTAATTTCTGACAACTTTTGTTTCAATCCTACCTTGCATTATGGGATCGATTAGGTTTCAATACTTGCCTTAGGCATTACATACCCAAATATTCAAATTGATCTCCCTCTCTCTCTCTCTCAATTTTATTTATTTATTTTTTAATTATGTAATAATATATCGATACAAATACAATGTACAGTTTCGTATAGAAGGATGGGTGGTGGCAACAGCAAGTTGACAACCTGTCCTGCAATCTAGTTTCTTTCTTAGTAAGAGTCAAGCAATCTCTGTTCTTGCTCAACTAACAGCTGTTTGTTATAATAATTCATTCCATCGCCACTCAAACGTTTTATTTTTTATTTTCCCATCAGACATTTTTCACCAACCAACCACCCTTCTATTATCTCCTATATCTACGTGTGTTTTTCAATACCAAGAAGGCCTCAAAATAGGGCAAGAAAGTTGATATAGAATGGATCCAGTCCAGATCCAAAGTTTCTAGAGAAAGATGTAGCAGTGGGGCTGATAGATTGGGCCCAATCGTTATTATTTTGAATGATCGGAATGGGCCAACAGCCCAATCCTAAACCCTAAAGCATACGTGAGGAAGAGATGTAGCCCTAACCAACGATAATGAAATCGATATAGCAAATTGGATGTGTATGTCAATTATGGAAGAAATTATTGTAGATTGATTGATGTATAGAAACTTGAATGGGTGATGGGGATGCGGTGTTGAACACCAACCATTCATCATGTTCTACGGCCATATATAGCGTAGGGTGTAAAACTATTGAAGGTTCAGAGTCCGTGAATTTAGAATTGATAAAAGGGATTGTAAATCAGGTTCATGTCCTCCTCGTTTAGCTCTTCGCTGGCCTGCTATTGCAGGCAGAGGTTGCTATTTCGAGATTCACCTACAAGGAAGGAGAATTTGAAAGCAATAGAACAAAATATAATAACAGTATAATGATTTGAGAGAGTAGGTATGGCGGAACGCGTACCGGAAAACGTCGCCGTCGCCATGGAATCGGCAGGTGAAGAAGCCAGCGGCGCCGCCGTTAAGCCGGCAATCGATGCGGAGAAGAAGAAGAAAAAACAGGGCGGCGCGTATGGTATTTTCAGCGCGGCTCTGTCGGTGCTGCGAAAGAAGAGTTCTGAAGATAAGGAGACGAAGAAAACATTGTCGAAACAGAAAAGTACCAATTGGAAGAAATTAGTTGGAGCTCTGCGTCCCCTGTGCCTGCAGCAGGCGGCGATGGAGAGCGCAGATGAGCATACCTTGCGGCGGCGAAAGCAAGCCTCGTCGGCCGAGAAGAAAACTCTGAAGGATTTTGTCCAGCCTAGATCTCCGGCGTCTTCCTGCTCCAGCGGTACCATGAGCAGATACGCTTCCGCGACGAGCCTTTGGGATCAGGACGATAGCAGTAGCAACAGCAGCGGCGATGAAATGGATCCAAACGAGGTGTTCGATGCACTGACCGAAGACGAGATGATTGACGCCAAGGCGGACGAATTCATCGCGCAATTTTACAGAGATCTTTATAATCAAAACGCGTCGCATCCTTCTCCCCGCTGCCTTGACGGTGGAATTTCACTGGATAGTCGAAACAGATTGGCGGCAAGCGATGATCTCCGACCTTGAGATTGAAATTCAAATTCAAATTCAAATTCCATTTCCATTTCCATGCAATGCATATATTATATGCATCTGGATCTGGTTTTAGTTTAGGTTGAAAGAGATGGAGATGGAGATGGTGCGCACTGAGCAGTATTCACAAGTCTCAATAATTTAGCATACGGTTAGTTCTAATACACCACCATTCTCAGTCACAATATCATTAATTTAGACCCAAACTATACTATACTATACTATACACTTTTAGAGATAATGCATTTAGGCCCTTTGGCGTGGGATGGGATGGATCATGGATTCGGACTTGGAAGTGGATTTTAAATGCTTCATGATGATTATTAAGTCGTTCTGTGTAATATGATCGATGATCAACAGTTTGTAAATTCGGCCCCTTTTATGTTATTATTATTATTATTTCATATCTTCTACATAATTTGTCATTTTTATTTTTATTTTATAATAGAAATAAATTTAAAACATTATCCATATACCAATCTTCAACTCCTATTAAATTCAAGTTTGATTTCGTTTAGGTTTATATGCATGTGAAAGATAACTAGTGTATTATAGCTCTACATACCATTTATACTTTGAAAGATACTAAAATAAAATAGAATTTCCAACAGTCTCAGATCACTTGCCAACTTGCCTGTCGGGTCTAATTTGTAAGGTATTAGGTTTGAGGCGAGTCGGGCCTAATTTGTATGACTTGCTTGTCGGCCTAATTTGTATGACTTGCCTGTCGGCCTAATTTAAGGTATTAAGTTCAGCTGCAGGTTTACCCAGTACGCATTGCGAGTTCCCACGTCATAAAAAAATAAAATAAAAAAAAAAAAAAAAGTAAAATAAAAGAAATACTAAACTTAACCACACTAAGTATATCACAATCTCAATGAGGAAATGGTGTACTAATCCTTGACAAAGCCTAGTTTTGTACTCCCTCGATCCTACCTATTTTCTATATTAGTCTCTTCCACATTATTTATTATTTTGAAATATAATTATACATTTTAATTCAAGTATTTAGTTATCTTACAATATCGACAATTATTTCTTCTATATCATCATTATTTTTACTAATATATTTTTTAATTATTTACTAATTATATTTTACCTAAATTTTCGTATTTATAATAACGCGTTCCATATTATATGGGACGGAGGAAGTATAAAATAAATTTTATAACGAGCTAATGTCCATATTCCGATGTCACTTATCTATTATTTTCTAGGTTATATGTTTCTAACAAAGTACATATATAGAATCACCTGTAATGTATTGTACAAACAATTCATTAGTATTAGCATATATGATGCAATATAAATATTTTTTAACTTTCAGCGAAAAAAGTTTAATTATAATGGGACTATTCTATTAATGATTGAGATTTAATGTAGTAACTATTAATTTTCTTTTGTAAAATATAAAAAAAAAAATACAGATATTACCCCATATTTTAAAATATAAATAAATTGAATTTGATTGGGCCGAATAGATATTTGGGCTTACTCTTTAGCCAATTCATTGCAGAAATTTAGGGTAGTGACCTAAGCCTGAAAAGTAGGGTCCGAATTCCGACTGTGTGAATTTGGATAATCAGTGGCATTATCGTTAATAAGAAGAAGATTGAGTCTATTTACAGAAGAGGTGGTATAATTATCATCAGCTCATTCCCATGTCACATGTCTCTCTCTCTCTCTCTCTCTGTTCATTTCCGCACGAAAAGAAAAAGGGCAGAAACACTCCTCTGTCTCTCCGTCTCATTCTCTCTCTTTAGTACGTTCCGAAGGTTTCATCCGTATCCTGAAATATTCTTCGATTCTCCATTCTGATCTGACACATAAGAGCAGGCAATTATTGCAATCGCTGTTTTCTAGGAATTTTACTTGTGTTTTTGGTACTGAATCGACGCAACGATGTCTCTGAGGCCGGGCGCGAAGACGGAAGTTCGCCGGAGCAGGTACAAGGTGGCGGTGGACGCGGAGGAGGGGCGACGGCGAAGAGAGGACAATATGGTGGAGATCCGGAAGAATAAAAGGGAGGAGAATTTGCTCAAGAAGCGCCGCGAGGGGCTTCAAGCTCAGCAGTTTCAGCCTACTGCTAGCGCGGGGCAGCACGATAAGAAGGTAGTTTGTATTTCTAGGATTTTTTTTCCTGCTTTTATTTCTTTATTACTAATCTAAATATCGTGTTTGGATCTGTTCCGAATGGTTTGCTACTTCCTTTTATTGATTGCTGATTGCTTCAATCAGCCGTTCGCCGCAGTGTTTTTTGCACTCGAAGCTGAGTTTCTTCGTTATGTTTATTGGTATATTTTCGGTGATTGAATGGAGACGTAGTCGGGTGTTCATATCCCTTCGCTATTTATTTGAACCTCGAAGATTTTAAGCTGAAGCTCTTTCTAGTAGCACGCTTAGAGGGCAAAATAAGCTTTTCTTTTACCTGTTCTCCGTGTATAACCAATTGGCTTTAAATCTACATTTCAATTGTTTTGCGTATGCATATTTCTGCAGTTAGAGAGTCTTCCCGCTATGGTTGCTGGTGTTTGGTCGAACGATGCTGCACTGCAACTTGAGGCCACAACTCAGTTCCGGAAACTTCTATCAATAGGTAAATAACTAGTATCTATATGCATAGAGGGTACTGATTTTGCATCATTAAATTTACCTGTTTGCTTATTTGATGTTAACAGAACGCAATCCACCAATAGAGGAAGTGATTCATTCTGGAGTTGTGCCTCGCTTTGTTGACTTTCTTGCTATAAATGATTACCCACAACTCCAGGTAAATAGATATAGAACTGGTTGCCTGCTGTTTAATTTCTTATTTTTCCCTATAATGTAATTTTCAATATTGTTTGTTTTTGAGCATGTAATTGTCTCTTCTCATCTAGTTTGAGGCAGCTTGGGCTCTCACGAATATTGCTTCTGGTACATCTGAAAACACCAGAGTGGTGATTGATCATGGTGCTGTTCCGATATTTGTGAAACTTCTTGGCTCTTCAAGTGATGATGTCCGTGAACAGGTATGGATTCCCACCTGCCTACTTTATTTGTGGTATTACAATACAGGATAACTGTATAGATATTATTTCTTTTGGATTTTTATGCTTTTACTTTACATTTTTGTGTTGTTGTATTTGGATTATTATGCATTTATTTTATGTTGGTTTTTAGGCTGTCTGGGCATTGGGAAATGTTGCTGGTGACTCACCGAAATGTCGTGATCTTGTCCTTGGCTATGGGGCTTTAATGCCATTATTGGGACAATTTAATGATCAGGCTAAGCTGTCTATGCTGAGAAATGCAACGTGGACGCTGTCAAACTTCTGTCGGGGAAAGCCACAACCTCACTTTGAGCAGGTTTGTTTAATAGTATTTTCCATGTCGTGATCATTTCTTCTGACAATCCTGCATAACTGAAACCTTTTGTTTGATAACTCTTGAGCTGCTGAGCAGGTGAAGCAAGCCCTGCCTGTCCTTGCTCGGCTAATTCATACACATGATGAAGAAGTCCTTACAGATGCATGTTGGGCACTGTCATATCTATCTGATGGCATTAGTGATAAGATTCAAGCTGTGATTGAGTCTGGTGTATGCCCTCGTCTTGTTGAGCTTTTACTGTAAGCTGTAGAACCTTGTGATGATCCTAAATAATCCTCTGAAGTCTCAGTTGATTTTCTGAGCTATTTTGTGGTGGTTTCTTATTTTGTGTTTTGTCATATGACTTATGTTGTTATGCAGTCACAACTCTCCATCTGTTTTGATTCCTGCCCTCAGAACTGTCGGTAATATTGTGACTGGTGATGACATTCAGACTCAGGTACTCCTCCGGAAATACTTCAACAGTGTTATACCTATTTTATTATTTCTTGATAACGCGTACCTATTTTATTGTTGCTCAAATGTTTACTTGTCACTCCTTCAATGCACCATACTTTATGCTCAAATAGGATATGATTTTTAATAAGAAAGTAATCATGTCTTTCAATATCTTCTTCCGAGCTTACAAGTTGATAATTGCTTAGCATCCTATATTTATCTTACTTCTGGTAATGAATGTATCTTAATCTTGATCAAGTTTTACCTGCCTAGCATTCAAATGTTTTAAATAATCTCTTGTAAGTTAGACAGATACTGGTCCATTCAGTATTTGAAACATGGTGGTGTGAAGCTATACCTGTGTTTAATAATTCTTCATATCAAATCTGTCTAGAGGTGAGCTTTGATTTACTTGTGTAACTTGATTAGCTTTTAACATATTTAAGAATTGCTGGTAGACTGCTTGCAGCTTAATTTATATGATGAAAGTGTTGCAAAAATTTCCCAACTATATGGTTTCTTTTACTAGTTTCATTGTTACGAGTCACTGTGCTACCTTTTAGGGTCTTTGAGCAAGTTAAGAAGCAGCTAATTAGCATAGATTACTAACTAGCCCCCTGTCTCAACTGCCTATCCAGGAGATCATTCATTTTTTAATATTGATACTTTTATTTCTTCTGAATAATTCAACACTTCTTTCAGGTTATCATTGATAACATGGCTCTTCCCTGCCTGCTCAATTTGTTGACTCAAAATTACAAGAAGAGTATAAAAAAGGAAGCATGTTGGACCACCTCAAATATCACTGCAGGAAACAGGGATCAGATCCAGGTATTAAGAATTCTGTGGAACTATTTCATTTGAATCTCCTCCATAGTCCCTATGTACAATATTTGAGAATACTGAAGAAATCTGAATAGAATATTAATTTTTTAAATTGAGTACAGTTCTAGTGTGTGTCTTATTGCTGCACTTCAACGCACTCGCTTGATTCCTTTATTTTCTCTGAGTTATTAAGCAGATTGATGAGGCTTTTTTGTTTGATCATGCAGGCTGTTATTGATGCTGGTATTATAGCTCCTCTTGTTATGTTACTTCAAAATGCAGAGTTTGATATAAAGAAAGAGGCTGCCTGGGCTATTTCCAACGCCACTTCTGGTGGAACTCATGAACAGATCAAGTGTGATAGTTGTTGCTATTTTCCTTTCCATTATACGAACGCACTTTTCAAACTTAATTCAACTTACATTGCAGATTCATGGTGCGCGAGGGATGTATAAAGCCTCTGTGTGACCTTCTACTTTGTCCTGACCCAAGAATAGTAATAGTGTGCTTGGAAGGCCTTGAAAATATTCTGAAAGTAGGGGAAGCTGAGAAGAATCAGGGCCACACTGGAGATGTAAATATCTATGCCCAGATGATTGATGATGCTGAAGGCCTGGAGAAGATTGAAAATCTTCAAAGTCATGACAACAATGAAATCTATGAAAAGGCAGTGAAGATCCTGGAAACATATTGGTTGGAAGAAGAAGATGAGCAGCTGTCTGGTGAGGCTCAACAATCTGGGTTCAATTTTGGCGGCGGCAACCTTCCAGTTCCATCCGGTGGATTCAAATTCAGTTAAGGTAAACAAAAACTTTCATGTGAGTGTTTTATTTGGTCTGTGCATATGTTAGTTCTGCCTTTAGTAGGAATTATATGATGCTTTTTATTTACTGCTGTCAGTTCAAATCATTTAAATTGAGAGTTTTTCTCTTTGTGTTGCAGCAATGCAGTGATATGATTGAACTTATATCATGGGAATACAAGTCCTTCAACAAGTGTGGCTGGTTAAATTGTCGTCCGGTGTCATGAGGCCAATCAGTCCACATTGCTACCTCATAAGGTGCAAAATCCTGCTGTGGATGAAGAAATTAAAATTGGCTCCTATCCTGTGATCGGTCCTCAAGAGTCTGCTGAAAATAAAAAAGGTCAGTCTTGTGTTGTCATCAGCCAACATTCGCATGTGTTTTGATGAAATCAAACTGCGAGAAATGTAGAGACCTATTCTTGTTTTGGGTCTTTGTGATGTGAGCTTTTTCTTCCATTGTGTTGGAAAGGATACATAAAATATCTACCTACAACCATGGAAAGTTATTTCCCATGGCTCTGTAGGAAACAAAGTGAAAACAGGTCTTATATTACTTGAGATTATACCATTATGTTTGCTGAAGAATCCTGGTGGTTGTCGTCGTCGTCGGTGTTCAAACACCCCTATAAGTTGTTTTAGCAGAAACATAAGCACACTTGCCTTGGATGTCTAATGAAATTATCAACTGCAAAGGTTGTGTTTTTCCCATGATGTCTTTTTGTGTGGCTACCTACTATTTTTCATTGGTTTATTCATACTTGTTAATCTAATCCTTTCAGTCTCTACTATAGTAACCAACACCTACCAATTGTCTTTGTTCCATATGTTTAATATCATTCATGATTTGTGTAGGCCATCTCTTATTTAGACCAGTTGAGTTGATAATAGGAGAAAGCATATCTGTCACTTTCTGCAATAAATATTTCATCAAGCCTTGTTTGTTTCTCTGTTATCTAGTGCTAAATGTTACTTATGGTATCATCTACTGTACTTTGAAAATTAAATATATCTAGGTATGCAATAATTGAATTATAATATGGTACAGCCGTTTAAAAATGATAATAGGTCAATTTGGGTCGGCTTCACACAACTTTACCCTAATCTGTTTATTATTTAATCTGTTTATTAGTGTCTTGGGTTCATATAGATATTTATATATAACTGAGTTGAAATTTCTATCCAAATTTAATTATTTTGCTCCGGGTTCGAGTTGAATTGTTTTATTTTTTTTATATATAATAAATTAAATAATTAATATTAATATATTTATGCGATTATCGTTCAAATTTTCAAATTTAAGTCGGATTAGATTTTACGCTTAAGGTCATACATGTCTTTCTTGTTTCAGTGAATCCACATGTAGGAAGCAGCGGTTGTCATGTTTGCTTGTATTGTACCATGTAAAACAGCACTCACCCACCAAAATAATATATTGCATTTGTTGCCCCCATAAATTGAGAATCAAACAAACAAACTACTGCGTTGTGAATAAAAACAGTAACAATCAGACACCAAGATTTGCAGACGTAGGGACAAATGATTTCACTATTATTGTTAAAATTATAATATTAATAATAATGTGATAATGATATGAGTGTTAAATAAATTCTGGTATCGTCTTGTCTTGTCCTGTCCTGTCTTTTCAAACCCAGCTGAATAATATGACACACTGATTTCGTCGTCCTCTTCAATTTGTATGCACTCTTTTAGTATTTGCTTATAACCAAGATATAAATAGTTCGTCGTTTTTGGTACTTGGATTTTTCATATTAAAAATAATGGTTTGATATAGTATTTATATGAGAAACAAATATTCTTTTTTTAAGTGCAAAATAACAGCCTTTGCATCCTAACTACTAACCTGTTAATTACATGAAAATAAATTTCAATTGACAGGAATCTTTCCTCATTAATTAGCAATATATATAGCCTGCATTTTTGTCTTCAAAAGTCCTTTTCACAAATCCATTCATTCTCATGCTAGAAAATTATTCCAATTTACGATATAAAAAACTATACAATAGATACTTGATTAATTATTTGAAAGTCTTTTAAATAAATTACATACTAATTACTGTATTTATTTATTTACTTATCCAAGTAATCCCTTAAAAGCTCCACCGCAAAGATCAGATCAAAATCATTTTCAACGGCTGAGATGTACTAAAAATTTGAGCAGTGGAGAGGGACAAAATGGTCAATCTGCAGAAAATATCAAATATTGAGCCAGCTAGGGTTTTGTTGTCCCGTTGGCGTTTTAGCAGGTTTTGGTTGAGAGTATATAAAAAGCTTAGATCAGCACATTGCACATATTCATACTCACGCCAAAAAGACTGCACGGCCCGTCGCGCTGCATCACTCATCGAGTCATCGTCTATTCTCAATTCCATAAATCCTCTGATCATTTGATCATCTGAATCTCTAGCGTTTTCCGTTTGTGTTTCTCTATTTTTCGATACAATTTCTGTGTCGATGCTTTGATCATTTCGTGATCTGATTAGAGACGCCTGCAGCGCCGCCAAAACTGTTTGCTGGTGTGCGTTTTCTCTGTGCTTTCGTATTAGCTTGGATTGCAGCAACTAGTTCCCTGGTTCATGGTATGGATCTGAAAGTAGATAAGGTGAGGAGTTCGGTTTTTATTCCTTGATTTGCACATTTCATTCTGATCAAATCTCGACATGATACTCGTGTATTCTTTATCTAACTTGGTTTAGTGTTTTTTATTCTTCAGAAAGCAGATTTGGAGGGGAAACATCACGACAGTTCTACATCGAAGAGTTGCAGCGATTGTCACACAACTAGAACCCCTCTGTGGCGAGGCGGTCCATCTGGACCCAAGGTGACTGCCTTATTTTGATTTATCTTCAAAAAATTTAAACCGAATCTCCATTTCTGATTTCGAAATACACTCGATTGTTCAGTCATTATGCAATGCGTGTGGGATCAAATACAACAAAAAGAGGAGGCAACTGTTGGGACTTGATACAGGAAAAAGCAACAAGAAAAAGAAGCGAACGAGCGTCGATCGGAGCGATGCAGTGCGAGAGATTTTGAAAATGCGACTTACAGCTTTGGGAAGTGAAATCGTGTTGCAGAGATCGGGGAAACTGATGAGTAAGTTGCGAGAGGAAGAGCAGGCGGCGATATTGTTAATGGCGCTGTCTTGTGCTTAAACCAGCAGTACCTCAAGCTGATCTCATTGTACCTCAACTTTTCTGACTATTCAAAAACAATATTGTCTAACCAAAATTGTAATGCCTGCCTGCAAAGGACTGATTTAGCTTTCCGATCACTAAATTCACTGTAGGGATGCTTTTGTAGCAGGACTTTTATTCCTTCCTTCATTTTTGCTTTGACTGTGCAGTTGCAGTAACATTCTGTTGGCGAAATGATACTCATAAAAAAAAAAAAAAAACAAATTCATTTTAAAGAATTCTATTAAAAGGAAAAAATCAATTGGGCTTATCAAAAACCCCTTTCGTAATTGGACTGGTTATGTTTGTCAATTCATCATGTAGTTGTTGGGCCCATTGGGCTAAAAATGTGCCCAAAATTTGTGGTCTATTTTATATAGTAATTCTTTAATTATGCATAAAAGTATTTTAGTAAGGCGAGGTTAACGGAGCTTCTAGGCTATTCGAATAAAATGGGCTGACACGAACAATCTAGTAACCACTGGAACTTCTGCCACGTGTTCCAATCCGACACGCGTCGCGCGACGGTATATACGACGCTCGTCATAGCCAAAAACACAATACATGCTTTGTTGTCGCCGTCGCTGCATTTTGAGAAAAAAAATTGAAGAAAAAAGTCATGATGCAATCCAGATTGGCTGCAACTGTTGCCGGATTTAGTCGGATCGGCTTTCGGAAACGGTTTCTGGTACGGAGCTTTGGCACCGGAGCCACTACCGGGAGGACGGCTGATCCGGCGGTTCACTCCGTTGAGCCTGAAGTAGGTATCGGAATTTCAATCGGAATCTAATTGGTAGAGTTTCTGAGGGATGATTGATTCACGTGTTGATTGTATGGAATTTGTTTCAGGAAGTTTCCAGAACCGACTCGATTATCGATGAGAAGAGGCGCCACCGCTCGCCGGAGCAGGAATCGACCGGCAAGGACGCCGAACCCTACGTTCATACCAAATCCGGTCCTAAACTGGAGTCCTCCGGCGTCGCACCTCTAATCAATCCAACCACGCAGCAAAAGCGCCGGATTTCTAACTACTCCACCGACGGTAGCCCCTGGCCAAAAAGCGAAGACGAAACTGACAGGAAGGTGCAGAGAGAAGAACAGGAGAGAGACAACAGAGAGTATTTCAAGCACCACAAAGCGTCGCCGCTGTCGCACATCCAGGTTGCTGATACCAGAAAGCCGATAACTCAGGCGACCGATCGCGGTGGTTCCGAGAATTACGTGAAAATAATCGACGGTTCAACCGTCAAGCTGTGGAGTCCGGAGCAGCTTGATACCGTCGACGACTCGCTCCGCCGCGCAATGGAAATCTACCGGAGAAACGCCGAGATGGGAGACCCTGATTCCCCCCACGGAAAAGTTCTCCGGCAGCTTCGCGGCGAATACTGGTGAAGGTCAGAGATCCGAGTTCTCACCGTCACGTTTCGGTTGAACTTTTTTATCCAAACCAAAAATAATAATGAAGAAAGATATACCACATTCTAGAAGCGTTACCATTTTACCTTTTTTTTTTTTTTTTTTACGTCAAACTGTATGATTTTATTTAATACTCGTCCATACAATTCCAAGGTAATTAGGTTCACTAGTTTTAACGAAGCATAAATAGGGTGTGTTTTGTGGTTTGAATTTTGGGTTTCGGTTTGATGGCTTGACTCGTGTAATAGCATCTCTCCCCCTAAGGGTTCTTTTTTTCTTTTTTTTCTTTTTTTAAATGACGCAGAAAAAATATTTTGGTACATAAATGTGTTCATAGTTAATATTTTTAATGCAGTATAGAAAAAAAAATATTTGTTTTAATATTACTTTTAAAAATATAAATAGTAAAATTCAAAATAAAATTTTTTAATCAAATATACTTTGTATTCCCTCCGGGTAGGTAATTTTTGATAATATTTATAATAGAAAAAAAAAGTTTTCATTACTTTATTATATTTATAAAATGTAAAGTATTTTGTATATAGGTGAAAAAAATGATTAAATAATTAGGTTTTGTTTTTTTTTTATTAAATTGAGTAGGTAAATATTATCAATATATAAAAATAAATATAATATTAAAGAATATAAATTTAAAATATTTAAGATTTTTTTCATAAATAAAAAATATATATAAATAATATAAATTAATGGATGCAATAAGTAGTACTCTCTCGGTGACGTTATAGGATATAACTTTTTATTAGGGATATGATTTTTTTAGACAGTGTAGATTAGTAATTAGTGTAGATTAGTAATTAGTAACTTAGTTATGATATTAGTTTATTATTTTTTATATGAATAATATTATTGATATTTTAAAATTTTTTAAGATTATATTTCAAAATAAATATATGATATATAGATATTATTTTGTAGATAATAAAATTTTATATAATATAAATACAAAATATTTTTATTCATTTATTATTACCATACATTAGTTTTATAAAAATAAGAAATTTTAAATATATATAAAAAATTATACTCCCTCGGTCCCAAAAGAAGTGTCTATTGAGAGTTGACACGGGAATTAAGGAATAATAGTATTTAATTGAAAGTAGGTATAAAGTAGAATATAAATGACTAAAATGCCTTTGCAGGGATGATATGAAAAAATAAAGTAATTTTGTTATAAAGTAGAGACTACGGTTGAAAACAAGACAATTGTTTTGAAACGGACGAAAATGAAAAAAAAAAAACAAATTTTTTGGGACGGAGAGAGCATTATTTGAGGAGAGATACAAATAAAAGGTTTTAAGTGGCTAAATTGATTTATATTTATTAAATTTATTTAAAATTGATAAAATTAAAAAAATATATAAAGAGTTAATTTTTGTGAGACAGTAGAAAAAAAAAAAAAAAAAAGTCATCTGTATTATAGCAGAAAAGGGGTGTGTAGCGGGAAGGAGGGAGTATTTAATACTGTAAGACCCATCCGCTGGGCCCATTGCTTCGCTGCTTATCCCTTCTTTCTTCCATATGAGGTCCAAAATTAGTGCACACAAATAAAATAATGAAATTGAAAGAATAGCCCAAAAAAAGAGTCCCTAAAGTTAGAGTTTAAAAAGAGTCCTCACTAAAAAACTTGGGTTAATAATGCAATAGGGGATAGTTAAGGAATCGAATATTCTATCTATCAACAGAAATTTAGATACAGTAATGTGAATCCAGTTCTACAAATCATCTCGTTCTTGTACATTTAACAAATATATATATATAGATTTAGTACATAAACTGAAGCTTCGGAGAATTTTAAATTTCTACAAACCTGACCAATGATAGGTGGTTCTTCTTCGCATAGTGCATTGTCGTGTCGGATTCATAATTCAGAGGAAGAAGAAGAAGAAGAGAGTGGAAATTAAAATGGAGGTTGAAGAAATTAAGAGAGACGATGTGAATTGGTCGGAATGGGAATTGTCGTAATCGTCGTCGGAGTGATCATTAGACGAAGAATTGTTGTTGTAATAGAAAGGAAAGTACGACACAATAGGGTTTGGCGGCGGCGGAGCTGCGTATCCGGGAGGATATTTCGACGGCGCGGTTGGGTAGTACGCGCCGCCGCCGCCGCCACTCGCCGGCGGGTAATAGGACTGCTGCAGTGGAGGCGGCGGAGAGAAGTAGTAGACACCGCCACCGCCTCCGGTAGGCGGCGGCGGAGGGCAATTTAGCCCGGTTGGAGGCGGCGGAGACGGCGACGGCGGTGGCGGTGGAGAGGAATCTGGCTGGCAAGGATTATCGCAAGAAGAGCACATTGTGCAGGCGACTTGGTCTTTTCCGGCGGCAGTTATTCCGCCGGAGTTAGGTAAGAAGAGAGAAATGAAGAAAAATACAAGAAGAAAAGGAGCTGCCATTTTTGTTTCTGTATTAGCAAAAAGCTTCACTGAAGGATCTGAAGAAAGTCTGAAATACAAATAGAATAGGGTTGAAAGTGGACGAAGAAGAAAGAATATGGGGAAAAAATAAAAGCAGGTTCAATGGTGCATGTGCCTTGATATCCGCACCATCTCATCCCTCTATCTCAACCACGCTTAGCCGCACCCGGGAGTGAAGATCCTGATTAGATCTGTACCACACAATAGAATTATGTACGGTTTTAGATCATTTGTTGGGCTGGGCACCTGGGTGTAAGTAACACTTTCTACCATTGCTTTGACACGTGCCAGTTTCTCATTGGCTTTGTCTCTTTCCGAAGATTTAGTTGTAATCTACGAAAATAAAACTTAAACAGGTGTGTTTGTTTGGAAATTTCTGAGAAGTTTTATTAATTTTTTAATTTTTAAAAAATAATTAAATTTAATATTTCTTTTTTATGTTAAAATATTATAATAATGCTTATTTAAATCACGTTATACGTGCGGATTTTGCATTCCACACTATTACTTGCATATGCTATTTATATTTTCAATTTGGGTTTAATTAGGAATGAGTTATGGACAAATGAGTATGAGCACGTGACGATGTTGTTTGGATTCAAGAATGCATTAAATGCCGATATCGACCTACGAGATGCTAACTTTGTCACCAATTTCTTCTTATCTCAGCCCACACAAAAATGCAACTATTGCTATTGGGCCCTTTGCAGATCCAATAAAGGTTTGGGCTTTGATCAACCTCGTATGAAAAAGAAGTGAAGTACGTACGGTATATAAAAAAATAATAATAAGAATAAGAATAAGAATAAAATTTTAAAAATTTTATAATAGCGTAATAAGTTACGATTTTTAAGGTTACATTTCTAAATTTGATGTAATATAAAAGTGTGTCCCACCGCTAATATAGTCAACGACAACTGGAATTCACATCGGGAAGGGGACCTCATTCGGCGAGTACATCCACACCGTTCAATGCTACGAAATCCACGCCGTTGATTTGGACCTTTCTACTCATCAATAACGATTAATGACACCACAGTTTTAGAAATTTATAAATTCAGAAATGAATATACGTAAACGAGACGGAAAACTCGAAATTAGAAATACATAAATGAAGGAAAATAGTTTATCCATTTAATAATTCAATTTCCTTTTTTCCTAAAAATAAATAAAGGAAATGTTTATTACTACTATCCCATGCTATTTATTTGCAACCCTGTTCTATTTTTTTCACCATCTCATTAATGAAGGATAATTTCGAATTGAATTATTTTTGTAATAAAATTTACATTAGAGTATTACCATAATCGTAATAAAAAAGTAAAATGAGAATTGTGATGATAATGGGATTATCAACGTAAGTCGATATTGGTAATGCAGATTTGGTTAATATGTTATTTTATTTTTAAAATTTTTTTATGTTTAATATTATTCTTAATTTAAAACCTAAACTGTTTCAATTTCAAAAATATTAAATTTTAATATAAAATAACAAACACACAAATATGAAGCTACATGTATGAAACAGTAAAAAGAGAACTGCTCACTTAAGGGATGTTTGTTTGTTTGAAATTCTTCTTAAAATAATCCACTTTGATAGATGTTTCAAAATTTTAAAATATTTATATATATATATATAATGAAAAAAAAAACTTCTAATATAATAATTAAATTAATATTTATATCAATAAATAGGGAGTAACACAAATTTAAATGTATTTTATAGACATAACTTAAATTGGTAAAGAATCATTTTCAGGTACCATTTTCATAATAGGTCAAACGGAGCAATGGAAATTAGCTTTACTTGTTCAGTATAGTTTCCTATTACCAAACAACTCCTATCCCCATTAATTACACGCCTATCACCACCCCTGCACTCCTTATTTATTTATTTATATATTTATTTTCTTTATATATATATATAATTATAAAATAGGAGTAACATATAACCGTGGTTACGAACTCCCACCTGTTTCCGATTTCATATGAGAGCATGAAAATCCCGTTTCTCCGCACTGTGTGAATAATTTATCCCCCACTGAAAGCGTATTCTCGAAGATCAGGGGAAATGGAAGGGTTTACAGCAAAGACGTACCGAGGAATCCAAGGATACTGGCGGAAGAAAGGTTACGATCGGTTGAAATCCGGCGGCCGTAAAAACAAGGCACCGGTGGTGCAACTCGGTGCACAAGACGACGATTCGCATACCAGGCGTCGATTCTGGCGGATTAAACCGAAGCGGCGGTTGAAGCTGAAGCTCCGTTTCTCGCCGAAGAAGTTCCTTATCGGATTGCGCGATGCGTACGTTAATTTGATGCTCAAGCTTGCGAACACGCGAGCGTTAGGCGGCGGTTACGGCTTAGATGGCGCCTCCGCCTTTGGAAAGCGACCGATTAAGGAGTACGATGAGAAGATGCTCGTCGAGATCTACAAATCGATCGTGATGGCGCAAGGACCGCTGGTTCCCTGCGAAGCACCTGCCATAGCCTCCAAAAATGATTGCCGACGGTAAATACTCATCGCTTTCGGTAACGTTTTTTCCGAATCGTTGCTAAATTGAATAAAAGAAGCTTTCCAGATTTTGCTCGTTTTGATCCTCTCTAAACAGAGTTAATGTTGTACCTAAAACATTTCTCCTGCATCTTTTGTTGAGAGGTAATCAAATTGAAGGAAACTGTTTTCTAGCGCTGCATTTTTATACTTAAAAAACATCAAACAAAAACAAAGCACAAAACAATATGTCAGTGAGGTATCATCATATAAGAAATCAATCAACGTGTCTCTGAAGTTTGGCAGAATCATTTCAATGCTTTTGTTCAGTACTCACGAGAAACTTCAACACTTAGCTGCTGCCTCATTGCTTCAATTTTTCACACACAACAACAAACAATATTGTATTGTACGGAGATTTACACAAATTCCGTAAACAGTCAAATTAGTGAATAAATACATAAGGTAACCATTAAATTGCTTGATGCACAGATTTGACCTTCAAATGGATTTGGAGGTGCAAACGTCGTGTTTAATGCGGCCGAATCCTTAGGTCATGAATTGAAATGGCATGTGGCGCTCCTGATCCTAAATCAGACTATTCAATAATTTTATTTCTTATTTAAAATTGCGGATATCAAATTGTACTTGTAAAGATTCCGATATGAGAACCGCCATTGCAGCATTCGTCGTGTATATGTAGGTCACATGGCCCATCCTTTATGGGTCATCCTTGTCTACAATATAATAGAATATTGCAATAAAATAGTCCACAAAATTAGATTATGTTCACTATTATATATATCCATATTATGTGTACACTCAATATAAATTTTAATATGGATATATATATATATATATAATCCGCTATAAAACTGTCAACGTCCTTAAGTACATGGCTGTAAATTAAGATATAAATTTGTGTAAGGTGATGAAGAGCATCATACAACAAAGATTCTATTGAGCGTATGCATATGGGTTCGAACCCCGACGTCTCAGGTCACCTGCCACACATGGTTCGTCTAGTGTGACTTTCCCGTCGAGCTTGGTTTGCAGGATATTAGGTTTGGCCGGGGGTTTACCCAGTATACACTTTTGGATAGCGGCTGCGGTCCCTACTGTCATCCAAAAAAATTATAATATTGAAATAATATTTAAAAAAATTATTAAATAAGCTTATATATTTCTGCTAAAAAGATCATAGTTAAAAGCAATTCTCTATTGAAGAAAATTTGGAACCCAGACACTAGAAAACACAAACAAACAAGTTGTGTAAAATTTTACATGGGCCCATTGGTATTACCCAATTAAATCAGTGGCTTAGTAGTTAGCGACTAGGAGGCCCAATTTGAATTGGGCTTTATAAACAACGTTCCGCACAGGCATTGTCCAAAAACTTCCATACACTATCCCAACTATATTTCAATTGTTAAGTATGATGTACTTGCCAATTATCAATACAAAAATACAATTGCTAAAGTTGACATATACAATACCAAAAATGAAGGATTTTGGAGGATTTTCACTATTTATCCAATTTTTTCCCCCAAAAATATCAAATTAAACACCTATTTTTCATTTTTTATATTATACTAAAAATCAATTTTACATTCAAAACATCACATCAAACCCTATTTATATCACATCATACAACTATTCAAATTCAAAATTTTTACTATTCAAATCCCAATCCAAAATCCAAACCCCCAAACAAACACACCCTGAGGGGAATTGTCAATGTCATTGTGCTACAGCTGGCCCTGCCTGCACTGCACTCCCTCACGTAATCATATTTAATTTTTAGATAGGTAATAAAATAAGTACGAGTATATAATAGCGTAAGGGTAAAATATAAAGATAAATATAATAAACGCAACAGCAGATCAGATGGGTTGCTGTGGTGGGAGGAAAACCTAACCAAATACCCTATAATAATAAGAATACTGCAATTAGTAATAGTAATGGTAATATTGAGTATCTATAAAATTTTAAGTAAATAAAAAAATAAGCCCTCCCAGATTCTTTTTTTTTTTTTTTTTCTTTCTATTTTTATGGGGGTTTATTTTATTTTTTTATATTTGGGTTTTCGTCAACCTCTCCTCCACAGTGAAGAGAAAAGAAAGAAGAGAGGAGAGGGAAGAAGACAGAGAAGAAAAGAGGGAAGAAGTTGGCTGTCCAGAGAGACTGATGCGACGCACGTCGGCGCATTTTAGTGCAGAGGATCTTTTTGCTTTTATGCACTTGCCATTAGGCGGCATTGGCTTCCATTTTTGTTGATGGATTGATGCTTCCCTAATCTACACTTTTTCTCTCATGAATTTCGCTTCGTTCCTACGGCACACCATTGGAGAGAACATTAATTGCAAAAGCAAGGCACAATCGCCTATCGGGATTTGGAATTGCTTCTCCTCTTCGTGTAAGTTTTGTTTTTCGCCCCAATTCTGGCGGACCTTCGAGGAACCCTAGCGTTCCTCCTTTCGTCCGACTGCTACGGCATCAAGTTTACGAGAAAGAGACGGCGGTTGTTCCAAAGAGGAGCGAAAATGCTGTGGGTAATGAGATTTTCGGGGTTTTTCTCGGCGGCAATGGTGATGATTGTGCTCTCCCCGTCGCTTCAGTCCTTCCCGCCGGCGGAGGCAATTAGGTCTTCTGACGTTGATTCGTATCGCAGGCTTCCCAAGTCCTCCTCAAATCCCATGGGCAAACTCCCCTTCCGAAGAGCTCCGTCATTCCGCAATGCCGATGAATGCCGCTCATCGGAATTAGGAAAGTCCAGCGTCTGCGATCCATCTCTAGTTCATGTGGCGATTACTCTCGACGGTGAATATCTGCGGGGCTCAATCGCCGCTGTTCATTCCATCCTCCAGCATTCCAAGTGTCCAGAAAGTGTGTTCTTCCATTTCCTGGTCTCGGATAATGGCTTTGAAGCCCTAGTCCGATCCACTTTTCCGGAATTGAAGTTTAAAGTGTATTATTTCGATCCTGAAATAGTCCGTGGTCTGATTTCAAGCTCAGTCAGGCAGGCACTCGAGCAACCATTAAATTACGCTCGAAATTATCTAGCGGATCTCCTTGAAAGTTGCGTTACAAGGGTGATCTACTTGGATTCAGATCTGGTTGTGGTCGATGATATCAAAAAGCTTTGGAGCACAAAATTAGGGAGCAAAACAATCGGCGCTCCGGAATATTGCCACGCCAATTTCACAAAATATTTCACTGAACATTTCTGGACGAATTCCGTCTTCTCAGGCGTATTTTCAGGACGGAATCCGTGCTATTTCAACACTGGTGTGATGGTTATAGATCTAGCCAAATGGAGGCGGTTCAAATACACGCGCCGCATTGAGCAGTGGATGGAGATACAGAAAACAAGCCCTAACCGCATCTACGAGCTCGGTTCGCTGCCGCCATTTCTGCTGGTGTTCGCCGGACGAGTGGCTCCAATCGAACATAGGTGGAATCAACATGGATTGGGTGGGGATAATGTGCGGGGGAGCTGCAGAGACCTTCACCCTGGTCCAGTAAGCCTGCTGCACTGGAGTGGCAGCGGCAAGCCATGGCTGCGGCTTGACTCAAGGCAACCGTGTCCACTCGACTCCTTGTGGGCGCCCTTCGATCTATACGGGCAGTCGACATGAAAGTTTTTGGCTTCCCCCCTCTGTAAAAGCAACAGCCTTTCTCACGCAGGTAAATTCTTCCGGTGATTGTTCCTTGTTAATTTTGCTCATAATTCTTATTTCTTCAACATTGTCCATTGTTATTTTTTTCTTCTCTGATTATATATATTTTTTGGCTTAATTATTCATTCCTTCTTCGAAACCTTTGTCTATGTCCGACGATTGACTCATTATCTTAATTTGTATTCTATTCTATTATTCTCTTCTGAAAATTATAAAGAAAAAGTAGAAGGATCATTTTCCTTTTTGTGGTTTTATACCTGGCATTTGTTCCTGCTTTTCTGTTGTGTCTGATTGGAGTTGGACTAATTCCAGAACTGTAATTGAGATTTTGAGCCATGGCCAATTATTAAAGAATTTTCCTCTGAATTCCGCAGAACGAATTTAAACGTATAAAACTACTCTGGCTTTTCCTGCCAGTTTGCATTAGTTTAGCAATTCAATGTGCATTTTCTGATCATGGGATATATCTTCAACTTCTTGAATTGATATCTTTATGTGTGCTATAAGTATTATTGTACATTTATATAATCGATACTACTTGCCGAAGCTATCTGGACAGCTGGATTGTCGGGCATCTAATAAGAGACTTTCGTTGAGGAGGAACAGTAGAATTTTTATGTGTAGAAAGCTTTCTTTAATCTTACCCCTTCAAGATTCTAAGGATGGGCGGATTTTGGTTTGATATTGTGGAAAAGGGAACTCAACGTGCAAATGGAATAGGATATATGTCATGTTTGTGGGAAGGTTGGTGTTCTTTTGTTGGTTATGAATGGGAAGTATGGTCTCTCCCCCACTAAGGTTGAATACCATTCTCCTAGCTGGATGAGACTTTTTGAAGTATACTTGTTTTTATAGCAAGAAGACACCGCCCCACTTGGACGTTGAGATTCTTTGTAACAGCACACTTTGTGTTGTTTTCTTGAAAAGAATTTGTGTCATCATGCTTACTTCTCCAGAGTTATGCTTGACTGCTAGCTAGATTTTTTTAAGTTGTAATGATTTCTGGATCAAAGATAATTCAGTGCTCAATAGATTGTGGTATTTGGTGAAGATTTAATAATCTAAGGATTCATTGATTGAAAACGAACAGTTATAAATTCTTCGAATGGATTGCCAGTGCTTTCAGGTTTAGAATAGATGTATATTTCAGATTTGCAATAATATGATGATAGGAGGCACCATTTGAATTAGACTACATGTTTGTGGTAATGAAAAAGGGTTTTTGTTAGTAAGTTCACGGGATTCATTGGGAAACAATAATATTGTGTTGGTGTATGTCCTGTGATCCAACAACCATCCATCCAAGTATTTTTCGTGACATGTGAATTTTAGGCTTTGGCTTCTATGAACCCAAACTGCATGATTCATTATTATTTATTTAGTACTACTAGTAATAATAATGTGAGATTAAACATCACAGCATGTCTTTTGTCATTACTGTGTAGATTGAGTGTATTGTAGAGGGTGGCTAGAAGTGAATTGAATTTGTTTATTATAAGCTTAATTAATAATTGAGATGGAAACCAGTTGTGTACAGGGTGGACCTTGTTTTAAACAATGGTGTGATTCCTTTTGCCCCCCGCCATCATCACACATGGCCACCAGAATTTTCTCATAAATTGTAATCAATGCAAATTTGGACTATTTTGTATTCTTTTGATTAAGAAAATGCTACTTGACAGTGAGTTGAAGCATGTATTTATTTTTTTTTCCCTTACCCTTAGTAGTATGATGTGTTGTACTTACTGTGTTGTACATTATTTCTATTAGCAGTAGGCCTATCAAAATTGTGGAGATCATCATGAAAAAAGAATAATCATTAATGAATTGTTAATCCATTATGCTCTTAGAGAGTTGTGTGGTGGCTCTTACGGGTAGGTAGGTAGCTAGGTAGGTTGGTGGTTTCATATTATTAGTAAATTGACATGGTCTTTCAGATGACATATATCTTAAATTATTATAGAAATTAATCAAAATAGATTTGTTCTTGCCCAAAAAGTCGTCACATTTGATGTTCCTTTGGTCCTTTTATCCGCACCTGTTATGGCATATAGATATTGCATGCAGATTCCCACTGCTAGAGTATATATATATATACACACAGAAATAAAAGGCAGCAGATTGGAAAACAAACAACAGCTCATTCTTAGCAAGCAGTATTTTGACATTGTGCATAAGTGACATAGGGTAGGGTCCCCCCACCCCACCCCTACCCCTACCCCCTTATCACTGAAGAAAATGAGAAAGAAAGAACACGAATCACTTTACAGCTGGAACACGACCAGCTTAGCTTAGTTATATTAGCTTAGTCTTTAGTAAGTGAAAGAAAACACTTTCTATGCTAAACTTGACTTGATTTGACGACTAACAACAAACACAAACATACATATCTATGAATTGAATGTCGAGTAACATTCAGCCAACAAATTCCAATCAAACACAAGCACAAAATATTACAAATGCAATAACAATACTACTACACTAACAATAACAATGGCGATACTTAAGGTATCTGAAGAAACCTGATGCTTCCCTGGCTTCCCGACGGCGGGTAGACATAGACGGTAAGCAGCGATATCACGATGCAGATGAGTCCCGACCACAGGTACACGATGGTCGGGATCTTACCCTTTCTCCCCATCAAACCCTTCGCGAAAGGATACAGATGAGACAGTACCCAGAAGCTGAAGAATACTCCCCCGAGCAATTTGCTCCACTGCGGGAACGGACTGTAAACCGTCCTCGACGCTGCCACGCCTATTGCGATCACATTGAACATGATGATCGTGATCGGCGGGACCATGAGCGTCGTCCACCTGAACTCATACAGCTCCGCAAACTCGTCCTCTCCATCGTCGGGAGCTGAGGATTTCGACGTCAGCGTGAATGATATGTCAATCCCGGCAATGACTTTCAACAGCCCTTGGATCACAGCAGCCGGGTGCGCGCTGGTTCCCCCGATCAGCCAGAATTGCTCGTTTCGCCACCAGTCGTGGAGGGTGATCCCCGACCACTTGATTTCCAAAACAGCGAGCAAACAGAGAGTAACTGTAATAGCTAGCAAGAACACGAGGAAGGTAACGTCCAACGTCTGGACAATGAACTTCCCGGAGAAGAGGCTCAGCGCCGGCAAGACGCAGTAGACAAGTAGGAATATCGACGTGAACGGGTATATCCCGACGTTGAAATACGCCACTCGTTGGAGGAACTTCATTCGCGGGCTGGCGAACAAGGCATTGTTCCGGGAGAAGAAGATCTCGACTGAACCCGTCGCCCAGCGCAGGACTTGGTTGAGCCTGTCGGTAAGATTTATCGGCGCGGTTCCTCGGAAGGCATCCCGTTTGGTGACACAATAGACTGATCTCCATCCTCTGTTGTGCATTCGGTAGCCCGTCACGACGTCCTCCGTCACCGAGCCGTAGATCCATCCGACTCGCTTGCCCCACTCGGTTTTATCCTCGTAGAAGCATGTTACGACGCTCACTGCCTCTGCTAGAGCTGCAGCATCCAACGGCTCGCGCTGAACAGCCAGCGACCCTGCGGGCCGGCCGAGGCAGCCTTTGCCCCGAAGCTCGTGGAGAAGACGACCTCCGAATTCGGCGACGGCTATGGAGTCTATAAGAGAAGTTGAGTTTCCAAACTGCTTGGCAAGTGAGGCTCTGGCGAGATCATCGTCTTCATATTGGTTGCCATTGATAGGCACAAGCAGTTCATCGTCATCTTGTTGCTCTGTTTTCTGATCTTTCGATCTTCTCAGAAGCTTTCTGATCTTGTTCCGGCCGAACCAGCCGTGGTGCTCGGTGGCGCGAGGCGGACTGAATCCGTACAGCGCGATTCTCCGGAAAATGCAGCCGGTCCCGACGTACATAGGACCTTGTAAACCGTCGAAGGCTCTCATGCTGACGTCAAAGAACACGGTGTTGTGATTTGCGTAACGGTCGTTGGTATCGATGCCCTCGAATCTTTGCGGGAACTGAACGAAGCAGATCTTGTCGCCGCCCCTATCGAGCATGAAACACATGCCTTCCCGGAGGGCGAGCGAGTTGTAGATGTAGTGGTCGCAGTCGAGGTTCAGAATGAAAGCTCCGTTCGACATGATCGCGCTGGCGCGAACCAAAGCATTCATCGCCCCGGCCTTTTTGTTGTGATCGAAGGCGCGACGCTTCTCGCGGGAGAGGTAGACAAGCATCGGCAGCCTGATGTCGACGTCAGTCGTATCGATCAGGTTTTCGTTGTCTGCTTCATTGCCGAAGAGTGGCTCCGGAGTTGCAGGAACCAGCATTATCTGCAAACGTATAAAAATGGCGATATAAGGCGACAATCAAAGATAATTTGTAACTTTGTAAGCCATGGAAGAAACCATTTAGTCATCACCTGTATGATCCCTTCATGGTCGCTTCTAGAATGTCCGTCTTCCGCCGACGCCCAGGCACCGTGCCAATGGCTGCCGTCGGCCATCCACGTCGCCTTCGGGACCTTAATCGGTTCCGAAGGATTGCCGCCTAACTCTAACTGCTTCTTCTTTGCCCGAAGCTCTGTTTGAGCATTGTAAGCGTCCGATCTTCGTCTTATCGACTCCGGCAAGGCATTGATCCTCACTTTGAATTCGTCGTACTCTCTTTTGACGCGGCGCCGGTCTCTGACGAAGTCGAGCTTCACCTTGTTCTTGAGAGGATCGCGCTTTTGCGCAAAGTATGCCTCGGGGTTCCGTGGCTCTATATTGTGTTTTCGACAGAAAGGTACCCAAGTTCGGGCGAAGCTGGCGGCCTCAGCCAAGGCTTCGAATGTCACCAGCGAGCCCCCGTCGTCGGACAAGTAGCACGCGACTTTTTCGACAGGATAATCGACTGCAAGAATCGAGAGGATTGTGTTTGCCGTGACTAGCGGCGGTTCCTTTTCTGCATCAGCTGTGGAAACGAATACGTCGATTCCCGGAAGATCTGATAGCTTCTTGGGGTTCCGAAGATTAGGCTCGGAAGATTCGAATCTCTCTTTTAGGACAGAAAGATTGGTGACTCGTTTAACGGGACACAGCTTGGGAAGTTGGTCGAGAATCCAGGAGAATGCGAACCAGATTTCGCAGACGATCGACATCATCCATAGCCACACAGCTTCACGGTTCGGATGCATTATCCTCCACGCGAGGAAGCACCCGAGAACTCCAAGACGAATGATCATCAGCAATCTGTAGTAGATTATAAACAACATCCTTAGATCTCTTACAAAGAATAGTAAAATAATCAGATAAACATGGTACAAAATCTTAACTCACCTGTAAGGACTGATGATTGCTGCTGAAATCCCGATTTTACGAGTGAGAGGACGGTTCCTTCTGTCGCTGAAATCGGGAGGGTTCTCGTACCTCTCGGCGCCGCCGCCTTCTTTAGGCCACAGAGCATTTCCGTATCCGTAAGTCCCCTTCGTCTCGAACAGCCAACGATTGTGATCGAAATCGTGGTTTGTGTTCTTGAAAGATTGCACCAGTGAGAAATTCTTCTCCAGCTTAGCTTCTCTGCTCCAAGAAGGCAGAGGATTCGCCTGATCTTTCTCCTCCGATGGCGGTGCTTCGTCGTCAGTTTCGCCGTGGTTGTACTCCTTGTAAGGCTCCTTACATCCGGGGCAATGGCCGTCGCAGTTACCGACGCAATCCAAGTAACAATCTGAGCAAATCACGAGGCCACATTCGCAACGGTTCTTGTAATTCCCTGTAATTTTCTCGTCGCACCCTTCCATCCCGCATATGTGCTTCGATTTGGCGGCGGCGGCGAGAGGAGGGTCGCCGGAATCGGAGCTTTTCCGGACGTGAGCTTTTGTTGCTGAATTGAATCCGCCGGTGAAGATGGCGTCCTTGATGAATACCTCGGAGGGATTGTGGCCGTTGATTTTCCGGCTTTTGCCGGAACTGAGACGGGAGCTTGTGACTGAATCGGAAAGGATTCTGTTGTCTGGAGTCTGTGGAATGTGAACTGTGTATGCGACAAACTCATCGGTGCTGTCCTTTGAGAGAGAAAGGTATCTGCTGCCGGCGGCGCCGCCGCCGGAGGATGCCCTACGATTCTCGCCGGCGCTGAGGGGAGAATTGGGATTATTTGAGACTGAGTGGCGTGGCATCGGACTTGTTAATCCCATGCTCCGGGACCCGCCGGAGGACGTGACGGTGATCTTCACCGGAGAAGAATCCGAACAATTGCCAGCCAATTTCACCATTTTTATTTAGCTGATTGACAGATCAAATCAAACAGAGTGGAGAAACAGAGAAAATTTCAAATACAACGAACTGAGGAAAGGAGGAAAGGAAGCAGATTTGATAACGTTCGAAAGTTCATGAAAGTTGCTGCTGCAATTCAAATTGTTTCCTTTGGTGGACGTAAATGAAGGGTTTGAATCCAACGGTCGGGTGATCTGAGCCGTTGTTTGGGGACACATCGAGGGTTTGTGATGATTCTAAAAAACCGTTTGGGCTCAAGAGTGGTCCCCAGTAACAGACATAAATTTTTTTTGAAGATTCGAAAGTCAAGGAGGAGGACAACGTGGGCATATTTTTTAAATTGCCAACGGTCGAATAAATAAAAGGAAGTGCAGATTTCATACGTAGTAATAAGTAGCATTAGGATCTGCGTGCTATTATTACACACGCATACATACGCAGGTTATTTATTTATTGCATTCATATATGATTACCTAGGTTGCATTATTGAATAATGATAATACCATAATAATAATAATAAGTATATAATACTCTAAAATACAGTAAAACATTACTTTATTACAAATCAATGTAAAATATATTTGAAAACACAGACAGTCAATAATACATAAACCTTCCTTTAAATTGGGCCTTGACGATATAGTGGGCTTTGTATATCATAAAATAGGCCCAAATTTAAATCAATGATAGGCCCAAATAAAGCCCACAAAATTATATATTAAAGCCTCAAAAATGCCTAGATCAGATCATCAGATGACGATGAAGAAGAAACGACTCAATCAAAGCCGGCGCAGGCACGCCACTTAATAATTATACTGAAGTGTGTAACAATAATTAATCTCTATTTTAGTTTTAATTTACTCAATCAAACGAAACAACAAGAAGAAATCTTCAAACATCTTTTCAATACATAGTCAGATGACGATGATGTCTAAATTCACCATTCTTCTTGCCCTGCTTAATCCTATTCTTCTTCTTCTTCTTCTTCTTCTTCCATGGCTAAACCTGTAATAATACTCATTTCCTTAACCCTCTGTATTGTGCTTCTCCCAAATGTCTTTTCCCAAACCCCAAATACCAATACTTCCATTTGCAACGGCATCCTCGTCACCTATCAGTACACCGGCGGCGCCCGAATCCAGCCGGTTCTGTCGCCGGCCGACCAACCGTACCGGTTCGAGTCGACCCTCACGGTTCGGAACAACGGCCCGGTCGAGCTCAAGAACTGGCAGGTCTTCGTAGGGTTCCGGCACGGCGAGCTTCTAGTAACCGCCGGAAATGCTGTCCTCGCCGACGGCACGCCTCTCCCGGCCAACGTCACCGGCGGCACGGTCTTCGCCGGCAGCCCCGACACAGACCTGAAGACGGCGATCGAAACGGCTGGCGATGTCGATCAGATGCAGGCGGTGGTGCAACTCGTCGGAACCCAATTCGGCGTCGCGCCGCCGGACTTTCCCTTGCCGGATAATTTGACTCTCGTCAACGATGGATATTTATGTCCGAATCCGCCCCTAACAGGTACGAGATTATCTCTTTCAATCATTAAAAAAGAAGAAAAAAAGTCAACTTGACATTCCCTGATGATCATCAGGGAACAACAGCACGAGCATATGCTGCACGCCGGACCCGACGGCAAGAACGAACACGTCGATCGACGGCGGAGATTTCTCCCCCCTCCAAAACGGCGACGTTTCGATTATGTACGACGTTTTAATGTCGTACGAGGGTAACTACCTGGCCCAGGTGACGATCGAGAATCAGAATCCTCTGAATCGAATCCAAGATTGGAATCTGAGCTGGGAATGGATGCAGGGCGAGTTCATCAACTCCATTAGAGGTGCTTACCCCAAAATCGTGGATCCAGGCGACTGCATCTTTGGCAACCAGGGCCAATTCTACAAACAATTAGACTTATCCAAAGCCCTAACCTGCGACAGGCGCCCCACAATTATCGATCTCCCGATTTCAATGGCCAACGACGACAACCTCGGAAAGATCCCTTTCTGCTGTCGGAACGGGACAATTCTGCCGCCGTCCATGGATTCCGGCAGGTCCAAATCCTCCTTCCAAATGCAGGTCTACAAAATGCCACCATACCTTAACATAACTCATCTCTACCCACCTCGGAATTGGAACATCAACAGCACATTAGGCTCCGATTACCAATGCCGACAGCCTGTCCGCGTGGCGCCGTCTTTATTCCCCGACGCCGCCGGTCTGCCGTCGCGGACGGCGGCCGTCGCCAGCTGGCAGGTCGTCTGCAATGCCACGTTGGCAGCCCGGAAGCCTAAATGTTGTGTGTCGTTTTCGTCCTTTTCTAACAATTCTGTCGTTCCCTGCAACACTTGCGCCTGCGGCTGCGACCGGAATCTCGACAACGGCGTCTGCAGCGCGGCGGCGCCGGCGCTCCTCCTGCCGGCGGAAGCTCTGCTTCTGCCGTTCGACAACCGGACCGAGCTGGCGACGGCGTTTGCACGGCAGAACCGGCGGCGCGTGCCCAGCCCGTTGCCCTGCGCCGACAATTGCGGCGTGAGCATCAACTGGCACCTCCTGTCGGATTTCCGGGGCGGATGGACGGCGAGGATCACGCTGTTCAATTGGGACGGAAACGACGTCGTTGACTGGTTTGCAGCCGTGGAGCTGGACAAGGCCATGCCGGGATTCGAGAAGGTCTACTCCATGGACGGAGCTCGGATGTCGGGTTCCGACAACAGGACCCTGTTTCTGAAAGGGCTGCCCAATCACAACTATCTCGTTGCAGAAAGAAACGGGTCGAACCCGAGAAAGGATCCGCGGGTTCCGGGCACGCAACAGTCAGTTATATCGTTTACGAAGAAGCAGACGCCGGGAATCCACGTGGCCGGCGGCGATGGATTTCCGACGAAGATATTCTTCAACGGGGAGGAGTGCTCTGTCCCGACAACGATCCCCAGCACTGGTCGTAAAAACACTGCTGCTTATGCTGTACTCGTCGTCTGCCTTATTTCTTCCTTGATTTATTTTTAAAGCCATGTTTCATGTATCAAAATCAATTTTTTTTTTTTTTTGTACTGACCAAATCGGATAATGGATAGTGTTATGTTATGATCAAAATATTCCTTCGGACAGCACGGTGCATTTTGGCAGGTTGAATAGTTACAGTGAGGATTTTCCGGCCAACAAAGAAAGTTTCTCGGGTCGGAACTTGAGTATGAAAAACAAAGAATAAACGATAATAAATAGATTATTTTAATATTAAAAATTGTTTTTAGTGATTTTTTTTTTTTTTTTTTGGGTGTATTTTTGGTAATGTTTGCAAACCGTATGGACTAAATGGAAAATTGGCCTCCTATAATTTGAGCCTAAATGGTGTGATGGCTCATTATTCAAATGGCCCAAAAATTGATTGTGCTAATGATGGTCCAAGTCCATAAAGTAATAGTGGAGGGAGTAGTAGGATTGATAAGTCTCGTGGTCTTGGTTGATCCTTTGTAAATAAATAAATAAATGCAACATATTTAAACTATTTAAGTTTTTAGGTGAGATCATCTAATACGTATTATATCAAAGCTTAAACTTACACTCATTTGTATCAAATAACCTATAATAAGTTGGAATTGATCATATTCAAAAAATAGATTGTATTGATTTCTTGATTGTCGGGCTAAGATTCATAAAGCAAGGCATTTACCGTAAAATGTAATGAAGTACGGAGCAAACTGAGATGCTTAAAGTTAAAAGGCTTCAAAAGCTATCAAGGTCTGTCCGATACAGAGGCCTTCCAAAGTTCCAATAGGTCAATCTTAGTACTATCGAAAAGAATGTTAAGGTCTTTATGCGATTGAGGATTTCCAACAAGTCAAGCTTCATATCATCATGGCGTCCAGTCCAGTCCAGTCCAGTCCCAAAGAGAAGGTAAGGGCCTTCAAAACACACTAGTATCTCGAATAGTCAGGCCTAGTATTGTTAGGATCCTTTAATCCCAATAAGAAGTCTAGAAAGGTCAAGGGAAGACCATGAAAGTGAAAGTGAGATTAAAAAAAAAAAAAACTAAAGGCCATGATCGGAATTGGGCAAAAACGTGGGATACATAATTGAAATAACTATCTTTTTGAAATTAGGAAGGTGATAAGCTACTCTTAATTTTCAAAAGATATTAATAGGTTTAAACACAACAAAAAGATATCCATTCTACCAATTTATTTTTTAACTGTCCGTTCAAATTGTCTTTATTTTTTAATAAATTTTGTTCATTTGATTAGATTTGTAGTAATTTATCTGTTTATTTTTTTTATTTCTAGTCATTTTCTATCTGTTTTAGTCTCTTGTTAATTTCAATTGGTTTTAATGTTATTTTATGAGTTCCTTCAAATTCTATTTAAAATGCCACAAAATTAGTTATTAAACGTCTTGTCGCTCAAAAGCTCGGCCATTTGAAGTCATCGTAATCAGAGGATTCTATTCAACAACAGAAAAATTCTCTTGAATATTGTTCGAACCAAGCTTGAAACTTCAAAAAATCAAATTTTGGTTCTAACATAGCAAAAATATACTACATTTTTAGTATATTCATATTTTTAAACTTCTATTTATTTGTCAATTATAAAAATAAAATAGATATATTTAAAAAAAATATCATACTAATTTTGCTATTATATAAAATGAAAAATACTATACATTATATCAAATTTGGCTTTAAAAAGTAAGGGTACGTTTCTTTAGTCGAGTTTTCTCAAATTTTACTATTTAAGGTCTGTGTTTCCAAAAAAAATACTCCATTCGTCCTAAAAGTATAGTCTTATTGTGTTAGATATGAGATTTAAGAAATATTGATATTATATTGGTGGTTGGTAAAAAGTATAAATAAATGACTTTTTGTCATTGTGAGTATATTAGTTTAAACAATGGTGACAATTGTGTAATAATAATTAAAAAATAGGGATTGGTTTACGGTGATATACTTGTTTATGGAAATAAGACTATTATTTTGGGACGGACAAAAATAAAAAATAAGACTATTGTATTTGGACGGAGAAAGTACATATTTTCCTTTAATAAAATATTTCATCCAACATTATTTTTATACTAAATTCATCCAACATTATTTTTATACTAAATTCAAACTAATTTTTCTCCAAACTCGTAAAAAAAAAACACCCTGAATGAACAGAAAAATATAATTTCTTTATAAAATCAAATAGATATTTAATAGTATAATATTTTTTAAAATAATATTGTTAGCTAATAGCATGTGTAAAATAATGTACATATATAAAGAAGCCTGAATATTCAATATAAAACTGAATCGGATTGGGCCAAAATAAAAAAAATTAACCCAAAGAGGCAAAGCAAGGACAAGGCCAGACAGCCCTATTCATATGCTTTCGACAGAACCGAAGAATGGAAGAACGAGTGATTTGGACAAATTAAAAATTAAATTAAATTAAAATGTGGCGGCTGGCGATCGACGCGGGGTTTGCAATCGGATCCGCGTTCAATACCCAAATCAAATCAAGACCCGGAACTCGTTGAAAGTTCACAACTTTTTAGCTTGGAAATTTTCCAAATCCTCCCTATTCCTCCTCCCGTTTCTAATCGTAATCGTATTGTAATGCCTTCGGTGGCATATTGATATTGTGTTTGATTTGATTGGAGGAGGAAACGAGGAGGAAGAAGAAAGCCCTGCCTGAATCCCCAAACCCTACTCCCCATTGATTCTCCCCCCTTTGTGCCTTTTTCCGCACTAATTTACGCTGATTCTGACACCGGACAGCTGTGGCCGTTTGGAAGTTCATGCGATTCTTGCGCCGTTTCATACAGTAAAGTTTTGCAATGGGCGATCGATTGTCCTACGATTTGGAGATGGCGCTGTCCTCGTATTCGATGGCGAGTAATGGTCAGTCAGTCGAGAAATTTTGCGATTCACTTTCAATTTTTGTTTATCGGTGTTTGATGTCTCTGGCCATTAGTTCGTTTATATTCGAATGAACGGTGATTGTTGCTTGTAGATGATTACGATGACGAGGAAGAGGAAACCGATGGGGAATACGAGGTGGACGAAGTCAACGTTGAAGAGAAATCGGAGGAATTGGCTTGCCCTTTCTGCCTCGAGGATTTCGATGTTTTGGGGTTCTGCTGCCACATTGATGCAGACCACCGCATGGAGGTTAAGCCCGGGGTAATTCCATAGATTCTACTTTCGTTTTCACTATCAATTACGAAGATACAGCGCACAATAATCAAGACTGAATATTGAGCAAAGCATTTCTTATTCAATGATAGGTTTTGGTGTATGAAAATGCACTTGTTAGCCATTAAAGTGGGACTTCAATTCTTTGTCAGTTTTAGGGCTTGCTTAGGTTAATCTGTGTACTTTGAGGTGAGAATATTAGGTTGGATGGTTTTGGTTGGCGAGGAATGTCGGGAATCGGAAAAAAGTAGCTTGAAGAATGAGTTTAACTGGAAAATAATAACTAATCTAACTGGAAATCTGAAACTACTGTCGGCCGTTCCAAGAAAATCATTCTCATTGGTTTTTGGTGTTATGTGTTGCGTGTGTGCGCACGTGCGGGCGTGTATTAATAGGAGTTCATTTTGTTTTGCAGATATGTCCTTTATGTATGTCAAAGCTGGGCATAAATATGGCTTCGCATATGATTACGCAGCACGAGAGTGTTCTAAAAATATCCTTATGGTTATTAAATACATGCAAATTAAATACTGCAAAATTCGTCGCTACTGATTGCTACTACCTTAACTTATGTTTACGCTCTTTGCAATAAGAAGCACAGTAGCACTCGATCTCGTTCAGCCATAATTTTACTGAGAAAAGAGTTGCAGGAGAAGCATTTACAGCATATTAAGGAGTCTCCTTCTTCCGGTTCTTCTGCAGATGCGGTGGCTGATTCCATGTTTTTGTCGTTTGTCAATAATCCTCGCCCCTCATTCAGGTCCCAAACGATCAAAACTACTGAGACAGGTTCAACAGAGACAAGTTCTAAGTTTGACAATTCAGAAAGGTAAGCAAGTTTTTTTGTTTTTTTCGATAAGTTACAATTGTGATGAATGCAATCCAAATGCATCTTAATTAGTGGATCAGTCTGCGTGTTATCGTTCTAATATTTGAAATTACTGTTTCTTTGATCGATTGAACCCTTTCACCGTAAGAAATAGGATCCCATGAGTCATGATCTATGGATTTTGCAAATCACTATTCATCCCACTTGAACATAAGCTGTATCGATATATTAAATAGATATAATAAAGGGGTATCTTTTCAATAAGGATAGTATTGGGATGCACTTGATTGGTCATGCATACCTTATTTTGAGTGATTGAATCGATTATTGATAACATTTACGAAGCAAATTTAAGGAAGAACTTTACGGAGATACTTGCGTGGGCTGCTTTTCTTCTGATGATCACATTCTCATTTCGTAGTCTCATCTGTAATAATGAGGACAGATGGATTGTCATTCTATGCATTTTTTGCCTCAGGAAATTCGACACATTGTTATGTACCAGCAGTGACATGTTTTATGTTTAATTTGTTAACTGTTTTGGGTTGCAGAATCCCTCCATCTCTGTCGACAGACAAGACCGATGAGAGATCAAGGTGCGACTTTGTTCAAGGATTACTGATGTCTGCCATGCTCAATGACTTCTGAATAATTGTATTCGCCAAAAGCTGCAATACTTTCGCTATGCCAAGCTGATGATAGGAAAGGAGGTATTGTTTGCTTTCTCGTTATGAGTTTTAACCCCGATGGCTCATAAACTCTTACATATCCTTAGCTTTGGTCCGAAGATCATCGGTAGAAGTTAGCATTAATGACTCCCAAGGGTTAATGTACTATATATATATCAAATATTTATGAGTGTAGGAGTGTGGTGTACCCTGCTTGCTTTATTCATGTAATTCTTGGTTCATGAAAAAACACCTATGTTCCCTTTGTGAGATATTGATTGTTCCAACCCTTGGATATATATATATATATATATTAACATGAAGTTATTTTATGATCCAAAGCATTTCAAAATGTATGTCTTCGTAGTGGCTGCCACCACTATTCATTTATTTTCCTCACTATTGTGTAGTTTGTTGGAACTTAATGTTGATGGTCCAAGTGGGACAACATATGCATCTACAAAAACTTTGGATTGACAAAAATGATGACATGCTCCTTTGTTTACTCATTTTGCTCTTCAAACATCATGAAGAACTCAAGCATGAAAACTTAAGAAGACATCATCACAGCAATGAATTCAACTAACTATACTGACCATTTCAAGAATCATCACAACAATGAAAGAAAAATAAAAGGAACCTGACAGAGCACAACACATGTTTTGTTCATAAACAAGTTCTCTTTCTTTTTTCTTTTCTTCTTTTTTTGTGTTTTTTTTCCCATAAATTCACGTATCCAATCAAATACATATTACAGATTATTCGATCTTTAATCTTTTACATGGACATTTTCGGGTTCTATTAACTGGCTTACGCACAGCCAGCCATTCGACTAATATGCTAAGATCACCATCAAATGTATTATGTCTCTATCAAAACCTGGCCGAATCCGAATTCTCATCTGATATCCTACTCTACTCAAAAAGCTTTTAAACAATACTGCACAACAATTTACCAGAACATATTTGCTGGTGACAATATATGTTCTCAGAACCCGAACTCTTTTTTTTTTTTCTTTTTTCTATATGTCGAACTAGGCTCTGTCAGCTCCACATTAGCATCACCTCCTGTGACGGTGATGAGAACAGAAGAATTGGTAATCAGGTAGAACAACTTGCAAGCCGCGCAGCCACGTGTCTGCTGTTTGCAAAAGGGCTCTCTCCTGTTCGCATTCATGGGGTCCACACGGACTCACAATGGATCCTTTCAGCTTGTAGGAGGCAAGGGCGAAGACAGGCAATGAAATTTTTGCGGTTGGATCAACAAAACCCCGAACTATTCTAGTGTTTGCAGCATGTAACTGATGTGGCCAGTTACCTGATAAAAGATTCGTGTATAATCACAACATGCTTAGAACCATGGCGCCATTCCTCCAAAAAATGACATCTTCAATTATGCAAAGAGAAGGGAAGGGAGACGTACTTTTAGGCTGCGTCGATAAGGAATGAAATGTCAAAAAAGATGCATCCAGATCTTGGAGTGTAGGGCCAACAGGAATCCGATAAATTGGATACCTGTGGGAAACTAATACAGTATTAGAGTCATGGAGCGCGATCGAATAATCAGAGAAGCATAAAAATTGGGGCAGAAGGATACCAAGCAACACACATCCAACTCAATGGAAGTAGATCACAGCTCCTATACTTACTCAGCTCGGGAGATTGGGATACAAGTAATGATATCTGCGCAGGCAATTAATTAGAACCAAATAGGCGGCTTATAATTCAACATTATGAGCTTGATGATCAACCTTGTCGCCCAGTGGTCTGCGATTGTATGGTTGCTCATGTTCCAAATACTGAAACAGCAGTGATCCTGGTGATTTAGGAGCGTCAGTTTCTGAGCTTGAACAACTTAAAACAGATTTATCTCCTGAGGCGAGCCTATTTAGACGCTGCATGTTTGAATTCAAAATGGAAGCAGATCTCCTATCTCCTTCAGAATTGATGCTGCTGCTGGCGCCACCAGTCTGTCTGTATGACTCAGCATAGCTGTTGTCGGAGGATCCTCTGGAATAGAAATAAAATTATTAGCAAAAAGTGTCTTTTGAGCACCTACAAGATTTTACTTCTTTTGAGAAGATAATTTCCACTGGGAGCAAACCAGTAAGGAATAACATCTTATGATAATTGAAATATCAGATATATGTATCTATGATTATTATAAGCTATAATCAATGATTTTGGCAGAATAAGAATCTTTCATTTACAGGAATTGTGAAGTGCATCACTTTGATAATTAAAATTGTAGATGCTTGCTATAAAACTAAAAACTGCAATAGTATAGAAAACAGTCGACAAGTAAATTTATAGTCAAATGAGAATCTCCACGCTAGCAACTTGTCCGCACTTTTATAGGCAAATTAGAATCTGTTTCCCCTATCCCATTGAAGATGTATTGGTTGGAAGTAGGAAGCACCAGCAATTCATAATAAAATTAAAATCATAGATAAATTCTGTATACTATATACAGTTGAAGACATATGTATATATATATATAGAGGATTTTTGCTGTGATGAAGGAGGTGGTAGGGACATGAGAGAAGTGAGTTGTATATGGAGGATTATATAACTAGTGTCCTATTCTAAGTTGAGTAATTAGGTACAAAAGTGAACACAAATAAAACAGTGGCAGTAAAATCGAAAAGGTTGAATTGAATAATAAAGACAGGCTTGCATCGGAAACATTGATGATGGCAATGAGGTTCACCAGCAATAAGTTTTGAAAGCATTGAGATTTGGCATAAATGCAACTGAAATCAATATAACGCCAGTAAAAATTGAGGAAAACTAACAAAGCTTGCCGGTTATTGAAGATTACATATCAATAGCATATTATCTGTGTCGGTCGTTGGTGGAAAGATAACGACCAAATAAGACAACAATACAATGATAGCAAATATATGCAAAGCAGTAAAAACTTACCTAACACATGAAGAATGCATTGATGGATCAGCATACAACTGTATTCCCGACAAAAAGGGAACATAATACTGTTGTATCGAATCCTTTCCATTTAGCAGCAAAGGTACTCCAGCTCCATACACACTCCATTCGTTAAAAGATTCCCACAGATCCTCCAAGTAAAAGAAGGGATGTGAATCTGATGCCCTGCTTCGCCTTGCATGCACCTATCAATAAAATGAAGATTCAAGAGAAATTAACTTTTGGCACTTATATCGATCAATGACAACAAATTAAAGACTCTACATAACTAAAGCTTCCATGCTACAAACGTAACCCATGGAAATTATTGCTTCAATAACTTATAAGAGAGATCAGCCGCGTGCTAATGAATATACTGAAACTAATTTGAAATGATACAAGAAGAAAACCCTTCAAGAGTATTGGATTTTTTAATAAATCGGAAAATGGAATGGTTCTGAAAATCCCTGAACTACCTACCTTTCAAGATCATTTTATCTGCTTAAACAAGACATCTTTCTCTTTTGTGGAGTTGAAGAACAAAACACATAAGTCTACAAATCTAATGAATTTTTACTGCCTCTAATTTAAGTCCTCACAGAACTGTTCATGAATAATGCATAAAAAATTATCAGACAGGATCTCTGATAACCTATTTTTAGAATACTATAAGAAAATTGGGTAAATATTCATTGTTATGCCAGTTTTATATTCAAATTGCTAAATCATATAGCTTAAAATCACTCCAAGGATCGTATCTCTATTTGCAATTAGATTGAAAATTTTACTTGATTGCAGAAATGAGATCAAAATCACAAAACCAATCTTCAATGTCAATAGCTGAAATTTTGACACATATCTATTAGGAAAATTAAAATTTGAAGAAAACTAAAGCTAAAATTTTCCACCAAGATGCAAAAAAATAAAAAAATCCAGAAAACAAAAACACTGATCTTTCTTGATCGATTGAAATGCCAATTCATACATATAAACAATCATCCTTTTCAATTTCTGCATGCATTCTCATTCTCTATACAGAAAATAGAGTTTTAGGGCTTTCTACATCCAACAAAACTAAAGAACAACCACAAAGCAGACTTAAATTCTTTCATATACCTCCGAGAAAAATCGCGCCTGGATGTACGGAGTCACAGATTCCATCAAACGATCTAAGTTGGTGATGTTCGAAGCTGCGGCAGGGCCAACCGAACGCGGTACGGACAATGCTGCCGCCATGGCTGAATCATCAACATCAGCCCGCTTTTCAGCCTCCCTCTCGGAGGAAGATTCCTGCTTCATCGACCCCCTCCCCTGTAGTAACCGCTGGTGCTGTCGCTGGTGCAGCTCCCTCTGCATCACTTGCTGCTGCTGTAAAAGCGTCTGATGGTTGCGCCGCACAGCCGGCGGATTGTAAAACCTGTCACCGCCAGACCGCGGCGGCGCCGCCGCATATCCTCCCTTACTTGACATCACCCACGCTTGCCTCCAAACGCAAATTGAAGTGAAATCGCAAATGCGCCTTTCAATCCACAGCTAAAATTGCGCTGAAATGCGTCTTCTTCACTTGGACAAATTCCCGATTGACGTCGTCAACGAAATCCGGATGCAATTGAAATGGAATTGAATTGAATTGAAATGAAATTGGGAAGGCTTTTGAAAGGGTTTGGCCCAGCAGTATAGGCTGTGCGCGTTGGTGTGGTCTGGTCTGGTCTGGTCTGGTCTGGGATGAGGACATACGAAGAGGTGGAAGGTTATGCTGAGGAGTTATGGCGTCCACTGTTTTGTCTACTTGTGTTATTTTCGACTGTCTCCAGGGGTAAATTAGGAAGAACATAAAAATGCCTTAACCGTGGAAACTCGGGACACAAAACGGCGGCTGTCTTCCACTGCCAAATTTTCCCAATTCTTCCACATGTATAAACGCTTACGCCATACAATTGCTCCCTTACGCCGGATTTCCCAAAATACCCCTCCCCTCGCTCTATTTTTCGTCACTGCCATCCTACGTTCTTTCCTCCCCTTACCCAAACATAATTTAATTTAAATTTATTTATGTATAATGATAATGATAATAAGAAGAAGAAGAGAAAGAAAATTATGTTTGCCATAAGTAGCAAAACTAATTGCAATTATTACAAATATAACTATCAACAACTTGTTCCTCTTACAAGGACATGTCGAAATTAGTGACATCATTTACAGCTTTATTTCCATCCCACTATATACAACTCTACAATTTTTTTAGGGTGCGTTATTTTGTGTACAAAATATATATATAAAAAATTGTTGGTGATTAGTGAATAGTTTATTGAATTGTTGAGAATTAATAATAAATAATTATAGTCATGGGCTTGAAAATTTAATCTTTCACTTAATTTGGTGAAATTAGCAATGTCCATTTTCAGAACCCAAACAAAACATGATCTTTTATCATGAAATTAATTACATATAAGGAAACCCACCAACCTTATTAAGCCCAAACACAAGAAAGATGAGTATGATTTCAACTTGTAAGTAAAACAATTGCAATAACTATTTTTTATTGAAGTTCAACCATCAAATACCAAACTTTTTCTGTTCAATACCTTTCTTATCAAAGTTAATAACTTAGTCATGTCATTGCATGATTTATTTATCTATCAGGAATTAAAATTTATCTCCAATAAATAAACAACAGTTATGTTTTTCAATGTCCTTTCTTTTTTTTCTTTTTTTTTTTTTCTCATATGAAACTTGCTATTTCTTATAAAATTATGCTATGAAACATGAAATCCAAGGACCAAGGACCAGATACATCTCAGCCACTAATATTGTAGGTCCCCACTTTATCGACGATCTAGATGTGCCTAAATTTTGATGCCCGTAACGCTCCCGGGGTTCCTTAACTGTTCTGCTGAACTGCCAATCAAAATTTCATATGAATCTGCTTTGAGAAGTAAAAAAATATATATATATTACTGCATTTTTAATTTACCGAGGATGGTAAGAAAAATAAATCCTAAATATCCATAAATAAATAAACAAATAAAAATTTATTTTTTAGACGTTACATATCCGTATCGGATATACTTGTGGTTGAACGAATCATGTTTTAAAGATGTGTTTACAAATGTACAAATGGTGTATTTGTTTGAGGGATGGTGTAGGAATTTTTTTTTTTTTTTTTTTTTTTTTTTTTTATAATGTGGGAATCCGCAGCCGCTATTCGAGAGTGCGCACTGGGTAGACTCTCGGTCGAACCTAATACCTTGCAAACTAGGTCCGACCGAAAAGTCACACTAGGCGAATCATGTGTGGCTAGTGACATGAGGCGTCGGTGGTTGATGGCGCAGGATTTTTATTTTTACAAAATCGTTTTTATAATATTAAATTAAGTATTTAATATCTATTTTTTATATTTTATTTAAAAATCAATTTTACGTTTGAAATAAATTCAAAATAAAGTCGGCAGTTGTTCTCAATCGTGAATTGCCGGAGGCCATTGAATTTCCGGTTTCTTTTTTCTTTTGGTCGGTTTCGGAAGCATGGATTCAGCCTGAGGAACTACCTCTGGAATGTTGGCCGCTTGTACTTCGACAGCAGGTTTGTATGTTTATACGTGATACGCTGTTTGCATCTTATCGAACGCGAGGTAGTGCATTCTGGTTCTATCATCGCAGAATGGAATGCGCGTATTTATCTCAAAGAGCAGTTCAATAGATTTAGGTTTAGGTTTAGGTTTCGTTGTAGTTCATCGCATAATAGATAGTAATTAATAGCACAATAAAGTTGGTTACCTTATGTCTGTGATATTGAAGCACCATCATTTTCAGGGAAAAGAAAATCAGATGAATTTATACTGTGTGGTCTTTCTGTTGTGAGATTTGAGGATGTTTGGTTGTTTTAAGCGATTAAGCAACCTTGAAGAAGAAATTGCATGTTCATGGATTGAATAGATTCGTAATTATCTATTGTCAGGCTCCAATATGATGCAGAGCTAGTTGTTGCTGTAGATGTTGATATAATTTGCTGTTGCTATGGTTGATTCTTAATCTGTTAACTTGTCCCTTTGTAAATGTGCAGAGGTTTTCCTATTCTTTTGCACTAGCATTGGATTCCTTAATACAGCAATTGTAAATTTGTAACACATCCTATTATATTTGTTCGTTCTTATTTGGGTGTGATGAGATCTGTGTGGGTGAACTGCTTTAATTAATGATGCTGGGAGTTCACATGATACAAGAACAGGGGACCATTAAGAAAATCAACCTTCTCTCTGAGTTGTTGATTAAGTAAAGAAAGTATATATCAATAGGGTATCCCTGGCTTCTATTTCACACTTAACAGCTGTGAGATGGTTCACCTCTTCTTGTTACTTTTATCCTTCCAATCCACACCCCCTGGCCATGTTTATTGTTATTTTTTTTATCCACACAGTTTCAATAGTTCCACAGAAACCAACTAAGTAAACATATTCTAAAAGATTTGTGGAGATGGAGTTCAGTTAACTCATATGATTGAACCATTTATTCTCAGCAGAACTATATGCCTAAACTATAGGCCTGGTAGTTAACATTACATTTTATTGATACTCACTGAAAAATTTATAGGCAGGAGGAAGATGATGATGATGATGATGATGATAGTAAATTAATGAATTTAGGCACGTAGAATCACAAAGTTATTTTTACCAATGCATTTCTTTTTCTTCTTTAATGTTCTTGCAGTTCTATCAATTTCATTTCCCTTAGATCTTTATGTCTTCTCAAGTTTTTATCATTTCATGCTTCTGATGGGAACAGCATATAATTTGTCAATTTGAACAGTGAGCTTACTGAAGGTATCGACATCCCGAAGCATCTAACACTGCCAAGATTTCAGATGGCAAGGAATGACATACTTCAATCCCATAGGTGATCAAAGGTTTCAGTTATTCCTCAAAACTAAACTTACTAATACTGAAAAAAGTCAGGAGACAAGCATATATTCTTTTGCAGTGGATTTTAGATTGAAGTACTTAAACCTTCTGGCTGAAAACCTTTGTGCCTGAAAACATGCATTAGACATTGGATTAGGGGACACAAATAAAAAGGGATTGGCAAAAAAATAATTGTTATTAGCAGCAAAGCAATAACAATTATTGCTTGATATTGTTTATGGAAAGGTGAAAAGAACACTGTGCAATGGAAATGACTTGTTTTTCCTCTTCATCATAGCTTGATCAGCTGGAAAAGATAATACAGGTATTTCGATTTCTGGGTGCAATGCTGTCATAATGGGATGGGAATGGCCTTGGTTGCTTCACTGGGACCCTACTATAAAAAACCCAACACATGATGGTCTTTTTAAATTTTTTTTTTTTCTTCATTGTGTTTCTATTTTAAATTCCCACTTTTCTTTGAGAATGATAATAGTTAGCTTATTGTAGTCAAAAGCAGGAGTAGCCTGGTCCTTACCAAAAAAATAAAGGAAAAAGAAAAGTGATAGTTGTAGATGCCATAACATATGCATTTGTATATGTATATGTAGAATTTCCTCCAAAGATCAATAGACTATGATACTTTGTGTAACTCTAGCTATGCATTGCAAGAATATCTAGAAACATGACATTGTGCTATATACATTTGCTGAGAAACATGTCACTAACTATTGAGAAATGAATGCAGATATTTTGGAGGCAGAATAAAAGCGAAGCAAAAAATCGATTTTCCATCAGTCATCAAAGTGGGAACAATGGGCCTCTGCCTCTGCAACATTGCATTTCATCACCCCAAATCATGTCAAATTATTATTATTATTATGCCATGGAGATTGCAGATCATACTATAGTGGCTTGGGAAATGGATATATCCCTTTTTCAGTTTCCATGTGCAAAGGTAGCCGCTGCAGATTTGTGATATTTATATTTCTCTGTAAAAATCATTCAGTTACATGGCATTATTTATGCCTAATTATTTTTTTTAACCTGTTTTATTTTTATTTTTCAGGTCAAGCTGAGGTTGGTCAGTGCACATCTACCATGTTAATTATTATCATCATTTCAATTAAATAATTATGTGGGTATTGACAGTCAGTGCTCCGGGACTGTGGATCCCAGGACCGTCGGAATAGGATGTTGCGCGCCTTCCGGACCGTGGAGTCCCGGGATCCTGCAAGAATCATATTTATATTTAATTTTTTTTAATATTCCTTATTCCCTCCAGTATGAAAATGTCCAAATTTATACATTTATAAAAAATATCTACAAGAATAAGGTGACACGTTTCTAAGAGGGTGCTTTGTGATTGGCTGATGATATAGGTAGTTATCGTGCACCCGCAAGCACAGGATCATAGACTCTCTCGCCGTCCAGTGGACCCTAGCTACCACGCTCTTCGTGGGACCCGGGCTTCTCCATACCTACCAGGCTCGGACCCGAGCCAGAAATTTGAATTTTTGAACGTTGAGAAACGAAAATGACAGAAACACCCTTGGTCTTTAATTTATGTGGCTGCCTACAATCCAACTACCTTATTTTAATTTCAGTGGCTGCACTTAACCAAATTAAAAGAATCATCAAATTAAATAAGTTTGGTGCCCACTTTCTCATCAACGATATATGCATTTAGTAATATCTTAAATTGCAATTCAAATTTTGTTCTTTTTATCATATTTCACTTGTTAATTTTACCAATCATCATTGCATGTGCTGTAATAAAGGGCCCTTCAGGGGCTGTCTTGTCATTTTACTCATGACAGCTACATTCCAATGGCCATTTGCATTTGCAGTAATCACTATGCCATACGTTTTATTTATTAAAATTGTGTGAATGTATATGATATGTTTCTCCAAAATTAATTGAACAAATATTCCCAATTCTAATGTTATTTTTTCTTTAAACTTAATTTAACCATATTGTCCTTAGCCTTAGGCACAAAGAAAGCAAATGGGTTTGGTAAAAAGATGGAGACTTGGAATTCAAGGCCATGGTTTGTTGTCTAAGTTAATCTTTTAAAATTTGTAACACTACCTGCTTTGAAGTTACATTCAAAATATTTTATTTTTTTAAAAAATAAATAAACAAAATATTAAAATAAAAGGGCAATATCTGAAAATGAGATGCCTGCAACCTGTGGGACATTTTTTTGTCCCTACAATTTAAGCACTACAATTTGATTCTAATGTCCAATTAAGACATGATTGTAAATAGGGACAGTACATGTGTTCTAATGATTTTAGGCAACTGTTTGTAATTAGATCACAGGAGACACAATAGAAAGGCTGTGGATTCTCTCATGATGTATATATATTAGTCATATAATATTCATTAATCAATTAAAAATCTAAAATTTATAAATTTGATATTTAATCCAATTATCATTTAAGGGGTGCTTTAGTAGTAATATATCTATGTATGGAAAGCAAGTCTTGGTTTGCACAGTCATTAAATATGCTTTGACCTATGTATGTGAAATTCAGTGAATAATTTATAAAATTCAATGTTTTTACCAATAAAAATAAAAACAGTCGTATAAAGAGATTATGGTAATGTTGAGTTTGAATTTGATGGGTAAAATATGAGACATGTAGCATGTATTTTAATTTTCATTTAATAAGTCAATAAATATTTCTTTGTTTAGTTGAAAAAATGAATATGGACAAAAACAAGAAAAGGGTAAGCCTCAGCTGTTCACCAGTTGGGCTCCGAGCCTGCAGGTTCGGAGAGAGGCTCGGATAGCGTGGCTTCAGGCAAGGATATATTCAAAAAGTGGAGGAGGAGGAGGTATGTATACATAATATAATGCACTCGCTACTCTTTGTAACAGTATAAAGCAGAGGAGAAGCTTTTCCAGCTTGTTGCGAGAAAAAGGGGGCTTGGGGAGGATCATTTTCCTCACTGCAACGTCGTGGTTGTGGAGTGGGGATAAAGTTAGCGATTCTTTATGAGTGTGTGTTCGTTGCAATGATTCCCAAGCCCTAGGAGGTTTTTATGCGTTTAGCTTGTTGGCAGAATTTGGGGGCAGATATACATACGGATTGATTGCGGTGAATGTTCGTGGATTGCTTACTTGTTGGTTGGTGAAGGGATTGAATTCGGGAGTTGGTGATTTGGAACGGCGGAAATGGAAAGTGCATTCGCATTGTCTGTGGCGTCAGTCGTGGAGGATGTTCTGCAGCAGCACGAGGATCGATCTTGCGATATTGATTTTGATGCTCGAAGAGCTGAGGAAGCTGGTATGTTTTAGAATCTTTGGTCTGATTTTTTTTGTAATTTGAATTTTGTTTTTCAGGGAAAGTCAAATTTTTGAACGGCGACTTTGGTGGTAGTTGGTGTTTGATTGTATATTTATGTGTTTTTAGAAACATTCAACAATCTAATCGAAGGAAAATGATATCAATTAGGCTTTTATTTCTCTGTTTTGTTGGATTTGATATTGGAATTGACTGTATGGAAGGAATGGTGATGGCATCTTAGATTAAGTTCAAATTTATTCAAGATTTGGATAAAATATCAAAAGTATTGGAGTCGTCTTATAGAGTTTTGAATGTAATCTGTTCGATTGTGGATTACAGTTTGTCATAAATTCCATTCCATGTACTCAGACTCCATTGATCTGCTTTGAAATTGACATACAAAACCTCTCAGGAGAAGCTTTTGAGAAGATAGATATCGACTACAATTGTTATTTGATTCAGAGTTTTGTGTATTGATTTTCTTGTATTTGAGCAAGAATCCCATTCCTATCTGTGCAGCAATAAGGCGATATGAAGCTGCTGCGTGGCTGAGAAAAGTGGTGGGAGTTGTGGGCGCAAGAGATTTACCATCAGAACCTTCTGAGGAAGAATTTAGGCTTGGGTTACGAAGTGGAATTATTCTCTGCAATGCACTGAATAAAATTCAACAAGGAGCAGTGCAAAAGGTCTGGACTTCTCAAATGATTGTATATTGTTCTTGTAATCTGCTGAGAATCAGCCACAAAAATTTAATCAGCTTTCTGGATGCACTCGAACAGCCTCTAATTGTGATCCATGACTAATCCTTATTCATTTGTTTCAGGTGGTTGAAAGTCCATGTGACCCCTCACTCATTCCAGATGGTGCTGCATTGACAGCATTTCAATACTTCGAGAATTTGAGAAATTTCCTTGTAGCAGTGGAAGACCTGGGTATGCCAACTTTTGAGGCTTCTGATTTGGAGCAGGTAGACTAATTCATAAAGTATGATTAAATTGGTTTAAACTACATGATCAAACCATTTGTGTTTTCATTGTTTCATGAATTTGAACTGCCAAGTTTGAAAAGCTTTAATTCAACCAAAAGCCTTCTTCTTAAGCTATATCTGATGTTAATAGAGAAAATGATTGGTTAAAATTTGGAACTGTGGCAAAAGATGCTTCAATATGTTTCGATTGTTTTTTCAGGGTGGAAAATGTTCGAGGGTGGTGAACTCTGTGTTGGCACTTAAATCCTACCACGAATGGAAACAGGCAGGGGGGCATGGAGTTTGGAGATTTAGCGGAAATGTTAAGCCTGCAACTTCTGGAAAACAGTTTGTTCGGAAAAATTCTGAGCCATTCACAAGGTTTTTGTCAAGGAATACATCAGCAAATGAGAAATCCTTAAATGATGCATGCACAGATAAAGAATCCAGCAACATGGTACGTTAATGTTGATTTAAGTGGCCATTTGAGCCTGCATCATTACATGAGGTCACTTACTGTATTCGTATATTTCTTTGCCTTGCAGCCTAGCTCTTCCTTGAGCATGCTTGTTCGAGCAGTTCTGTCAAATAAGAAACCTGAAGAAATTCCAAATGTAAGAAGTTGAAATTATTCCAAATTCCAATATCATCTATTGTTGTTGCAGCTTCCTGTTGATACTAGACTGAAATAAACATAAGACATTGAACATGTCATGTAGACTTCCAAACTCTCAGCTTGAAATTGATACATTCCTTACATTTTACAGCTTGTTGAGTCTGTCCTAAGTAAAGTTGTGGATGAGTTTGAGCATCGCCTTGCTGGTCAAAATCAAATGGTATGTTTCATTACGTATATCAATTCATACTGCACTTCATTATAATTTATTCACATTTCCTCTTAAATAACTGTGTGCATAATTGTTGATATTTCTGAGTCCTAACTCATAGAATACATCTTATTTTCTAAATTTTAAAATGCATCATTATGTTCTCTTTTTGTTCACGTATCAGAGGCCAGGTAATTTCAGAGACTCCAATACGTCTCAGGGCAAAAAGTTCATGTTAAAGCCTACGATGCCCTATGGATCGGTATTATCTTTTTTGCTGTGCATCATTTTCTAACTTTTAATTTAGCATTGAGCGTTTTTGTCCACTAATACATTATTTTCATCAAATATAGATTGAACAAAACAATGATATAATCTCAAACAGAGACGATGAATTGAAAAAGAACACAGTTTATGATCAAGAATCTGAAAGTAGATCCTTGAAGCAGCGAACCATTGTTGACCAGCAGCAAAATGATATCAAGGTAAGAGATGAGACATTTTCTATCATCAGCAACAAACTTCTTTTGCCATTTGTGGAATTCTAACTGCTAATTTACTAATGTCTTGGATTTTTTTGGTTTAGGTGCTGAAGCAAACCCTTTCTACCACCAAAGCTGGCATGCAGTTCATGCAGATGAAATTTCAGGAAGAAATTGGCAATCTTGGTATAAATACAAGCATCTCTATTTGACAGTTACATGTTTCCAATCCAATATGGCTAATCTTGTTTGAAGACCATTTAATTCATTAGTCCCCTTTTTATTTATTAATATATTTATTTCTTTTCGTCTAAAAGTCATCTAGAGCTTCCTTGTATTTATAGGACTCCACATTCATGGACTAGCTCATGCTGCTTCGGGTTATCATCGAGTTCTTGAGGAAAATAGGAAGCTTTATAATCAAGTTCAGGACCTGAAAGGTAGCATTATCGTTTCTCCACTCTGTTCTTCTTTTCAGTACTCTCACTCTCAATTTAAATTTTACGCTTATATTCCTGCCATCAGGAAGTATTAGGGTGTATTGTCGTGTCAGACCATTCTTACCGGGACAACATAATAGCTTGAGCTCGGTGGGTCACATTGAGGAAGGAACTATAACAATAAACACTTCGACTAGAAACGGGAAAGGGCAGAAATCCTTTCACTTCAACCAAGTGTTTGGGCCGTCTGCAACACAAGGTTAGCAATTAAATCATTGCTTTTTCACCTGGCTTTGAAATTGAGGTTTCACAAGAAACTCCTCATGTCATATTTTACTGCTCTGTAGAGGAGGTGTTTTCAGATACCCAACCATTAATAAGATCGGTTCTTGATGGATACAATGTGTGCATTTTTGCATATGGCCAAACTGGATCAGGAAAAACTTACACTATGGTATGTTAGAAGCCCGCTAGTTGTATATCTGTCGAAATGTGAACATTTTCTCCTGTTTTTATTTGCATCTTAGAATATTAACATCCATGTGTTGAATTATACGTACCTTTATCCAGGCTGGACCAAAAGATCTCACTGAGAGCACTCAAGGTGTGAATTACAGGGCTTTAGGCGACCTGTTCTTGCTTGCCGAGCAAAGAAGAGATACTTTTGTCTACGATGTGTCTGTTCAGATGATTGAGATTTACAATGAGCAAGTTAGAGATCTTCTTGTCCCTGATGGCTCCTGCAAAAGATATCCTCACTAAATTAGTTTCTTGGCTCAATAGATTGCACTTTTTGAATTGAATTGTTTTCAAAAAACTTTGGCTTGATTTCCTTTACTAATATAATACATTAGAAATTCGAAATAGTTCGCAAACGGGACTCAGCGTACCGGATGCAACTTTAATGCCTGTCTCATCAACATCGGATGTTATATATCTGATGAACCTTGGACATAAGAACCGTGCTGTTGGTGCAACAGCACTCAATGATCGCAGTAGCCGCTCTCACAGGTAAGTTGTTAAAATTTCTCTTTCATTCAATACAGGGTAGTGATCTGATGGCTGAATTCATTCTTGCTGCAGTTGTCTAACTGTCCACGTCCAAGGAAGAGATTTAACTTCGGGCAACATCCTTCGAGGTTGCATGCATCTTGTTGATTTGGCTGGAAGCGAAAGAGTCGACAAATCTGAAGTAACAGGCGATAGACTAAAAGAGGCTCAGCATATTAACAAATCCCTTTCTGCGTTGGGTGATGTGATCTCCTCACTTGCTCAAAAGAACTCACACGTCCCATACCGAAACAGCAAACTGACACAGCTGCTTCAGGACTCACTTGGTAAGGACAATCTGATATGATTCACAACTGCTTAACATTCACATTTGTTAATATCTCACATCTGTTTAGGGGGCCAAGCAAAAGCACTAATGTTCGTTCACATAAGCCCCGAACCTGATGCCATTGGAGAGACAATAAGTACACTCAAATTTGCTGAGCGCGTTGCGACAGTTGAGCTCGGTGCTGCACGAGTAAATAAGGAGTCAGCTGATGTTAAAGAACTCAGAGAACAGGTCATTATTGTTCCTGATCAATTATTGTATTCAAACTAGTGATTTTGATCTTCAATGGCTTAATTACTACACTCCATTGTGTTACAGATAGCCAGTCTGAAGGCAGCCTTAGCCAGGAAAGATCCAGAATCCGTGCCGACACAAAATAATAATAACAACGTATACAGCAGTCCACAGAGATCCCAACCTAAGAACATGGGCTTCTTGTCGTCCCCAAATGGACTGAGGAAGCCTATGGAAGACGTAGGAAACATAGAGGTAAAGATAGTTTCTTGTTTTCACATTTTCATCACAAGTTTCTTCAAGATATCCAATTTGCAGCAATATGTGAAGTTAAGATCACTGCCTTCTATTTCCGCAGGTGCACAAAATTTCTGGACATAGACAAAAGAAACCAAGCTTTGATCTAGACGAGCTGCTCGGGAGCAACTCCCCCGTATGGCCACCTGTCAGCAGCCCTTGCCTTAACAATGCAGACAACGACGAGGACAGAGAAGTGGTGTCGGGAGAGTGGGAAGACAAGCTGATGGTGAACAAGCAAGATCCGATTGGAATGTTCCCAAACCGTTGGGGGGATCCGAACAACGATAGAGTTCCTGATCATCTCTTCAACCAGCGATACTTCGAGAACCCATGCAGCTTAGCAAATGCACAACCATTTGATCATGTTAAAGCCAACGATGATTCGGATGAGCTCGACATGGGAACCAGCGATTCGTCTGAGCCTGACTTGCTTTGGCATTTTAACCATTCCAACCTTAACACCACCCCGGCGACAATCAGCGCAAAGATCGACAAACCTCGCCCGAAACAAACCAAAAGCCCAGAGATCAGGTATGTCTCCATTCATTTATTCATTCATTAATTCCTCCTAATTATATATATATAGTTGATGATTGATTGCATATATATATATATATATTTTATGATATGAATCAGGAGCATGAGCATGATTCCAAAAGGGCCATCGCCATTACAGAAAACGGGACATTCATCATCACAGAGGGCTGCAAGACAGCAGACAAGTAATGAAACAAAGCGTAAAGCAGGAATCAGAAAGTGACTCACTGACTCCTCTTCTTCATCCATTCAAACTGCAAAGGTGTTGTAGAGATTTCTATTTTGGCATTTTTTATTTTTTTTTAATTTTTGAAATATATAGAAGAAAGACAAACAAGTGTTGTTAAATTTGCTTGGTCTTTTCTGTAAAGCATGAACTCTGAAAAGATACCCTCCAAAGTGTGAACGAGAGTGAGTGTGTGTGTGTGTGTGTGAGATCATCACTGGAGTTGGCAAATAATTGAAGTTATTTATCAATCGAATTTATTTCATTGAAAACTCGTGATATATATTATGAATCGTATATAATTTTATTGTGATTTCAATGTTCCAATTTCTGTCATGTGAATTTACTTGATTTGTAAAAAGAAAAAATTGAAAGTAAGAAAAGTTTCAATTCTATTACTTGGGGGCCATTACAAAATCAAATTAGGCCTTTTTACTACTCTTAATTTTTATTTTTAATTTTGCACTGTATGTAATTCCCTATTAAAAACTTACCACATTTAAAACAATTCAAATAAAACAAAAAACATTAATAAGAATCCAAATTCTGGTATATGGCCCCCAATCATATATTATGTAAAATTGAAGAGGTGATGTGATATTCATGTAATTTTTACACTATGGCTCCAAAGGTTTTCTAAAATAAGTGACAAGCACTACAGATTTGATGGCGTTTTGACCACCACTACATATATATATATATATCATTATTTAACCACTCCACTTTCCCTCCCACAATCTGGTTGTGCAACTGGAATGCAACATTATATAGTTACTGGATTGATTTGATGTTGGCAGAAGAAAACATCATATTGTCCAATGTAATCACCAGAAACTCATCTCACAAAACGATTTGTTACAATAAATTGCAGCAAAAGATTCTGAAACGAAGCCAAGAAAAAGCAGCAAATGCCTTTTATTGCAAATTCCAACAGAAATGTAATTTAAATTAATGTAATGTAATAAAGCTCTCCTCATCACAACACCCTTTTTTGCCTGTAACAAATCCAATCCCACAAACCTCCACTTCTCAAGAATGTACAAACTTCTTTTTTTGTAAGAAAATTGACGAATCACAAGAAATGAAATGAATGCAATGCAATGGAAAGAAATGAAATGAAATGCAGCAGCAGTCTCCACTACCAAAACTTTTCTTACACATGAATGATAGAATAAGAAGAAGAAGAAGAAGAAGAAACACTTCACTTCGACGCTGTACACATAAAACCCGAAAAAACAAAAAAACAAAAGGAATGAAATCATATATATCATAACCTTAACTTGATTTGATTTGAATGCCTTCCTTCAAGAGGTATATGTATAGCTGTTTCCTCCCTGAGTAAATCTTACCCTGCCTTCCCTTGCAACTTATTCGAACATCACCGCAATCGATCGACTTGACGAAAGAATGGACAGGTTTTTAATCACAGAAAAAAGAGCTGTAAACTTACAAGATCGCAGCTTGAATTTGCCCGTTGGGATGCAAGAAGATCGAGCAATCCGACAACGATGTCCCCTGCTGAAGCTCCAAGCAGGGTTCGGGTGAAACACGTGCAGACGAGCCCGCAACGTCGGCGCATATCCACGCTTTCGACGGATCATCGGGAGTGACCGATAAGGACACATTTGACAGGCATATCGACGTGAATGGTGATTCTTCAATTCCGGAGAATATTCCGGCGGTGGTGATGTTTATCCCAACAAAGTCGCGGAAGGAAATTCCGGTGACAACTGGCAGCGCTAAGGGATCATAATTCTCGTCTGGATGAGAAGTGAACTGACCTGTCACTTTGATTCCTTGACGAACATTTTCGATGATGACGTCTGATACCATGATGTCTTTAATGTAACCGCCTCTCCCTTTCGCTGTCTTCAGCTCGATGGCTGTCTCGGAGTCGTACACGTGGAGATTCTCTGCCAATACGTTTGAAATCCCGCCCGACATTTCGCTGCCAAAGGCCAAACCTGAGCCAGAAAAGGAATGTAGGAGAAGCTTCCTGACATGGACATGGCTTGTCGATTTGTTGTAGGAAATTCCGTATTCGTCCCAACCGCTTTTAAGCACCACGGCGTCATATCCCGTGCTGATGTTGCTGTTCTCGATACAGACTTGATCAGAAGAATCTGAAAATTCGACAAATTAGCAAATACGCAAGAAAACAAAACCTCGTACTTCGAGTGTATGTCGGGAAAAAACATTGTCTGCTACAGACAGTACCTGGGATTACGCCACTCGTGCGTGGAGAATCTGGTGGCGTATAAACTGTGATGTTCTGAACTAGCAACTTGCTGCAAAAAGGGAATATAACACTTTAAGACAATTAGCTGAACAAAAATCCGAGGTAGATGTTAAATGCAGTATCCAGAAGTTAAGGACACACGTGGAATAAACCGAGTGTATGCTCCAGGCAGGCGCATCTACGAAGGTTAAGTTTGATATAACAACATTGTCGGATCCATTCAATTCCACAAGATGCGGGCGACTGTAGTTTAAGGAATGGTTGCTGTAAAGTTCCCACCAAACCAAACCTTGTCCGTCAATAGTTCCATTGTTACCTGCAATAACAAAGCCAGAGAATTACTACCAAATGGATGGAGGCGATTAAAGATCATTCATTCACATCGCTACCTGTAATAACGACATCAGTTATATTTTGTCCACTGATTAAGCTCTTATATCTTCGACCAGGTAGTTCCAGGCCTCGACCATAAGAAGGCAACGGATCAACAACCTCCCAGCGACTAACATCCTGCAATAACGAAGGTAAACATTATATATTCCCAAGCTTTTCCCAATCACAACACTTTTCAGACAGGTAATTGTGTAATAGAACAAGCAATTTTCCTATCAACCTGGGAACCAAGAATGAAGGCATCTCTATCCAGGAAAAGTGTAAGATGACTGGTGAGAGTTATGCATCCTGTAAGCCATTTTCCAGCCGGAACATAGAGCTGGGCGCCGCCCTTGTCCACGAATGACTTTAGATAGAAAATTGCATTCTGAAATGCTAAGGTGTTTATTGTTTTCCCATCTCCAACAGCCCCAAATTCAGTGACGGACACACTATGAGGCCTTGGAGTCAATGGCCAATTCGACATGCATACTCCATTGTCCTCTGATGCAGCATTGCTCAATGACGAGGAAGACAATGCCAAGAGCAACACCAAAAGTACCTGATATGCAACCACACAATACAACCACCACGCCTTAATGTACATATACTATGCTAAACATCAACAAAAGGAATACGATTGATCCGGAAATTAGGGCTTAAAATACAGGAAAGTGGTGTTTGAATCCCAATTTTCATCAATACAGTATAATTGAGCGGTGGGGAAAATAGATGTGGTTAATTTCTAGTTGAATTTTTGGATACAGATCTCAATTATTCACCCAATAATGCGATATAGAAGAAGAGGAATTCACCAACAGACTCCTACAATGAAAAACATCAAATTACGAGCCTGGATTGCGAATGAATCTGCTTCGCAAAAACGGTTTCAGATCTAAAATCACAAAATCAGACACCGCTCCTGATTACAGATTTAGCGGTGGAAGCTGTAGAACACGGTAACGAAGATCGAATCAAAACCAAACTTCCTGCGAATCGGCGTCTCAGTGAAGCAACAATCTGTCTCAGTTGTCACTATCCTCAGATGAAATTGCTACCGCGAAATTACGCTCAAACTCCACCCGAATGCAGGGAAATACCACAGATTCGCCGAAAAAAGCGAAACACCCAACTTTTTTACAGAGTCAAATCGCAGAAAACCAAAAAATGAAATTAACGTACTTACTAGCCTCTTCATTTTCTTCGCTTCGGTTATCTCTTAATCCTCTCTTCTCCTCCTCCTCCTCCTCAAGCCTTCATTCAAATCCTTTGACTACTGCAGCAGCAGCAGCGCTCAGAAACTCCGAGAAGAGAGTAAAAAGGGAGGAATTGATTGCTGATGAGTGGCAATTAAGGGGAAAAATTTACTCACAGGCATTAAAATTATTCAATGGAGAAAGACACACAATCGAAAAATAAAAAATAAAATGAAAATCGGTAGGTGAAAGGGACATCACAGAATCAGAAAAAGACCTCTTCGTCTAACACAATTTATTACAATTTACAATCCCATTTCATAAACAAAACCCAATTCTCAAAACAAACCCACAATTATATACATACATACATACATACATACATACATATATATATATTATATTATATTATTAATTTATTTATTTCTTTATTATTATGGAAAGAAATTTATTAATTATATATTTAAATTTCGCAATTAGAAACAGCGTAATTTCCTGTGCAACGGCCATTTCATTTTGCCGACACTAAATTAACAGAATATTTCTTTTCCATAAATACATAAATATATCTTTTTTTGTAACGTAATATATAACGCAGTTTAGTAATTTTTTAAAAATAAATTCGTAATAACAATAATACTTAGCATTACTAAGGCAACCTTAAACATAAAACAAAAAGGCAAAATTAACAAGGGGACCAATAGAATTATTGCTCCTATATATTTTTAATTAATTTAATTAAATGTAATTTATTTTATATATTCATATACTTAATTCAGTTTTGTTATTATGTGTGTGCATGGGAAAAGTTGGCATGTGCATTGTGGAAATTGGGTCCCTTTTACCCCTCAATGATGTGTGGGAACCAATTGCTTGGCTGGCTGCCTGCCTGCTTGCCTGCCTGGCACCCCTCTGTTTACCACATCTCATTGCCACGTCTTTCACCGGAGATCCTGATCTATTATATACCGTCGATTTTCTCCATCGACGATTCATGTTTATCGGGTGCTCGAGTCCATGGATCTTTTGATATTCGGGTCTGTCTTGATATTTAAATGGGAACCGTATTATTTATGCTAGCGTTAAATTATTTATTCGTACCATCAGTCGTTGTTTGCTTTGAACTTTTCCGTTTTATTCCCAAATTTTTACTGTTTTTTTTTTTTTTTTGGTTTTTAAAAGTATATTAGTTGAAAACATTTATCTTTATTAAAACATTATATTTTAATAATTATTTACATATTAAAAAATAATAATAAATGGAAAAAATAGATTTCAAAGGTTTTTTTTTTAATTTTAAAATATTTGAAATTATATTATTTTGATATATGTTAAAATAGCTTTTCTCCATCCAAATTTATTTATTTTTTATTATTTTCGTCTACCTATTAAAAATATTTATTTTTAATTATAATAAATGTGATTATATCTAAATACTACTGAATAATTTTTAATTTTACAAAATATATCCATTTATTTTTTGTTTTTTTAATAATAGAAATATTTCAAAATTATTTTATACATTTTGTATTAACTAATAAAATATTATTATTTATTAATTTACTATAAATATAAAAAATAAAATAAATGAGTGGATTGAGTTAGAACACACATAATAATAAAACTTTTGAATTCTAATAATTCATTGATATAATTTTTTAAATACTACACTATATATTTTTCTACATAATACACTAATTTTTAAATATATACTCTCTTGATATGATTGATATGTATTCATTGTTTTTATTTTCCTTATGTTTTTTTTATAACTAAATATCAAATACTTATATTTTTTTGTTATTATTCTTTCAATATTACTAATATTGGTAGAAATAATTTTATATCTACATATTTATAAAATATTATGCCTCTGTCCCACATAATTTGTATCTATTTTTTATTTTCAGTCAGTCCCACATAATTTGTTATTTTCTTTCTTAGAAATATAATTACACACTTTAATTACATTTTAAACTTTATATTTTATAATTTTTTTAAATCTAAATTAAAGTATTTAGTTATCTTGATGTTAATCTATAATTATTTTTAATAATATACTTTTTTTTATTACTTATTAATCATATTTTACCTAAATTTCCGTATCTACAATAACACGTCAAAATTACTTGGGACGGAAGAAGTAATATACTTAATTTCGTGTGTGCAAAATCAAATAAATACATATGACTCGAATAGGAATATATTATATGATATATTGAAAAGTTGAAAAATAATTAAATTAATATATAGATAAAATAGCTAAAGCATAGAAGGAAAAACACAGCAAATTGTGTGTTTGTTTGGGGATTGAATTTTGAGTTGGAGTTTGAATAATAAAAAATTTAAATTGTAATAGTTTTATGATGTGAAATAAATAGATATTGATGTGATATTTTTTAAAAATAAAATTAATTTTTAATATAATATAAAAAATAAAAAATAGAGATGAACACACACAAAATAATTTTGTGAAATCATATTAAATTGTTATAATATAAAAAGTTTACAATGATATAAAACGCATATAATTTATATATATATATATATTTATTTATTCTATAGATACACATGCAGAAGAATTCAAATCATTTCTGTAAAAAGGCTTCTCCATGTAAAGTAAAATAGGAAGCTCTTTGTCGTGTCTTTCAGGTAATTAATTAGCAGGCCGCCTGCTGCTTATCGTAATTCTTTATTTATTTAATTGATTAAATAAATATATATATATATATAATACTAGTATTTTTAATTAGTAACATGCTACTCGAGTGCTGTGTTGGCTAAGCAATTAAACTTAGGTGTCGTAAAATCAAATATTTTGTGGTGTACGTAATTCAATAATTGAAATAGCATCATAATTAAAGATAAATCCTTTTTGATGGAAATGTCTTATCTGCTGCACACAAATTAACCCCACATTAACTCTGTAGCATATATATAAATCTGAATATGATCCAATTGCTATGGTCTGTTAACTTGAAATATATATGTGTATATATATGCAATCATTGTGTTTAGGTATAAATATTGCATATTTTAATATTTTTATATTATTATTATAAATTGTGAAGTAGAAATTTATATATATATATATATATATAGATAAAATAATGCATGAGCAGCCAATCAGGGCATAATTGACTCAAAAACTGAAGGAAGAATGAGCGAGTGGCAGTGGCACACATGTTCATGTTCATGTGCATGTGCTGCACATAGACAGACGCTGTCCATTTCTCCAAATCAGCATCCAATTAGATTCCGCCACCTGGCATCACTTCAATCTGACGTCGTTTTGAAAATTTCCTCTTCGCTCTCAGCCGGCTCGGCATTTATAAAGTAGTATATAATTTTGTATAGTATATAAAAATAAAACATGTATTATTCTTAGACAGAAATGGAAGAATGATTATACATTCAATAATACTGATGTTTTTTATTTTTTATTTTCCTGTATTATAAAAATTCATACCGTACAATACATATATATTAGGTCACAGCTGTATCGTGTCCCCACTTTAGACCAAATAATCAAAATCTATGGAAGATTGATGATTGATCCAACGGCCCTGGCGTGCCCTGCCGCATCCATCACATGGTGGAGGATTTCCCTCTCTCCCTCCCGCCACGTCATTTCATCTCCATTATTTTATTTTTTTTATTATTATTTAATACTTGGGCCGTAACGGCCCAATTATTTTATGAGGAGTATATAGTTTGGGCCCAAATGGGCTTTGAATCAGTCCATGATTTTTATGGGCCGGATCACATAAATAAGCGTGCCCGAGGCTGAGATGGCGGATAGGCTGACGGACTGGACTTTTCTCCGTTTGGTGGAGGCTGCGCTCTCGGCTTATTGGAGGAACGAATCGAATAACGATTTGACCTCTCATTTTGTGGCTGTTTAACCGGAATTCGTTGAAGCAATGGCGATGCTGATGTCCGGCCGGCGGCTGTTGTGTAGATCCACGACGAACGCGTATGTGGCAGTTGGCTTCAGATGGTACTCTGCGTCCTTTAGAGAAGAAAGAGACACGTTTGGTCCCATTCAAGTTCCTTCCGACAAGTTCGTGATCTATTATTCTCATGTTTTTTGCATTTCTCTTTGTCAAGTGGCTGTTTCAATCTTATTTAATTAATTAATTTATTTTAGCTGCGGCATTTTTGTTGTTCGTTGGGAAAAAGTGTCTGTTTTGATTTTCGCTGATCTATGTTCTGTCTTCCTGTGTTGCTGTACTCATCAAAAGATAGACGTTCTTAACCAAACTTATTTGGAGCAAAGTGCCTTGTTAGCAAACAATAAATTAAATTGGGATTTAATGATCAAAAGAACTGGAGATTAAATTTCATCAAGTATTCGATCACGTTCTCGTGGACCAGTCATTCTTTTGACTGTGAAATTGGTAAAAATAGCAAATTGTTTAAAGTAGTGGACACTCTCTGTGTAAGGTAGTTCCAACAAACTGAGTTTCAGCTGGAGATAATTATTTACATTTGCGCTTCTTATTGTTAAATAGTTATTTTCGATACGGCCTTTGTATAATTCTTGTTTCCATCCATTACTATGCATTTTCTTTTTTTCTTTTTTTTAAGAGTTCAATGACTACATTGACATTTTTCTTCAAATTTCTCAGATTATGGGGAGCTCAAACACAAAGATCGCTGCAGAACTTTGACATTGGAGGACAGAGGGAGAGAATGCCTGAGCAAATTATACGTTCCTTTGGGATTCTTAAGAAATGTGCTGCAAAGGTGTGCAATGTTTAGGAGTTTTTGTACAATATAAACTACTCAGTATGTTTCCTCTGTTTTTGATTTTTTCGATTAATAATTTATATAATATCCCTTGCTTGGTTTCTGTATGTCATAACCGGAACCTCAACATAGGAAAAGGAAGCCACATAAAATCTAACAATTGTTACCCTAATGCATTATTATTTTTTCTGTTGTCATAATTGGTATTAATATGGTTGTTTTAGCATTCATCACGTCAAGTATACAAGCATTCGATCAATTCTATTTTGTTTATTGTATTAATTGATTTTAACTGTACAATTGATTGATTTACTATCATAAATTCTGAGGCACAGCTATCAATATTCTATTCTGCAAGTTAATGGAGTTATTATCTAACTGATTCTAACATGAGGCACATACTTTTCAGGTAAACATGGACTATGGTCTTGACCCAACCATAGGAAAAGCAATTATGCAAGCTGCTCAAGAAGTGGCTGAGGGAAAATTAGATGACCATTTCCCTTTGGTAGTTTGGCAAACTGGCAGTGGTACTCAAAGTAACATGAATGCCAACGAGGTACTCTAGCTTTTGAGCTTTCTCCAAGATAAAGTGCCATTGATTTCCTATAAATAGGTGACATTTGTATTTTATCTACAAGGTTATTGCGAATAGAGCTGCTGAAATTCTTGGCCACAAGAGAGGGGAGAAATTTGTTCATCCCAATGATCATGTTAACAGATCTCAGTCTTCTAATGACACTTTCCCCACTGTAAGTTTCAAGTAAGATAATACTTTTGCTCTATTTATTCTCAAATGGAGTTATAACTTGGTTTTGTCTTTGGCTTGTCTATGTCCCAGGTAATGCATATTGCAGCTGCTATGGAGCTAAATTCAAGATTGATCCCAAAGTTGAAACAGTTACACACAACACTACATTCAAAGGTTACTATCACTTGATTCTTTCTCCTTCGTTTTATTTGGTGATTTTTACATTTTATTTGTTTATTTTTCTGTGGTTACTGTTGTGTTAACTTGAGCATTGCTATGAAGAAAAACACTCACATAAATCTGATGTCTTTAGACTGTTGAATTCAAAGACATTGTTAAAATTGGCCGTACGCACACGCAAGATGCCACACCTTTGACTCTTGGACAAGAATTTAGTGGCTATACCACACAAGTAAGTGACTCATCCAAAACTTTTGCAAGAATGATATGGAATTTTGTAAATTGTTTGCCAAACCCATAAAGTACCATTATATTTGTGTGAAAATAAATGATTCCTCTATCTGTGCAGGTGAAATATGGGATTGACCGGGTGTACAGCACCCTCCCTCGCATGTATCAGGTATATTGCTTGGCACCACGTACTCTTCATTCTTAACTTATTAGTAGCCATGGCTCTAAAAGTTTAGAATTGTTGCAGCTTGCACAAGGAGGCACAGCTGTTGGAACTGGTTTGAACACAAAGAAAGGGTAAGCCGCATACTTGATTTGTTGCATGTAGCTACTTAACCCTCATGGCATCTTATTTATATATTTTTAAATATAAAATCTCTGTTGTGCTAGATGTATTCTTCTGGTACTTTAAAAGATATACAGAATAGATTCCATCTTATTTTCATCTATGCAACATATTATATGTTTTCAGGTTTGATGCAAAGATTGCTGCGGCTGTAGCAGAGGAAACTAATCTGCCATTTGTGACTGCAGAAAACAAATTTGAGGCACTGGTGAGTGTACAGAATCTCCCTCTGCGTATTATTCTAACTTATTTGTTTTTGTGATGTCCTTGCTTAAATTTGTTTATCTGAAGTGAGTTTCTGTTTCTTTGTGTTCTTATATTGCAACATTTTATGCAGTGGGTAGTAAAGTTCGTTAAGTTTAGTTCAAAAATTGGTAACTTAACAATTTGGTTTTTCCATTTTTATGTTGATAGGCTGCACACGATGCTTTTGTAGAAACAAGTGGTGCGCTCAACACTGTTGCTACTTCTCTCATGAAGATAGCAAATGATATACGCTTCTTAGGAAGGTATGTATGATTCTGGCATTTCTTGGTTACTTTAAAGTATTAACAACTCACTTAAGCTCTCATTCTTCTCCATTATATCCAGTGGTCCACGATGTGGTCTAGGAGAGCTCATACTTCCTGAAAACGAACCAGGGAGCAGTATAATGCCGGTAATTACTCATTGATCTATTAGACATAATGCTTACATATACTTTGAGTTATGCACTGTGAATAATCATTTTATTGAGTGCAGACATAATGCTTGGATTATGCTTATAATTTTCAGGGTAAGGTCAACCCAACACAGTGCGAGGCTCTTACAATGGTCTGCGCTCAGGTAATATAAAACTGTCATTACATTACAATGGTCTGCAACATGTTTTTATGGTACTTCAATTTCCAGGTCATGGGCAATCATGTCGCGATCACAGTCGGTGGATCCAATGGCCATTTTGAACTGAATGTATTTAAGCCAGTTATTGCCAGTAATCTATTACATGTACGCCACTCTGTTTCCATTCTAAATTTTCTGTAGTTGTATCATCTTGATTATTCTCTTTTGACATTTATATTTATTTCACTCAGTCATCAAGATTGCTTGGGGATGCTTCTAGCTCCTTTGAAAAGAATTGCGTCCGAGGAATTCAAGCCAACAGAGAAAGGATTTCTAAATTATTACATGAGGTTAGTTGTTGTTTTTTGGCACTTTGATTGAAAATCTCATTTTATTGTATCAGTTGAAACATTCTTGAATTGATGATTCTCAAACTCTGCAGTCTCTCATGCTTGTTACATCTTTGAATCCGGTGAGTTTATTTTGTTTTATTTATAATATTTACATTCCCCGTCTGTCTTCTCAGTCAACAGCTTCTTATTAAGTTTCATTGTTAATTCTAGAAAATTGGATACGACAAAGCTGCATTAGTTGCAAAGACTGCCCACAAGGAAGGATCTACCTTGAAGGTTAGTTTCTTGGTCATTATGCTGCATTTTCTTCATCACTTTCGTTATGCTCACCTCCATAGACTGAACATGAAAAAACAAATAATAAATTACATATATTTGCGAAAATAATCTGAGTTTAGTTGATGAGAAAGGGAGGGAAAGAAATAATAGAAGGAAAATATGACCATGCAGGATACCATATATACCCATTGTTTTTTTATAAAAATAATGTGAATGGACATACTACAATAAAAAAAAAAAAGGAAGACAATTTTGAATGGACGGAGTAACTATACTTTTTATTTTATTTATGAAGTGGGAACCTAATGTTACGAACTCCCACACTCTCATGCCTCTCTTACGGGTCTCACACTATAATACCATCTCTTACGAGACATAAACGGATGCATCATATTCTGCTTACTATATAATATAGGGCATGCAATATTTTGGATTAACTATTAGATAGATAATAGTGAAGTTAAAATCTTTTGGTTTTCATGCCTACTTATTATGTTTCTGCTTTTCTTCATTGAGTTCATTAAATCAAACAAAGAATCGCTTTCATTTTAGAGGTTTCCTGCAGTTGCTTACTATTGGAATTTCATTTAGTTACCATTTCATGTGATGAACATTTCACAGGATGCTGCATTGAAACTCGGCGTGCTCAGTTCTGAAGAATTCGACAACCTCGTGATACCAGAAAAAATGATTGGTCCCTCTGATTAATTGTCAAACTTTTATCATGAGGAAATACAATCCCCCTCTAGGTCGAAGATTTAATAGCAGCAAAAAAGCCTCAATTGAAAAAGCATTCCCAGCCCAGGTGGAAAGCTTATGATTTTTTTTCCTATATGAATAAAAACTATTTGGCCTGTCACACTTAGAGCCAAGATTAGGCTGAAGAGCTATTAGGATGCGCAAGCCCCAACTGTTTTCCTGGTAAAACCATCCATACATTGGATAATAATTTAAAAGGCATTGTTGACATATATGCAAAGAACTTCCTTGTTTTATTTCATATATGAGATATACATATCCAAGTAATCTTCAGGATTACTGCCCTAATGCACGAAATTACAGCATATACATTGTAATCTGTAGTCCTTTAGAAATAAAATCTTTTTATTTTAGAAAAAAATAAAACGTGTGCCATTAGATACTTTCAGACCATTATGATTTATGAAACATGTGACCAAAAGGCTTATTCAAGAGAGATGACATAGGAATAAGCCATGGAACAAATCAAAAGGTGAGAAACTATAACCCAAGCAGTATTTAGATAGTGTCTGAAACAACATGCAAACCGAATACTAGAGTCAAAACATAGGGGGAAGTCAGTAGTACTCCTTTCACCAAATAACATAGTTACTTCACAAGATAAACCAACAATATAATGCAACTCCGTCAAACCCAAAGATAATAACTTCTTGTAGCAACGTCGATCACTTCTTTGCCTTCTTAGTACCCCTGCATGATAGTGAGACATTCAATTAACTGTTTGTGTATAGTTTTAGATAGTATTGAACGATCACTTTAAAGCCTTTATTTATCGGCACTTACTGAGATTGCTGAGTCGTAGGCGCAGCTGCCTGTGCGGCAGCTGCTCTCTCTCCAGGTCCCTGTAAACAAGAAAATACATGTGGGGTTTGAAATGTAGTAATGGATGAACAAGATTCAACACAATTTAAGGTACCTACTAAAGCAATATCGACTGTTAATACCTGGGCAAGCCTCTCTTCTCTCCTTGCAATTTTTCTTTCCCTGCTGGCCTTGTTCTTTGCTCTCTTGGCCTCAAACTGATCTGACAACGTCTTCTCTCTAGCCTTTTCAGCCTTCGACTTGTGGATGCTCTCCATCAAGACACGCTTGTTCTTGAAGACGTTACCTTTAACTTTCATGTACATATCATGATACATGTGCTTGTCAATCTTCTTGGCCTCCCTATACTTGCGGAGCAGACGTCTGAGCACCCTCATTCTCCTCATCCACAGGATTTTAGTGGGCAGCCTGGCCTCCCTGGTACCCTTGCGCTTACCTACAAGGCGTTGATAAATAACATGAAGATTGTTGTTTTTCCTTTTTAAGAAAAGGTATAGGCTGGCAACTTTGATGTAAGTGTTGTGTATGTTTGCCATTTAAGATATAACAAGATACAACACAAACAATTTAACAAAGCCATTATATCGATACCGTATCCAGAGTGGCGGCCTTTTCTCTTGGCCTCCTTCATTCGGCGGGCTCGCGATCGCGAGTGAATCTTGGTTGGCTTCCTGATAATAAATCCATCCTTGACCAATTTCCTGATATTTTGTCCTGTTGACAAGAGAGGCTATAATAAGTGTGCCACAATAAAGAGCTGGAAAGCATTTGTTTGAGAGGTTTTCTAATATAATATAGATGCAGCAATCTTACTAATATTGCATTCTAAAACCCTAGAGAAGAAATATGCATATTCACGAGGCTTACAGTATATGAAACCTCAATTACAGAAAATATAATGGATTTCTCATGTATCGTTGCCACAGGCTCCACAGAAGAAATTGAAGAATGATAAATTTTGCGACTCTCGAAACTGAGGACTTCCATTAAACAAGGCTCAAAAAATGCAAAAGTCACAACATAAAATCCATATACAGTATATTTATTGACGAGAAAAGCATATGGATTGCAGTGATCAAGGTCTAGATGCCGTGCGCCGTTAAAATTCCACAATTATCACTGAACAAAAGTAATGCTCGAGTTTTATTAATCGAATAAATTAGCTGATAACCAGCAGCTACAATTATTAGCCGACATAAAACATAAGTCTGCAAAGCTCAAAACTCAACGGCGTAGAAATTGCTAAAAAGATGCAAAAAATTCCACTTTAGCAACATAGAACTCCCAGGAAGTAAAATAAAAAATCGATATATTACGCAAAAAAATAAAATAAGAGAAAATAGATCGTACGGGAATTAGCCATGGAGATTTCGTTGACTTCATTTGGATCGAGCCAAACCTTGCCCTTGCCGCACTTCAACACGCTGGCAGAGAGACGCTTCTGCAGTTTGAGCGACACCATTTTCGGCTCTCCTAGGGCTCTTCTTCGGAAAGAGCTAGAGCCATTGAAGAAACGCGCTTTTTATACGCCGATCCGCCCTAGGGTTTCCTTTTATAATGGGCCTCATGGAAAGGCCCTTAACTGGAACCTAGTGAAATTACCTTTGCTATATAGCCCAATGAAGCCCGATATATGTTTCAATTGGGCCATTTTAAGTGGGCCTTTTAATTTTACGAATGAGCCCATTTAAGCCCAATTGATCGAGTCCCTTAACTGGGGCCTAGTGAAATTACCTTTGCTATTAAGCCCAATGAAGCCCGATATATGTTTCGATTGGGCCCCTTTAAGTGGGCCTCTTATCTGACAAATTAGCCCATTAAAGCCCAATTGATCAAGTCAAATTGCAAAAAAAAAGAAATAGACTAAACAACATATACTATTTCAATATAATTATTTTTAACTAAATTTCGAAATTTTCAAATTTAAAATCTGGACTCTAATTAGTGCTGCCCCATGTCGGCTGACCTGAGGAGATGAGATCGTGCCAGCAACATAAACACTGTTATAAATAAGCACTGAAAGAAATTCGTCGAGAATTAAGATAAATTAAATTAAAGAAAAATAAATCAAGAACCCAAAATGGGCAGTGCTGGTTTCGTCCCAAGAACTTTTTATCTGAAGCTTCTGATGATTCTGTCAGCCGCCGCCGCCGTCGCCGCCGCTTCGGCGAGTGGTTACACTTACAGCTACGGCGGCGAAGCTCCCCACACGGCGGCCGGAAAATCATTCCTGCCGGAAGTCTTCGCCGTACAAGGAATTGTGTATTGTAGATCAGGCCATAAGCTCAACCCCCTCAAAGGTTAATAATTTATTATTTAATTCTCAATTTTTAATTTGATCATTAATCAACAACGATCTCTATTCAAATTCGTAACTATATATGTAAATATGTCAGGAAGTGTGTTGAGGATAACGTGTCTGGGAGTAGACAAGTACGGCTACGAAACGGCGCCGTTTTCCATATTGACACGCGCCACCGACGGTAACGGCTATTTTCTGGCTAAGCTGTCGGCGAAGCACCTGGAAGACGGCGGCGTGAAGCTGTCGGAATGCAAAGCTTTCCTACAGAGCTCTCCGCTCAAAGACTGCCAGCTGGCGACTGACGTCAACAAAGGACTCAGCGGCGCGCCGCTTTCTTCATTCCGACCCATCGGCTCCGGCGGCTTACGGCTCTACTCTGTCGGGCCGTTTGTCTACTCCACTGTTCCTCAACAAACTCCCGCTTTTCTTCCTTACTACTGATTTCATATATATATATATATATATATATAATTAATTGATAATATTGGCAATTATGCTAATTTTTATTTATTTGTAATTGAAGGGGTCTTAATAAATCTAATTAACACATCAAATTCATTCTTTCTTGTAATGGATTATCTTCATGTTTTTGGGCCATTCAAAGTCTAGAAAATTGAGACCTTTTTTTTTACAAATTTTCTTATTTTGGGTTAATTTCTTTTGAACGTTTGAATCTATAAATATTAATAATTACTATTTATCTTTATATCCAATTTATGTTTTCGTTAATAGAATTAGTTTGATCTTTGATCAACATTGCTATTTAAACTGCTGCAATTAGGAATAATCAAGAGTTATGAACAGATCAGGATCAGGGTTTCTTGAAAATGAATGAATGTACAAAAATAGATATTGAATTAATCAAGCAATACATTGACGAGGGCCTAATGGATTGAATATTCCTGCCATTGTTGCCATTGCATTGGTGCAAGCAAATCCAACAGGCCCCAGAAATCCACTGGGCACCAAATCAATGTCTGCCAATTCAACACCCTCACAAGGGTTTGCCATACTGCAATTCAACCAAACCCCAACTTCTGAAATCGTACTTCCCCTTATCTTCCTAAAATGGACATCCACAAGCTTCACGGTCGACTCCTACCAATAATAATCATATATATATATATATATGTCAATTAATCAATAATTCAAAGTTAATTCAATGAATATATATATATATATATATACACACAGATCGACATACCTTGGAATTGGGAGTGGAATGGTAGTTCTGGTCGATGATGATGGGATTCTTGACGTCAGTCATTACAATATCCTCGAAGACAATGGCGGAAGCGATCAAATTGGGGGAATCATGGCAGGTCTTGATTCGTGCCCCGTTGGTTGTCCCTGTCAGCGAGCAGTTACTTATGGTGACTCCCCGCAGGTTCTTCTCGTCGGGCCGCTTCCCCAGGCTGCCGATGCTGATCCCGTGGCCCGGCCCGCACGCCACTCTCGCCACCGTCACGTTCGTGTTGCCTTCTCCGATCGACACGCAGTCGTCGCCGGTCCCGATCAGACAATCGGTTACCTTCACGTTCGTGCTCCTGCTGACGTGGAACCCGTCGGTGTTCGGGCTGTCGTCAGGCGCTGTAATGGTCAGATTGGTTATAACAATGTCGTGGCAAGAAGTTGTCTTTATGTGGAATCCCATGCTGTCCACGAATTTCAGGTTCTCCAATTTGCTGTTTCCCATTGTTTCCAGGATCAGAGACTGGAAATTAATTTAATAATTAATTAATGATATCGATCAGTAATTGATTAATTAATTAATTAATTAATGGTGATCGGAATCGAGGTTACGGCGGGGAGAGGGGTGGTGCCGTCGGCGAACTGCCAGACTTTCTTTCCGTTGCCGTCGAGGGTGCCGCCGCCCGTGATGACGAGGTTGTCGACGTGCTGGAACATGATCCAGGCGAAGTTGGAGTACATGCTCAGATCGGGGGCGGCCGTCAGGTTGCCTTTGATTTCGAAGATGATCGGCGCAGGGGATGTGCAGGGTCCGGCGAACACTACTTCGCCGGAGGCGAAGTTTCCTGCGGGAATCAACACCTTTGCCTTTCCTGGGCACGTGCACGCCGCTTTCCACGCTCTGATAAATTCCTGAATTCAACAATTCCATCTTCAATTTAATTAATTAATTAATTACAATTTAGAATAACTGTGCTTATTTAATCAGATTTTTTAAAAAATAGATAAAAATATAATTTTTTTACTTTTTGGGTTAAAATAAATAAAAAATTACTCTATTTTTTCACTTAAAAAAAACAAAAGAAAAATATATTTTTTTTACTAAATTGGATGAAAAAAAAATAGTAAAAAAAATTGACAATATATTTAAATGACATAAATATTAATTTGACTTTTATATATATATATAGAATTGTCAATAAATAATTGACCATTGAATTGTCTGTTACGCCGTCGGGTTTAGCTCCGAATGCGGCAACGTCAAAAACAGTCTCCTCCGTCAAGATTTGACGGCGGCCTCCGGCGGCGGCGGGGCTGACTGCGAGCAAGCAGGTGATCCCTAAAGCAAACCATGCCTGAGAGATCACGTGACTTCCCATCGGAACAGTCAAGCCGCCGGCCGGTGAAATATATATATATAATTAAAGTTTATATATTTAAATATATAAACTTATATATATAGATATAGATATAGATATAGATATAATCAGGAGCATTGAATATTAGTCTTCTTCATGCAGGTTTTTATATCAGCTGAGTTTGGTTTGTCCGCCATGTCTGTTTGATTTTAGTGATTGACATTCCAAATCTTTTTCCTTCATTAGTTTCTTCATTGATCATAGTTAATTCCTCTAATCATTTCCTATATTTTTTGTGGTCACTTTCAAAATAATGCATCAATCACCCTTTCAAAGTTTTACACTATCTTTTCCTAGTTAATTTGGGAAGTTTTAATATTTTTTTTTAGAAAAATCATCCATTTATATTAATATATATATATATATAAAATAGTAGGAGTATTGTTTTAAATATTCAAATTTTATTATTCTTAAACTATTTTTTTTTATATATATTCCCTCGTACGGAGTAAAGGTTTTCATTCATTCTTTCATTTTCGTATGTTCAAAAAAAATATATATCTATTTTATTTTATAGTAATTTTATAATATATCTATTTATCTAATATTAAAAGTACATTTATAATTTACAATTTATTTAAATATATAACTTTAAATATTCCAAAACTCATACTATAAATAAACCCAAAATTTTTGGGGGCTTTAGTACAGAATACAGTCTAAGGTTGAGTTGGGCCAAAAAAACAATAAATTTGTGGGCCGGATCTACTATTAAGTACTAACCCATATCTAATCGGCCCACAAGTTTGATAGGAATAATAAATTCTGCAGAATACAGCCGAAAGCATAATTCAGAGGATAAGGCTGAATGTCAATCAATCGACTTTAATAAGTAGTACTATTATACTGTCACAGTATAGATGAAATAAATAAAATCGATAGATGGATACGTGTTGCAGCTCAATGGTCGCACGTTGGAACTTGTAACACACCAGCAAAAGCAAAAACCACCATTTTTTGTGTTACGTGTAACAACCTTTTACAAATAATTAATTTTTAATTCAATTCAACCTCAATTTGATTTACTTCAATTGAAAATTCAATCATACTTTTTTAATTTCGAAAATAATTTTCAAAATTTTGCATGAATTGTAATTTTTCTATTAATTATAATATACCCACCAATTAAATTTAGACATGCATTTACGCATATTGTCCGTTAAAAGATAAAATAAAAAAGGAAAATCTCAAAACCGCCACCTTTTCCTCTCATCCATAGTCACGTTCGTTGTGATCTTATCTTTATCACTATACTCAACTATATATTGATGATGAATCATCTCTTTGAGTTTGCAATTCCAAGATCACGTTGAAGATTCCCTGCAACAACCGCCACCTCTGAAGTTATAGAAATCCAAATGGCGACTCCGAGGCTAACGAAGCTGCCGAGCATGAGGGAAAGGGTGGAAGACACGCTTTCTGCTCACCGAAACGAACTCGTCGCTCTCCTTTCTCGGTATGTTTCGATGATTTTTGGAGTTTCCAGATGCTTCCTGATCACCGATTTTGGTTTTGCGATTTAGCGCTGATTTTCAAATTGATTTCTTCGAGAAGATACGTGGCGCAGGGGAAGAATATACTGCAGCCTCACAACCTGATTGATGAACTCGACAACATCATAGGCGATGATTCCTCCAGGCAAAAGCTCCGCGATGGTCCCTTCAGTGAAGTTCTGAGGACTGCTCAGGTAAATACTATGCTACTCTGTTTCTTCTTAGCATGGATACAAAAAGTATGCAATTTGATAGTAGAAGTATTATTTAGGCTTTTAAGCTATATATTGGCCAAATAGTGCATCTTCGTTGTATCGAATTAGGTTTTGCCTCGGGAAAGAATCACATTTCATAATCAAATTATGTTACAGAGTCGGACTGAAATTTACAATTAGCAGAACAGTCGTTAATTGGCGGTTATCAAAATAATTGAAAGAACATATGATGATTGTTTGATGATATGAGTCACTTTGGTTTGATATCATCGGCACCTGCTAGTGTTTGCTTTGAATTGTGGCAGAATTTGTCATTCCTGATTAGTTATTTTCCACTGGCTTTTACCATTATTTGTTCATGTACAACAGTACAAGTGATCAATTCAGTGTATTTTCGATATTTTTTTCTTCTGGTTCAAGAACAGTGTGCCAACAAATGTTTATCTTTTAATGGTGATCGCAGGAGGGGATAGTTTCACCTCCTTTTGTTTGTATAGCCATACGACCAAGGCCAGGCGTTTGGGAGTTTGTTCGTGTTAATGTCCATGAACTCAGTGTCGATGAGCTGACAGTATCTGAATATCTGCGATTCAAGGAAGAACTTGTGGATGGGCAGTGAGTAGCCTGCTTCCATGTGTTTACATATTCTGGTTCTTTCTGTCAGGTTTAGTAAATCTAACAACCATCTTACTGTTCCTCTGTTCCATATTCTCTATAGCAATGATGATCCTTATGTTCTTGAACTGGATTTTGAGCCATTCAATGCATCATTTCCTCGCCCAACTAGATCTTCTTCTATTGGCAATGGGGTCCAGTTTCTCAATCGACACCTATCTTCTGTCATGTTCCGCAACAAGGAATCTCTCGAGCCGATACTTGATTTCCTTAGAGTGCACACACATAAGGGCCATGTGAGTGTCCTTTCCTCTACATTGAGTCTCAGATTTATTGTTTCCTTATATATGTGAACTCTCAAACAATCTCCTGCTGGTCTGATGTCTTATCTTCATAGGTAATGATGCTGAATGATCGGATACAACATGTCTCCAGGCTCGAATCTGCATTAGCCAAAGCCGATGATTATGTCTCCAAACTTCCACCAGACACGCCGTATTCTGAGTTTGAATATGTGTGAGTTTGTATATGCATCTACATTTGCAAGATCACTTTAAATCCATGTACAGAAAAACGACATCTTTACAGTGTACCGTTTATAATAACTGACGAGCATGCAGTTTGCAAGGGATGGGTTTTGAGAGAGGCTGGGGAGACACTGCTGCACATGTTCTGGAGATGATGCACCTTCTCTCTGACATCCTCCATGCGCCCGATCCATCAACTCTTGAAACATTTTTGGGTAGAATTCCCATGGTCTTCAATGTGGTTATTTTGTCGGTGCATGGGTATTTCGGCCAAGCAAATGTCCTTGGATTGCCTGATACAGGTGGTCAGGTAGTTTTCTGAGCTTTGTAGGATATGCCCTGATCAAGAAAACTAACATTTGTCTAGAACATACAAAGATGTTTATGTTTCTCTTGATTTATTTGCAGATTGTCTATATTCTTGATCAAGTGCGTGCCTTGGAACACGAGATGATCCAAAGAATAAAGAACCAAGGCCTGAATATCACTCCCCGTGTTCTAGTCGTATGTTTGATCGACTCTATTCATTCTCGTGTTATCACATCAGCTGATATCTAGCTTAGTATTCTATTTTTTTTATCTGTTTTCAGGTTACCAGATTAATACCCGACGCAAAAGGCACATCTTGCAACCAGAGACTCGAAAAGATTTGTGGATGTGAGCATGCACATATCTTGCGCGTACCTTTTAGAACCGAGCATGGGATTCTCCGCCAATGGATATCAAGGTTTGATATCTGGCCATATCTGGAGAAGTTTGCAGAGGTAAGTCCAAAGCAACCTCTAATTTGCCTCATTATTACACTGCTGCTCTGAGTTTATGCTTTATAATCAACTCCTTTTTTTTTGTGTTCTTCGTCAGGATGCTGCAAGTGAGATTGCTGCCGAACTACAGGGTGTACCTGACCTAATAATTGGCAACTACAGCGATGGAAATCTTGTGGCTTCTTTGTTATCTCATAAGATGGGAGTCACAGAGGTGAACTTTTATGTTTTGTGAGCTTTTATCGACAAAGTTTTTTGCAGCTGTTAAGCTAGTTTCTGCCCCTTCTCCAGTGTACAATCGCTCATGCATTGGAGAAAACTAAATATCCAGACTCTGACATATACTGGGAGAAATTTGAGGACAAATATCACTTCTCATGTCAATTCACTGCTGACCTACTCGCCATGAATCATTCGGATTTTATAATCACCAGCACTTATCAAGAAATCGCCGGAACGTGAGTAACTCACTTTCACCTTACTATTTGCAGTTTAAAAATATCTAGACTCATGCTGAATTGTCATTATGATCATCCAGGAAGAATACAGTTGGCCAGTATGAGAGCCACACTGCTTTCACTTTGCCGGGATTATACCGTGTTGTCCATGGTGTTGATGTTTTCGACCCTAAGTTCAACATAGTTTCACCCGGTGCAGATGAGACCATATACTTTCCATATTCAGACAAGGAGAGAAGACTGACTTCTCTCCATGAATCCCTTGAAAAACTAATATATGATCCCCAGCAGACTACTGAGCATATGTGAGTTAGATCTTAGCATCTTTTTTCAGTGAAATATATTCAAGATTGTTTCCTAATCTTGAACTGAACTGACACAGTGGGGTGCTGGAAGATCCATCAAAGCCAATAATCTTCTCAATGGCAAGGCTCGATCGGGTCAAGAACATAACAGGGCTGGTGGAGTTGTATGCCAAAAATTCTAAGTTAAGAGAACTGGCTAATCTCGTCGTGGTGGCAGGCTATACCGATGTAAAACAATCTAGTGACAGGGAAGAAATTTCAGAAATCGAGAAGATGCATTCGCTTATAAAGCAATACAATTTAGATGGCCAGCTGAGATGGATAACAGCTCAAACGAATCGAGCACGCAATGGTGAACTCTATCGCTATATAGCTGACAAGAGAGGAATTTTTGTTCAGGTAGACAAATATTTAGAATAACTAAGCATCATACCATTACATTTGGTTCTAATTCATGATAAGTTACTTAACAAGGTGTTTTTATATGCTTCTTAGCCTGCATTCTACGAAGCCTTTGGGCTGACGGTGGTGGAGGCCATGACCTGCGGCCTCCCCACATTCGCCACGTGCCACGGAGGCCCATTGGAGATCATTGAAGATGGTGTATCCGGATTTCATATCGACCCATATCATCCCGACAAAGCGGCTACCCTCATGGCTGATTTCTTCCAGAAATGCAATGAAGATCCAAGCCACTGGGCTAGCATATCTGAAGGTGGTCTCAGCAGGATTTATGAAAGGTATAAGTTAACCCTTATATAGAAATTTAGTACACAGGAATATGTAGTTTTGGTGTTGCTTACAATCCTGGTGACTTAACCTCAAAGGTATACATGGAAGATTTACTCTAAGAGGCTGATGACGTTAGCCGGCGTCTATGGCTTCTGGAAGCATGTCTCCAAGCTGGAAAGGCGCGAGACTCGCCGGTATCTAGAGATGTTTTATATTCTCAAATTCCGGAATCTGGTCAGTTCTTTTATCATCTCCCTGCTACTACACACCATGTTTGTAAGCTGTACTCATTGTAGTTAATCATGTCCAGGTGAAATCTGTTCCTTTCAGTGCCGATGGCGCGGTTTAGAAGGGATCTTGAAAGGTATGAACCTATCCTTGTACACGATGAATAAAAAGGAATGTGTAAAAGATACATATCGAGCTTGAAATTGTTGATCAGCTTTATAAGTTAATATAATGCGCGCGGAAGCTACTTATATTTAACTGGCCGTCAAATTTACATAGAACGGAAGCCCTGTTGCGGGCAGCCACTGGCTGCCCTGAATAAAACTCCCAACGGAGAATTGGTTGGCCTCTGTCGTGTTCAACGCCCTTTTGTATCCCGGCCATTGCACCCGGGCAGTGGTGTTCGATCCCGGCCCGCGGTTTGCGTACTCGCCGTAGTAGAGTGTGGACAGAGCGAAGTCGCCGTCCCACTCGAGCCACCCCTTGGGATCCACCACGCTTTCCATGTGGGACAGCATGAACACTGTCCTGGAATACTGCTTCCATGGCCTGCCGAGGTACGTCCTGAATTGTGACAGGACGGGGAGGAGGTCGGCAGCTGCAGCCACTTTGCAGTTGAGGATGGAGATTCCGGTGTTCTGGTTAGGATCTTCCCGGCCCTGTGCCGTGAATATGTTGCGCTGGTTGGGGTTAGGCCGGCGGGCATAGAGATTGCAGCCCTGTAGGACGACGGCGGCGTTGCCAAAGATGAAGTCGATCGTGCCGTAGACGTCGCAGTCGCGGTAGAATTGGCGGAGGGAGTGGGTGTAGAGCGTGTCCTGGTAGGCCACGAAGCTGCATTGGTAGAACGCCGAGAAATCGCCGCCGGACCGGAGCGCCACCGCTTGGTGCTTGCTGGGGCCGGCGAAGTTCTCGAAGGTTATGCCTTTCGCTATGAAATTGTTTGCTACCACAGCTGCATCAGAAAAAAAGTTGTGATGGGTTAGAGTTAATGGTTGAATAATAAACAGAAATATCAAGAAGATAGAATTTTATGTGATTAATTAACAACTTATCGACTATATTCACGCTGATAAAAATAGAGAACATTTATAAACGACAGATTTCGTATAGTTTAATCTATTCAAAAGGCCTGTATACGGTGGTGCCGGGGGTAATTCCTCGCCCCCGAACCCAGGCAAGGTGAGGAGGGCTTCGTCCCTTCTACCCCCGAGTCGCAGAGTCCATACAAATGGGAAGTGATAAATTAGATTCAAAATATATAAATAAAAAAAACAAAAAATTGATTATCAATCACACAATCTGAAAATAATTGTATCTAAGTATTTATTTATCTAAAAAATATCAGTCCAAAGAGCTGTTGATAATGGAAGGAGCTATCGCTTATCAGCCGTCAGCAGCAACAGAAAATTATTGGTCCATTGTCCCCCACAGAACTTTATTCAGTCCTACGACAGACCAGATACGTCAAACGCTTTGGCTCAACGCATTATTAGTAGAACGTGGACATGTCACGTCAGCAAGTGTACTGCATTCAATTCATCATTCATTATCTACCATGCCCACGTATTTATTTCTTAAAGATCATAACTCACGAATCAGGGCTATAATTACCCAACACGACTCCTGTCGGTGAATTTTAAAACCAATCAGAATATCTAATGATATATCTATTTAATTAAAAAAATTTAATGCAAATGCACGTGGACCAATAAGATTAAATACGTTATCGGAAACTAACCGACTGTAGCAGATCGGAAAGTGGTCCAGCCGTCGACGACGCTCCTGTTCCCTTTGATCAGCGTCTTCCCGATCCCGTCGCCGACGAGCATTAGCATCGTCTTCTTCCTCTCCACCTCCAGGTACTCATAATACGCCCCCGATTTTATGTAAATCACGAATCTCCGGTTGCTATTGTTAGGAGCTGCGCTCAGCGCCTCATTAATGGTTCTGAAATTCCCGCTGCCGTCCTTCGCCACCACCAGATCGAACCTCGTCTGGTTCGTCGGCGATTGCAGCAGCCGCCGCTCTTTCCTCGTCAGCCACGCCGGAAAACCGCCGCTAGTTTTACCAAACGCCGCCGCCGCCGTTCTCTTCCTGCTTTTCCTCTTCAGCTTCTTAACCATGGCGAGCGAATTGCTGACGTGGCGCGAAATCCTCCTCAGCCTGCCTTCGATAAACCGCCGAGTGTTGTTCTTACTGTACGCGAATCCGTCGAGGCAGGTGTACTGATTCGTCATCGCGCCGCTGAGGAGCGTCAGCAAGTCGTCGTAGTACTTTTCCGGCGAGGAGCTCGCCGATAAGTCGGTGAGGATTTTCTTCAGCTCGTCGACGGTGTCGGTGAACAGCTCGAGACAGTCGTCCAGCGCTCGCAGCTCCAGCGGCTCGAGCTTCCTCATGAGCTTGCGGCGGATGCTGCTGCAGTTGGAGGCGGCGGATCCGACCTCCTTCATAGTAACGTTCACCGTACCGGCGATAATTTCCGGTAGAGTTTTCCGGCGGAGTTCCGGGAAGGCGGCGACGGTGGAGAAGCAGAGGTCTGGATACAATGTGCCTTGACAGGGGGAGCGCGCCAGCTGGACGTGGCTGTAAACGTGAAGTTCTTTAGGGGTCTGAGAAGAATAATAAAAAATTGTGGGGTGGAAAAAGAATACAAGTAGTACAAGTAGAAGAGGTAGAAGAGAGACGAGGGGGGTGAGAGGAAATTTGATCATTTTTGGAACGGCTGCCTGAAAAGCTTTTGGGAGGTTCAGAATCAGATATATACCCAAAACATACACTTTTTATATACGTATTTATATTGCATTCAATAAATTGTTCCCTAAATTGTGGGCGTAAATTTTATTTATTTATTTATTTTTGTCCATATGTATATATAAGAATATTTTATCTCATCTGTATTTATTTTATTAGCGGCATTGTGGTTTCCAGTTGAGCATTTATTAGTATTATTATTGTGTTACGTTACCGTTGGACGAACCTGCACTTTTTAGTGCTATTATCAAACATCATTTGACTTAGGCTAATTAGCTGCAAAGTTGTAGAATATCCATCGTCCTATTGGATTAGCTGCTGCTGTTTCTTCTTCTTTTTTATTTTATTTTATATATATATATATAGTTTAAAATAGTTTTTTTTTTTAAATCCACCCACAAATAGTGGGATTTGAATCTAGACCAAGTACATTATTACACAAAACATATATATTTACATTTTAAATTTACATCCTCTTTCCGTCAATTCACAAAATATATACAATTTTATATTATAAATTGTCTAATTAAAAAATAATTATTATAGTAATGATGAATCCATTTTATTTTTTGATAATATCATATAAGTACTTTTACACCAAAATAAAAGAGCGAAATTATTTTTATGTTCTTTTTACCTATTAACTATACATTCAAATTGGAAGGATGGCATATAAATTATGTACAGCACAAAATAAGGATGTATCTCACACTACTAATTATTGACGGATTGGGTTGCTTGCATTTATTTTTTCTTACTTCAATTTTGGGTCCGCGGCCCAATTAAATTTGTTGTAGGCTTAGTATAGTATTTAAACTTAAAGTGGGCTTTAATTGGGCCTACTCCGGCCCATTTAATGGGTGAGTTACTTTGGATGAAACGTGTGATATTGTTTATCCAATTTTTACGCTTGGATTAAAAAAAGACCTCTATTGTAATGAGAAGGCCATGAAATAAAACGTTTGTTCTTATATTGTGGTTATACACAAACAAATGTGTATTTGCTTTCAGAAATTTGCAAAAAATATCATCAAAATAATACAACAAATTTTGAGTTTTTTTTTTATATAAAAAAAGATATTCGATATTATGATTATTACTCTATTATTTTAGAGTAACAATTCAATATTCAAGCTATATTTAAAACTTTCCAAGCACTCATCTATTCATCAATATAAGAATATAAATTAAATTGTATTCTAAATTTTAATAATAATTAATTAATTTCCATCTACTTTTAGTAGTCAAATCTTATTTTAGGAAAGTACAACTAAAATTCAAACCAAACAAAATTTGCATTTATCTGATTCACTTTATAAAACTTCACATATATATTAAATTGAAATATTAAATAGGAATTATGGAATAAAAAGTGCAATTACATTATTATTTTCATAAAATTCAAAATTAAACCATACATAAATACAAGATAAATTATATAACATGCCTTTGTATTTTAGTAAAAATCCACAAAACACAATGTATTTTATTTATTGTTTTGAACCATCTTGTGACTAATATAAAATTTGCACGAAACACCCTTATTGTTCAAAACTGATATTTAATTCTAAATAAATATCTAAATTATGCAAGTTTTATATAAATAAAAAACACAAAATATCTTAAATAATTTTTTTGCATTAAATAAATAAATTAAAAATTTATTAAATCCTTCATTTTATAGTTTTTGGAGACAAATTGTTGTCTGATTTTTATAAAAATTATAAAAATAAATAATTGATCAATTATTTATTTGTTTATTTTATTCAAAAAAATAAATTATTTAAGATATATTACGTTTTTATTTGTATAATACTTAATTTAGGTCTTTATTTTGAACCAAATATCAATTTTGAACAAAAATGGTGTTTTATGCAAACTTTCTAACACAAGAAATTTCATATAATAAATAAAACATAATATATTTTGTGCATTTTTAGTAAAACACATTATATAATTTTCCCCATAAATACATCAGTTATCCGTCGGTGGTTATTGGCTTAACATGTGTGTCGCGTCTTCACAAAAGCGTGTTTTGAATTCCAGCAATTATAGGTGAAGTTTGACTTTACTCCCCCTCCAAAAACGCGACTTCTTTTATAATTGTTTGTTTTCCAGCACGACAAGCTTAAGGAAAGTAAGCCCATTGCACGTTAAAATATTGCAACTAACAAATAAACAATTGCGTTACACACACATATATATGTATAAATTAAATAAATTAATCAAAGGAAAATTATGTCCTACTGTAAGATATTACTATAATTATTCATCAACTAGTATATATGTTTAGAAATGCTTACATATTACTTTCAAACGAATATTTATTTTAATGCCTTACAAATGTGATTTTCGACCTTTAAAAATTTAAATAATAAAAGTCACGAGTTCTTATTGGTTAATTGGGAATACAATTTATGTTTAAAATTGATTTTATATAAATGGACAGAGTGTCCTACACGATCACATGCTATTGGACATTGACTTCTTAGAAAATTACTTAAAATCCTTTTGCTAAAAGTTTGACCAAATTTATTTTATTTTGTATTTTTAATATTCCTAGAATATTGATATGACGATAAAATAAGATTTTTTATTTTTAATTGTAATAAATGGAAAATAACGTAGTAAATGCCAAATCCTCGACCTACTTTAGGATTCAATTGTTAATATGAATTGAGTTTAAAAGGCTGTGGGCAATGTTTACAATATTTGTCAACATAATTAGGTAACTAAAAAATAATAATATAAATTATATTTAGCTGGATGAAAAAAAGTTATTGATATTCATAGTTTATAGTATTTAGGCCTTATTCTACTTAGGAATTTTTGATACTATTCCCTAACAACAATTATTTCAAACTATTAAATTAAATATATTTTTTCTTATAAAATATTATACTATTATTAAATTTTACCTATTTCCAAAATTTTTTAAATTTAAAGTCCGATGACATAGTTGGATACAGTTAATAAAATATTATTATTTTTTAATTTGTCATAAAATTTTCGAAAAATTATTTAATTTTGATTTGAAAAGGAAAAAAACATACCCAAAATCGGTTGAGTCCTTCCCCGTATATGTCCAAACTCCAATTAATTATAATCATAGTTCGATCTCACGCGTTTTCAAGACGAACACAACCTGGTTGACTTTTCATTACAACAACATTAACTAATTAAATTAATATAAATTAAAGAAATTAACAAATTCATGCATGATCTTCAACATGAACATTACTTGCATTTCCCTCCACAACCCTTCCCCTTCCCTTCACCGATTAACAATATATAAATAGATCCATCATCTTCATCTTCATCTTCATCTTCATCTTCATCTTCATCTTCACCATCATCTTCATCTCCATCTTCATCCAATGGCCACGATTAAGTATCTCATCCCCATTACTGTTCTCCTAATTCTCCTTCCACCCAATCTCCTTACAGCAGCCGACGACACTGCTCCGCCCACCATCTCCGCCGCCACTGTCTACGATTCGGGCCGCCTCTCCGCCCGCCAATCCCTCGCCGCCGCCCGGAGATTCCTAACCCTAATCGAACGGCAGCTCCTCCGCCACTCCAAAACCCTAACCATCACCGCAATCCGAGCATTAGAGGACTGCAAATTCTTAGCACAATGCAACATCGACGATCTCCTTGCCGCCCTCCAAATCATCGACAACACTTCCCAAATTCTCCCCGCCGACGAAGCCGACGGCGTCCAAACGCTCCTCAGCGCCACCCTCACCAACGTTCAGACATGTATCGACGGAATTCAGGCGACCTCGTCGACCTGGACCATCAGAAACGGCATTCTTTCCCCCCTCTCCAACGACACCAAACTCTACAGTCTTTCCCTCGCTCTGTTCACCAAAGGCTGGGTCCCAAAAAATAGAAAGAAAGTTAATTCCGGCGGCCGGAGAAAGCATCTCCGGCTTCCGAACCTGAAAATGTCTGCCCGGAATCAGGCGATTCTTCAGACCGTCAATAAAAACCGCCGCCTGCTCCAGACGAGCCCCGGCAGCGACATGGTCAATGTCACCGACATAGTTATTGTCAGCCAGGATGGGTCCGGAAATTTCATGAATATCAGCGACGCCGTGGCGGCGGCTCCCACGAATTCCGACGGGAAAAAGGGTTACTTCTTGATATACATCACCGCCGGCGTGTACGAAGAATACGTGTCGATTGCGAAAAACCAGAAGTACATAATGATGATGGGGGAAGGAATTAACAAAACAATTATTACAGGAAATCATAGCTTCGTCGACGGATGGACCACTTTCAATTCTTCAACATTCGGTCAGTCGATCAATTAAATTATATATTGTATGTCTGCAACACAACACGGCCGTGTTGGTATACTATACACCTTCAATTAACTTTCTTCTCAACCTCTCAATTCAGCCGTCGTCGGAGCAGGATTCGTCGGCGTGAACATCACGTTCCGGAACACCGCCGGCGCGGTGAAGCACCAGGCGGTGGCGGTGCGGAACGGCGCCGATCTCTCGACATTCTACAAATGCAGCTTCGAGGGCTACCAAGACACGCTCTACGTGCATTCCCTCCGGCAGTTCTACGTCGAATGCGACATCTACGGCACCGTCGACTTCATATTCGGAAACGCCGCCGTCGTCTTCCAGGACTGCAATCTCTACCCCCGCCGGCCAATGTCGGGTCAGTTCAACGCCATAACCGCACAGGGCCGAACGGACCCGAACCAGAACACCGGAATCTCAATCCAGTTCTGCACGATCCGACCCGCCGACGATTTGGCCAACAGCACGACAACCTTCCAGACGTATCTGGGCAGGCCGTGGAAGGAATATTCTAGAACCGTATATATGCAGTCGTATATGGGCAGTCTGATAAATCCTGCGGGTTGGAGCATATGGTCGGGGGATTTTGCACTCAACACCTCGTACTATGCCGAATTTAACAATTCAGGCCCGGGATCGGACACCAGCCGGAGAGTGACGTGGCAGGGATTTCACGTTATTAATGAAACCGACGCCGGTAATTTCACGACGTCGGCGTTTTTGTCCGGCGGACAGTGGATTCCTCAAACTGGGGCACCTTATACATTAGGGTTATATCGATCTTAAATTTAATTAATTAGTTTGGATTAATTCTTGTAATTGAATTAAGGAGAAATATTTAATTAATTTTCGTACATGCAATACTCAAAGCCAGCTTATATAATGTACAATCGAATTGAATTTTATTGAGCTTTGAGTATGTTCAAAGCAGCCGTCAAGATGTTCTTGAGGAAATCGTTGGAGTCGTTCATATCATCAGACAAATTGATATCCTGGGACGAGATTTTCTCTTTCTTTTGCTCCTTGTTTGTCTCCTTCAGCTGGGAATCACATTTAGCTATATTCGTGATTGCTGTCTGCGTGAACTTTGTCGCCTCCTTCTTGTCGCCGGCGAGAAGCGCCGCGACGGCGTCCTCGATTAGGTCGTCGAGGGGGTCGTACTGCTCGATGCAGTCGCTCAGCGCGGATTGCAATAACGGAGCCAGATTAGGCTCCTCCGATGTCACATTCTTGATGGATTCTGCAAGAAGAACCGCATGATCTTCGACATACCTGGATGAATTAATTGATTAATTGATTATACGATGATGTTAGAAAATTAGGGTTTGATAATTTGTGCGATGCATATATACTTGAGGGTGTAGAGAGCAAGTTTGGTGGAATTAGCCCTCTCCTTGGGGGTTGCAGATTCGAGGACAGCTTCGCAGGTGGTCTGTTCGGGGCCAAGGCCATGGCAGGCCGTTTGGATGAGGGCTTGCCCGGACATGGATGTCGTCAAGAGCGTTTCTTTGCGGATCTTGAGGTTTAGACCCGCCGCCGACGTCCTCGTCGGGGCGACGACGAGCAGAAGCGCCACTGTGAAGATGATGATCATGCCTGGATTTTTTTCCATTTCGTTTTTTAGTTATTGATTGATCGATCGATCTTCTCTGGTTTTTCGTTGGGTGATTGTTATTGGTGTTTTTATATATACCTGATCGTGATGATGATCGACGATTTTCTTCCATGGCTGGGAGTGAAAACAGGTTAAACATCGAATTCTAGCAGAGGAAGGTCCGCCATGGGTTCACAAGCCCGTGTTTGGATGAAATGGAATTTTGGTAAATTTGGAATTAAAATTGGGTGTAAAATTTTATGTCAACGATAATATTACAATCCAGATGATATATATACAATTTTAGACGACCTGTTTAACGCACGACCCGATCCAGCTGGCTGGTTTGGCGCCCGACTCAATGTCCGGATCCGGGGCGGCTTCGTTTTTTTCCGGATCTGGTGCGGAGGAGCTGCCAGAATGAGGCTCCGGACCCGTCGCGATAACGGGTATGGTTATTTCGTGTGCCGGGTCTACACCGGGTCGGATGTGGACGGGGGTTCGGCAGAGGGGGCAAAGGCAGTGCGACAGAAGCCACATGTCGATGCAGTCGATGTGGAAGCAGTGATGGCAGCCGGGTAGGATCCGACCCGTTTCTCCCTCTTCGAATTCGGATAAGCACACGGCGCATTCTAGCGGCGACCCTTGTACCCGAGTTTTAGAGTCGTAACTGAACATGGGAAGTGAGTTCATGGCCAGGACATCGAGGCCCAACTCAGCGCCGATCGCCGCCGCGGAGGTGGAGATGCTCCGCTGTCGGCGGCTGCGCAGGCGGCGGAGGGCAGCGCGGCGGCTACACCAGTGACCGTACGCGTGAAATAAGACAACTAGTAAACAGGCAGCCACGAGAATGCCGATGGCCGAAACCATGATTTTGCCGCTGAACCGCCGGCCGGTGGGGGTGTCGTTTTCCCAATCCATTGTCTGAATTTATTTATTTATTTTCAAAATTAAAAATAATTGAGGATATTCTGAATCGAATGCAAATATCGATCATACACATATATATAGATTTATTTATTTTCCTATATTCATAACTCTGATCTTAGCGCAGCTCTAGGTGAAGCGCAAGTCCTCTTAGATTCCATGGAGCCGGAAGCCTGAACAAATCTTTGCCGTTGATATGGTTGACCTTATATGATGAACGGTGTGGATTGGTTTGAGATTTGGGCAGCATGGAGTGGCTTATTATTGCTCCATAAATGCTGGGATGAAACGGACAAAAGGTTAAGTATATGGATTAATTATTTAATTAGTGAGAATTAATTAATAATTAAAAGAAATTTAAAATATATTTTTAAATATTTCTAACATTATATATTAATAAAATATATAGTATATACATATTTTTTAAAAAAATAAAATTTTATATAATACAAATAAATAAAAAATATATTTATTATGACTATAAATTCGTTTTATAAAAAAATAAAAATATTTAAATATAAATAAAAATATTTGTTAATTGAAGAAGGGAATATAAATGAAGAAATTTTGAGTGAGTTTTATCTCTGAAATATTTAAATGTAATTTAATTTATTTATATTTAAAATTAATAAATTTATTAAAAATAAAAGAGGTCATTTGAAAAAAAAAAAAAAATCATTTGGGGCAAATAAGAAGAAATGGTATTTGTCAACCTGGCAGACACAAAGAAATTGGAATTACAAGTGTGCCAGCAGCAAATCTAGTGACACAAAAAAATTATTTAATTAATTTAGATATAGTTGACTATTAATCTGACATTTATGTACGTAATTTGTCAACCATAAGGTGTCATGAAGTTATCAGTTCCTAGTAGACTCAAGTTAATAATACTATAACCTAAACCTATGTATAGTTCACTTCATAGCTTGCTTTTGTATTCTGCAAAATTGAAATATATATATATATATATATGTATAATCTTAAATTACAATATACATATGATGATTTAAATAAAAATTTAAAGCTATAATATTTTAAATAAAAATATTTATTCATTTTTCTTTAAAAAAAATAGGTGATAAATAGACCAAAACCCTACATATCCAAGTGCCTAATCGCACTTTAATTTCTAGCTTCTACAATACTTATGGGCATTACTGCATTGGCAATTGGGTACTTTTCTTTTTATTTAAATTTTTGGTTCCATTTAGAAAGAGTTTTTATTATTTTTTAATTTTTAATGAACGTAAACTATAAAAATAAAAAGAGAAAAAGATAAAATTAAATAATAAATAAATATATACTATTTATTTAAATCGTAATCGAAATTGTCAAAACTGAAACCAAAACAAAAAAATATATATATATAAATTTAAAACTAATTGCCGAACTGAATCGACGAACTAATTAACACACAAACAATATTAGTATTTGATTATATAATAATATCTTTAAATAAAATATCAAATCATTTTACATGTTTTAATATTTTAATTAAATAAATATATAAGATTTGTTTGATTATGATTTTAATGTAATTTGAAATAAAATATTAATTTAAATTTTTATTTAAATAATATATTTGATTTGATATTTTATGAGAATAAATACGATATTTATATTAAAATTGTGCAAGATAATCAGTGTTGGTTTTGAATTAAAATTTGGTAACTTAACATGTTTTAATTTGGGCTGAAAATATTTGGACTTGTCCATAACTAATTATTGAGCATATAATATAAGTTATTAGTTTATTTTAATTTCAAAAGGGGCTGATAGGTATGTCAAAACCAAAGCTTCTTCTTCTTTTTATTATTATTATTTTATTTTTAAATCTAAAAATATTTCTTTATATTATATCTTATACACAATTTTATAAATTTACTAATAAATTCAATATTTTTATTGTTTGATTATTTAACAACAATATTCCATGCTAATATTTTAGATTTATTTATTTAAAAAATATAACAAAATTTTAAATTTTTTTAATATTGAACAAAGTGATCACTATATTGTTTATATATATATATATCAAATTAATGAATATTATAATATTTCAAATTTAATAATTAAATACTTTATATCAATTTTATTATAATGATATATAAACAATTAATTACAATATCAATAAAAAATAAATATATTATTAAATATATAATTTATTTTAATTATCATTTATAAAATATAAATAAAGCATTACAAGAAAAAAAATAATATATTCTACTTATATATAAAAAATAAATTTTATTTACTTGTTATCCAAAAATTTTATTATTCTAATTTAAAAAACATTGCAAAAAACTAACATTTTACATAAACAAAAGAAAAATTAAAGGTTTGTAATTAATTTAAAATTTAGTATTCATTTGAATTTTTATTTTAATATAATATTTTATTAAAAATAATAAATGAAATGGAGAAAGAGTAAATTTGAAATGCTCATAAAATTAATACAATACATATTGTATCCATTCAAATAATATGGTAACAATTTCAATCTTGTTCACCACGTTAAAATTGATTACCAGAATTTAAGCATGCAGCCAATAGGAATGCCCAACCATTCACAAAAGTACACGTGGCACCCAATTTAAATGGCTATATATAGAGCGATGTGGATCAGACACAATTGCTTCACTTCTGATCGGAGATCATGGAGAACATCAAACACCATTCCCTGAAAATCAACGGCATCACTATGCACGTCGCTGAAGCCGCCGGCGACGGCGCCGCCGTGCTCCTCCTTCACGGCTTCCCGGAGCTCTGGTACTCCTGGCGCCACCAGATGCTCCACCTCGCCGCCAAAGGCTACCGCGCAATCGCCCCTGACCTCCGGGGCTATGGCGACACTGAAGCTCCGCCGTCACCCTCCGATTACTCCGTCTGCCACCTCGTCGGAGACCTAGTGGCGCTCCTCGACGCGCTAGGTCTGGAGCAGGTCTTCCTCGTCGGTCATGATTGGGGCGCCGCCGTCGCCTGGTGGTTCTGCCTCTTTCGGCCTGATCGAATTAAGGCTTTGGTGAACATGAGCGTTCAATTTCACCCTAGAAATCCCCAAATCAGTTTTCTTCAGATGTACAGAGATGTGTTAGGCGATGGATTCTACATCTGCAGATTCCAGGTGAGTAGTTAAACTTCATCTGCTACGTATTCAAAATTTTCCCCCAATTTTGGAAGCCCTAATTTGGAGACGATAATGCAGGAAGAAGGAGAAGCTGAGAAAGCATTCGAATCAGTGGAAACAGCACAGGCGCTGAAATCCATGTTCTCCATGAGGGAAGCGAAGCCATTAATCGTGCCCAAAGAAGTGGGGATGGAGGTTATTTTCCAGGCGCCGGCGGAGCGTCCGCCATGGATGACGGCGGAAGACCTCGACTACTTCGCCGGAAAATTCAAGCAGACAGGATTCACCGGTGGATTGAACTACTACCGCGCCCTGAACCTGTAATTCTGAAAAATATCAATTCCTTCTTCATCGATCTAACGTCACTAATCGGATCAATTAATTGATTTGCAGGGATTGGGAGTGTCTGGCGCCATGGCAGGGAGCTCCGGTGAGTGTGCCGGTGAAATTCCTGATCGGCGATCAGGACCTGACGTACCATGTTCCAGGAGTTGAGGAATACATCAATGGTGGGGGGATGAAGAAGCACGTGCCGAATTTGCAGGAAGTGGTGGTGATGGAAGGCGTGGCCCACTTCATCAACCAGGAGAAGCCAGAAGAAGTAAGCCATCATATCTCTGAATTCATCGCCAAATTCTGCTGAGCAAAACAATGCTCTGTAAGCTGTCCTGTTCGATTATTTCCATGTTGTTGTCCGTTGCAACCAATAATGGCATATGAGGTCGTTTTCAATTTCATTACAATAAATGAGGTTTCTTTTCTTGATATACAACACAGACAACATAAACAGATATAAAGATTCAACCTTGCTCTTATTATCAATTCTATGATGTCAGAAGCAGACCATTAATCTCAAACAACATGTTCTCATTCATTCATTCATCATCATCGTCATCATCATCAAAACTTTTGGATGAAATCATAAATATGATGAGAAATCTCTTCAGCCTTTTCTTGATTGATAAAATGAGCCACTCCTTCCATGATCACCACCTCTTGCAAATACGGCACAAGCTTCTTCATCCCGCCGCCATTTATGTACTCCTTAACCCCCGGAGTGTTGTACGTCACATCCAAATCTCCGACAATAAACTTCACCGGAACTTTTATCTGCACCCCAGTCCACGGCGCCGTCAGCTCCCAATTCCTGCATCAACAACCAATCAAGCCAAATTAACCCTAAATTGATGTACTAATATTAATATATGCTAAAACAAGATTGACGAACAGATCCAAAGCCCGATAGTAGTTCAATCCACCGGTGAATCCCTTCTTGTCGAACTTTCCGGCGAAATATTCGACATCTTCCTCGGTCAGCCACGCCGGCAATTGAATCGATTTTCCGGGAGGCCCTCCAATCCCAACTGATTTAGGAATCACAGGAGGATTTGGATTCCTTCCTGTAAGAAACTTTTTGATCACTTGCACTGAACCAGCTCTAGCCATCTCCTCTTCAGCCACTCCAGGTTCCTACACATAAAACAAGATCAATTCGAAGAAAAAAAAAAACAGTTTCTTGAAATTAGCCATTAGTGAGTTAATCCTTACAACTTTTCACAACATCAATTCTGCCCTAAATTTCCCAATTGTAAAATCAGAGTTAACCCTAAACTTGCAATTAACAGAGAAAACGAAAAACGGCACCTGAAATCGACAGATGTAATAATCGTCGCCGAGCACCTTCCGCATAAAATCGAGGGGCTTCCATTTGGGATTCCTCGGCTGAATGACGACGCTGAGGTTTACGAGACACTTAATTCTGTCGGGACGGAAGAGGCAGAAATACCAAGCCACCAGAGCGCCCCAATCGTGGCCGACCAAAAAAACCCGGTCGAGACCCAAATCGTCGAGGAGGCCGACGAGATCGCCGACGATGTGAAATAAAGTGTAGCTGGAGGGGGACGGCGGCGCGTCGGAGTCACCGAAGCCTCTGAGATCGGGGGCGATTGCGCGGTAGCCTTTGCCGGCGAGGTGGAGCATCTGGTGGCGCCAGGAGTACCAGAGCTCCGGGAAGCCGTGGAGGAGGAGGACGGCGGGGCCCTCCCCGATTTCCGCCACGTGGAGGTTTATGCCGTTAGTAGCGATGATTCTGTGCGCGATCTTCTCCATGGATAAGGAAGGAAGGAAGGAAAGAAGGAAGGATTGTTTCAACCTGATATGAGATTGATTTTGCGTAAATTGAAGTAGCCGTCGAATTATAACGTAAGGTTAGGACCTCCTTGAAAGAGATATTTTTTTGAGGAGTCCCGGCCTTCCAGCGCCAAACAGATCTCAGCCGTTGAGATTAATCACTCCACGATGACAGCTTAGCTTTGCCTTATTTTTATGTCCGGTATACTCTGATTGCTTTGCTAATTAGTAATTTATGTGATATTTTGTAAAAAATTACATGTTTAATATGATATTTAAAAATATATAAATATGAATCGTAATAAAAATTTCAAAATTACTTATGTAAATAGAGTTCCAATCTGGGACTTAAATAAATGAAGGATATGAAAAACTGTAAAAGAAAAACAAAAATTTACTAATTATGATTTGAAATTGATTTAAAATGTAATGTTGTATTTGAATTTTTGTTTAAATAATATTTTAATATAATATTTTGTAAAAATAATAATATATCTTTTATTAAAAAATGATGTAAATTAAATAATAATATTTTTATTTGAAATAAAATTTCTATTTAATCAAAAAATGAAGTAGAACCAATGACCTCGTGATTACGAGTCTAATCCCACGCCACCAGATCATCTCTTACAAAATTATTATTATTATTATTATTATTATTATTATTGATGTTGGTAATAGCATGCAAGTTATATTAATCAATTAAATTACATCGAATAAGTTGTGTGATAGATTAATTAAATCAAGAAGACTACAAATTCACTTATACCATCTCCTATGGCGTAATAATCAATAATAATATGATATAAAATAAAAGATGTTTTAATTTTTTAATAGATATTTTTATATAATAATTGGTTATATATATTTTAAATAATCAATTAGATTTATTTGTTTGCATATTGAAATTGATTTAAAACAAAATATTATTTTAAATTTAATAATATTTTATGAAAAAAATAATATATTTTTATTAAAAATTATACTTAATAAATAATACATGTTAAGCAAAGATTCAGATACATCAAAAATAATATTCATATAAAGTCTTATGAAATCGAGGCTCAAGTAACTAGGTCAAAAAAGATGACTAGAATTATGGGATTGCTTTCTATAATTTTAGGCACTATAATTTACTCAATAATTTTAAGAATATTCACATCAATTAAACATTTTTAACAGTTTCTCTATTTATCAGCATTAAGACAAAAATACTCTTGTAATACTTATAGAAGAATATTTATAAAAAAAATTATACAAATATAAGTATAATGATATAAAAACTAAATATAAATTTATTAGGCAGAAGGAGGAAGAATTATTTTGCAAAAAGTAAAATTTTATATAATACAAAAATGTAAAAATAAAAAATAATACTAATAGTATATTATAAAGATAAATAAGAGTGTTTAAACTGAACCTTAATTTTGAATAAAAAAAGAAAAAATTATTTTGAATAAATTCAGGGAAGGAAATAAAAGATATTGATGAAAATAAGTGGGCCAAATTGTAATTTTCTAGATTTATGTAGAAGGTTATATCAATGGAAGTTTTTCTGGTTCAAATAAAACGGTTTCAAAATACCGTTTGGGACTGACTTTCATCTCCATCTTCACTTCCTAGCTCAACCCCGAAGTTCTTCAAACTGATTTGATTTGATTTCGAGTTCTGTTCTACACACCACTAAGAAGATGAGATTCAGGTTTTTGATCAATCTCAACGTCATTCATGGATCGTTCGTATCAAGAAGAGCTGCATTGTCTCCTTTTCCTTATTCCAATATTCTCCAGAAATTTTGTGCCGTCGACAATTCTAACTCGTACGATCGTTCCAAATTTGGAAATCCGAGCTTCATGATGCTCAGGCGATGGCAGGGGGGGAACTCCGATCACCATGAGAATCAAAACTCTGATTCCGCAAAGGAGGGCGAGAGGACTTTCCATCTCGGACTGGTGTCGGACATTGGACTGGCCGCCGGGAAAGCTATCACTGGATACCTCACTGGAAGCACAGCAATTATTGCTGATGCTGCTCATTCAGCTTCAGACGTGGTATGGTTTGAAGGGTTTAGCAAATCTGGAAGTAGCTTAGGTTTCACTTTTTGCTTGGCTTGATTATCTCTTTCTAATGGTATATAGGTATTGAGCGGAGTAGCATTGTTGTCTTATAGAGCTGCAAGGGCTCCGAAGGATAAAGAGCATCCATATGGTTAGCCTACTCACCTTTGATCTGTATCTATACATACAATACAAGCTTCATTTGACATGTTTTTCGATTAGAAATTTAGAATCAGTCTTATTTTTAACTGTTTTCAACTTGTATCTTCTGCCAGGAATTTTGTAGGGGTCGGTTTTATACAATAATTTAGCCTGTGTAAAAACCAAGGAATTTACCTGATCTGTTTTACCTTATGTTATACAAATGTACCTTTTGACCTAGCCGCCATTAAATCCCTTTGTCTCATCTTTTCAAATTAATTTTAAGAGAGCCTATTTTTCTGTGGATTAAGCTAAAGCCACCTTGTTTGGCAATAAATGGCTCTGTTATGATGCAGGGCATGGCAAGTTTGAGACCCTTGGAACGCTTGGAATTTCTGGTGCGCTCTTGGCAACCGCTGGCGGAATTGGTTGGCATTCCTTATATGTTTTGATGGTGGGATCAATACTACATTATAATTCATAATGGAAACATTTCAAAACTGGAGTTGCTTATCTTTTCGATTTTGCGTATGTTGCTCCACCTATATATATCGTATGTGTAGGAAATTATGTCTGCTGCTCCTGAGATTGTGGATCAATCATTGAGTAATGACCATTCACATGATCAACTGGAGTACCCAATTCTGGCGTTGAGCATGACTACAGTATCTATAGCTGTTAAAGAAGGGTACACTAGTCAATGTGCTTTCTCTAATTACCAGTAAAGTTATTCGTTAGCATTTTATGTTGTTGTATATTTTTAAATCAACCAGGTTGTACTGGATAACCAAGAGGGCTGGCGAGAAGACAGGCAGTGGACTCATGATAGCAAATGCATGGCATCATCGAGCAGATGCAGTTTCATCTGTGGTTGCTCTAGTTGGGGTTGGTAAATATTCAGTTCCTTTTTCTGATCAATCGTGAGAGCTCATGTCTTCAAGAGCAATGTTCTTTTTTCATCATGTTGGCACACAATGTCAAACTTATACTAGAATAAAATTACACTTACCTAAATTAATACTGGGATAATCTCCTTATCCCAAGCTAAACAGCCAATTCTTATATTAAGTACTAATCTTAAACAGTTCTTGACACCAAGAACCCCTTGGTGTGTACAAATTAATGCCTAGGCGCAAGATGTAGCAGTTGCTTCAAATTAGACAGTTTTCAAGTGTTGACAAGTTCAAGGTTTAGTATGATCATAGGAGGCCAACATACATAAAAGGATTGTTGTTGGTCAAAAACTCGGGGGCTTTTATCATTTGTTTATTATCTATTCTTCACTGATGCATCGTTGTGTTGGATTCTTTCTCAAATGTTAGCAATGGTGTTTATTGTAAAATTAGGTGGAGCGATTCTTGGTGTTAGATTTTTTGATCCTCTAGCTGGACTTCTAGTTGCTGGAATGATTTTAAAAGCTGGAATTAAAAGTGGTTCCCAGAGGTAAATAATCATCCTTTATATTCCCATTTTTATTGAAGCATTTACAAACAATGATAGATGAAAAAAGAGCCCAGATAGATAGTTTTCTGCAATTAGTTTTCTAAGCCTGTTTCTGTATCTCCTTCCCTCCGCAAAAATGTAGTCAGAATCAACAGTTTTGAACACTATAACTCTTAAATAAAATCCCAGCTATATTATGTCTTACCAATGGCCTCAACATTGTTCTACTGCTTATTTATGTGTTTGAACTTTGAATTTAGCATCACGGAATTGGTTGACACTGCTGTTCCATCGGAAGACCTCGAGCCTTATAAACGCACAATATCCAGAGTTAAGAGAATCAAGGCAAGTCTAGTTCAAACTTTCTGCAGAATTGGTTCTTTTCCTTGTGCTTCAAAATAATACACCTCCCATTCTCCATCATACATATGTTATTTTATTTTTTCTGTTATATGATGCTTACTTGGTGTGGTAATGGCACAACAATTTACTATCTATTGACTTTATTTTTGTGCTGCTGCATCTATATTTACTTCTTTCCCTTTAACCTTAACATGACAATGTATAAAATTTTAAGGGCAAGTTAGAAATCTCTATTGGTTACATGAACTAGTCAGTTTCTTAGTTAGTTCTTTTGATTTTGTAGGGATACAATCACCTCTGGGGAAGGAAAGCAGGATCGTTTATGTATATTGATGTAGACATTGAGGTCTGTTGGATTGCCTTCTCCTTTCTGTTTTACTTAAATATGCACTAATCCTTTAATGCCACGGCGTATTTTCCATAATACTCACTTCAAAGTTGGAATAATTCATACGGTCAGGTAGATCCTTTTTCTAGTGTGAGTGCTGCTCACGATGTCGGGGAACATGTTCGCTATCAACTGCAGCAATTCCATCCAGAAGTGGCCGAAGTCTTCTTACGCATAGGTGCACAGCATTTGATTGAGTGCACAACTTTTCATCTTCCTATACTGATTCTGTTAAGATTTTCATTTTCTTGCTGTCATTATATTGATATTGCCAATAGTTTAGACAAAAACAAGCTTCTACTATTCTTTACCATGAGCTTTGGACTCTGATTGCATTATGATCGGTGTAGTCCCATCCATTTCACCTACTTTGGGAGATTATATAAGCCGCCAAAGCAGTTGTCGCAAGCCAAAGAATCTGATCAATAATGTAGCATTGGAGCATGCAAATCTTGAAGAAATTATTTCCACCATTTTGTCGAATAATGTCTCTAAGGTATGATCCGGTTTTGCGAGTTTATGCTTTTGTTTTCGCTTTATATTATCCCCTTTGTTGTTCTTTTCTTCATTGCATTTAGGGAATGGAAATCCAGCGGATAACTCACCACTCATTGCACGGCCACATTCTTCTTGAAGTCGAGGTCTCCATGCACCCCGACACATTGGTTAGGTAAAATTCATTGTGACGATACAAACAATTGATTAAAATCTTCTCCTATCGAGCTCGCCTGCAGTACTAATCTTAGTTGCCATGATGCAAAAACCCAGAGATGCTGTCAAGGCTGCAGAAGAAGCCGCGAAGCATATCTTCAAGGCATCGCCTAAGATCATACACATATCCACTCAGCTGCAACTTGGAAGCCCATTGCCAACTTTGTAAACAAACCACAGGATAGCTGCTGAATATCCTCCTATGTTAAGAAATGGCGACATTCGTAGGTTAGTCTAGTACGAAAATACGCATGTATAGATTGTAAGATGACGAGAGAGACGATTGTTTTGAGGTGCAACTCATGACAAACAGTACTTGTGATGAGACAATCTAGTTGAACTCAGACTGGAATAATAACTGAATGATATTTCTACTGATTATTCAAATTGTTTCGGAAACGAAGTACATTGCTGGATAGGGAGTGATTAATATAATGCTACCTCACAAATTACATCCAACTTCCCTAATAAGTTCAGAATGTGTTATACAATGGCTTATCCATGTCAGAATCTCCATGAGAGATCTGCTGATGAAAAGGGTTGTGCATTACTTGCATATTTCTCTGTTGGTTCATAGCTTCCATCTCCATTCTCTGTTCGTGCAGATTCGGCATGGCTCCAGCGCCCCCGACCCCTAAGAAATCCACTGTCGTCATATCATTCTCCCCATCGAAGCTAGCTGGATTCCTCGCCATCATCGAGTTGTTCCTGCCCTGCATTATCCCGGAGCTTTGATCACTTCCCTCGTGGACTTGTACGATGTTCTTGAACAGCCCGGCTGCTGCGCTTTCGTCTCCTCCCATCAGCATTCCACCGTACATCGCCATGTCACCAACCACAGGCCCGCCACTCTCAAACATGTGAGTTACTACCTCTTGTGGATTCTTTTGCATGATCTGGTTCGGAAATGGTGAGTTGTATGCTGACGGGGTTTGCTCGTTGGAGCCATGGAAGTTGTCGTAGGACTGGAAATTGGAGGTGGATCTTGGCCCTGAATCAGGGCCTGCCATGCTGTTAACAAAGCTCTTCTGCATCATGGGAGAGTTCATCGAATTGCTCCCTGTTGCCCCCATCTGAGCAGCTTTCTGCAACAGGGCTGTCGCCGACATGTGAGCTGACCCCAATATCTGCCCAAGGTTCTTGCTGTCCTGGTGGAAGGCGTTGTAGCCTGACGACGGGGTCGAATTTGAGCTCAGCTGAAGCCCGGAAGACGACGGCAGCATGCTTCTAGGCAAAAGAGTGCCTGAAGTTGTCGAGAACATGTTCATCGGCTTGAATGGTATCGGCACCAATTCTTGCGGGAGCGATTTCAATGGATTGTTGTTGAATTCAGTGATCCCCATTGCTGTGTTGCTGCTTATCGGCATTGTCGACATCAAATCAGGCATGTTGTTGCTCTGTCCTAATCCTCCTCCTCCTCCTCCTCCTCCTGCCATGATTCCCTGATTGATCATCACTTTGCTGTTTTCTTCAGCCAAAGCATCACAGAATGCCCGGTGAGTAATGAAGCTGTCCCTCCTGGAGAAGATGGTTCCACAGTCACATTTGTACTCCCTCGTCCCGCACGTCTTCTGGTGCGCCTTCCAGTCCGACTGCACGGCATACTTCTTCGAGCACTTGTCGCACTTCCACTTCTTCTCGCCGTGCTTCCTGCTGTAGTGCTTCTTGATCCCCGTGAGGTCTCCCAAAGCGCGCGCCGGGTTGTGGTGCACGCAGCTCGGCTCCGGGCAGATGTAGACGCGCTTCCGGGCTAGCTCCGTCGCCGTCCTCTGCCTCAGCTTCCATGGCAGGTTATGGCCCCTCCTGTGGAGCTGCAGGTTTTGATCCCTTTGGAAGCCTTTGTTGCAGATTTCACACACAAATCTGTTTGTCGCCATTAGCGTTGTTGGTGACAGTGCTACAACTTCTGCCGTCGGATCTATATCGAAGATATGATCATGAATCAGAATCTTTGCTAAATTAATTTCCATAGTTATATATATGATTAGCAGTTAACTTAGTTTGTTATTAGTTGATTGAATATTGCCTGGTGTTCCCGGCAGGTTGCGCTTCTTCTTCGCCGTCGCCGGCTGCTGCTGAGAGGCCGATTCGTTGCTGTTCGCCGGCTGTTTATTCGCTTCTTGCTGCTGCTGCTGCTGGACTTCACCGGAGGAGAAACTTCCCTCGTCACCGCCGCTGATATTCGACATTTTTCAATTTATTTTCTTTTATTTTTTTAGATTTGGGAATGTGAAAATGAAGAAGACTAATTTGCAGAGTAGTTAAAAAAAGGTGATGAACTACTCAATAAAAATTTGTGTTGTTTTTGTTTTTGAGGGAGATGGAAAAATGGTGGTGGTGTGATTGAAGGTTGTTTGGCTTATGTGATATTTATTTACATATATAGTGGAGATATTTAGAGACTTAGGTAATTTATTTTAATTACTAATTGTGAGCTTGTCGTTTGTTTAAAGACATTATGGGAATATTCAGAAATAACTCAGCCAATTTGCACATTATTGTTTCTATACAAGAACAAGAATACAACACATCCCTCTATATATTTTTATTTATGTATAACTTTATATAGTTACACTTATAATTTGCCTTCATGTATGTTGGACTTCTTATTGCAAGAATTATTCGGATTGATCAAACCAAATAAGTTGGTAGAAAGAAATATAAATTATTTATTGCATATGCAAATTAAAATTGTTCCAAATATTCTTAGTCTTTATTTGTAATAGGTTCAATTTAACTTGTTATGAAACATATACAAAAGTTCAAAAAGTGAATCCAATTGGAGTTACATAGTGCTGAGATTTGTATTTTTCTTGAACAAATTTAAATTAAAATTTCTGTCCAAAACTACTAATTAACATGCATCAATTTAAAGTGATTTTGCTTGTGTCATCGCAAGATATACAATTTTTTTTTGGTATGTATTTAAAAAAATAAAATAAAATAAACTAATAGTTTTTAGATAATAATTGATGATATTTTTTACAGAGATATTTATGTCCTTTGTATTTTATTTTGATTTAATTGTATTGATATAAATACATATAAATTTAAGTGTATTCATAAAATATTCGTCAAATTTATTAAATATATATATATATATACTTTATCATAGAACAAATGAAATTGGAAAATATATATGAAATTTTATATTCAATATATATTTTATATTTGAAATGTATTTATTTTAATTTTAAAAAAATAGATTTAGAATATAAAAAATATGCAAAACCATATCCAAATTTTATACCAATTGATACACCTATATATATATATATTAACAAATTTAATCAAATGGTTCAATTAGTCTAAGTGGGGACATATTATTGACAATATACACATATATTGTTGCAATAATTAGAGTTGATGGCATGGCAAGATTACACAGAAGCAGTCCGGCTTGTAATTAATTATTTATTTATTAAATTATATGAATAACAACGACAACAATTTTTATTTTTTTAAAATAAATAAATAATATTAATAAAGCTAAGCATGTCCCAAAATTTAACAACCATACAAACATTAGAATTTCCCTTGTTAAAAACAAAATATTCTACGTGGGATTCATCGATCTAATTAATTACTTCGATACAATTAATGGAATAATGACACCCATAATCCAACAAAATTCCATTCTCAATACCCTCTTTTTAAATGATAAAAAAATTAAATCAAATAATGGCCATAATTAAATAAATTAATCAATGCATTCCTTTCATGGTCATTCACACATATATATTATATTATATTATAATTTAAATATTCACGAAAATGACTTGTTGGGACACAAATAATTTTAAATGAATAGGTGATGATAGATCTATTAAGATTTCTTTTAACAGTCCATTTCTACGTTAATTTCAGTGTTTTTTAGATGACTCTTTATTATATTAATTAATAATTAATTTATTTCAATTTTCCCTAACCAACAAAAACCAGAGACACATTCATCTGACTGTAACCCTGTAATCCCACCCAGCCATGGAATTAGTCCAACAATTGTATTTATTTATTTATTTATTTATATATATATATATATTTATTGATAAATGAAATAACTAGCTAGGCACTTTACATTACATATTATTACACCAATCAAGAAAAGATGGTAAGCCATGATAGTATACATCAACTCAATTCACTTAATGAATTTCTCCTCCAATTAATGAGACGAAATTTAAATATATATATATATTTATTTATTTATTTGTAGGTTTGATTTAAATTCATTTAGGACAATCCTAAGGATTTTGACTTATGTCTGAAAAAGATGACAATTTTGGGAACAAATTTTAGGAGCCAAGGTCAACTGCGTTGTCCCATCTGTTAATTCCCCTGCTGCGCTGAACTTTATCCTGCGTGCTTCATGATGTTGTACTTTGGGTCAAATGGTGGACTTTTTTATCGTAGAGCAAATGTACAATGCTCTGAAGCGGTTGATGAAGAGGGCGCAGGCGGCGTTGCTGTAGGAGATTTGGCCGCCGTCTATCTTATCACCACCGGCCTGGTGACACGTCGTGGGTCACCCCCATGCATGCTTCTCAATTTATAATCATTATTTTTATTATTATTTTACTCCCAATACATTTATTAGTATTTTTTTTTTGATCCATACACACATTTGACGAAATTTTCTCTAACTTAGCACATAAGCAGGGTAGGGTGTTTTTGTTTCGTGAGATTTTTGAAAAATAAATATTTTTATGTGAAAAAATTGTATATAAAATATAAAAATAATGAATGTGTAATGTATTAATTTTTTAAAAAAAAATGTAAAAAAAAATTATAAAGAACAAACCCGTACTCATTTGAAATCGAACTCAAAATTTAGCTCGAAGTAAGAAATATCTCGACATTTGATCTACAACGATTTGACCTCTTAATATGTTTGTTACTCCCTTACACTCTTATGAATCTATTTATTTATTTTTTTTACATAGATTTTAAAATATTAATATATGTATATGTATAGTATAGTATAAGCGAATGACAATTATACCTATAAATTTTTAATAATACTTTATATGTAAATTGAAAAAATTATTGTAATAATGTATAAAATGTAAGCTTTTCTTGAATTAAGTGGGCATACGATTACTTAAAAAAATTATAAATTGACATAGTAGAAATTAAAATAGTAAAATGAATAGAGTAATTACGGCTAGAAAAAGTATTATTTTTAATCCTCTCAAAATATTGGTAAGTTTTCCTCATCTACATCAAAAAATTTATTTTTTTACTATTATGTACAATTTATAAATAATTTCAAATAAATAAATAAATAATAATAATAAAATAGAAAAATATTATAGTTATACCATCTGTTAAATTGTGTCACAAATAAACATAATTACATAACTAATAGGAGTATATTGAGACGGATGAATAATGTATATAATAATTTAAAATAAATAAATAGTGCCTAATAATGAAAAAGTAGTTGGGCCCATATTGGCCCAATAACTCATATTGGATCAGACCAAAGTTTATGAATACCCAGATGATCAAATAATTCTGGCCCATACATTTTTGTTTTCGAAAAAAATAAAAATAAAAAAATTCATAGAGGGGCTGTATACTTCTAAGATTTGTTACCAAAGTTAGAATAATCTTATGTTCATGATAGGTTTTTTTTTTATTTTTTTATTTTATTTTTAGAGTGAGAGAGACCTACCTACAGAAATTCGAAAAATCAAACGAAAAATATTGACGTGAAAAGAAATCAAATATTATATTTATATTCGAAGAAATTGCACAATTTTGCAACTCCACGTCATCATTTTCCGTCGATTTGTTGACGGTGGGACAAAAAAAATAATGTTTGATTATATTGTGACAAAAAATGATGAGTTTTGATTATATTGAAACTAAAATTGATAAAAAAAATTATATTGAGACCAAGAATGATGAGTTTTGGTTATATTGAGACAAAAAATGATAAGTTTTGGTTATATTAGGACAAAAATGAATAAGATTTTTATATTGGAACTAAAATTGATGAATTTTAATTATATTGGGACAAAAAATGATTTTTTCCCTTATTTTTATTATAGTGACTACAAACTAGACGGAAAAAATTTTCTTCTTCTATTTTGAAAATATATGCATGAAGTATCTTATATAAAATTTATTATACTTCATCATAATATTAGCAAAATTTGTACATATCTCTTTAAGTTATGTGAAAAAAAATTATAAATTTTGTCTAAATGTTTTACTATCACAAAAAACAACATATTTCAATTCATGCATTATAATACGCATAAAGTTACTATAATATATTCATTTTACTTTTATAATTTTATGTACAAATTTATAAACCAAACTTCAACACTACTTTAAGTTCTGTTTACGTGAGAGTTCTAGAAAAAATTTATAATAAAAAAATTAGGCATTTGACTTCATATTTGGTGAAATGAAATAAATATTTATTAATTTTATAAATATTGTTACTTAATAGTATCAATTTTTTTTTTTTTTAAAGTTATAACCTCTCAACTCATAATTATTTAAAATTATATTCAGCTCACAATATATATTGAATCATTTAGAAGATATGTTTGTTTTTGGTCTCAAATCCTTGCACTATTCATGATATTTTTCCAGTTAAAGATATTATATATATTAAATACTTGTTTATATTGCATAAAAGTTATTTCAGTTATAAAAAGAAAAAAAAAAGAAAAAGTGTGACATCAAATTATTATTAAAATTCTTTACGTCTATAATATTTCAAAATAAATAAATCAATCAAAAAAAAGATTCTAGCTTGATTTTGATTCCAATATATGTAGATCTTATAATTTACAAATAAGCACAATTGTGTATATATTCACCACTTGCAAATAATCCATTTTCTTTAATTAATTTTGACGAAGTAATATTTCCACTGTTAGGACTGACTCAACTCAATACTAGTATGATAACGGATTTATTACTATTTTTTTTTTTTTTTTGAATATTCTCTAAAAAGGCCTCGTACTAGTGAAATTTACTTGGAACTTATAAAGTGTGAAATTTTCTTCACAACTTCCGATGTGGGACTTGAGTTTGCACCCCGACACCCACTTTATTGATGGTCAAATTTTATTTTATTTTATTTTTAATATTTCCCCTACTTGATAAGAGCAAAAGGTTAATTTTTTTTTTTTTTTAAATGATTAGTTAGTTTTGGACCAGATTCCATGCTCTGCTGCTGCACAGTGAAATCACAGGGCCTAATAAAGCAGTTCCATATAATAATAATAATAATAATAATAATAATATGTCACACTTTGAAATCGACCCAAATAAAATAAAATAAAATAGATATTGTGGAGTTGTTCGATA